CTGAAAAAATCATAGTCCAAATTGCTCAAATATTTCAGGAATATCTTAAATATTTTTAAAGAATCTTGTATGTATGTGATATATAAAATCTTGCGCTAATATTGTCGTACTACTTAAAGGACAGACCGGTTTCTCGAATAGTTTAATTTTATATCAAGCATTTATTTCGAGAAACGCTATTTTTTGAAAAAAATTAGAGATTAGTAATTTTTAAAAAAATACCCTGGTCCAAAAATTGCTCAAATATTTTAGGAATATTCTAAATATTTTTTAAGAGCCTTACATATAGTATAAAGTCTTGCATCGCACTAATATTGTCGTACTACTTAAAAAACAGACCGGTTTCTCGAATAGTTTGATTTTATCAAACATTTATTTCGTACAACGTAAATTTTATTTTATAAATTATAGAATCAGTAATCTCTAATAAGATATCCTGATCTAAAAATTACCCAAATATTTTAGGAATATTCTATAAGTATTTTTTTAGAGCCTTACACATGATATAAAGTCTTGCATCACTAATATTGTCGTACTACTTAAAAAACAGACCGGTTTCTCGAATAGTTTGATTTTATCAAACGCTACATTTTTTTATAATATATTTTATAATATACTTTATATATTATATTTAAAATATAATATATGATATAAAATATATAATATAATAATATATTATAAAATAATGTGAATAATATATATAATATATATAATAAAAAAATAAATATAAAATAATAAAAACATGGCGACTTCGCGAGCTGCCTTATATACATATAATAATCGAAAAAAAAAGATAAAATCCGTCATCTCTGATTGAAAAAATGGCGAAATATTTTCGGAATATCCAAAATATTTTTCAAGATCCCTACATACATGATATAAAGTCTCGCATCGCTAATACTGCCGTACTATACTTAAAGGACAGAACGGTTTCTGGAATACTTTGCATTTCTCCAAGTTAACTGGTTTTTCTCTTCTCTCTTAGGCCAGATTGTTCTAGTATAAGTCGGATCCTCTCGGTGCAGGTTGTATTGACAATCGTCGACCGGTCCCACTGTACATAAGTTACTCACACTGTGTACGTACCCCGTTCTCCACCGCGTCCAGGAGGTTCTCTCTCCATCTTCTCCGTTTTCCTCCACCTTTCTTCCTTCTTCCTCTCTTTATATTCCGCCGGAGCTCCTTCTGCATCCCTTCCTTCTCTTTCTCTCTTGCCATCTCTTGTCCTTTATCCTTCTCGCCGCTCTCTCGTGGCCTCGTAGGCTCTCGTTTTCTTCTGCGTACCTCCTGTATCTCGAGTGTGTATACCGTCCTCAGCTTCCAGCTTCGTTAAGAGGGCTCCAGCCGTCGTCTTCTGGCGCTCTTCGTGAAAATCTAGAGCCGATTGCCCCTTCGGGGATCGCTTGACTCGGCGACTTTCTCGCCTCGAGATCGTCTCTTATATCCAGTAAATACAATTAACTCAGGGTCTCTATCCGCTCATCCGACGATTCTAATCAGCATCCGTGCTCCATAAGATTCTCGAACGTGACGCGCTTATTTTTTTCTCCATCTCTCCCGCAATCTGCGCTCGAATATTCTGTCATTTGCATCTCGCGGATCTTCCCCATCTTCAGCCTTTAAATTCGCCACTGAGATAACAATGATTATATATAAGGGGCAGCTCGCAAAATCGCCGTGTTTTTATTATATTATATATTATTTTAGATTTATTTTATTTTTATATATTGTGTCTTATTTATTAGATTTTATTTTATATTTATTTTTTTATGCTATTTATTATCATACAATATTATTCACATTATTTTATAATATATTATTATATTATATATCATATTATATATATAAATTATATTATATTTTAAAATTTAATATATGAAATATAAAATTATAAAATATATTTTATATATATTATATAAATTAAATTAGCCATGTTATTACATAAAAATGAAATTGATCTTAAATGCCGACTCCATAATTACGCGTTACGATCGTTTTACGATTCGGCAGCCAATGTGTTGCCGGCTCCCGGTGTCTCGGGGATTATGCAAGCGAGTACTCGAGTAGCGAAGTGCATCGTTAGGCATGTGCTGCACCTAATATCAAATATTTCCGTCTCTCTCTCTCCCTTCCTCGTTTATCGCGTACTCATTATAACTGCGCGCTCGTGCAGTCATACGGAATCGGCGATTAGCTCATTTCGTAACAGACGCACGCGGCGCTTATTATTGCAACCCTACATATCGCCCGGTCATGTCTTGTTTAGAGCGCCGGGAGATACTTTATCGCTGATCATTCGCGCCCGGTCCACGCCAAGTGCATTCCCGTTTGCATACCCACTATGATCACACACAAATGCAATTTTATGCGCCGGCTAATATCGCCGACCCCGCGGATCGCGTGGGCTAGATAGACGCCGATGTACTCTATATAAGTGTATATACACGTGTAAGTACATGTATGTGTGTGTGTATGTGTGTATACCAGTTTCGCGGGACAGGGACGTGTACATCTACCGTGTTATGGTATAGTTAGTTGATGATTACAGAGAACCCCTAGATCACCTTTATTCTTCTCTTTTTTTCCTCATTTTATATGGGAAAGATCAAAGCTTCAAGAGTGCCTAGGAAAATTTTTCAATTATCATCTCAAATGTAGAACATAAAACTCATGATGATGTCACTTGAAAAGTTATTTTGGAAAACAATTTTTATTGGTGAATATGGAAACCCTAAGGTCACTTTTCTTCTCTTTTTTCCCTCATTTTATATGGGAAAGATCAAAGCTTCAAGAGTACCTAGAAATATTTTTTAATTGTCATTTCAAACCCAGGTAGAATAATAAAACTCATGATGACGTCGCTTAAAAGTTATTTTGGAAAAAAGTTTTATATATTATAATTATTTATTTATTTTATTGTTTACATAGATTCAATCAACATAATTTTTTTAGCGATTATCTTATATTAGGGAACTTTAAATCTATTTTTTTTGTCATCTTTGAATAATTTTTGTCCAGATAACTTTTAAGTGATGAATAAAATTATGACGACGTCATTATGAGCTTTTTGTTTTATCTGATAAGTTTTCAAAATACTGTATATATTAATTGTTCGGTTAAATTACCCCTTTTGTCAATGCATAATTTTTCACCTTTTCTCCAAAAGAAACTTTAAACGTCAAAAGTGTGTCGGAACTTTTTTTAAACCTGAAAAAAAAATACAAAATAAGACTTTATATTGGGAAATCTCTTAAAATATAATCAGAAAGAATGATCGATGCTCAGCAGCTGCTATAAAAAAATGGTCAAAGTGCAACATGTGTCAAAACACGAAGTTGGGACTTGAGACTATCTCTATATATCAATATTGATAGAAATATCCAAATCCCAACTTCGTATTTTGACACATGCACTTTGACAATTTTTTATAACAGCTGCTGGGCATCGATCATGCTTTCCAATTATATTTGAAGAGATTTTTCGATATGAAAGCTTATTTTTTATCAGGCTAAAGAAAGTTCCGACTCATTTTGAACATCCAAAGTTGCTTCTGTACCATTTACTGACAGAGGAATCAAATCCGACGTTATTTAATCTCGCTGTTGCTACATACCGTTACTTTAAAGAGATACGGAGAACTCGGGTTTACATTCGATTATTTACAATACAGTTGTAATTTGACGTGACACTTGATGTTGACGAAAATACAGACGAAAGTAAATCCAACCGCACGCTTAGTCCTATTAGTCCTGCTCATCGGGCTCGTGCGCGTTTCAGCTACGTCACTGTTCCTATACCGTGTGTGGGTAGTAGCAGAGAGCCAGCTTCGCCAGGGGCCTTTGCCTCTGGAACGGAAAAGACACCCGAGAGTCCGGGGTACGATTATGGTACATCGGTTCGACATTACACCTTGCGACTCTCGCGTTCTCACGTTGCACAAACTGTTGATACAAGTCGTGGAGTCGAGTTACGATTCGACAAAGTCTATATCACTTATAGCCCGTCACACTGTTTGCGTCTGTTTCTTTTTTCTGGGCCCTTGAAACACGCGTCCCCTATCTTTGAAAGGTGGACAGTTCAGCTCTCCTTCGCTTGTCCAGATATCTTCGCGTATAAATTTTATTGAGTCTGATAATATCAAGCGCGCGCTATAAATTATCCCCTCCGCGTTTTAAATCATTAAATCTGTATACTGTCAACGAGCGGAGTAATTGATCCAATTGCAGACGCAGATTCCTTTTATCGTGCTTCAAATCTCGAGAATGTGTACGACAGACATATTATTATATAGTCTCTTGTTTTCTTTAATTAATTTAATCTTTGAAAACTCCTATGCGAAGATTAATTTTTTCCACAATTTTTATCAATGACTCTAGAAGAATTGTATTCAATTATAATTCGCTAACATAAATTAGTTAATCTAATTAAGCTATTGTAATCTTTTTAATTTATATTTTATCGACTTCTGAATTTTTTGACAGAAATCAGCTGATTTCTGTCAAAAAATATTAATCGAGTTTAAAATGTTATAGTATACATATTATTTAAAATATATTATTTAAATTTATATTTTATTATCCCAATATCTAATATCCAATACATTTTAAAGCCAAATATCAGACCCAATTGAACAGCAATTTGAAAAAATAGAAATTTTCTTGTACCTTAAAAAGATTCACATTGTTGATGGAGGGTTAAATTAAACTGTACGCGTTATAAATATTTCGAATTTTCAAGTTTCTTGTTGCGAAAAAGAGTCACAAATTAAGTCGCGAGGCTTTTAATTAAAACATAATTTTTCTCCACGCCGACGTGAATTGCAGCAGTCGCATGATGCATCGATTTAACCTTGATTTCACCCATCGTTCCTTTTTTGCCGCCGCTAAACCCGATTTACAGCCCAAAGTACCGCGGTCTTCCTTAATGAAGCGATTAATATGCTGCGCCCAAATAAACCTGTAAATGACAAAATGAATAAAGCATTTTTTTCTTCATTGCAGAAGAAAACAATGACGAGCAATGGTCCATTCGTGATGCTGCGATCGCTGATGATCGTCGCCATCGCCGGCGCCGCTTCACCGGGTACCTGGATGTAAGTACATATGATTATCTCCGTCTCGTGTCGCAATTTTTTCTTCTCTCTCCAATCGGGCGTCAAAGATGTCAACCGCGGTCTCGTATTTATAGTTCGACGGGACGCGATAATTTTTTTCATTAGGCTCGCGCGACTCTTAAAATAAGCCGACGTCGAAGGACAAGGGGTGCCCTACATATCGCCGATCAAAGGATAAACTAACGACCGTGGGGTGGCTGCCGTTCTTACGGTGAAAGCCTCCATTATATCCGAACGAGGTTTCACTGAACTTTCGATTATCCGCCGATTGCGCTGTAATCTCCAATATCTCACTCAGCTCGGATAATTGAGCTTGATTTCGTGACGTATTACGTGAGATATTAAAATGAGCGAATAAATTATTTTTATTTTTATTTTATCCATATATTTTAATTTAATTTTGAAATTAGTTATTTTTATCAAAAAATGATCAAGAATCAGTCGGCAAAACTATGAAAATAATGATATATTGTAAATAATGTGTTGTAATGCCTTATCTGCGATTATATTTTTTGACAGAAATCAGCTGATAACTGTCACTTTGAAAATAATTTCTATTTTTATTTTTTTAAATTGGATTTTTATTTTTAATTGTTCCTCGTTAAAGAGGGATGATCGCGAAGGCCTTCGCTTGGTAATTAAATTCACTTTCATCCAAATTGGATTAAATACTTAGATTATATACTACCATATTATGCTTGTGAGATTCGCGAGATCTCTTTACAAAAGTTAATTGCGGAGCATCGATCAGAATCACGGCGGCAATTAAATTAATTACGCTACAAAGGGAAACGCGTATATGTGAGAATCGAGAGCACGCGCGATTTTTCACGCTCTTCCTAATTTATGGACCTTTGTGCCACAACGTGGGAATCCGGAGCGAGGAATCTCTTCGGTGCCCTCGAAAATCTCTCCGCGAACTTGTTCCCCACGTCGCCGTCGTTTCGTACCCCGCCTCGTACGGAGTGTGTCTAATCTCTGAATTACCATTCTCGCCCCCTGTGTTCTACCCCGCGTGAGCATGACCAATCATCGAATGGTCCCGGACGCCCGCGCTCCTTTGTCAGGAAAGAGCGGGGCACCCAGACTTTCTCGCCTCAAAATTTATCTCCGTATCGCTGCGAGAAAAACCGTCCACGCCCTTTCATTTTCGAAAAATGCGTTTGTAGACCGCGCATTATATTTTTCCCATATTATAACATTGCAACAAATATAGTGCTAATTGGGGATATAATATATATAATATTTATGCGACTTAATCAACTGCGTCACTCGATCTTTTAATTGTCAAATATATTAATCAAATTCTTTTTTAAAGAGTTATAACATTATTTAAAACATATTATTATTTTAATTTTTATAATGTTATTTTTAAAAATAATTATTAATACCTTCTGTGATTAATATTTTTGACAGAAATCAGCTGATAAATTCTTTTTCTCAAATTTAACTCCTTCTTTAAACTTGATTAATATTTTTGATAGTTATCAGCTGATTTCTGTCAAAAAATATTATGATCGCAGATGAGATATTATAACCATTCATTAATATTTTTTTTACAGAAATCAGCTGATTTCTGTCAAAAAATTCAGAAGTCGCTAAAATATAAATTAAAAATATTACAGTAGCTTAATTAAATTTACTAATTATGTTACCGAATTATAATTAAATATAATTCTCTTATAGAGGCATTGACAAAAATTGTCAGAACAGAAAAAAGTGGTCTTCGAAGAGGAGCTTAACTCGATTAATATTTTTGACAAGAAATCAGCCGATTAATATTTTTTGACAGAAATCAGCTGATTTCTGTCAAAAAATATTAATCGAGTTAAAATAAGCTTTATATGCATATATATTGCATATATCGCGACTCAGGAAGCATAAATGCATGTATGTATGTATGAACGCACTATGCATGTAGCTGCAATCTCTTAGGAGACGCGGGGCATTATTTTTCGGAGCTGCGGCCCACGACGACGGTGCGTGCCCCGCGCGTGGGCCGTATCCCGTCGAAATATTATCGCTCTTTCTCTCCCTCTCCTGGTTTCACAATTGTCCGCGCCATTGTTTTAGGGGAGTGTAAAGCCAATGATATATCGCCGCCGGAGCGTGTTCCAGAATATTAATGTCGTCTATTACACACTCTCCCTAGACTCTCGCGCCGGCTTTTACGATTCTTACCGCTCGATCGCGGTAATACTTAAGGGAGAAAGGGGGACGCTTAACGATACCTCCTTTAATGGAACGAGAAATATATTGGAACCCAGCTTTTTTCCTATACTCTGATGAGATCAATATTTTTTCGTCTCAAAATGATATCGTTTTTTTTACTGATAATTATTATTCAAAGAATATGCAAATTTAACATTTCTTTGTCCATTGTTATACATAATATTTTGCTAAGAAAATTTTATAACATGTACGTGCATAATTAGTAAATTTGATCAAGCTGTTGTAATATTTTTAATTTATATTATATCAACTTCTGCGAATCTTTGACAGAAATTATCTGATTTCTGGCAAAAATTATTACTCGAGTTTAAAGTATTATAACATACATATTATTTAAAATATATCATTAATGCAATCACAAAAATGTGTACTTGATAATTTTTGACTTGTACTATTCTTTAGAAAAATTCCCAGGTAATGCACGCTATTGATACATCTGAAGCGGGTGCGTCACCTCGTCGACAACCCCGGCGAGTATTCACCTGAGTCACGCTCGGACAGGTCCTCCGAGCTGCACCGAGTCGCCGTACAGGTTGTCGCGGCTTACCGCGTAAATCGCGACCGGACGAATGCGCTCGAGACAGACCATCGCGTCGTTTGGTCCTGACGTTAGAAGCCGCGGGATATAACGCAAGAGTCTATCTCCTCATACTTGGCCCATCTACAAGACCTCATCCAACTATACAATATGTTTAATTTTATATAATTTTTTTTCATTTTATTTCATTTTTTAAATTTTATTTTAACCCAGGTAGCAAACGTAACATCATTCTGACGTCATTTTGCTACTTGGGAACGTCGTATATATTTTTTTCCGCTATCGTGCAATCTGTGAAAATTAATTAATTAATTAATTAATCTCGTAGCGAGAGTTCCATAAAATTAGCCGGATTTTTCTCATTGAATCTCAGGCAGGAATAAAATATACGACACAGGAAAAGGCAAGAGAACGGGATGCAAGCGTATGGTAGAGAGACGCTATTGGAACCTACGCTCGCGACAGTCGCCCGTTTCGAATTACAGATCGGTATATGGACCCTTCCCACCCGGCATATCCCGCCCCGCTTCGGCCTTCTGTCTTTGACGGTACCGTTCCATCATCTCGCTCGGTTGGCTCACAAATGCCGCCATTAAGGAGGAAATCCAAGGGCTGCTGCTCCGCGCCCACGAACGCCGCGGGTTATCCTGCACCGAATTCGGTATAATTCGGCGTAACAAATCTCCATAGGTGTTAGGGATGTGCCGTCACGTTGTGTGGCATTGTCGAAGCCGATGAAATATCCTTGCAAAGCAATCGATAGTTTTGGAGTCGATGCGGAACAGTTTTGGTCCTTATTATCATGATGCATGATAGAACGTGTCAGCATTTTCTCTGCAAGAGAACAAAGATGTAGACTCATTTTTTAAACCTTCAGTCAGCGTATAATCTTTCACCTTTCCATCAATGAACGTGTACCCGAATACCTACTGCATATTGAACCGTGACAATTTCTTTTGAGCAGCTGCTAGACATCGAACTTACTTTCACGTTGCATTTTACAATAAGGTTTTCGAATAAAAGGCCCTTTGTATATTTCGTTTCGGAGAAAAATTTCGATGAATTTGTAATATTTAAAGTTAGTTTGGATATCCGGATATCTGGTAATTGATGAATAATGATTCACCCCAATAAACACGTAAGGGTCGAACATATCTAGATATAATAATTAAATACGATATTACACATAATATTATAAAATATTCTGACGCCTCTGTTTTGTATTCGACAGAAACCTGGGTCTACGACACTTTCCGGAGTTGGAAACGGTACAGTCGATGGAAACGTTCGACGTCAGTGCCTCTGAGATTTGCACCGGCTTGAGGGGACTATCTCAGGGCCAGGGAAAGCTCTGCCAATTGTCCGTGGATCACATGTCCAGCGTGGCCAAGGGCGCGAAATTCGGCGTGGCCGAGTGTCAGCATCAGTTCCGGGACAGAAGATGGAACTGTTCCACCGTTCACGACGAGAGTGTGTTCGGCCCGATGCTCAAAATAGGTCTGAATCATTCGCGATTCGATTATATTCCTTCCAGGAGAATTTCTGTAGTGTTTCGGATATATTCAAAGTTTATTTATATATACAGGGTGTGCCAACCGTACCGTATCATTATTTGGAGACGATTTTTCCTCAGCGAAAATGTCGAGGAAGGATCATCATTTTTTTAACGTTCCCAATTTTTAAAATCATGTATTTTTGTAACTAAGCCTTAAATTAAAATTCTGTTAAAGTAAACATTACCTGAAATTAACTAAAAAATGTAGTTTTGTTAATAATTTATTTTCACAAGGCTTAGTTTACAAAAAAGCTATTATTTTCAATCGTTTATAACTCTTTATTGGAGCCTGGATATTTTTGCTAAGGAAAAATCGTTTCCAAATCGCCTCAAGAATCTGCCATTAACGTGTGGTACAGTAAGTCTGGGATACCCTGTATTTCTCCGATTAAAAATTGTCAATTTTGCTTGCAGCGAGTAGAGAAACTGCGTTTGTTCACGCAATCACCGCTGCCGGGGTGGTCTACTCCATCAGTCGTTCTTGCCGAGATGGTCATCTGTCGTCGTGCGGCTGCTCCAGGAGCAACAGACCCAAGGATCTGCATCGCGATTGGATTTGGGGAGGATGCGGGGATAATCTCGAGTACGGCTACAAGTAAGTGCGCGCGGTTACTCGATGAATTATAACGATTCATCCCCCATAGATTCATCCCCATAGTCAGGGTCAAACATGTGTAGATATAATAATTATTATATATTGTCATCGTATTATTTATATGGCTTTCCTCCAGCTTCATTATTTTAATTCACCTTTGACCTTTTCACAGAAGACTTGTATAGTATATTAGAAGTGAGAAGAATACAGTGTTGTTGTTGTCCACGTGTTGCAGATTCACACAGGCGTTCGTTGACGTGCGGGAGCGCGAACGTAGCTTCAAGAGAGGCAGCCGGGAGCAGGGCAGAAGCTTGATGAATCTGCACAATAACGAGGCCGGACGCAGGGTAAAGTTCGTTCTTTTCTTAGCCTGCGCGCGTGAGAAATGTCTCTTAAATGTTAAACCTCCGTTAAAAAAAGCGCCAAGGCGCACCTGTTATCGATTTTTCGCAATTCAACACAAATTCGCTCGACTAAAAGCCGCCGTGTCACGAAACTAACGCCGCCGCTCATCCGTTGCAGGCCGTCATCAAAAGGTCCAAGTTGACGTGTAAATGTCACGGTGTTTCCGGAAGCTGCAGTCTGATCACTTGCTGGCAGCAGCTCGCGTCGTTTCGCGAAATTGGTAGGTCCCGAGATGCATATACGATTAAATTCACATAGTGTGGTGTCCTTTACGATGACGAAAATATCTAAAAGGCCATCCAAAATAATTGCTATGCACAGTGACATGTCTTACATCATTTAGAACATTTTTTGTGTTCTGAATATCCACGCAAATAGCGTTACAATTTTTGATATTTTTCAGGTGATTTCCTGCTAGACAAGTATGACGGTGCGACTGAGGTCAAGGTCAATCGGCGGGGTCGCTTGTCGATGCGTGATCCGAGATTTTCCCTACCTACTGCCAATGACCTGGTCTATCTGGACGATTCGCCCAATTATTGCCTTCCGAATGATACTTTAGGATCATTAGGTAGCGCCATATCTCTTATTTCTTTCCCTTCTAGATGTTGTATTTTTTATCAAATTTCTTTGTTTAACTACAGAAAAGCTAAAGATTGCTTTTCTTCATAGAAAATTATTTATTATTAAATTATTATTTTATTATATTAAAATTATTATTTTTACAACAGGTACACAGGGCAGACTATGCAACAGAACTTCGTCCGGAATGGATGGTTGTAATCTTCTTTGCTGCGGCAGAGGATACAATACACAGAAGTCGACCATCAGGCAGAGATGCGAATGCAAATTTCACTGGTGTTGTTACGTCGAATGCAAGACTTGCGTGAAAAATGTCGACATCCACACTTGCAAGTAGAGCGTATTTATTCGTTTTTTTTTATGATCCGTTTTTGACTCTCTTCGCATTATCGAAGATATACATATATATACGTGTAATTAACGGTGTCATATTTTGATAACAGTGGCATTATCGTTTCGCAGTCAATAAACTTTGTATGATATATTGTACTTTCTTTAAAAGTATTCTCTTTCTCTCTATCTATATATTATATATATTATATATTAGTTTGTATATTAATGTTACATATGTGGCTGATATAATATATAAACTATATATGTATATATAAATATATATACATCTTCCAGAATGAAGTCAATCTTTCTTTCATGAATAAATGCAATATTATTACTGCAGTTAATTTTGAACAAATCAAGGGAGCAAATTTTATCAAAATATTAGTTTATTTATAATCTATTATTAATTTGTATCATTGTTGTAATTGCGGCCTATAAAAATTTGAGTAAATCTCAAAGAACTTTTATATGTTCTATATCGTTCGTAAGAATTAGTGCGAACGATTTATAATCGTTAAATTGACAGTGATTTTTGAATAGAGATAAATGGGAGGTCGTATATAAATTGAAATTGCATTTAACCTTTCATGTTATGTTAAATTATCACATGCAGATAATTAGGCAATTTTAGACATACCCAATTTTACGATAACAAACCATTTCTCTCATATTGCTTTATTCTGTAAGATCTTAACACGATTGAATATTTATTAGCGATTCAATTATATGCCACGCAATACATTCTTTCAACTTTGTAATTTTATCACAAAAAATAGTTATATATTATTTAAAGTTTATTCTTATTTATTTGTCTTGAGCAAGCAATTTAACTTAATGATCCGCAAAATAATGCGCATAAGCGAATAATGCGTTTTGCTGATTTGAATAGATACTTAAAAATACTATAACTAGAATTACGTCTTACTATAGAATATATATCGTTATTACAAATGTTTGTAACGAGAAAGAAAATATTCTCCAGACAGCTGAAAAAGAGAAATCCAAAATTATTTTTTTAAACTGCATATACAGAGTGACATGGGAATAACTTTGATGATTATGCATTTGCATAATAAGCTGTATATAATGTATTCGTAGTGTATATATATATAAAATATATATATATATATATATATATAGTACATATATTAATATATAATTAATGTATATATTATATATATATATATATATATATTATATATATATATATACGAATATATAAAAAAATACATATAATATATATATATATATATATATACATATATTAATATATAATTAATATATATATTATATATATACACGAATATATGATTTTAATATTTATCAAATTTCATTCACTCAGCCTCTTGATAAATCTATTAAATTTTCAGAATTATTTCTGTATCAACCTGTATATGTATCTATATCTAACTTAACTTAAATTTTCTATTGTATAGTCACTACGATAAGTAATGTAATAATATTGCAATTATATTAAAAATCTTATATCATTATGTACACGAAATGTATGCCTTTCTTTTTTGGATAATGATGTGACACTTATAAGTCAAATAGCATGATATTTCTAGTAGATTAGATGTTTATTTAATAGTGATATAATTATTTATTTTTACTTCTTATAACGAGATTGTAGCGTACAAAACTTGGCATTTCACAGTGATTTAGATGCTACAATAATAAGATATACACACAAATTGCACCAAGTTTAATTTATTCGCCTCTCACAAGTAGCACTATTGGAGCTGTACTGTCATTATTTATATAGCACACACTTTGTTTCTTGTATTTATTTACATTATGACATAGAAAGAAACATGATGTGTATTATTCATGGATCTCCCATGGTTTCTCTGGTCGATATCTGTCCCAAGAATGTGGATACTTATACACTACTGGTTCAGTCAGACAAATTCCATTGTCCTTCAACTCATTAATTAATAAATCACATTTTTCACCAACCATCGCAGTGTCAACTGTCATTTCGCAAATTCCAGCCTCCAAACAACGCTGAGCCAACACACGTCCCACATTAATATAAGCTGCAGCATCAGTATTCCTGAAATTCATATTATATTGCTAATTAATTGATTAATAAAACTAAGGGGATAAGAAGAACGACAAATAATCTAAATTCAAGAGTAAATCTCTCTACCGATATAGCTGCTTCTTCAGTGCCCATTCTATGCTGGATGCTGTGATAATCGGTCCATTTTCAAAGTGCCGGACTTCCACAGTAATGTAACGAGGTTTCTTGACCAGGTACAACCTATCGAATGACATAAGGAATTTTAATTATCATATAAAATTATCGGTCCAAGTTATATATCTATTATATATTTATATATATAATCTTATAATATATATAATATATATATATTTTGTATATTCTTTTATTATATATATATATTTTTATAAAATATGTATGTATATATATTTTTTTTAAGTTCAATAGCAATGTCAAATTTGAAGAAACAAGCAAAGATTTCATCAGGCGTATTTCTATTCTGCAGATGGTCTTACTTGTGCCAGTGACTGCGTCCCGGTTCTTCGAGATGATACCCTTGGGGTTTCCTCGCTATCCTCAGTCGCTCTAAATTTCGCGGATTTCGATTCACGATCTCCGTACACATCTCTATCGTTTCCGCATTGCTGTGCGATTTTCTGTGAAATAACGCGCGTGCAACACTGGCGCGAACATTCGCCGAGTACATTGTACGGATTCTTTGTATCGTTGATAGACGAAAGAGTAATTATTATTTATGATTTCGGAATTCTCGTGGATATAATTGTAAATAAACGTCACGACTCCACATGGACCACCATTGATTGCACAGGCTAGATTTTTCGGGCACGCGCGGTATAAAGTATCTAGTGACATCTAGGAATCTAACTAGCACTCGTCGAGCAAAAACACATGTGTTTACACGCGTCTGACGTATGTGCGAAAAATTACAAGTGCAATGTTTAAAAAAAAATAGGTAATAAATCATACATGATTTTAGATCTTTTTTTTCAACAATTATGAAGTATAAATATTTGTATCAGATATAAACTAAGCATCTAACAATAAGAGGTCGCTACAAACGTTATATATATGTATATGTACATACTGCGTTCGCTTCGTATGTATGAGCTTGATGGTAGTAGAATGAGAGAGTAGTGAAAAATAAGAGATATTTTAATTGATAGAGGACGAGGAAATAATTTTGATTACTTGCAAAATACTCTGACGCATATTCCAAATGAGTACCGTCGAGTATGGTTTCCCGACCATTGGCGGATTAATGCCGGTAAGCAAAGTGAATGAATCTATATCAGCATGGCATAGAGCTTCTTTAAGAAATGGAGAGAAATATTTGTACAATTTAATTCTGCAATTTCTCGCTGTTCCTGAAAGTTCTTCTAAATTCAATTGTCTTTCCATTAGCAAATACAAGCCCTCATAGCACCACCGGTATCTGAAGATTCCAAGACTGCTAAAACAAAGAAGGAAAAAGAGGAGAAGAAGCATCCGTACTTCAAGAGACGCGGTCGTGGTCACAATCGTGATTTCTGTGATGCTTGCAAAGATGGTGGAGAACTCATATGTTGCGACAAATGTCCAGCTTCCTATCATCTACAGTGCCAGTAAGTGTGATTATGCAGTGCGAGGATTGTACCTGTTTTGGATGATTTATTAATATTTATGATAAGTATTGCAGCCTTTTGTAAAATATGATTTAAAAATGTTTACTTTTTAGCTATCCCGCAGTGGATCCTACAGATATTCCTAATGGAGAATGGTTGTGTTATGCCTGTCGCTGTGCTTCCAAAAGAGAATTTCTGGAAAGCAAAGGAAATGAAAAAAAGAAAAAATCTGCACTGGAAGTATTAGCAATGGCAGCTTCTCTAGTAAATCCAAGAGAGTTTGAGTTACCCAAGGAGTTACAATTGCCTATAATGTTCCCTGGAAGCAATAAAATGGATTATGTGTCTGGTAGAAGAGGTAAACAATTTAGTTCGTCATATAATAATGGTAAGCAGATGAAGATTATGACATGTTATGTTTCTTTTTTTTTCTCAAAAAGACATAATTGAAGTATCAATTGTTTTAGATTACTCCTGATATATAAGAGATTAATATATATTTTTTTTCCCAGTTGGAAAAAGTCATTGTTTGGATAGCAACTTAATGGTTCCACTGCCAGCTCGTCTATGTTTCGAATGCGGACGTAGTTGTAGGAAAGCTCCACTAATTGCATGTGACTATTGTCCATTATATTTTCATCAAGATTGCTTAGATCCCCCGTTAACTGCTTTTCCCATCGGCAGATGGATGTGTCCAAATCATCCAAATCATTTCATAGATCAGAATCTGTTGACTTCTTGCAGAGTGACAGAACGCATAAAGCTATGGGACAAATATGCTAACCAACCAATAGATCAGCATGCGGTAAAATTGGACTTTTTGCGTAAAGCGCGCACTGCCAATCCGTTATTTCGCACGAAGGTGAAACTAGAAGGTCGTCCAAGAATAAAAGTTCCTCCCAGTGTAAAGTTCCATTATGAAAATCCGCCGCAATTAGATCCTGTACAGTTTTATCAAGACAGTCTTATATGGCCTATAAAGAATACTGTAGACAGAAACGAGCAACATGAAAGTTCTGAAAAAGCAAATAGCAATGATAATTGTATAGAAATTAAAAAAGTTGAAGAAACTGAAATCACAGTAGAAGAAAAAGTACAGGATACAATTTTGGATGAAGGATGCGATCGACAGAAAATATCGGATACAAATGAGTGTACAAATACAGTAGACAGCAACATTGCGACAGAAAGTTCCAAGGAATACAATAATCTTGAATTTCATACAAGATATTATGGGTATAATAGTTATAATATTAAAGAAGGCGTTCAATTATTAGAAAGACCAGTGGTGGAAGCATTAGCGCGACAGAGATTAGAACAAATATTAAATCCAGACGGAGAGAGTTATGAAACAATAAATTGTCATAGAAGAGCAAGAGCCGTATTATTTTCTTTAAGTCCTAAGCCTAATCCACCAGCTTTCATAACTCACAAAACATTTGTTATTGGCAACGGCTCCAATTGCAACTTAGTTTTATCTAATTATGGTAACTGTGGATATACATCTTCTAAACATGCAATTATATTTTTCGACGAGGTGAGAATGAACACAATATATTTTTCTTCAAGAGTATTCGTTTAAATCAGATTAAAAGAAAATTATATATAAAATTTTTGCAATAAACATGGCATAAAATTTTTATCTGTTGCAGGCGACTCAGCGTTATGAATTACTCAATTACAGCGAATATGGAACTATGGTGGATAATGTGCTGTATTCTTGTGATTATACTCGCGTTTTAGAAGATCAAGTAAAAGAGGAAAAGACTAACAAAGTAACAAATATCAAAGAAGAAGAACCGTCGGAAATGATAAAAACAATTCTACATAAGAAGGAAACAACTTGCTTGCAAGAACATGCGCACAAGAATGACAAGATTTTGTGCAAATGCAATACAAAATATAATACAAGAAACGCAGAGCATTTAGAAGAAGGGTGGGAGGGAAGTGCAATTATCGCGCACGGCTCAACCATTACTTTTGGTTGTCTCACATTTGTATTTAATACATTGAATTTATACGTAGATAGATAAAATTCCTAAAATGTAAATATCTTCTATTGTACAATTTTGTAAATCAATACTAAGTAAATCATAAAAAGCAAAAACAGACAAAGCATCATGCTTGTCTTATTTTTTCTATCCTCTTTAATGCTCTGCTAAATATACGACAAATGTTCTAGATATTTATTATATACAGAATTATATAAAATCTACAGTTCCTCTTATATAAAATAACTTTAAGATTCATTTATTTCACTATCAGGTTCATCAAAATCTCTAACTTTTACATCTATATCTTCACCATATTGTATAGTATTATCGATTATTAATTTAATATCCGCAATACTTTCTTCATCCTTGATATTTAATGGCAAGAAACGCACTAAACTATAATCTGTTATGATTCTACCAATACTTTCTGTAAGATTGCGATACCGATCGTTCCATGGATCTTCTTCTGCATCCGTTAATAAACTGTGTGGATCAGGATCTATATAATTGTCCAACCTTTTCTGCGCACTCTTTGATAGCAAGTCCATTTTACTAAGAATATTAACATGTGGAATTTCTAGGTTTATCATTGCACTAAGAGCAGCCAGAGTACCGGATAGAAATTTTGACGCGTCGATCATGAATTGGACATCCATCAAAAATACTCCACATATACGAAAATTAAGATTTTGCAGCATGGTTATCAGCTGTTTTATCACAGTCATATGAGTATATAATTCAATTTGTCCTGGACAGTCAAATATTATATAATCCTCGTCCGCATCACCTAATTCCTCTGCCAGCCAGGTTGCATTTTCAATTAAATATCTATGTGTAAGGAGATATTTTAATATAATATTACAATTAAATCATTAATACATTCAACGTAGATGTAACTTACTCCATGCAGAATACAAGGCCACCGTTGGGTCCAAAGTTAAATTCATCCTCCATAGCATCATCCAATTGAATTAACTCTTTTATATCTGCCAAGGGCTTGTAATCAAAATATTCTGCTGCAGGATCTAAATTTACAACATCTATCGTCTTCTTTGAGTCGCTGCCATGTTGTTGCATAATTGAACAATAGGTTGACTGTAAAAAGTTGTATAAATGTTAACAATGTAATTTTGTTTCTTATTTATATATAATTTGATAAGTGATGAATTCATTACCTTACCAGAACCGGCCGGTCCCATTACTAATTGAGCATACCTCATTTTGATAACCAATAATTATATGTATAAACCAAACAAATTTCAGTTTCGTAATTTATCTGAGAAATACGTTCACAGAAATAGTTCAGTTCACAAAATATAAAAATACAGATTATAGAAAATTATTGTTTTATAAAAAGAAAACAGCATTGTATATAAACAAAACCCACAATCGTGTATCTACGATGCGAATTAATGCGAAAATATTCTTCAAGCAAACACACTCTATAATCATAAAATATATAGACAGATATACCTATTTTGCTTTGAAAATGGATTACAGGAGAACCAATAGCATCTCGGCTCTGAATACTATTCACCAATCACAGGTAGCCGAGCACGAAACACGGGTAAACTGCTCTATCTATTTTCACTTTATCTATGATGTATATGCGAGCGATATTTTTCATATTTGGCGCCATTATTATCTCACATTATTCAAACTAATGATAACTCTGTTTTATTAATACTTAATAAAAATAAAAATTACTTTTTTCATTATCTTAAAACAAAGGAATGGAAAAAAGATGTATTATGAATGAGGATTGCGTCTTTTATTTTTAATGATATAATATAAAATTACATTCTCATCTTTCTTAAATAATTGATACAACAAATACATATGATTAAAATATGTTGCAAAATACATAAAAGGTAAATTAAGTAAAACTTTAGTTACTATCATAATTTTTAATTAATTTTCTTTGGATAAAAAAAAGTAAAAGTTTTTGTTCTTAAGAAATTTTTCTCTTTCATCGAAATTTTCATTTTTTATTCATGATATTAATAATCATAATCAATTTATTCAATACGCCTATATTATATAAAAGAGAGATTGCGAGATATAAGATATAAATGAGACATGCATCTTTGGAAAAAATAATAATATATAGCAAAAAGAAGTAATAATAATTGCAATAGATGAATATATTTTCGTCTCTTTTTTAAACAATACTAAAAACCGCGGAAAAAAGTGCATTTATATAAAAAACATATATATGGATATACATATATAATTATACATAAAAATATATGTATGCGCATAGATACATTTTAGATATTATACATATAATAGAGACGAGAGTAATGCTACAGCTGAACGTCGAAACGTATATACTTTTACATTCTATAAGAAACTATTTCAGAAATTATTCTCTCATAGTTGGCTTCATGTGATTTAACATCTTTTATTACATTTAAAGCTTTTACGAAATAGATATTAAAATAATCAGCATATTTATATTCCGTTCCTACTTTCTCCACAATGCCCCATTTCTGGCATACTTTCAGCTTTAAACTTTCAGGAAAGATTTGGGAATAATGTAATGCAATGATACGTCCAGAAATTGCATTTAATGAAAGCTTATCTAACTTGTAATTTGGGTCACTTTCAAGAATATAGGTTTCGTAAATCTCTTGTACTTTTACGTTTACAGCCGTCAGTAACGCTATGGGCACAAATTTTGATCCACGTATTCTAGGAATAATTGAAGCAATTCTGGGGAAGCAAATTATGTTATTTGGTAAGCCAGGAAATGTTATATTAATGAAATGTAAAAATATATGTAAAGGGCAAAGCGGATTTTTAGGTACAAATAAATGAAACCAACTACAAGATATGCTTGGAAAAGATTGTGTTACTTTAAATATGGTAATCGCATCTTTATTAGGGACGTTATCGCTCTGTATATTATATTTCTGTTCCATCATGTCTTTTAACTCATATATTATTTGCAACTTCTTAGTGTCTATCGCATATTGTATATGATATAAAAAAGATATAGTGAAAATATCAGTAATGAAAGACATAATGTTAGAGAATGTAATACGCATTTCGCATGATTCGTCCTCGTCGAAATACTTATAAATAATATGTTTTGAAAATCAGAATCTACTTGAATGTCAGAGTGAAAACATTCATATCTGATTATCATATAATTGATGACGTGTTTTGGACTAAATTTTTCTTCAGGGCAAACCACTTCATGCGAAGGAAATTCATCCGAAAAATTGATCTCGGGAATAATTTCTTTCTCAGTTTTCCCCTCAACACGTTTTAGCACATTTATTAATGGCTCTAATAGGTATGTCCCATCAACATTGTCTATGTATGATGACTCAATGTCGATCGAATTCATATTAATTTAGTCTGCAGCAACTTATTTTGAGCTTCCTTCTTATCCAGTGTTGTAATAAATATCGACTAAATGCACACATAATAAAATTTTAGATTTTAAGTTTCAAAATATATTTATAATATGCAGTTTAAAAAAGAATTATTGACAGATTACTATTATTATATTTTATAATATTGTACGTGTAATCATTCTGTTTACTTGTTATTTTAAAAAGATAAAACAGAAAACGTTACGAGAGCAATATAGATTTTTAATGAACAGATTTAACATTTCTTTCAAAATATATATAATACGTGTGTTTCAAAGAAATCTGCAAAAGTGCACTATATGTTATATACATACTTGATAATATTATTTTGCAGAAATTGGATAAGCTTTCCTGATTCTAGAAAGTTTGAGTTACTTTATCTCCAACATTCAAACATAAAATGTTAAAAATGTATTCTTAATAATGACAAGCTGGTAAAAGGTAACTAAAGTACAAGGTCATAACTATAAACATATAGCTATAAGATATGTATACATTTGTACAATGTATATATATATATACATTTTATGATGATATTGTGAAATTATTCAAGTTAGTTGTGAGTATAAACAAATGTAACAGAATAAGAATGACTATTATTATTCAATTGCAATATCTTATGGGATAATTGTACAAAACTGGAAAAATGGGAGCAAATTGAAAATATATTCAAATTATATCATTTATCAATTTTTCTATTTGAATCAATAATGTCTACATAAGTATAAAAATGTATATTGCCAATGTTATTATAATATGCACAGAAATAAATTTTTATATATTTATTAAAGTTTTCACTTGCCATTGTTATCTGTTGTTATCACTGTTTCTCGTTCCATCACCATTTTTTCTAAATTGTACGGCAAATTTACTCCCATTAATCCAGATAATACGCTCTTCTTAGGTATACCAGCATCTTTTCTTTTCTTTCTTTGCTCTTTTTTTGATGTTTTCTGTTTCTTGAGTTCATGACGACGTTGAATATGTTCTATCAACTTTTTTTTCGTCGTAAGACCTACAGAACACATGTCGCAATAAAATTTTTCTTCAAGATGTGTAGCTCTTATATGTTGCTCCAAACTGTACTTAAATAAATAAGTTTTATGACAATTGTCATATGGGCATGATACAACCAATCTATTTTCAGAATGTATTCTAGAATGTATTCTCAATCTAGATTTACTAAGAAAACTTTTGTCACAATTGTTGCATTTATAAGCTGAAACAAAAATCGAAATATAGATTCTTGTATTAAAATCTACTGCTAAATTATATATTTAATTAATTTCTTTATATCTTTCGTACTTGTTACATGTTTAGCTCTTCTATGTGCGCATAATAGTAGCCATTTATCAAACACCTCCGAGCATCCGGATACTGGACAGGGATAACATTTAGGGGGCTTTTCATGTGCTTTTTTATGTTGTTTAAATTTAGTGATATTTGTAAAACTTTTGACACATTTATCACACTTATAAGTGATAGATCCAAAATGTATAGTTTCATGTTCAGCTAATTGATTCTTCTTACTAAAACTTTCACCACATTCCTTGCAGAAAATTTTTTTATCTTTATTGTGCATCTGTTTGTAATGACGTTTTAAATTGTGAAGATAACTGATTGACATTGAACATTGTGGACATCTAAATTAAACAAAACAATGTGTTAAGTGTAATTTATAGAACCAATATATAAATGCAGTTTATGAAAATATCATATAAATTGTATAAATTAAATCGTTTAATACATATTAATTTATATGTACGTACTGGTATATTTTTTTCATGGAATTATGAGTTTCCAAGTGTCTTTTCAAATGACAAGAATTGGTATATGCCTTTGTGCATTCTGGATAATCACATTTATAAGGTCTCTGTAAAGTATAAAAATTGATCATAAAACATTGTCATTTTATATGTTATTATATTTAATTATTCTGGTTTAATTTCTATAATCAGTACCTCTCCAGTATGGGTTCGTATGTGCCTTTGTAATCTAGAAGGTCGCAGAAATACAGCATGACATCCTGTATAAATACACTCATATTTCTTCTTATCCTGTTCAATTTCGATGTAAATATCATGTTTATTCTGAAGATCAGATGCAACACTATCACTATCCTCTTCCGTATAACCCATTTTAGTGTTGAGTAATTGAGTAAATAGAGCGCTTTACACTGAAATAGTTTATACATATATGATGACATATATCTTTAAAAATATTGTGTAGATTGAAATTGTTAAAATCTTTCAAATTAAAAAATTCAAAACTTTTTTAATTGAAAAACAATTGCATCTTAATAATCAGGTACATTTAATCTGTCGATTTTCTTATACTTTGTATAAAATAATGGAATAATTTTAAGTATATGCGAATTTAAATTATATTCTATGCATAAGGGGTTATCTCAAATACTTATGTAGAAAATTCTTATATATAATATCAACCAAGTTTAATCATATATATTTTAATATATAAAACAACAATAATACTAATTCTCTTATTTATACGTTTAATTATTTATCTAATTAATAAAAGCTATTAACAAAAGAAAAAAATACCACGATGATACAAGGTTATGAATAATACCACATGGTATTTGTACAATTGAATTAATTTGCGCATGCGCACAATAAATCGATACTCGACTCTATTATCGATACATCGAAGTTTCTCGAAAGTTTAAAAGTTTGAAAGTTCTTTATTGTTGATTCTTTTCCGACTATTTTCTTTTTTGTTAAACAAAAACTGTCATCAAATAATTCTATTTCTCTTCAAAAATAAATTTATTTTGATGAAATACCCGTCACAACGATATATATAATAAAGTAAACTTTATTATAATATATATATAAACATAGAATAAATTAAAAAAATTAGAATAGAATCTGTGCGCGTCATAAGAATAAATTATCATGTACATTTAATAAAATTATTAGCGCGTTCTTTAATTAATAAATTAGATAAGATTTATCGTTACAAAAATAATGCTGTTTAGGCTTTTTGCAATTTATAATAGTAATAATATTTTTTTACATTAAACACATATTTTTCTCCGATAGTTATCATCAGTTATCAGATACGATAAATTGGAAAGCGGAGTTGGAAAATTTTCCTACATAATATAATAATATTTTATATAATTTTAATGTGATGCATATCTCTGCTAAAATTCACGATAACGTGTGTCGAGTTTATCTTCACATTGTAAATTTTGTTAAAATATTTTCGTGCTCGTATTATGAAACTTTTATTTTTTAATTTTATTTTCACAAAATATATATGTTCGACTTTCAGAAAATGTATATTCGTGAATGAAATTTACGTAATAAAATCTAAAATCTATAGAATCAATATTATATCAGTTTTATTATCAGCAATAAAATTGAGTTAATATCGTTTAAAAGAAGGATATTTTTCTGATTGAAGTACAATTATTTAGAATGATAAAAAGTGCAATATCAAACAATATTATTATTAAATTAAAGATTAATTGCAATGTATTTTACATATCCTAGACATCGCATCAAGTGGGCTTTGACAGCTCTATCAAAATATATATATATATTTCCTCAACATACGATTCGTGATGTACATATATAATTTTATTTTAACTACTCGTAATTATAGCCTCACGTGAATTTCATATCTTTATTACAGCAAAGATTTGAGGATCATTGTGAAACTATATTATGAGATGGAGAGAAGAGTCGAGCGCAACAGGAGAGAAAGAGAGAGACAAAGTCAGCTATTTTCCCCTCCCTCATCTCGAGATTATTGAGAGTCACGTGATCAACCAGGAGAACCCGCGGCGTCCGCCGAAAATCTAAATCCGTCTCAGCCGGGGAAGAAGAGAAGAGACACCCGTCGCCGAGGATAGTCCATAATCGCCCGTGGCTCGTGGAGGATCGCGATCGAGAGAGAAAGAGATAGATAGAGAGAGAGAGAGAGAGAGAGAGAGAGAGAGAGACAGGTGCGAGATTCCGCGTCCAAATTTTCCTTTCGCGGGGGAGAGAGATCACCGCCTTTTTTTCCTCTGCATCCCCGAAGGGAAGACGGCGACGACGAGGTCGCTCGTGGAATATGATCCGCGTGGACGAGTCGGATCCAGTGGGAGGTAAGAGAGAGACGAGAGGAGACGAGAAATCTATTCGTCGCGAAAAAATTTCGGGAAGACTCGGTTTTCAGGCGGGAAGCGCGTTTGCGTCGCGGAGAAGACGAAGAGAGCGCGCGCGTTGATAAAAATGGCGCGAATCATTCGGCGATCATCGTATACATTCCAAGTGGCAAATTGACGTCATTGAACGTCAAAATCACATTATTTTGACGTTTAATGACGTCGGTTTGCTACTTGGGATCCCAAATAGCAAGCATACGTCGCATGACGTCATTAGACGTCAAAATGATATGTCATTTTAACGTTTAATGATGTCAGTTTGCTACTTGGGATACCTACTTTTCATTCATTAATCACGACGTCGATGATCATGTTGTGTTGTCACTCATGGACCGCTGCCGGATCCAAGTCGATACATTTAACGATTTCATCCATTCTAGTAACACGCAAGAATGTACGTTTTACGCACATATAAACACAGGGAGGCTATTTTCACGGAATCTCCGCATATGTGGAATCTCTAATTTCTGTAAAGAATAATCGAAGGATAGAAAAGATCTCAAGTAGCAAACTGACGACATCAAAACGTCTAATATGACATCATTTGACGTCAAAATAATGTAATTTTTTACATGAGCCGATATTTAAAATAAATAGATAAAAAATAATTAATAAAGAGACGGAGATATTAAATTGTATAACTCGAATAACAAAATTAGGCGCGAAAAATGTGGAAAAAAATTAGTTCGATATTTCTGATAAAAAAATTAAATTCACGCTTACGTGTCTCTTTGCATTCTCTTCCTTCCTACATGAACGATTGCGTTGTAATATTTTTACGATAATTTTTTCAGAGATCGAGCCCAGCTTCCCCTATCGAGATGTGACAGTACGTCGGGGAGTCGAGTTCAAGGACGATTATGACATCCAGGCAGAGCTCGGACGGTGAGTGATTAAATTCGTCGATCAACGGATGCGTATAGATGTCGAAGCGTCGTGCCAACGACGTGTCGATCACGCGAGATCAGCTCAAATTAATCTCTCGTTGTGTGCTGGTCCAGCCTTGAGATTCCTCCCTCGACAATTTCCTGGAAGTCGACAATTGGTGATTAAATTAACGCAGTTAATTAATTCTTCGAATTTCTAATACCTTCTGTATTATAATCATATATCTTTGAATTTAAAAGAAATATTTTTTTGAAAAATTGAATTGATAGTAGAATCTTCAGGATATAAATTGCTTACCTCTTCTTCTTCCTGTTTGGATCGTCTCGGAACCAAGATGAAAATATTTCTCTATCAAGGCCGGATCAAATGGCGATTGAAATAAAACATTGGGCGCTTTATATAATCGCAAAGCGCTCTCCCTCGATGTCTGAATTTAATATATTCGATGATAAATGAATATATTCGAGTCATTGGCCAATTTCCACGTTAGCAGTAACAGTTTCTCATGTTGCATGCTTTAGTACACCCAGTATTGTGCTTAGATGATTTTAAAATTAGCTAGATAAAGATGAGATAAAAATATGTAAATACATCTTGGATAAAATAAAGATGATTTTGTTTCAAATATAAAAAATAGAAGATAAAATGGATAAAAGGTAAAATTATATGGCGATTCATCTAGATAACTTCCAGAAAAAATTATTTTTAAGACCACTTATGTAAACACAGTTATAAAAAATGTAGATTGGAAAAGGAATATAAAATATATTCATACTTTATTTATAAGTTTTTATCGCTTACTGCTTTTCGTAAAGCAAACATTTTTTTCTAAGGCATAGATAATACATATTTTTATTATCTCTATATAAAGATAAGATAAGACGCTAAAATTTCATCTAGATGATCGTCTATATAATTTTATTTAGATAACAGCAAACACTGCGTGCACAACAGGTGCACGTCTGCGGAATGCAGCGCGAATTGATAAGGAATGTACGCGCGTAGATAAACGCACGCGTGTGTGGTTTTATTCTCGTACGAGAGCGATCAAGGACCTACGATGTACCTATAAATAATTCGTTTTCTCTTCACTCACACCATGAGTGACGGTGCGTGTTGTCAAATCAGACGGACGGAATCTCTCGTGCCTTCGATCTTGACCGGTGAACTCGACCGACTCATTTTGACAATGAAACGATTGTCCACATGAGAGATACTTCAGCTACAGACCTGTAAATAAGATAAAATTTTAGTGTATTATACAATTACATTTTTTATTTTAATTACTAAGTATTTTTTAACAATATTCAATTATATTTTTATTAAATTTTTAATTATAAAATAATAAAGATATATAAATGCAAATTCAAGTATAAAAGGAACTAGTAAGAGCTAGACACAGATATTAAGTGCAACAAAATTATTTAAAAAATTCTTTATACCTGAATTTTATACAATAATACATTTTTTATTATAAAAAAATATTATATTATTAAACTCCAAGGTCTAATGCAATTAATGAATCACTAATTTCCAAACACATTGATAATAAATATATATAATGTGTAATAGTATATAATATTAATGTATAATAATAATGATGCAAGAATTAAAACAATAATGTAATAAAATGCATTCGACATACATTGAGTGTTAGGTAGATACGTTAATTCAATGATTCATACATCGACTTGGCTTTGTGACAAATATGTTGTATTCCGTTACGCTAGCCAGGGATATACAAAAGCAAATTTGGCAGGTGTTTATCATTTTTTTACGAGCGACTTCCTGTCACCTCAAGGATTCTGCGTTCTAAAATTTCTGCGGAGCGAACCTTATATCGAGAGGTGCACAAATAAGGATAAAAACAAATTCATAAGAAAATACATAATATAAATTTGTAGAAAAAAAATCTTCAGCCATCTTTTTCGCTTCATACTTTTTAGGGGAAAATTTGGAATTGTTTATCGATGCAAGGAAAAATTGAGCGGCTTGATGCTGGCCGCGAAAGTGGTGAACATCATGAAAAAGGAGGACAGACGAACGGTCCAGAGGGAGGTCGAGATCATGCGACGTCTGCAGCATCCACGATTGATTCAGCTCTACGACGCCATTGACGCGGGAAAACAGATATATGTTATTCTAGAATTGTACGTGTCTTATATTCTTGCGGGTAAACATCGTAAAAAGAACCACGGGTCTTTTCTCTGCACAATTACTTAAAAAGTCCTCCATTGTCTATTAAAAGGATCGACGGCGGCGAGCTCTTCGAAAGAGTGATTGACGACGACTTTGTACTCACGGAACGCAGCTGCGCCGTTTTTATGCGTCAAATATGCGAGGGAATGGAATTTATGCATAGTCAGAAAATCTTGCATCTCGATTTAAAAGTAAGTCATTAAAATTGCGATTTGCTTGGGATTTAATCATCCCCCTCCCCAATTGCATACAAAAGGTTCATACCTGATAGTTGCATTCCTTGCAGAAATATTTTCGTCTTTTATCTTTTTATTATCTATTTATGATATATCTATTATATTAATTATTATATTTTCAATAATTTACATGTTTTTTTAAATTTCTCAAAGAACTTTCATCTTTACTAAATTAAAATCATCTGTATAATTACCCAAGTAGCAAACTGACGTCATTAAATATCAAAATGACGTATGCTTGCTATTAAAAATTGATACTTGTGTTACATGTAGCCCGAGAATATCCTGTGCCTGACGAAGGAGGGTAACAGAATTAAAATCATAGACTTCGGTTTAGCGAGGGAATACGATCCGAATAAGAAGTTGCAAGTGTTATTCGGTACACCTGAATTCGTCGCTCCGGAAGTCGTAAACTTCGATCAAATTGGATTCGGCACCGACATATGGAGTATAGGTGTTATATGTTATGTCTTGTAAGTAGCATGAATGCACGTGTATTATTAATATAGTCACACAAAGCCGCCCTTTTCCCCCATCGATAATTATTTATTACAATTGTTTACTTTATAGATTGTCCGGTTTGTCACCGTTTATGGGCGATACGGATATAGAGACAATGGCCAACGTCACCATAGCGAAATACGATTTTGACCACGAAGCCTTTGCCGAGATTTCCGAGGACGCGAAAGATTTCATCAGATGCCTCCTGGTGAAAGACAAAGAGTAAGTATGCTTTTTTCACGCTGCACATAAAATTAATACTGTACTTCCTTAATTTTTTCCCCTTCCATATTTCCAAGTAGCAAACTGCTTAGTCTGTTTCAAACTACCTCTGTTTCTTCCCTTCTTTACATTTCATATCATGTGTTTGTTGCTATTGTTGTGAAAACTTTCTCGAACCCTATAATCCTCCTTTTTCCTCGTTTGCGAGGGTGTGTGCGATGATTCACACGAGCAACTTGCGTTTATTACAGCTATCCTGGCCTCCATTATTATTATTATTATTATGAATGATTCCAAACTATTTTTCGATCAACATCGGTAAATAAGACTTTACCGGTCTCTAAAGAAAGGACAGATGAGTGATTCTCTATTTCGTAATTAAATGTATATGAAATATGACCGCATTCCTGATAACTCTAGCAGAAAGTATGCTGTTCCGGTCTTGTATAGCAGCCATTATTTCACTGCCATTGCATTCGACAACGGTATTTAATGACCACCGAGAACGTCATCCAAATGTCAAACGACGAAGTAACATCGATATATAACGTTTCGCTCGTCGGTTAGCTAATTTCTCGAGAATTTTGCACACATGACCCACATCTACATACGAACGCACACACACACCCACACACATATATACGTCTGCATCTTCATCGGACACATTCTTGCACCGCATTCCTCGTCTGTGCGTTTTCGTCTTAACTGTTCGCTCTTGGAACACTCTTGTGTCTCTACGGAACAAGGAGAGACCATCAATCGGGCCTTTCGAATCTTTCAGAAAGCGAATGACGGCGGCGCAATGTCGGGAGCATCGTTGGCTGGCGCGAAAAACGAGTAAGACCAGGAGCCAGGAAGAGGCGGCCAAACGGATGGCCTTTCTCGAAAATCGTCCTCTAGGTGTCATCCGCGACGGGCACCTCGAGGAAGAGCTGGACGTCACCAAGGACAATCTCAGGCTGTTCGTCGAACGTTGGCGGGAGCACCCGGACAGTCCTTACACGATCGATTCCTATCATTCGGCCAGAGATCCCTCGTTCCGCGAACACCCTGAGGAATCGACGTCCCTGCGAGGACACAGTCCGTCTCCCTGCGACAGTCTTCGCAGCAGCAGCACTCAGTCCGACAAGGTGGATTCGCTTCACTCCACTCGCTTCTTGTCCGTACCGAGTTTCAGCCTGTCCTTGGAAAGGAGAGCCTCCGAAGGTACGGCCGCTAGGAACCGTCGCGATCCAGCCAGCCAGATTGCTCTAGCTGAGGAGATCATAAGGCTGTCCGAACATCTTCGCACGATCGCTCTGGGTTCGCCATCCAGCGAGGACGACAACGGGACCAAGTCGGAGGCGCAGCGTTCCATCAAGAAGCCCGATGTTGGGAACAATCGTGGCGGTTCTTACCCGAAGAGCAACGTCACCAGCTCTTTGGTCTCCACCAAAGAGACCAACGAGATTACGGAGAAGTTGTCCAGCATCACCCGGCAACGGAAGCTGAACGGGACGACCTTCCACAGTAGCCGCAGCTTCGACAGACACGACGTGGACGGGAATCCGGAAAATCCTGCGTTCCTAGCTTTAAGGAGAACCAGCATCAGCGACGGCGAGATGTCCGAGAGGTGCAAGGAGGATCGGAAGTGCTCCTTCGGACTCGGCAAGTTCAGCAGGATGACGACGATCGGCAAGACGTCCTTCCAGGCGACGTCCTCCCTCAAGGACGACAAGGACGTGGACTTGACGCCTCCGTGGCGACGGTCCCGAGTGAAGCGATCCTTCGGCGAGACCAGCCGGGATGTGCCGAGGATATCGAACCTGCAGGACCTGCACAAAAACCTCAACCTCGACGAGCCCGGTAGCGCCAAGGACCTGCTGCTGCACCTCCTGGGCGAATGGGAGGACGTCACCGCGACGCCCTGCGTCAGCAACGTCGGCCGGAAGTCCGTCAGCCTGGACTGGTGCGCAGCGAACACGGTCGCCAGGAAGACGATGAACTCGTTGGCCGAGTACTTCCAGTCGAAGCAGAGGAAAGCGAAGCCTCCCGACGTCGCGTCCTCCGTGTCGCCGTCGATATATCGTTGAACGATGTTGTTGTATACCTGAAAACGTATAGATGTTTTCACGTCGGTGCGCAAGCAAGTCTCCTTTCTCTTCTTTATTCGGTCGTAAACCTTGTTTTCGAGCTGCTGAAATAGTTTTTTGGCACTCGAGGTCAGATCTGCCCGGGGCAACGATATATAAGGCGTTTCTAAAACCGTATCGGAGATTTTAAGAGCATATTCTAGGGGTCCAAATCAAGAAGAAATATTTTTGTAAACGTGGATCCAAAAATGAAAATTTCCAAGTAATATCAAAGTGACGTTATTTTGCCACTTTCGGGTCCCCCTCAAAATCGGATGAAAATTACATCAAAAATTAAGTATTCACTAATTATTACGCTGTGCAAAATTTTCATGATCTGTGAAAAAGTCTTCAAGATTTACAATACATATGTTTCGATTTTTTCTCTTAACTTTAGAAGACTATAACTCAGAGAAAAAGCATTTTTCGACCCATATTTAAAGAAACTTTTTCTCTTATTTAACTCCTAGAATTCATTTTTAGAATCTTTGACATAATTTTAGAAACACTGTATGTATACATAGCTGAAGATAAAACGAATCTCAAAGAATTGTGCAAAATTCGATGGAAAATTGATTTTTTTTAATTCGAAGTTAACTTGACAATTGTTGATATTTTCTTTCTACATATCTTTTTATTTTTATTTATCCTAATTTTAGCCAACAATTGAGGACATTTATGAATAAGTAAATTTTAATATCGCAACTAGAAGGTGTCTAGAAATTTTATAAACAATTTATTTAAAAATTAGACGTTTAAAAAAAGTCTTCAACTCACTTCAATTTGCGTTTCTTAAATATCAAATAGTCAATTTGGCAAACAATCGAATAAATAAAGTTTTCAGACTTCTTGTATGCGTATGTATGTACGTGTGTGTGTATGACGTATTGAATTATGATATCGCAGATAATCGCGTAAAATACAAGAAAACGAACTTTATATTTCGATGTATAATATTTCGTAAGAAAATTTGCACAATTTCTTGTTTCTGGCATCATAATTCAACACAGCTGCAGTGAATAAACGGGAGAAAATTGCGATAAAATAGAAAAAGAAAGAAAGAGAGAGAAATGTTTTTTAAATGTATTAAAGATGATGTGCGAATAATATAAAGCAGAGAGTATAACTTTTCAACGCCCTGCTCTTATAATTCTTGGTTTCTCGATCGTAATTTAAATCTGTCAGGCTCGCATCTATTTCTCGCAAATTTGTTTACGTGCATTCGAGCAAAATTCCTGCAATTTTACGTATCATGAAACTTTCATATGCGCATATAAAACGTCAGGAAATATTGACTGCGAGATTCTCTTTTTTATCAAACGTTCGAGTACGCTTTCAGAAATAGATACGACTTTAATGGATTTATATGTTAAACGGAGAGTTAAATATGACTAATAGAGATAACCCTTGACATATATGAATTGAGCTATTGAGATGAGCAATATCGAAAAAGGTCATATAAATCATTAGCAAAATTTGTACCGTTATATAATTTGTAGTCGGAATCTCTGAGGAAAAATGATAAGAGCTTCTATTATGCATCATCGACACACCCTCAAATCGATATTTTGTACGCATATCGGTGTAAGCTCTTTAATTTTTTCATCGAAATATGCTTGCGAATGATTTCAATTTCCTGCAAACTAATATTTCATCGTGATGCTTCTAACAATACAAAAATATAACGCAACAAGCTTCTCTTATTGATTATTCTGAATTTAAACATTCTGTAAACGATAAATGTTCAAGTATTCAAGAGAGTGCGGGATTTTTATATTTAATACATTATTATTTTCTTATTATTATTATATTTTATTATTATTATTGATAGAACTATAATTTGTCGTATATTGTAATAATATTAATTACGAGAATTATATTTATAATAGAATAAGTTTAAGTTTTTTACTAAATATATATATGACGTACTAAAAATTCACGAAGAAGTTAAAGAGTTGAAGTATAATATACAATATATATCTGCGCACATATTTTTCTTTTGTGTCCACAATCTCTGTGTTCATATTTATTTGTATTTAATATAAATCACGATACGCAAAAAACATATCGTAGAAAGATTACTGATTTTTATATTTTCCCCGCATCTCGGGAAAAAATTTTTTATATATAATTATATGTAATAATTGTATAATTATACATGCAATCGTAAAATTATATGTAAAATATGTCTATTTTTATACATAATAATATAAATTTATATATATAAATTATAAGGATTCATATATATAATTTTATGTGAAACATATATATTTATATATATAAAGAAATACTTATTTATTATATATATAAATTTATATAATTATATATATATATAAAGTTTTTATCTAATTATGTATAAACATATTTCATATATAATTTTGCAATTATATGTATAATTTTATATATTTCTATATATAATTTTATATTGTTATATATAAAAAATGTTTTCCCGGGATGAATGTGTGATTGATTGTTTAATTTTTCTTATATCTCGTAGGAAAAGACCAACCGCGGCAAAACTTCTAGAGCATCGTTGGCTGGAAGCCGCTCTGGAGAATCTGATTCAGAAGCATCGTTTGAAGCGCTACGTCATTAAAAAGCGCTGGGTTAAGGCTGTTAATACCATTTTGGCGTTAAAACGGATGGGTGCGCGCTTTGACTTTGACTCGGACTTTGACTTGATTTAGTATTCGATGTAACAATATAATCGCGATCAATCGAGAGTGACTCGACAGGGAATTGTTCCATACTCAATCGGCCTAATATATTCAGTAGCAAACTGACGTCATTAAATGTCAAAATAATGAGTAGCAAACTGACGTAATTAAATGTCAAAATGATGAGTAGCAAACTGACGTCATTAAATGTCAAAATGATGAGTAGCAAACTGACGTCATTAAATGTCAAAATGATGAGTAGCAAACTGACGTCACTAAATGTCAAAATGATTTTGACATTTAATGACGTCAGTTTGCTACCTGGGATTATTCGACGTCTATATAATGACGTCATGCGACGTCGAATGACGTACGCTTGCTACCTGGGAAATTACATAATGTGTCCGATCAAAAAATGTGTCCTATCGAAAAATATCCCTCACGTTAATTAAATTATGTGTGATAATATATGTATGTACATAATTTATATAGAGACTTTTATTCTTTGACAACGTCTGCATATGATATGTATTTGTATTTTGTATTATTTCATGTATAATGTGTTTTTTTTTCAACGCATTTAGCTTAGATTTTAAATGAAGAATATAATAATTAATTAGTAATTAAATAATTGGTATATATATAATTGGTAAAAGCGGCTAAAGAGAAAATAAATTTGTTTATTCCATAAAAGTAACGATAGATGTGTGCGTATGTATATATATATATATATATATATATATAGATATAGATATAGTGTATGTGTGTGTGTGATTCTGTGGCTTTATTCATTATCTCTATCTCTTCATTATATTTTATTATAATTAAAAAGCTATCAGAACCATATATATCCTGAATAATATGCGTTCGATAATTTTATTTAAATAAAATCCGAATTTTCCACATATATGTATAATTTGATATCGAGACAAATTGCCATAATAACTTGAATTTTTTCTGAGATTATATTGCTTTACTATAATGTCATTTATTTAGAATTTAGATATATATGTCTTTTGGAATTCGTATGTATAATATACAATATTATTGTGTATTCGATGTCGTCTTTATATTTAATAAACAAAATTATATTTATAAATATAAACAATATTCCCAAAAAACTATTTCTTGCAGATTCTTGCGACAATTTTTCGAGATCCATATATATTATATTAAACTAATATTAAAAAATAATAAAACTAACTAAAAATATTAAAAATATTTAAAAAATTTTTAGAAATGAAAATAACAACAAAATTGAAAAAAAACATGTCAGCAACATGCATCGAACAAATGATTTTATCGATAGATAGATAGAAATGTGACTACGTAATTATTAAATTAAATATAGATGGCAGTATCGGACGAAATTTGGAGCTGTCAGCTGTCAAAAAGAAGCGATTTGTTTATATATGAAATATTTCACTGTGTAAATATTTTTTAATTTTCTAAATATACTTGATATGGTGAGTGTCACTAATAAAGACAATAAAAATAAGAATAAATTAATGCAACTAATATTAGCGTTAAATTATATGTATGTAAGATTTTATTGTCAACACAAATCATTTTTAAGGTTATATACAACTGTGTAATATTTAAATATATATGTATCTTGATCGCATTTAATATTTAATACTAAAAAAATTAGTTTTAAATTTATTTAATATTAGATTGACAATAGTAATTTATGATTTATTCCAACTTTCATCGAGCCATTGATATCTATGTTTTAGGATGAAAGTGTATTACAAAACTGGAGTCCTTACGCCAAAAATTATGATCCTCTAAAGGCAGGTAGTATCGATGGGACGGATACAGAACCCCATGATAAAGCTATTAGTAGGGCAATGATGATGCATTATGAGCCACCGCATGATTTAGAATCTAAATCGGAAAGAACTATATTTGTAGCTAGATTTGGAGCCAATGTCACTAAATATGATCTAAAAGAGGTGATATATTAGCTCTATCGAATGATATATTTAGCAGTTTTATTATGCACCAAATGTATTTATAGAATAATGTATAATTATTAATAAATTTTCAATATTTTTTGTCTAGTTTTTTAGCAAATATGGAGATGTTATTTCCACAAAAGTCATAGTAGATGTAGTAACTGGACACTCTCAAGGATACGGTTTTGTGGAAATGAGAAGCGAAGACGACGTCAGAAGAGTATTAAGACGAACTACAGATGCCATGTTAAAAGGATATAAAATATTTATCGATTATGAATGCGGTCGTAGCATGAAGGGATGGAAACCAAGAAGACTCGGTACGTAATCAGCAATATATATGCATATAATGTATATATGAACATTGCGAGTTTTAATTATTCAATCTTTGCAGGAGGTGGTTTTGGTGGCAAAAAGAGTCAGGGCAATTGAGATTCGGAGGAAAGGATAGACCGTTTAAACGACCGATAGTACCTAATATTTTGAAGTCCAAGAGATAGTGCCTATTTTTATATCGTTACTATTTCTATTCATTCTACTTTTTTTAATTTTATTTCTTTCTATATTTAGAACATGAATTCTATATTTAGAATATATTTAGGATTATATTATATGTATATGGGATGTTTTTAGTATCAAATTTTTTTATCACACTCGGAAAAATAAATAGCGTTCATTTCAATATACTTATCACAATATTCTTGCTATTTTAGCGCGACAAATACTGATAAGACTCTAAGAAACGTTGATATGCGATATAATATTTTGTCAGAAACTGTCGAATCATGTGTTTCGTGTTCCCATCGAAATTTCGCGTGATATCTTCGAGAGGTGATCTCAAGGCGATACGCCACAGAATCGTATTCGCGGGGAACTTTATACCGTCGTCTCCCACATACGTCTCTCTCCATATAAGGAGACCCCGCTCGATTCGATAGTCTCTGTGCATAATTCCGAGTTTAAGTTTCTATCCCAGGGTGATACCGATAAGATAGGCTCTTTCTGCCGTAATTTCAGCGATATTCACCGAGTGTGCCCTTCATCAAGGTCTCGGCGACGGTCTCGGTCCACATTTGTTCATCGCGTCTCCTATTTCGTCGCTCAAAACGAGAGACCACGATGTCTCCCCAATGTCGTTTCTTTTTTTAATACGTTACAAATTGTAAAATGATACATAGTTAATAATTTTTAAAAAAATTATATATCATTTCGACTATATTAAAACAATTTTTATCGCTAGAATTCAATCGCAGATAGTTATATGTGTAAAAATTCCGGTTGAATTAAAATGTTTGGGGATATACAAAATTGAAGAATAAAAAAAAATTCTGAAAAATTCAGTCCAGTTGGGAGAATCTCCGCGAATATTACAGACAGAATAGCGACGATTCCTCGTTGTCAATAGTCGTAAAAGGTGGGGGCGTGCATCGTAACAGGCCTACTTTTGGAGCAATCGTCCGTCGACGAGGACGTCGAGGAGGAGAGTCGTATCGCGCGAAGTATATATGTATATTTGCAGCGACGGTAGAGAAGAAACACGAAAATAGTATCAGCTCAGGATCGTATCGCTCTCGGTAGCCCGTGGATTTCCGTTCTATTAATAGAGAGGGATGAGAGAGCGGCTCTCTCGCGCTCTCTCTCGCTCCTGAGAAGAGCTCGGGCACTCTGCCCGGAACTTTTGCCGATGTCCGGAACCGCGACTTTTCAGACCTCTCAGAGCCGCTCAGGCTGTCGCGGACTCCACATTCCACCCGGGACAAGCTCCTCTCTCTCTATCTATCTGTTTCTCGTTCTCCAAGTACGTGACACTTCATCCGGCTAAGTCACCCCCTTGTGAAATCTACATCTACACACGCATACGAATATACATCGCACACGTGCGTTCACGCACTCATCCGAATTCACATCCCCCGAGTGTAAGTTTCATTTTTTCTCATTTTGCGTGTGTGTGTGTGTGTGTGCGCTGGTTAATTTCTATTTCTTCTCTCCTCTTCTATCTTATCTAGAGTGCTATTGAAGGCAGTTTCGTTATTCTTGTTCTCCAGAGGAAGGTTCGCGACAGGAATTGTGTTGTTTCGGTGGTGTGTGAATGTGAAAACGACGAATATTATTAATTTGAAAAATTTTAAGCTCCCTCGAGGCTTTATTTTATTCAGCAGGAGCAGATTGCTTTATTAAACCCTCGAGATTCACCTTAGAGGATCAATCTAAAGAGGAAACTATAGGTGAAATTATTTAATCTTTATAAAAAAAATATGTTATTTTTATGTGTAAGGAGTTGCTAGTGTCGTTTGGGATACGAAAAGTGAAGGCATTATTTTGTGCCAGTGAAAATCTGATGAATGTATGCTAACATGTGTCTGATCGTAGCGCGATTTCATCCACTTGTCAGTAGAGAAAGTCGACAACATCCCAATGCGGCGTTAAAGTGGAAGCTTTTTCATTTTTAGTACACACACATCGAACACATAACTTTTATTTTATTCTCCGAATTTTTTGATCGTAAGATTTTTTTTTCGAAAGTTCGATCATATACTGAAAAAAAATTTTATTGAATTCGAATAAATATTTATTTCAATACTGCTTTATAAATCATTTATTGGAAACTAATAATATTGATTCGATGTGAAAAAATCTTTATTTGATATAACAAACTTCTTTTCGAAACAGATAAATATTTATGTGTTTCAAATAAATGATTTAGAAGGTGGTATTAAAATATTTATTAATTTAATAATTTTTTCAGTGCGTTATTTTTCTATACTTATATATTATATTAATTTTTGACATGGCATACTTTAATGTCAAAATTTCGAAATTTCTAATAAACGAGAGACCAAGACCTCGTTTTTTATTTAATTCTATTTAAATGGAATTACAGCAGTTTTGTATTTTAATTTAAATTTATAATTGTAATGATTATGATTGCTTGATATGAAAAATTACACATATATATATATATATATATATATAATTTTTATAAATTTTATTCCTCGAATTTTTTCGATCGATTCATAAGAAATGTTTTTCTCCAAAATTCAATCGTACGAATTATTTTTCCATAATTATATATTATATTAATTTTTAATTTATTGAATTTATTGAACGATTCGAGATGAGAGCCAAGTTTTTGTTTAATTCTATTTAAATGGTAGTAGAGTAGTTTTGTATTTTAATTTCCATTTATAACTGTCATGATTATAATTAAATTAAAATTGCCAACTTGTTAAATATTCTGAAATGCACATTCGCAGGTGAATAAAATTCCCAAATAAAATATACATCCGTAAATGTCTTTCGAACATTTTCACGGCGAATTACATATTTTCGATCCGGTGTTAGTTTGACGATTTGCGGTTTTCGCAAATCTTTCCGTAAAAACTCGCGAAAAATGGGCAGAAGAGCCGAAATGGGCGAGAAACGGAAAGAAGAAGATGGAGCGCTCGAGCGACCATGTTATACCTCTAAAATTAGAGCGACGAGAAGGAGGAAGAAGAAGGGGATGGCTCCTTATAGAGCTTGCGACGCCGAGGCTCGCGGCCAGGGTTAGCAAACTGGCATTTTCTCTTTCTCGCCTCCGAGTATCGGATTACTTTGGGAACGTCGGTGCGTTTTGCTTTGCCATTCAGCTTCGGCTTTTTATCCCCCACTTTTCTGTCATTCGATTATCCTCCTCTCTTCGTGGATTCATCCCCATCCCTCTCTTTCGAGAGAGCGTTTATTTGACATTTTTTTTTATTTTATTCACACGAACTGTAATCACCGTCGTTTTCATCCCTTTCTGTCTCTGGTTTTTTTTTAATTTATTGTGTTGTTCGGCAAGTGATACGTAAGTGTGAAATTGCAAAATTATTTATTTTTCATTTCTGATTTATCATGCGAGGACATCGAAAGAAAATTTGACAGTGCACTGAAAAAAAGGACTAAATTAATAAATATTTATTTCAGTCAAATAAATGATTCATTTGGCAGCATTGAAATAAATATTTATTCGAATTCAATAAATTTTGTTTCAGTGTGTTATAATACCTATATGCTAATTCGAGAATTACACAATTTTTTTTCTCTACAAAAATCGTGCAATGTGCTCTACAAAAAATATGTCATCTATTATATACATAATATAAATAAAATATATAAATGTATAAAAATATTCGATAAATTTAAAATTAAATAATATAAATATAATAAAAAAATCGTTTAACAGTTTGCTGTGAAAAAAATTTGTTCAAAATTCAATAATGAATGCCTCGTTTTTATTTTGCAGCGCCTTAAAAAGCCGGCAACATGTCTGACGACGAGGACCAATACTCGTAAGTATATTAATAATGAACTTTATTAATCATTTTTAAAATTATAAATTACGATTTATTCATATTTATTTATTTTTGAGGCACAATTTCTTAAAAGCTGATGTATAAATCTAGTATTAAAAAAATGATAAATATTATGAATTTCAACGAATAATTTCGTGCGTTTATAAAAATCGACGAGCGCATTTCTTTAATTACGATATTTTGAAGAATGGACTCGTATAAAATTTTTGAGATAAAATCCACTACAAAATAAAAAGCTTTGATATCGCTACTCTCCGAGAATATAAAATAGCAAGTCGAAATACGAAAAGAGAAGAGTCAAGATGCGTCAAAGAGCCGATGATTTCCAGAATCTGAAGTGTCTGGCGAGATCTTTCAAAGTCAACGATTGACAAAATTTATTTCTATATAAATCGAAATATCGAGTATAAATGAAAAATATTTCAACACGTAAGACTGAACAGTGCCTGTGGTGGCTTCGTGTTTATATTCCAATGTGCTGCCCAATTCTCTGCACTTTTGATCCAACTGTGCCGTCTCAACATCCCCTTGGTGCATTTTCTATGTCTTTTCTATGTCCCGATTGCTCGAATCCTTGAACGGATACTTTTGATATCTCTATTTTCTATGATTCTCTATTTATTTATTCTTCGCACCGCGAGAAAAAATTGGCGTACACTCGCGGAGAATTAATTTGCGTGAAGAAAGACTGAGAGCTTGAAGCAAACCCCGGAAGCCTTATTTCAACCCCTTTTAATCGACAATTATCCTGAGAGACTCCGTTTGTTACAAACCATCCCGGAAAAAAACTTTTTATATATAATTATATATATGTTCATTTATACACATAATTATATAAATTATAAGGGTTCATATATAATCATGTCAAATTATATATATGAAACACACACATATATATTTATATATATATAAATTTATATAATTATATATAAATAAAGCACTTTTATCTAATTATATGGACATAATAATTTTGCGATTATATGTACTTATAATTTAATATATTTCTATATAATTTTACATTGTTACATATATAAAAATTGTTTCCCGGGATTGAAAACTTGAGCACGATCTCTTTGACTGTTTTTCGTCCCCCGACTAACTGGATTCTTTTCCGTTTTCTCTTTTGCAGCGAGGAGGAGGAAGTCGAGGAAGTGTAAGTGTCCCTTTTGTTTACTTTGAACACACATTCCTGGAATGTCGCACCTGAATATCTAACAATTGACTTGTTTCACTTTCTCATTTCAGGAAGTAAGTGTCGGAGGCTTGTAACGAAACATTACAGCTACTGCGAAAACGCGTATCGGATATCTTAAGAATTTATTTCCATCGTTGATTCCTGAATATATGTATATCTTTCGATAACTCGAATTTTCGATAGATTGCAACAATATTTTCAGATGGATCAAATTTAAGAGATGATGATCACTTTTTTTGCACGTTAAAAAAATACTTTCAAAAGCTGCGTAGTGCAAATATCATAGCTGTTTTTTTATTTTTCTTTTTTTTTTTTTTTTTTTTGGAAACATCGTTACAATCAAGCGTGAACAATTAAAATGCCGAATCAAAATAAAATCAACCACGCGCGGCGGACGCGAGAGAAAAATCAATAGCGAGAATAAAAACACAATAGAAAGTAATTGCTTTGACAAAGTCTTTTTTTTTTTATTTAAAAGCGTGCGCTAGCTACACACAAAGCAGAGATTTCTCTTTATGACTGTGATTTATGAACTCCGCCTTCTTCTTTTTATTTATTCACTCCCTGTCTCTCTGTCTGTGTGTATCTCCACATACAACACACAAAACCAATCAATCAACCAACCAACCAACCAACCAACCAACCAACCAATCAACCAACCAATCAACCACCAATCAATCGATCAATCGATCGGCTAATCGACTTGCGCGATACAAAAAATGTCGAAATCGAAGGCAGCCGGAGAAGAAGACCGAGTAAGTGTTTTTTACACACGACGCCAAATATATATTCAACGTCTCTTTCTCTTTTTTTTCGGCCAATAATTATTATTAAATGGTGTACGCACTGTCGTTTACTTTTTTTTCCCGTTGCCTAATAATCGCTGTCTTGTCTTGTTGTTTCGGTGTAGTCTTTTTTTCATTGTTCGTCCGTTCTCTGTTTTGATATTTTATATCTCTCTTTATTTTGTTCTCTTCATCTCTCACACGCGTTGTGCCGCCGCAGTTGTTCATTTTTATTATTTTTTTTTGCAAAAATTTTTGTAGCGATACACTTGTGCTGGCTCTTTCTCTCTCTCTCTCTCTCTCTCTTTATCTATCTATCTATCTATCTCCACCTCTCTTTTCTATCTCTTTTTTCTACATCTTCTTTATTCTTCTTCTTCTTCTTTCATCGAATAATGAATACAAAAATATTTGCACTTGATATAACTTTTGCGATAATTTTGCGAACGAAAGAAAAATATTGCTTCTTCTTTCGCTTCATAAAATTATTCCACAAAGAATTTATGTCTATATATCTATTCTCTCTTGTCCCTTTTTATTTTTTTCTTTTGGAAAAACATATACTTTGCCGCCGGTGTATTTTCAGCATTTGTCTTGTGTCGCTGTTCAACGTCGATGATTAAACGAAAAAAAAAGGAAAAACAGCTATCGCGCTTTTCTATGTAATAATACATCCAAACGATATACACATACATGCAGATGCATAAAACATGACATGTATAAGCACACACACGTAGAGACACTATCCACACTGACAATATGAAACACTTTAACACAGATCACCCCAATCGCAATTGCCAAAAGTACATCCATTTCTGCATTTTTGATTTCTCCACGCCTATCTCTGTCTCCTAATGTCATGTCTGTTCATTATTTATATCTGTCTCGCCTAATCAGCTCTGTTGTTCGCAATTATGGCAACTGGGCGAACGAGAAACGTTTTGCAAAAAGCGCTATTGTACGAGATTCCCCGAATGCGAAGGAAAGTAACGATGAGCCGCTTAATTGTGAAAAAGCAAGACGAATACACACATATATATACATAAATATATATTCCGATGTGAATAAATAAGCTTGCAATAAGTGTTGAAACGACCGCAAGTGTCTCGATAATCGAGCGGTTCGGATATTATAATTTTGCACAGAAAAAAAAAGATATTGGAAGACGCAAAAAAAGTTGGCTGGAGACGAGCGATACCGATTTATAAAATTTACGTGCAGCTTTGTGCAGTCCTACGTAAGCGACGATCAATCACGCCATCTTGTATTAATGAATGTGTACTTTCTTTTTTTTATAGGGGTAGGGCGTCCCAAAAGTAAGTTGAATATATCGAAAGGTGTTTACACGTCAATAATAATATCCCCTTTTTCCCTGTTCTTCGGCCGCTCTCTTACTACATCAACCCCCGGAGTCGGTTTTTCCGGCGTCGATTTCATTTTTTGGTCTCTTCAATTGGCTCTCTTTTCAGCAAACTGACGTCATTAAACGTCAAAATGACGTCATTAAGGTGATCCTAAACGTCTGTAATTTCCGTCCTGTTTTATCGACAAAATGTGAGGTTAAATAAACTATAAATCTATTTATTGGCTATATGGATTGTTTTTTACCTGAAATTAGAGTGCTTCGCCCTTTATTAATATAAATATTTTAATTTGTACAGGAAAAAGATTAATCAATCTGTATAATCTCATATATCTTGATTACAGAAAAGAATTCTTAAAAGAATTCATAATTCTGTAATCAAGATATATGAAACTATACAGATTGATAAATCTTTCTCCTGTACAAATTAAAGTATTAATATTAACAAAGGGTGAAGCGTTCTAATTTCAGGTAAAGAACAATCCGTATAGCCAATAAATAGATTTATAATTTATCTAACCTCACATTCTGTCGATAAAACAGGAAAGAAACAACAGACTTCTCAAGAGCGTTTAGGATGCCCTTAAACGTCAAAAAGACGTCATTTCGACGTCAAAATGGCGTATGCTTGCTATTTGGATAATTATTTCTTATTCATTTACAGAATAACGACGAGTCGGACAAAGATCAGCGAAGATTCGATTTTAAAGTGGCAAACATTTGAAGCCCCATTCGAATGCCGTTCTTTTATCTGATTTATCGTGCATTTGAATTTCAGGTGATAACAAAGTAAATGAATATATAATGAGATACGGAACCGTTTGCCTCTTTCTTTACAGAAAAAGACAAAGGGTGGAAACATATGGTACAGTCGAAAAGCTAACTGAGAGACGTCGACGAAACCGGCCGCCAGACCCTTCAAATTTGCATTTACGACAGGAATGAGATCGTAGAAAACACTTGGACGGTTGTTTGCCAATTTCTATCTATATCACGTGGAAAATCGTGTTTACAGAGACGGAATAGATAGCGCGATCATTGGCCTGCAAGTGACGACGAATAATGTCATATTCTCCCGCGGCGCGTTCAGACGTTCGTAAATATTCCACGGCGATTGCATAACAACGTTGCGATACTCGAGCCGTTTGGTAGTCTGCCAAGGTATCTCATAAATATATGCACAATAACGTAACACGGTTTATTCTAAGACCAACGTCTGCTCAAAATGTACTCGTGCTCCGACGCCGACGCGATCCTTCCTAATGATTTCGTTCAATATACATAATAATGCATTTAACACATATTTGCAATATCGCACACAACCTTCCAACTCGCGAGATTTTTTTTATATTTATTATTTAATTATTTTTATATTTTTATATTTATTATTTAATTATTTCATTATATTTTTCAATATTTTATTATTATATATAATTAATAATTGAGTTATATAATATATATATATACTAATATTATATAATATTATATGATATAATAATATTATATAATAATATAGAATTAATAATTGATAATTTAGCGAGGCTCTCAATGTGAAATGCAATTTAAATATCAACAGACATGATACGTGCGTCAGTTTCAAGGAAAAAAAAATTCATTAATGACTTTTCATTGATGAAACTTTATTAATGAAACATTTTTCCTTGAAACTGACGCACTTGCAATTCTGGCTCGTTCCACAGCCGGTTGACATTTAAAAATTTATATTAAATTAAAGTTGACGTAAATCGATGCGTAATCGAGAAAGTAATTGTGATCTTGCAACTTAACGAAGAATTTTTTTGATTAAAAAAAAAAAAAAAAAAAACGTGTTACTTGTATTTTCCATTCGATAAGTAGTTTTATGGATCTCAATCCTGTCGGTGATATGTCTAATCAATCGTTGTCAGTGTTCGAAGCCCCCCCCCCTTTTCCCCCTCGTGTTACTTTATATCTCTTTCGCGTGTTTTATACGTTTTTGTCTCTCTGATTAATAACGAATTAACGAGTTGTACATAATGAAGTCTTGTTCGAGTTACGTCAAAGTGGTGTCATTATGCCCCTTATACTTCAAGGCTAAGTTGTTGTACGATTTTTCTCATTAATTATATTGACTTTACGCCACAATTTTGATCGATTCGCAAGCAGCAATTGCCATGTGCCCGCAAACCTCATTAATAAATTGTATATCCCGATATGATGTCTTTTTTACTTGATATAAAAATGCTTTGAAAATCGGCAAACTTCAATGAAAGGCTTTAATCCGAAAGGGATAGCGAAACAAAAATGTGTCCTTCCTAATTTTACTCTCTTCTAGCGACTTAATTTTCGAGACAGGAATCGCGTTCCCGAATTTTGAACTGATTTCCGGCTCTCCAATGAAACGTTTGAGCAGATATGTCCGCTCAAAATTGTCATCTCAAAATTGTCCAGATTCGTAGATACTTGTATATAAACGCGGCTATATTTTCTACGGTGTCTCTGATAAAAAAAAAATATATATATATATCTATTTTTCTTCTTGTATACAACTCAAGTAACAAACTGATGTCATTAAACATCAAAATGACGTTATTAGACGTCAGAATGATGTCATTTTGCTCCTTGGATTTTATATAAGATTGTGGATTTCCCAAGTGGAAAACTGACGTCATTTAAATGTCAAAGTGACGTTATTAAACGTCAAAGTGACGTTATTAAACGTCAAAATGACGTTATTAGACGTCCGAATGATATCATTTCGACATTTAATGACATCAGTTTGCTACTTGGATTTTTTATATAAGATTGTGGATTTCTAAAGTGGAAAGCTGACGTCATTAAACGTCAAAATGACGTCAGTTTGTCGCTTGGAAAATTCACAATCTTATATACAAACCATAAGTAGCGAACTGACGTCGAATGATATCATTTTGCTACTTCGGTTGTATATAAGATTGTGGATTAAATCCACCATCTTCATGAATGAATAATCATCCAAGATAGGATCAGGGATCCCTCGCTATTATCATTAATGCCTTTCTTCCGATTCGCTGCGGTGCGCACTTTGGTTTCTTCTTTCTACACAGAGAGAATTTTCTCTTAGAATTTACCCTGAAAATCATGGTAATCGTGGGACAATGTGTTATTAAAAGAATCTTAGAAGAGTTTCTCTGATTAATATTTACCACAATAAATAATATTAATATGTACACAGTAAATTTTACCTAGGAAAATGAGTCAAACATATTTAATAGATATTATCAAATATGTGTTATTAAAAGAATCTTAGAAGAGTTTCTCTGATTAATATTTACCACAATAAATAATATTAATATGTACACAGTAAATTTTACCTAGGAAAATAAATCAACCATATTTAATAGATATTATTTTTTATTGTGGTAAATATTAATCAGAGAAATTCTTCAAAAATTCTTTCAACATCATATTGTCTTACGATTACCATGATTTTAGATCAGGATAAATTCTAAGAGAAAATTCTCTCCGTGTACATGCTTGCACATTTGCCTAATTTGCCTTTTCTCCCCTTCATCATCCCTCTTTTTTCTTATCTCTCTCTTTCTCTCTCTCTCTTTCACGTCTCTTCTTCCCTGTCCCTTTGAAATTCTGCCTTGTTTCTCTCTGACTTTCTGTTTATCCGTCCGTGTATCTATCTGTCTGTACTGTTCCGCCCATGTGTTGTCTGTGTGTGTATACGTGCGACGAGCGGCATTGAATAATATGCACTACGGGAGAGAATGGAGTTGTAATGTAAAGAGTAATGGAGAGATGGACGTGAGAATCGCGTATGGAGCTCCGGGGGATCTCGCGAGATCTTCCAAAGAGCGAACTCAACCGCGATTTAAAGAGAGTTACTTTTGTTTTCGCTCCGGCCAACCTCTTCAGGGAATCCGGCGAGAATCCCGAGTTTATGAAGGTGAGTATCTCTCATTGCTATCCAACGTTTCGAGCTAGCGCCCAACCCCTGAGATCCTCCAATTGTTTATGGAACAATCATTGGATTTTTTTTTTTTTTTTTTTTCGTGTCCTTCGTTGGGCTCTAGCGCGATCCTCGAAGCGAGAAATATAAATGTGCGTGTCACGTAATTTTGGTGATTAAAAATTCAGAGGCAAGAACAGAAAAGAAGCGACCTTGACGAACAGCTTAAAGAATACATAGCGGAATGGCGAAAGCAGAGAGCCAAGGAGGAGGAGGAGTTGAAGAGATTAAAGGTAATTGCTTATATACACTTTGCGTTCTCTCCCCCGCATTTGATGCTTCATTAAAAGATTCATTATGCCGATTACGTTATTTAGGACAAACAAGCCAAGCGCAAGGTCACTCGCGCAGACGAGGAGAAGAGATTGGCGCAGAAGAAGAAGGAAGAGGAGGAACGTCGCCAACGTGAAATCGGTAATTCGAACAATTTTCTCTTGTTTTTTAACATCAAATCGATAGCTTCGCGCTTTATTTTTACATGTATTTTAATCGTGGAAAAGTATTTATTATTCTATTGAACCAATAAAAAGAAAAGGGTGCGCAAAAATGATGTTTGATCGATAAAACAAGACGGTGTTTAGGACCCTCTTAAACAGATCTAAATATTCAATCGAGCTTTTCGAAATGTTTCAGAGGAGAAGAAACAACGCGACATCGAAGAGAAGAGAAGGTAAACTATTTCAGTCTTACATAATGAATATAAAAAATTGTTTAAAACTTGTTAGCAATATGTTTAAAAAAAAATGAAACAAATATTAAATCTTGCTGTATTTTAGACGCCTGGAGGAATCGGAAAAGAAGCGACAGGCTATGATGCAAGCGATGAAGGAGCAAAGCAAAGCCAAGGGTCCAAACTTCACCATCACCAAGAAGGATTTGTCGGTGGGTAACGAGTATTTTTTGAAATTATTTATCCGGAACAATTTGACGCGAATTCTTCGTAAACGCAGGGTAATCTTACATCGGCGCAACTTGAGCGCAATAAGACGAAGGAGCAGCTCGAGGAGGAGAAGAAAATCTCCCTCAGCATCCGCATCAAACCGTTGGAGATCGAAAATCTGAACATCGATAAGCTCCGTACCAAAGCTACCGAATTGTGGGAGGCCATCGTCAAACTTGAAACCGAAAAGTACGATCTGGAAGAGCGACAAAAGCGTCAGGATTACGATGTGAGTTAAAAAAAGAACATTTCTTTACTCTTGTTTGAACAAGGGAATTTGAATAAGATCCTCTCGGTCAACATTATTTTCCAAAGAAAATCCCCTTGCTTATTAAATGTGTATGTACTTTTAATTTTGTAAGGAGAAGTAAATTTAATTGTAGAAAAAATTATCGTATAAAAACAATTTTATTTATATACGCGTATGTAATATTTTTATATATTGTAGTTTAATTAAAAAAAAAAAAGGAAGAAGAGAGTAAATGAAATATATACATTGAGCGTTTCCGCTTGAGAAATAAGTCGCTCAGACAAGAGTTTAATTATAGTTGATGTTGTTTTCGTGCTACATTGATAAATCGATATTGCCCTTTTATCGTAGCTTAAAGAGCTGAAGGAACGTCAGAAGCAACAACTGAGGCACAAAGCCTTGAAGAAGGGTCTCGATCCCGAGGCTTTAACTGGCAAATACCCCGTACGTAACTTCTATTGTATTATATCATGTAACAAGAAGGAAAAAAAATCAGAACCCGACATTTAATTGCGCGAATCCTCCTTTTCGCAGCCGAAAATCCAAGTCGCCTCGAAATACGAACGTCGTGTCGATACCAGGTCTTACGATGACAAGAAGAAGCTCTTCGAAGGTGTAAGTACACTTTTTAAGCACATATTTCTTTTTATCATATATTCAAATTCGCGTTTCACAATCGTCAGTCATAGACGATATTAAATCAACAGAATTTTTTTTTTTTTTTTTTTTTTTTTTTTTTAACGAACCGATCTTTACACAAAATACTCACATTACCAAAAGATCAGTGTTTGCTCTTATTCAAATAAAATTATATAGGTAATCATCTAGATGAAATTTTAGTGTCATTTTATCTTTATATAGATAATAAAAATACGTATATTATCTATATTTTCATCTTATTGTTAAATGAAAACTAGTGTTATTAAATTATTCAGAATAATATTCAGATAATTTGCTTTAGAGCCACAGTACATAAAAATACTCAAGTATAATAGTAGAACTTAAGCAGTGAGCGATAAAAACTTACAAATTAAAGTATGAATATATTTTTATATTCCTTTTATATAATTAAAATTTTTTACAACTGTGTTTGCATAAGCGACTTTAGAAATAATATCCGGAAGTTATCTAGATGAATCGCTATATAATTTTATTTTTTATCTAGATCATTTTCATCTTGTCTAAAATAAATTTACATATTTTCATCTCACATCTTTATCTAGATAATTTAAAAATTATCGAAGCACAACACTGCAAAAGACATATATAAATGTAATAGAAATTCTTTTCCCGTTATACAAAGTATATAAAAAATATATTAAAAAATATAAAAAAATAATCTGACAAAAATGCAAATAGGATTATAAACCCATGTAAAAGTAACGATTAGTGAGCATATGTCGATATTGAATCGCAGGGTTTAGAGACGGTCTTAGCGGAGACCAGCGAGAAAGTATGGAAACAGAGATCGGAACAATTTATGAAGCGAACCAAAAGTGAGTCGAAACCAAAAAGTGATCTCTCTGTCACTGTATCAGCCCACCTTTTGCTTGCCTTGTTGATTTGCATACCCTGAGAATCTCTCATCAGCGATCGTGTCTCTAATTACTTTACTTGTTCCACGTTGACTAAACGGTCGAGATAGCCGCCAGCCAAGTTACTGTTGTGTTCGTGTTGTTTCAATTGGTGTACATAAAAAAAAAAAAAAAAAAAAAAAAAAAGAAAGAAATGCACGGTATACCGTGCGATTTTGTGCTCACACACCGATAGCGATTTTTTGTCTTCACGTGAACTGCCCAGCATGGAAGAGAGAAAGATGCGACACCTACCATTGATCACCGAAAATAATCCCCCTGTAATAACGTTGTCGGCGTCTGTGAATTTGTTCAAAAATGTGATACGTTGTATCTATCGAAACCCCCCTTCTCGATAAGGGCAGATTTCTTTTTTTGTGACCCTCATCTCTTCGCGCGAAAGTCTTCGAGATCGTCGAAGAGTCTTTGTAACATTAATTCTGTCAAATCGTAATCTCCCAACCTTCAGCCCTCAAACTTCGTCATGGAGAGATCTTTACGATCCCCGAAGGAAAAGCGACAGTACGGAGGAAGGGTTTTCCCAGACAAAAGTCCCCCATGTGTGAGATCAACTCCTAGCATGCCATTCTGTCCGTTGGTGTTTCAGGGTCTGACCGAGCAGCAAAAGGAGTTCTTAGAGAAACAGTGGACCGAGCAGAAGGAACAGTTCTTGGGTCGTCAGAAGAGTATGTATGAGTTCCGCTTTCGAGGCTCCGAATCGGAACTAATGAGAGTCTCGAAAGTACTTTCGATTGAATCAAGTTAAGCTTCTTCTCGCTTCCTCCAAGTGTAAACACGCGAGTGGATATTTTCCTCCATTCTTAAGAGGTTCCTGAGCTAACTTGAGTCTCACTCCTGTTTTATCGACAAAATGTGAGGTTAGATTCAGTTAGAAATAATTCATTTATCGACTATACGGATTGTTTTTTACGAAATTAGAACACTTCGTCCTTTGTTAATATTAATGCTTTAATTTGTATAATAAAAATAGATTTATAGTTTATATTATAAGGCCAATAAATAGATTTTATAGTTTATCTAACCTCACATTTTGTCGATAAAACTGCACGCAGATCACAGACTTCTCAAGGACGTTTAGGATCACCTTAAATGTCTTGGATTTTTTTGTTAAAGTCGCCCGAAAATCAATTATACAATTAATATTATTTCTTTTTTAAATCATTTCTATATTTACGGGTTGCTTATTTTCACGAGCAAAAAAAAAAGGAACATTTTTCCTCCCAATCCTACAACTTGTAGAAAATTAATCCACTTACTTTCTGTAAATAATAGCGAAGTTACCTAAGTGGTTCGGCGAGCGACCGGGCAAAAAGCCTGGAGATCCCGAGTCACCAGAGGGTGAAGAAGACGTGAAGGCCGCCGTCGACGACGACCTTGAGGAGCCGCAGTTTGAGGAAGAGGAGGAGGAGGAGGCCGCCAAGGAGGAGGAAGTTGAAGAGGAGGAGGAGGAGGAGGAAGAGGAGGAAGAGGAGGAGGAGGAGGAGGAAGAGGAGGAGGAGGAGGAGGAGGAGGAGGAGGAATAAAAACGTTTTGATCGCTTTCGGCCACGATTCGCATACAGATATATTAAGAAGCATATTTCGATTAAATTTTCAAAATCATCATCGCGTTAACATTTCTTCGAAACCGTCGAACGTAGTCGGTGGAATGTGGTCAATTTAGTTTCGTGAAAAAAAAAAAAAAACCCTCGTCTTCCAAACACCTCTTACGTTTTACATCAAGTTTCTCTTCCTCAAGATTTAAACTTTCTTTTCTAGACGAGACGAACGTGACGAATATGTTACTTTTGATTAGTAGATTTTCACCGTTCTACTATTTCGTCTTATTTTCGTATTTTCTGTCACCACTTGACTACTAAACTCTACTACTACTATCCATTACTATTCTACTACTACTTCTATTGTAATTGTTACTATTGCTACTACTACTACTTCTATTACTATTATTATTACTATTATTATATTGTACAAACACAAAAACACAAATTATTGAAATAAAGCGGTTTATCATATAACATTTGTCGCAAGAATGCAAAACACCCACAAATATATATATATATGTATATATACAGGGTGTCCCATCAAAAGTGACCACCCCCTTTTATCTTTGAAACTAAAAGAGGTAGACCATAAAAATTATATATGAAATTAAATGGCTCAAACATAGATAGTTTTTGTAAGCAACCAATGTGCTCACAAAAAAGTTCAGTTTGAGCCATTTAATTTCATATATAATTTTTATGGTCTATCTCTTTTAGTTTCCAAGATAAAAGGGAGTGGCCACTTTTGATGGGACACCCTGTATATATGTATATATAATCTTATATCGATCGATTTCAATTTCCATCATTTTGAAAAAAGCAATCACAGTAGGAAAATTTGGGTTTTCTTGTTAAAAACGGTCCCCGTTAAAATTTTTGTGTAAAATATTTAACACACTCATGTGTTAATTTAACATATTGTGTCAATTGAACTCAAATGTTAAATTATCAAAACAATTATTGAAACAACTGAAAAAGATAACACAATTGTGCATGAATGTTCAATTTTACACAATAAATAATATTCTGTTTTATTGAGTTAGAAAATTTATTTGTTAAAATTTATAGAAAAAATGTTGATTTTTTGTTTTATAAGTCGGGATAATAAAATATAAAATTAGCATATTTTTTTCAAGTTTTGCATTTATTTTGTGTTAAAGTATTAACACAGTATTCGTGTCTTCATATTACGTTAAATTAACATAAAAATTTCTGTGAACGTTTGAGTGGACATGTGAAAAATATCTGTTAAAGACACGAGTTTTTCAACTGTGATATAATAGTAAAAGAAAGCAACCATTGAAGAAAAACGAACAGTTCGATTACATAATATTCTCGAAGTCAGAGTACTTTTTTCAAAGTATTTTATTCTCGTTCGTCTTCAATAGAACGTTTCACCTTGCGAGACGCTTGACCGTGAAACTTGAAATGAATCATCGCTCGTATATTATGCATTGTTTTCGTGATAGGTCTTATCGCGAAATTAACGACCTTGAGTTATGCGGAAGAGTTGATTCACGCTTGTAGTGTCGGTTCGGACAAAACGACATTTTATCAATCGTCGTAATAAATATACACACTTTTCATGGGATTACGACATATTCGTGTCGAGTACAATTTAATGGAAATAAATTTTTAGCGGACTATCGAGAACCCACTTGGGCGTTTTATCGCGTGTAAAAGTGCTAATTGATCGATATTGATATTGGCAGCTGCACAAAATGCACTTGAATCTTGAATCGTAATAGCTTTACGTCTATGATAATAAACGCTATACATTTAAGTTCGTTATATGTACCATCGATTCTAGTTAATAAATTCAATTCCGACACCATTCACTCCTAATTATTTCGCCAACAGTTGTGGCGACAGTTTTAATAACAGTTACAAAGTTTTGGATGTAAAAAAGAAAATTTAAAGTTCTGTACCTAAAATCTTGACAATTGAAATCAAAATAAATTTGACTCATATTATACTTTATTTTTGGGATAAAAGGCTTTTGCGAGTAGACGGTTGGTTAAACATTGCACGAGAATTTCTTGAGAAATGTAAGAATAATTTCCCGGAAATAGCGCGGCGATACGCGCAAAAGAGCTAGAAAGCGGTGCCAGAAAAGAATCGCCTTCGGAAATAGATTTTCATGCGGGGACTCGCGATGATCGCAAAGAGATCTCGCTCTCGAGAGTTGACGAGGAACGGACACACAAGACGACGATTAGAATTGCAAGCAGGTCCGCGGATGAGAACAATGATGCGGTGGCACCAGAACGGAACGAGGCGAGTGACGTGATTAGCGACAGAATCGACCACCCGCCTCCACTCGGAGCGATCAATTATTCGTTCAGTACTGCGAAGAGCAATTAAAAAGGACGAGGGATTGAATCGCGTGTCGCGCGGCAATGAGGGATTTGCAATTTACAATGCAAAACCCTTTTATCCCCTTCGGATTTTATTCCGTCCTCATTATCGCTATTACAACATTAATATTTTTTTCTTCGTCCGATAAGATTGTCAAATCCTTCAGTCACCAACAGAAATTTAAATATAAAATTCCCTCCCATATTTATTTTTTTTTTATTTCAGATCCTGATATATCCCAATTTATATTCAACCCGAATACTTTGTATTCGTATACGCGATCCTAACAAATTATGTGTACAATCGCAAAACAATTCTTTGAAAAGGGAAAATTTTTGCGCGCCCTTTTCTCTTTATTGGTTGAACAGAATAATAAATGCTTTTCCGCGATTAGAATATATATAAAAACAGAGCGCGAATCTACCGATTTTATGTTAAAAATCAAAAAAATTTCTTAGTTTTTTATATACATGGGTACATATTAGCCTTTCCTTCCTGTTTTATCCACAAAATGTTAGGTTGGTTACAGAATTATGAATGCTCAGAATTCAGAAAGATACATGATACTATACAGTTTGATAAATCTTTTTCCTGTCCAAATTAAAGTATTAATATTAACAAAGAGCGAAGCGTTCTAATTTCGAGTAAAAAACAACCCGTATAGCCAATAAATAGATTTATAGCTGAATGTAACCTAACATTTTGTCAATAAAACAGGACTGAAACTCAAGTTAGCTTAGGATCCCCTAAAAATTCAATTCCAAGTTTAAATTCATCGCCTGCACAAATCTTTTTCCTGTCCAAATTAAAGTAATAATATTAACAAAAGGCGAAGCGTTCTAATTTCGAGTAAAAAACAATCCGTATAGCCCATAAATAGATTTATAGCTGAATCTAACTTAATATTTTGTCGATAAAAGTTAGATAAGTTAGATATATAAGTTTAGATCCATCGCCTGCACTCGAAGAACGTAATAATCCTCAAATTGGAATTGTTCGGACTCGATAGCCGCTCGAGTCCATCACTAACTCTGACGTATCGCTATTTCCCTCCGGCCTGAGTCTGCCATCCTCTTTCTTCTTTCGACAACTCTCGTCGTCGCTCTCCCTCTTTCCTCCGTCCAAGTTACACTTGGTCGCGAGCCTCTAGTCGTCTCGGACGCAACTATTTATAATGGTAAGCCTCGTCGAGTCCTCTTCGCGTACTCCTCCGGATTTCGCGCGCTCTCTCTCTCTCTCTCCCCGTTTTCTGATCCCTTCTCGTCCGAAGGAACGGTCGGTCCACCTTGAGCGTGTGTGCGAGACAGCCATGTGTGTAGTCTCCGAAAACGTGTCCGTCCAGAGAGGCTTACCGGTATTATCTCCCGAAGGTTCCGTAAGTTCGCGCGAACCGGTCGAAATAACGAGGCAGTTGACCTTCGACTCGACGTCGCGTTACGCGAAATACATCAATTAAGAGTTTACGAGAGTTATCGAGAGTTTTAACGAGGGTCGTCAAGTATCCGTGTGTTATAGGAATAATAGATCCGCTTTTCGGTTCTGTCCAAAGTTTCATGATTCCTTCTTGCATTTTTGGCAAGCAGCGTTAAACGAGAATAAGTTGTTGCGTCAAGTATCGATGTACGTGGTGTCATCGATCATTCGTTCGAAGAACGTAATTGTCATTCTCGATTTCCTGGAAGCGATCGCAATTACCGAACTGAATCGACGATCCCGAACAATTCTCAATTTTGAGAGTGTGGAAGAAAATCGGTGAAACCAAATGTTCATTTCTATCTAAAATCCAATGTTCGTCTAGTGTCGACTCGGTTCAAACCAAAATGCTAGCAACAGACACGAGTGTTCTCTACTCGAGCTCGTTCACCTGAGAGAGAGTTCGGTCACGAACGAGCGAACTTGTTCGTCGACCCGTTCGCGACATGCAAATGTTCGTAACTAACGGTCGCGTTTTCGCGAGAACGTATCGCTCGTTCTGGCGTTGAACAGGAAGTTCGAAGAACAAACAACGCAAATCCCACATCTCCGGTGCCGAGATCATGACGAGAGCAGGAAACGTCGAAACGTGCTGAAACTACTTCGGTACGGCTGGCCGCCGCTTCTTTTCAATGAGGTAAGTCGACGATCGACCTCCTTCCTCTTATTCAACATGACAGAATAAAGATCGATCTATCTCGATCAGATTCGCTCGAGGCGAACCGGCAACGAAAAAATTCTAAAGCCGGATTATGGAGATGCGCGGAACAGACTTTTGCTCCGATCGATTTTTAAGCGAAGCGCCAAGTATTAGATGATTTGAAAATTATCTAGATAAAGATGAGATAAAATATTTATTAAGTAAGTAAATAAATGAATAAATAAATAAATAAATAAATAAATAAATAATTAAATAAATAAATAAATAAATAAATAAATAAATAAATAAATAATAAATAAATAAATAAATAAATAAAATATATTACAATATATTATATATTATATATTATATATTAAATATATATAATATTAAATATATTAAATATATATAAAATATATATATTCATTTTAGATAAGATGAGGATGATTTTGAATTTAAATATGTCTGAATATTATTCTAGAGAATTTAGTAAAGATAATACTTTTTTTCATTTAAGATGCAGAGATATAGATAATATATATTCTTATTATCCATATAAGATGACGTCAAAATTTCACCTAGATGATCATCTATATAATTTTATTTTTGTTGGGTAACAGCAAACACTGTAAGTAGGTATAAAGAACGAATCGTGAGTGGCAGCGATATATGTCATCCCCTTTAATCTATTTTTTATATTTAATATAAAGCATAAAAATGTATATATTTTCGATAAATATTACAAGCGGAAGAATATATATTTGATATAAAAAAGCATTGAAAAAAAACAAGATCGCACAATTAAATATATGTATAGTATTCAAATTCCTAAATTGGTCTATCTGTATATATGAAACGAGGGGGAGAATTAAATTAAAGTAGATATACAGAACGAATAGTGTGTGGCAGCGATATATGTATATCATCTCCTTTCATCTATTTTGTTATATTTAATATAAAGCATAAAAATGTATGTATTTTCGATAAATATTACAAACAAGAGAATATTTGACGTAAAAAGCATTGAAAAAAAAACAAGATCACACAATTAATATACAAATAGTGTTCAAATTCCTAAACTGGTCTATCTGTATATATGACACGAGAGGTTAATTAAATAAAATTAAATTAAATTAAATCAATATAATGCATATAATGCAAAATAAAAAATCATGATTTGACACATGTTTGAACGTTATTATTTTCCGTTGCACTTACGCGATATTTAGATATGTACGTGCATACACGTAGATAAGCTATAATGGCATTACGGCATTATGGAAAATAGAATTGTGACTTTGCGAGTCTTCGGAAGCCGTAATAAGTTCGACGAGAGATCCCAAGCTGTTTCGCATAAGTCAGTTGGGAAGGGTCGAATGACGGAATCAGCAGGACTCATCTCCCATCGAATCATGTTTTTCTGTCGTTCACGTCACTCTGCTGTCAGAAAAAGTCTCCCGTCGAGTTTTCGCGTAATTTCCGCATTTTCTTAATCCACGGGAAACGACCTTGAAACGCGAGATATGACGGAGGAGAGCGAGCAGAGGGCAGAGGAATACGAAGAGGACGATACGATCGAAGAAGGGTGAGAATAAAAAATATTTCATGACGATAGCCCATCTTTTACGAGACAACCAAATCTTTACGTCGACGCGCAAAAATATCCCCGAATTTTATATCGTCCTTTGTACCGCGATTTTAATATACGAATATATTTTTCTCAAAAACATCTTTTTATTTAACCTTTTTCTGTGACTGCATAATTTTTGCATCTTCTTATCGATATAATATATATGTAGATAACCACACTGCAAAAAAATATTTATTAAATTCGAATAAATATTTATTTCAATACTGCCTATAAGAAATCATTTATTTGAAACTAATAATATTGATTTGATGTGAAAAATATTTATTTGATATAAGAAAATCCTTTTCAAAATGAATAAATACTTATTTGTTTCTAATAAAAAATGATTTATTGGGCAGTAATAAAATGAATATTTATTAATTTAATATATTTTTTTTTCAGTGCAGCAACTGCGTGTTTTTGACACATTACACTGCAACAAATACACAGAGAGAATTTTCTCTTATAGAATTTACATGAAAATCATGGTAATCGTGGGACAAGTATAGTATTGAAAGAATTTTATTGATTAATATTTACATCACAATAAAAAATATTAATATCCACAAGAAGATATAAAATATGTTCGATTAATTTTATCATGTACTTTATTTATAGTAGGGGATATTTTTCCCCTTAATTTTTCGAAAAAGTTTCGACACATTTTCAACATTTTTTGCTTTGGGTTCATTGACAGAAAGATTGATTAAAAGCCATAGTTTCCTGGATATCAATTCCTATCTTTTATGATTGAAATATAAGGAAGCAGAACAAATAAGCGTAGAAAGCATAATAAAATAAAGAGCAGATTTTGGGATTCAATTTAAGGATTCTCCTATAATATTTCGTTTCAGCATTTTCTCGCGAACGAGAGAAACCGGTTACTTAGACTCTCGCTGCATCGATACAGAGTCGTTCATTAACGCTGATTCAAATAAAACGAGTTTCTAATGAATCGCATAACATAACTGCTGATCGAGCTTAAATGCAAAAGAACAAAGTCGCACGATTCAATTTACTTAATCGTCGCGTTATTCGAGTTCTCGCGACTCCGATTTTTCAATTCGCGATTAATAAAAAAAATAGACGAGTTTAAAATGAAGATTTCGATGTGAACGAAACTGTAGTTTCTTCGCTCTCACTGTCATCATTATGGAAGGACAAATATGGCAGAGCGCAAAAGAGACGAAAGAGACGGGACTTGAGTCACAATCTGTCTTGTGATTGTTTCACACATATTTCGAGTTGTGCATAAAATTCAAGTGTCAGTTTCCGTGTATGTAAACTGGGTTATGCGAAAATATCGTAGTGTGAATCTAACATGGTGAAATGAAACTTGGATAAATATTTAAAGGAAGACGATAATGAAACCAAGTGCAAACAAGAAAATATTTGAGCGTCTCTTTCTTTAGTGTACGATGTTAAAACATATTATAATATTTGTGTGAGAAGAAAAGTCAAATTGTTATCGCGACAAAAAAATTCGTAATTTTGTGTACTGATTTTATCATTTTTAGTAGTAGATTTTCTAATTTTTTTGAAAAAAAAAATCAAATATATTACAAGAATTTTTAAATATATAGCTTGATCATTAAATTTTTTTTCAAATTAAAACTTGAAAAAGCTACGATTATATTATCAGCAAGGTTGGGTAATAACTAGTTAATTAGTTAAAAGTTAATAACTTTTAACTTAGCTTATTGTTAGTTAATTTCAAATTTATTAATTTGTAACGTCAACTAGTTTCCTAAGTTTAATGTTTTTATCTCTGAAGACCATTATTGTTTTTTATAAGTTATAAACGTATTATTTTAAAATTAAAGTATTGTTATTTCCATATAAAAATCAAAATTTCTTCGTTATTTGTAATTACATATTTTAAAAGAATTAACAAACAAAATTCTAATTTAATACAAATATTTTTAAAAATTAACTTTTGATTTAACTTCAGTTAATTTAATCTTAACTTAACTAAATTAATTTTATAAGCAACTAACTTGAACTTAACTTAGTTTAAAAAAATCATTAACTTACTCAACCCTGCTTATCAGTAATGAAATAAAAACCAAATTTTTCGGAAGAATTATTTTGCTCTGTTTCTTTTCTCATTCGTCCGTATTTCGCACGTCTTGAAAAATATGTAAACTCGTCGTCGGCATTATGCCGTGTCGAATTGACAGTATTACGGTCTGGTTGCGATCGTGTCCTCGAGAAAGCCTTGAAGAAAGAATGATTCCGTCGCGCGCAGCGTAATTAGAAATTAATTGCGATAAGGATAACTATTCGAACGTCGAATGCGCGGGTGATTCGGTCGGAAATAAATGAGAGAAGCAGTGTCGATGACGTTCGGGCAGGATGTGAGGACATATGCGTGGGGATATGAATGTATTGCTTGGAAAAAAAATGGTAAACAGGTGTTATTATACGCGGTGAGATGACATAATTCGCGCAGTTGCGAAAGATTAGCGAGAACAAGAGTGAGACCGCGTATAGCAATCGTCGCAATTGTTTCTGCGGCTTTTTTTCTCACAAGTACCAGTCGTGCCTCGACATACTTGGAGGAAACCGAGGATGAACGTCGAATGGCTCAAGTGCACGAATTGTTGTCGCTTGAAGTCGGAATGGCCGAATAAATCAACGACCGACCAAGTAATTGTGATCAAATTCACGTGAGTTTTCGAAAAGCATCCGTTCTCTGATCATTTATCTAGAATAATGACGTGTCTCACCCACGTGGACGATATCGCGAATAGTATTAATTGTGGAATTATGTCGAACTATACCTTGCTAATTTATGCTCTCCTTATTTCGTAAGCTTCTTTGCGTAATTGAGGTCTTAATCGCGCGATTGGATTCATGATAAATATTATAATTTATTATAAAATATAAAATTTTCCGCAAAATTCCCTCCGACGTATGTTTTCTTAAAAGCAGGACGATATCGAATTTTCTTATGACCTCCTTTAGTTTAGAAAATAAAAGATCTTAATTTATATTTTTATTATGCATACAAAGTGATTCGTGATGACGTCTATATCGCGTTTTATTCCCTTTTTTCATTTTCCAATAGGCTTTGTTCACAAAAGCTCGAATGCTTCTTGGAGCTATTCCAACAATTTCTCCTACAACTCGATCACCCAATTCGTTCGAATCTATGTGTATGTGTGTAAGTCTGAGCTCTATATATTCCTCAACACTACTACCATCTACTTCCTACTATATATATATATAAAAATCACATACACGATTACATACAGATAAAATGTGGCGAAGAGACTCACACTTCGAATTAATACATTATCGGAAGATAAAAGACCGAGCACAAATTCCTTTACACATTGAGTTGCCGATCGATTCTCTAGAGAGGAAACGCGGGACGAAGGTGAGACGGAGAAAAAGGCTAAAGATATATAGACATTATGCCTTGACATTATTGCTGATCGAATACCACCATCTGGGCTTTTTTGTCGTTGCATTGTAGGTTGCTCGAGTTGGCTCCGAAGCTAGGACAACGGGTGCATTTCGCGGATGGCACGAACTTAAGATGCCGCGAAGACCCTCCTCCGATACCGTCCGATTCGGAAGAAAGGTCAGCAAGCTAACTATGGACTTGAAGAACTCGATTATCTTTTTTTCATTTTTCAAAATCGAGTATTTTTGTCACGTTCTTTTTCTTTTTTTAACGAAAGAGAATCGCGGCGTTTTTTTCCCTCAACTTATAATGTGTTTGTCGTATTGAAAATGGCTCTTTTTTTCATCCAGTGACATTGAATCGTTATTAGCTGCAATGTTTCCGATTCGCAACCTACATCGCACTTTTGAATTTAATTAAAAGATTTGACGGGAGGCTGTCAAAATCTTGCGCCAAATAATTACGATTGTAATTTCCACAAAGTCCTTCGTCTCGCCGGAAGCTTAGTTTTGAAAGCGTAATGTTGAATTATGAGGAATTAACGAGGTGATTATGGTGGATTTTACGAGCCGCAAGTGGATTATCTAACATCAAGAAGAGTGTCAAAGAGGATTTACTATCCAACAGATAAACGACGTACATATTGTCGCCTTAATACGAAAGCTTTAGCCTTGATACGACGATATATGTACATATACTTGACATTTGGGAAAAGTTTCTAGTCAGAGTTTTAATATTATTCGAATTAAAAAACAATATTCGAATATTTACATATGTCAAACTATTTAAATTATCGACCATACCTGAATAATTATTAGCATCATGTTCGGCATATTTTTTTCTGTGCACAGAGAGAATTTTCCCCGAAAATCATGATAAAGAATTTTATAAGTTTCTCTGATTTATCACAATAGAAACATATTAATATGTACATGGTAAAATTAATCGAACAAATTTCATATTTTTACATTAGTAGATATTAATATTGTTTTATTACGTAAAATTAATTTTACTATAGAAAATTTGCAATCGAACATATTTTATATTTTTAATGTATAAATAAATATTTTTATAGGTGGGAAATATTAATCTCTTGGAAAATTCTTACAATATCATATTGTCCCACACAGAGAGCATTTTCTCTTAGAATTTACCCTGAAAATCGTGGCAATCGTGGGATAATATGATATTGGAAGAATTTTATAAGAGTTTCTCCGATTAATATTTTCCACAATAAAAAATATTAATACCTATTAAATATATTTGATGAATTTTCGTATGTAAAATTTACTATGTATACATATAAATATTTTTTCTGATGCTGTAAATATAATATTAATTTATAAAATTCTTCCAATATCATATTGTTCCACGATTAGCATGATTTTCGAGGTAAAAATTCCAAGTTCTCTCCGTGCATGCACGATTAGCATGAATTTCTTAGGGAAAAAAATTGTGTCCGATTCCTCGCTTATATATTATCATTATCGCGCGCATGATCGCGACCTCTCCTCTCGAGAGACGATTCGCGGAGGGCGCATGAGCAAGGAAGGAGAGGCGCACGAAAGAGCAACCCCCGGCCCCGGCGCGCTTCTCACCCCTTTCGACGTCGGTCATCGACGAGCCCTGGCCGTCAGTCCGACCGGCAATCTCGCCGCGCCGCGTCGCCTCGTTTCGGGACAACTCGGCTGACAGTTGACACGCGACGAGAACGTATCGAAAAAAAAAACTTGGACCGATTTCGGATGCGACAGTTTCGGGAGGTGGTTTCGGGGTGGCGCGAGCAAAATGTGTTCCAATCATTGATCGAACGTATGGATCGACCTACGTGGCGAGGGTCGACTTCTCGAGCCTCCTTTTAGAAACATTCGTGTTGTGAAACGTCGTCGCGACCATTCAATTTTCCGAGCTTTGTTCAATTTCTATATATCCCTCCGTCAACTCCGTCGATATCTTTAAGGAGGAGCGTCTACGATGACGTCGCGAGCGCCGAATCTCCAAGATACTGGGAACATATATCCGTGACACGTAACACGAGGATCGATCAATTTCCGGTGATTGCGTGAGAAATCACCGGGAACACTCGACGTCACCTCGCGCCCGCTCTGAGCGATGTTCACGACTTCCTGTCAACGACCATCGACGGGGTCTTCATCATCCACGCGTTATCGTGGTGAAAAATAAATTCCGGTGCTGAAAAACTCGATCGATGATGCTAGTCACTCAAGCCGCGAGGGCGGTAGTGATGAGGGAAAAGGAGGGAAAGAAAGAGAGAGAGAGAGAAAGAGTGACTGAGTGTTGAACCATTGAGAGTAGGTGTGAGAGCGAAGGGACGATGGTGGGATAAAAGTTTGTCCACCTCGTCAAGTTCCTTGCTGTACCTTTGCATGACCTTTCGTTCGCTGGTCGACGCACTCGACATTTCGATGAACAAAACCCTCTAATAAGCTCCAACAACGGAAACTGGACCAGTCCCAATAGCCTATTGTCGTCATTTCGCCATTGTAATTTTGGAATAATACACAAAGGGCAGTGATTGATGTTGCATTTGGATCAACATTGAGAGTAGCTGCACGTTTCTACCAATTATCTTGCAGTAAACTAGCTCTTTCGCGATTTTAATGAAACCCTTTAATGAACAACCGATCTTTGATACCATCAGCCTTCTATTGTAATCCGCCGATCAGGATTTGTTCGAACCAAAGTCGTTCCTTTTGGCGACCAAGACACTTAGAATGGGCTGCAAATCGGCAGCAAAGTCTAATTTGGATAAAGAGACGGTCGCGTGGTCGTCGTCGTCGTCGTCGTCGTTCCTTCTAAAGAACAAGAAGGCGATTCGGGAACAGGACGGCCAACGCGAGTCCGATCTCGGGGACGGGGAAGAGAGCGAAGAGGGTAACAACGAGTCATCCAGAGATAACAGCAGAATGTCCAAAAACAACGCGGACATCGGGGTCGCCAGCAGGTAGCTATCAGGCTAGAGAATGCAGAGATTGCGCTCAACTTTCAAGAGGTCGCGCACTCCCACGGGGGCGGAAATGAAGTCCCAATCCAGCCTCGAGGTGCCCAAACAGATCCGATCGGCCTCCTTCGACGAGATCCAGCTGCAGGCGAAGCATCTGGACGACCGCACCAACTCGTCCTCGTCCTCCACGTGTTCCTCCGCGAGATCCCAGGACTCGACTCGCGGCAGAAGGGGCTCGTCCACCCTGAAAGTGCCCCAATTCCAGACCGGTCAGCGCTCCAAGAGCTTCGATGCGTATTCCGGGGGTCCTAGTTCCGGGTTTCCCGGCTCGCAGCTGCTACCGGGTTTCGAGCGCCCGGAAACCCCGATCATCCAGGTCTCCGGATGTTATCACTGTGCCTGCGTAGAGGAGTACAGGAGCCTCTGGCTGGCCGAGGACTTCTCCAAAGAGGAAGCCGAAACGGAGCTCCATGACACCGATAGCGGCACCTCGGACCTCTCCGATAACGAATCCGAGCACGAGGACGAGTCCAAGAGAGATGGTAGCCCGGAGATCAGGGTCATCCTGACCTCGGACGACGACGCAGCCTGCGACACGCGAGAGAGATGCGTCTCTCCGATAGTCGAGATCCTCCCCGAGGCAAATTCCGAGGCCCCGGTAGACTTCTCGGACCTCAGACAGCGCAGACGATCCCTGGCCTCGCCGAAGCTCTCCAGGCAGGAGGCTCTCACCACTTATCCCTTAGAACTACCAGCCCCGGTCGAGACGAACGACGACGATGACGACGACGACGAGAACGAGATCGAGCCGAGCAAGTCGAAATTCATCGTGCGCGACATATTTCTGACGGTGCCGGAGCTGAAGCGGGATCGCGCCGCCTCTGTGGACTCGTGTTTCAATAACAATAAAAATGGAGGCGCCAGCGACCCGGATTCGCTGGCGGTGCCGCAGCAGAGTATCAGGTCCAAGAGCGTCGACATCGTCCTGCCGACGGACGTTCGTACGAGATATACAACGCTGCTGCCCGGAAAGGAGTCGCGATTCTCGATAGGGTGGGTACGTCTGATTGGATGGACGCAGCCTCCCATTGCCTAAATATCGCAATATCGATATATCGCTTGGATGAACGCGTGTCTATCGCCCGATTTATACGCAGTTTTAGACTCCATGCACTTTTCTATCTTTCCCAAACTTTGAGTTACGTAAATGATAAATGATCTCGACTCTGTTCCCTCTTTTTCACTCTGAATAATGAATGAAATTAATTTGGTAATGTTTGTGACTGGATTTTTTTTTCATAAAATCATGAATGCTGGGTTTAGCCTGGATTTAATCATGAAAATTTTATTATATGGTAGAAAATTGTAATGGAACAGAATGTTAGAACAAACCAATTTACAGAGTGTCCAGCAGACTCGATGAAAAAAATTCTATAACTTTTTCAGATTTTCCAAGACCAAAAAATAATGTTTTCCCTGAATTTTTATATGATAGATCAATTAAATGTTAAATCATGAAATTCTTGAGATATTTTTGTCAACAATGAAAAGGTTCGGAAGTTAAAAAAATAAAAATTTAAATCAATTATACAATCTGCATTATATTGTTAGTTTGATCTCTATTAAACACATTGAAATAAAATAACACGACGAATATAAATTATTAACGAAAACGCTGTAGATTGAATCGATTTTTAACAACACAGAAAAATAGCGTGCTGAGAGTCAAGGAAAACTTTATATTTATTTAATACAAAATTTCAAATGATTGAAGAGACGAATGTAGAATAGCGTGAAAAAATCCAGATAAATAATAAAATTTCCCGACTTTTTTCCCTGACAATTCCAGATATATAAAATTCCCGGTTTTCCAGATTTCTCTGACCGCTATAGACACCCTTTTATACGCAGTTTTAGACTTCATACAATTTTCGATTTTTCCCTCATTCTGATTGTGAGTTATATACGTAAATAATAAATGATCTCAACTCTGTTCCCTTTTTTTACTCTGAATAATAAATGCAATTAATCTGGTAATGTTTGAGTTGATTTTTAATAAAATCATGAATGCTGGGTTTAGCCTGGATTTAATCATATTCTTAAAAAAATTTTTTATATGATAAAAATATAAAATGGAACAGAAAGCTAGAACAAACCAATTTAGTATTAAATTCATTTTTTTCAAAAAAATAAATGCACAATTTCAATTATGAATGTAAAATCTATATGAGTTTTTATGTATTAAAACGCATAAATGTTCAAGTAAATGGATAATAAAATCAAATTTCTGATTTTATAAATTAAAAACATAACAGACATCTTATATTTCTACCTTCCTTTTTTTAAATTTTATTAAATGGTAGAAATATAAAATGGAACAGAAAATTAGAACAAACTAATTTAGTATTAAATTCATTCTCTTTTTCAAAAAAAAATATAAATGTACAATTTCTAAAATTATGAATGTAAAATCTGCATGAGTTTATATGTATTAAAACGCATACATAGATGTTGAAGTAATTGGATAATAAATTTCTAATTTTACGAATTACATAAACATAACAGACATCTTATATTTCTACCTTCTTTTTCTTCTTGATTTTCTTTATTTATTAATCTATATATATTAATTTTAAATTTGTTGTATAATTTTTAATTGCAATAAAATATGAAATTTTTAATTTAAATATAAAAAACTGTATTTCGTTTTTCTAGTTCAATTTTCAATATTTATGTATCCCCAGATCTGTTATAAATTCTCAAATAGATTGCAGTACGAAATGAATCTATAAATTTTTATATCTTGACTTCCTCTTTCATTTGTTTATTATTCTTCTTTCATTTATTTATTAAAATTTTAGAATTGTATATTAATATAAGCAAACTGGAAAAATATATAAAAATTTTCTTGCCGCCACGATTTCCGTCTCTTTATCCTCTATTTACGATTCCACTTAAAAAGAGCGTGCTACATAAATTATTATTCAGAGTACTTCTATAAACTAGGACAGGCAATATTGAGCGCCTCTGAAACCACATATTTATGTATTAAAAGAAAGCATATCCATTATCGCGATGAATGCGAAATTGAAATATTTAAGAGATATCGATCGAAAGTGTATTGGAAAATAACGCGCACACGTTTTATGCGCCATGTGATTATTTTCACACACATTCTTTACTTATTATTTACGCACGACGGAATATTTAACATCAAAGAAAGCCACTAAAAGTGGCTGTAGTCGTTAAAATTTTATATAAGAATTTTGAGTGCTCTTTATCTCTCTCTCTCTATCTCTATCTCTATCTCTTTACCACAGTGCGAAACTAGACTCGAGTCGTTCAAAATAACTTCAAACTTTGATAACATTTTTATGACACTTTTCAAAGATATGTGATTTTTTTTTCTCTCGCACGTGTCGAACCCTCGAGCTTGAAGAATTTTTAATTATATATATACAAGAGTACGTCGCGCGTCCTCGCCCTTTAACTTTATATCATATTTCTATATACAAGTAAATTTTATAATTAAAGACGAACTTCCAACCAAGATGTGTTTCACGATAATTCAGCATTGCTTAATAATCAGGATAAAAAATGTAAATTCTTTTTCTCTTTCTCTGTTAGAATTTTTCAATTTCGAATATCTATTTCGCTGACGCGGGAAACTGAAATTGTCTGCAATAAATTCTTATTCGATGATTCCAGAGGGAGAGAAGACAGCGGAGAAGACAGAGAAGGGAGCTCGAGTGGTCAACGTGAACCTCGATCTACACCAGATTGGGGTCCAAATGCATTTAACGGAGAACATCTTTGGGTGCCAACCGCTACATCCGGTGACTTTTGTTACGTCAACGAGTGTTCGGTAAGTTTCGTAAGGATTACCATCATTTTTAGGATAAATTTTCAGAGAATATTCTCTCTGTGTTGTGTTATTATATAGGCGAATTTGCATTGTGCGCATTAAAATATATCGTATTACACGTAAACGTGTAAGTAATTAAAACAGTAAGTTAATTAATGCTAGAGTTATTATTATTGTTATTCAATATGAATAATGATGATAATAATAACTCGTAGTATTGATTAGCTTCTTATTTTAGTTGCTTCACGGAGAGAATTTTCTCTTAGAATTTACCCCGAAAATCATGCTAGAGAATTTTTTAAGAGTTTCTCTCATTTATATTTGTCACAATAAAAATATTAATAAAATTAATCGAATATATTTTATATTTCATTGTGGTAAATATTGATATTTTCTATTGTGATAAAAATATTAATCAGAGAAACTTTTATAAAATTCTTTCAATACCATACTGTTCCCGATTACCATGATTTTCAGGGTAAATTTTAAGAGCAAATTCTCTCTGTGTTGTATTATTAATTTGTGTTTTTTGGTTGAAAATTTTGTGTTACATATTTAATACATACATTCATATGTTAATTTAACATATTGTTGTTGTGTCAATTAAACTTAAATTACGAAAACATTATTGAAACAACTGATTGTGAATCAGATATAAAAATAATACAATTGTGTAACAATTTTTAATTTTACACAATAAATATATTTATTTAGTAACAAGAAAGATTAATTTTTTATTTTATAATACAAGTCGGGATGTTTTGCATTTATTTTGTGTTAAAATATTAACACCGTATTCGTCTATATTATCGAGATATTTTGATATATAAATTCGAACAATTCTAGCTATAAATAGTTTCTATAAAAATACCTAAGCAATAAAAAATGATGAATGATTTTGTTTCCCTTCAGAAACACGGACCCCGGTTGAAGTGTCCCGCTTGCCGCGTAGTAGCTCACGCTTGCTGCGTCGCAAGTTTAGAGTTCGGTTGCAAGCCAAGCTTTCGCGACGTCGGGGTGCGTCAGTATCGCGAGCAAACGACGACCCACCATCACTGGGTCCACCGACGTTACCAGAAGGGTAAATGCGCCAATTGCGGCAAGTCCTTCCAATCGAAGCTCAGCTTCAGCTCGCGGGAGATCGTGGCGGTGAGTTGCAGCTGGTGCAAGACCGCGTACCACAACAAGGAGGCGTGCTTCAACGTTCACAAGATAGGGGAGAATTGCGAGTTGGGCAGTCACGCGTCGATTATGGTGCCTCCGTCCTGGATCGTGAAGTTACCGCGAAAGGGAAGCTTCAAGAGCAGCCTGAGGAGGACCAGGAAGAAGAAGTCCGCCGGTAGCGGCGGAACTTCCACGCGCCGGAAAAGCAGGGACAAGGAGAAGGAGGAGAGAGAAAATAAGGAGAAAGATCAAGGAGAGCTCTGGATCGTCAAGCCCATTCCCACGGCCACGGTGAAGCCCGTTCTAGTCTTCATTAATCCGAAATCCGGCGGTAATCAGGGCGCGAAGCTGCTGCAGAAGTTCCAATGGCTGCTCAATCCGAGGCAAGTTTTCGACTTGACGCAGGGTGGGCCGAAGATGGGGTGAGTAGATGCTTTCCGCTGAATAATTTTGCATGTACAAAGTCCTCCGAGGAGAGTTGGAGACGATCGAGGAAACTTCTTGCAGACTCGAGCTCTTCAAGAAAGTTCCCAATCTACGAGTTCTGGCTTGCGGAGGCGACGGGACCGTTGGCTGGGTTCTATCGATCCTGGATCAGATCGGCGCCTATCCAGCTCCGGCGGTCGGGGTACTTCCGCTGGGCACCGGAAACGACCTGGCGAGAGCGCTAGGATGGGGAGGCGGCTACAAGGACGAGCCGATCGGGAAGATCCTCACGAGTATAGGTGACAGCGAAACCACTCTGCTTGACAGATGGCAACTCAAGGTCGAGAGGAACCCGGACGCCAAGAACGACGACGACGGCGGCAAGGGAAAGGAGAATTTGCCGCTCAACGTTGTTAATAATTACTTCTCGCTCGGCGTGGACGCGCACATCGCTCTCGAATTTCACGAAGCCCGAGGTGAGAGAGAAAGAGAGATCATTTCGAATTTCAAGCCGATAATATTTCAACATTTTATTCCAACCATTTTTTTTTTATTATTCGGTATATTTATTCATTTATTGATAATAAATTAATAAATTTAATAATTAATATTCGATATAAATGAATAATATCTAAATAAATAAAAACAACTTTATGATAAATTCATTACTCATTTACAGAGGCTCATCCAGAGAAGTTCAACTCGAGAATGAGGAACAAATTGTTCTACGGACAGATGGGCTGCAAGGATTTGTTGCTCACGAAATGGAAGGACCTCTCGGATTTCGTGACCTTGGAATGCGACGGTCAGGACATGACGCCGAAATTGAAGGAGCATCGAGTGCACGCTATACTATTCTTAAATATCGCTTCCTATGGCGGAGGGACGCATCCTTGGAGCGCGAGTAGCGGCACCAGGGAACCCGCCATGGATGACGGCTTGATCGAAGTGGTCGGCTTGACCACGTATCAGTTGCCCCTTTTACAAGCACGAGGACATGGCACTTGTATAGTACAATGCAGCACAGCCAAGCTGGTCACGACCAAAACTATACCGATGCAGGCAAGCAAAATCCTTTTTTTTTTTTTGCATTTTTTCCGACCTTATTTCAATAGCAAAATTATCCCTTTTTATTATTACAATCGCGCATTAATTTTTTAATTCCAAATTGTTTCCTGTGAAAATCCAATTTTAATTCTAATAGTCGAGTGAAACAATTTCATGATTAATAAACCTATTTTTGAAATTTATTCTAATATATATGTTATCGTATATTCTCTCTTTATATATTTAATATTTTTGATAATGTTATAGGTCGACGGCGAGGCCTGTCGCCTTTTACCATCCATCATCACTTTAAATATGTTAAACAAGGCTACAATGTTAGCGAAAAGAAGAAATGCGGGCAAACCTCCTCAGCATGTCGCGAGATTAGATAGGCTAAAGCTACCTGTGATGAAGATAAAGATGTCGGATTACGAGACGTATTATCACGACAAAGAGAGATTAAAGGAAGCGGCAGAGTTGTGGTTAGCGGAACCGCTCGATCTCGATGCTGCGACCGATCTGGAGACCCTGAGGAAGCTCTTGGTGAAAGATTACAACGTGGATTCTTGCTGTTTCCTCGATTGTAAATATTCTTTCATCAAAACTACTTTCAATTTACGATCTAATGGATTTTAAACGCCGTCTTGTTTCATCGATAAAACATCATTTTTGCGCACCCTTCTTTTATTTGTTGAATAGAACAATAAATGCTTTTCAACCATTTTTTTTAATTAAAAAATGTGGAAAAAAATTTTTTATATGTAGTTTAATCATGGAAAAGCATTTATTATTTTATTCAACTAATAAAAAGAAAAAGTGTGCAAATATGATGATTTATCAGTAAAACAGGACGGCGTTTAAATTCCCAAGAAAAAAGAAATTATAATATAAAAAATGTAATTTCTAGCGTGCACTACGGAAAGATTCTTCAGAATCGACCGCGGGCAGGAACAGTTGCATTATGTAACGGATGTCGCCGTGGATGCTGTCTACCTTCTCGATGAAGATACCGTTCAACAGCACGAGGGTCAAACTGGATCGAGCCAGATCATCGCGAGTGAAGAAATGGAAGCTGCGCGGGTCTACTCGCCGAGGTACGCAATAAGGGACACTCTTTCGTATACAAAACCTAATAAACAGTGTTGGGTAGTATCTAGATACAGTATCTACATACATTTTGTGTGTCTGTATCTGACGGTGAGATATATATTCAAATTGAAGTAACTATATATGTATACAGAGAGAATTTTCTCTTAGAATTTACCCTGAAAATCATGGTAATCGTAAGACAATATGATACTGAAAGAATTTTATAAATTAATATTTACCACCATAAAAAAAGAAAATTAATCAAACATATTTAATAGATATTAATATTTTTTATTGTGGTAAATATTAATCAGAGAAACTCTTATAAGATTCTTCCATCCGTCAATACCATATTGTCCTACAATTACCATGATTTTCAGAGTAAATTCTAAGAGAAAATTCTCTCTGTATCTAGATACAAAACATGGTATGTGAATTGCTTTTTTCAGATACATTTTCACATATTTTTTGAATGACCCAATTGTTTAATTTTTTAAGGGACACTCTTTTGTATACAAGACCTAATAAACAGTGTTGGGTAATATCTAGATACACAAAATGTATCTGTTTATTAGGTCTTGTACACAAAAGAGTGTCCCTTAAAAAAATTAAAGAATTGGGTCATTCAAAAAATATGTGAAAATGTATCTGAAAAAGCAATTGTGAGTCTGTATCTGAGATATATTCGAATTGAAATATCTATATCTGTATCTAGATACAAAACATGGTATCTGAACTGCTTTTTCAGATACATTGCAGATACATTTTCACGTATTTTTTTTTAATAACCCAATTCTTTAAATTTTTAAAAGATCAAAACTGCAAGTTATCAACATATCGTCATCAACACTGGTTGAGCAATTATTAAGCATTGATCAAATTTTGGTACCATGGCGAAATAGTTGGAGTGACGATATCTTTGAGGTATTTTTCACGTGTTAAGACTAACACAAATAAAGTCGTAATATAAACAAAAATATAATAAAGATAAAAGAAGCATTCAGTACATTTTGTGCACATTACTATTATTATGATAAAATATAATTTAAAAGTATCTGAGTCTTGTATCTATATACATTTTAATTTGTGTATCTGTATCTGTATCTAGATATATTTTTGTTACACATATCTGTATCTGTATTCGAGATACATTTTTAATGTATCTTACCCATCACTGCTAATAAACTACATTCCTTCTCTGAAGCTTTCTATGATATGAATTGATATAGCGATGAACGTCTAAAGGAGATGCCAGCCGTGACGGAGGAGCGAACAACTCCGAAAGACGTGCAGAAACAAAGACGATCTTCCATCCTCGAGAAAGCCAGGCTTTGCGGGAGCTTTTCCTTCGACAAAGAAACCGATAATCAAAATCAAGCTGTCAAGCCGAAGTACCCAGCGAGTCGAAACTCCTTGGATGTGCCATCACCGAGCGAGGACGTCGAATCGAATTCCCTTATAAATCGCGAGTCCCTCAAACAAAACTCTGGCATCGCTCGTACAGATCAATCGCAACAACATCATGATCGACTCCCCGCTTTTATCAGGTAATATTATCATGGGGATGCATGAGCGTCCGCAGAAGGGACATTTGCCTCCCCTTGGAATCAGTAAAAAAATTAAGCATTTGCTCTCCTTAAAAATAAACACTGGAATTTATTTGCAATTTTTATTTAATATAAAAATATTAAATAAAAATATTAAATAAAATATTAAATTAAAAAATTGAATTTAAGAAATTAAGAAAGAATAATAATAAGAAACAAACAAAATTTCAATCATGCCCTCCTTTCTGAAAAAAATCCTGCGGACGCCCATGTGCAAATGTTATTTTAGTATATACTTTAATTTTAACCCCCCGAATATATGTATGAATAAATATGTATATTTTATTGAAGCGACCGGGAAAAATATTTATGCAATGTCAGATAAAACTTTGAAGCTTCTGGGAAGAGCTGAAAATTGTCTAGAAAAATGACTAGATAAAGCTTTATTCCGCATGAATGCTTCTTTTAAGTATGTACGAGATAAAAGACACTCACCTTCGTAACTCTACAACATATATTGTAGTTTATTATTCCAAGGGAAAAACTGAACTCTATTATATATTTACATACCCTAACTTTTTGTCTGGCCATTCGCTTCAGTTATTTTTACTTGAATAATAAATTGTTTGATTTATTACACAATATTATAAAAATAATTTTGCGAGGGAAGAAGATTGAATTGAAAGAGTTTAAATTTGCGCAGCCCTCGCGATAGACTGTTCAGTCTAAGCTCGGGAGTTCACGGATTCAACACTGAATTATTGGAGAAAAATTGCGACGACATATTGAGAGCAGCGAAAATTGGCGATCTTCCGACATTGAAGGAACTTTATCAAAAGGGATATTCGCTTTTATCGATCGACGAAACTGGCCAAACGGCACTTCACTTGGCGTCGAAGCACGGCCACAAAGACATCGTCAGATATCTTATTGCCTGTGCCCCACCGACAATTTTAAACATGATTGACAATGACAAGTAAGTTATGTGCAAGCTTTTATGCTTTAGAACAAATTTAAAATTTAATCCGCGAAATTGGACAAATGGTAATTTGCTAAAATTTCTCGCAAGTCTCTTTCGTTCGTATATACGTATATAATTCTATTTGAATTCGATTTAATTTTGATTTTAAAAAAGAGAAATAATTATATTTAAATTTTAGAGGGCAAACCGCTTTGCATAAGGCAGCTCAGTACAAACGTCGTTCTATTTGCTGCATGCTAGTAGCCGGCGGAGCGTCTTTGATGGTGAAGGATCGACATGGCAATACGCCGCATCAGCTCGCTCTGATCGCGGAAGATCATGATTTAGCAGCGTATTTACAAAGTGAGTAATATTTCCTAGCATTTTCCACTTTGTCCTTTTCATAACAATTAATTATTTACAATTAAGTAACGACGGTTTCATATTTTAAGAAAAATTTATCTCAAACATGTTTAGAAAGATTCCTCCATCGTTATTTCGTTGAGAGCATTTTTAAATCGACAATTGAAAATTCGGTATCTCAAGATTATCTCGAGATATCTCGAAATTAAAATAAAAAATAATTACTAACGCTCACCGGACGATGCGTTGCAGCGGAGTTGCAGACAACGTTGATCTGTAAAATAGAAATATATCCAAATTATAAACATATATATATAAAGCGCCATCAATTTAAAAAATAATAATTTCTTAAATAAATTTCTCATTTCCAAATTATAAAAATTTTTAAATATCTATTAATTTTATATAGAAATTATATTTTTATGAATCTAAAAATATTATAATATTTCAAGCAACGTTACAATAATTTATATTATACATATATATTTGTAAATTAATATATAAGAATCATATTTAAAAATTAATATTTAATCAATAGAATTATATACCTATAAAATAATAAGAAGTCATATATATATATATGTATATTTTTAATTGTTAAAAATTTATCATTAAATCTAGATTTAAAAATAAGATTTCTATTAATCATATTTAAAATTAATTTTTAAAAATTATTTTAATAGCTATATAATTTTTAAAAACAATAAATATATATATATATTGTTATTATAAACTATTTTATTAAAAATTATTCTAAATATAAATTAAATAAAATTTGATTTTTTTATACAATTACATTATGCAATGATATAAAATAGATCGCGGATACAAAAACAAACAATTAATTTTATAAGTATAATAACTATGAAATTTAATTAATTAATTAAGTAAATGATTAAAAGTCGCTTACCCTACGGTTGCTCCGCTGTCGCCTGATGCCTCCCTGATCATCTTTCGTATTTGTCCTTTGCTCCTCTTATATGACATTGACTGCACACTCACTCGCGAAACACGATTACAATAATAAACGATCGCGCACGCATTCATTACTAAAATAACACACTTGCGTGACACTTTGTACGGCACTCCCGACGATGTTATACTCACGTAGAACGCGTGAAGGAGAAACAACGGAAAGGTTACGATCAGCACATTTGAAAATCGCGCCGTGGTAGTTACCTGAAAATAGAAGGTCAATGCTCAGTCTTGCACGCGCACGATACTCTTCGAAACATAAATCACACGAAAAAAATATACTAATAAGAAATTGCGACAATATATATCTCGTTACTTGAATTGTTCAACTCGGGAATCGATCTCGACCCGCAAATTAAAGAAAATACGCGAAATGTTACATATATATCCAGCAGTTAATGAGTGGACGTCTCTCTCTCTCTCTCTCTCTCTCTCTCTCTCTCTCTCTCTCTCTCTCTCTCTCTCTCTCTCTCTGTCTCTCTCTCTCTCTCATTTCTGTCCACTCGTTAACTAGACATGCCAAATTAGATACGTCATAATTCTTAAAATTCTATTCTCAAAATGTATAAATCAAGCGAAATAAGTACCTACTTTGAATAGTCGTAGTCTCAAGATTCTCGAGAAATAAACACGACGAGTCGCGTCCCGCGTCCTTCCCGCTCGAGCCTTTGCGCGCAAATGACGACGCAGCGAGCGCCCTCAGCGGCGCGTCGACGAAACGCGCATGCGCAAACGACACGTGCCGCATACCAAGATTCAAACGTAAACATAACAATTAATTCATCGTCGCAGTAAAAGTAGATGTTTTTACCACGTTATATCGAATCAATACTTTTGTGGAGTACTCGCTATTTTCTCTCTCTCTTTCTTTCAGGTTTTTTTTATTATCAATAAACTCATTCGTTTTTTCGTTTGGATCCATAAAAGAAATTTTACATTTGCCGCGAAATTTGCGAACGTGGCACGATTTTTGAATCTCGACCCAATCTCGCAATCTTTCCTTCTTTGTATATTATCGCATTTATTAATCTCGAAAAATTAATTGACAAATTTATAAAATTAAATTGACGAGAAATTCAAATAAACGAGATATATATCAGAACCCGAAAAATTGTAAAGACTAAAATGAAATAATAATCTTCGTCAAAGTTTCTTATTAAACGTTATTATAAGCATTTCTAAATTAATATATCTATCTAAATCTAAATGATATTTTGCACATTACCAGGTCAAAAACACTTTCAACTGGCGACGGATGAAATGGAGAACAATCTCTGACCTCCAGCGTTGATTGCCACGGCTTGAATCATCTGGAACGACGAAAGAGGTACAACAAAACAATCGACCTGCAATGTCGATAATTTGACGACGTCTTTGGGGCATTTTTTCGACGACGTATATAAATCGCTCGTGATAATATCCGAATAACATTCTCGTTCGACGTACGATTACGACGTCGATTACGATTACGTGTTTGCCAAATGTCGTATTTTTTCTTGTCGATATACTTCGAAATTATACTCTTATACTAGGACACAATTATCACATAATTATACAGATATACATACATATACGTAACTATATAGCTGTTCTCGATCGATATAGATCCTTATTTTTCTCACTCGTATATAATATACTTGCCCGAGGGACTTGTAGCTTTACTCGCGTTCTTGTACTCCGGCAAGTGGACCATAATCGGCCAGGGAGCAGCCCCGAAAAGATTGCTCCCAAAAAATCGGAGCAAATCTATTTTTCTCGTAATGACATTTAATGTCTCTCCGGTCCAAAATGAGACAGTCAATTTTGTACGTATCTATACACACATACATACACATATCTTCATACACTCCAAGTAACAAGTGCGTCATTTTAACGTCGAATAACGTCATTTTGACGTTCAATGACGTTAGTTTGCTACTTGGGACGTATATGCATGTACACATTTAATGAAATATACAGAAACATTTTCTGACGTTAGAAAAAATATATCTCGTATACGAAAGAAAATATAATATGAATAATAAAATGGACCACTCACCCGTTTGCTAAAAGATTATTTATATAGAAGCCAATTCCGATTATGAAATCTGTGCCAATTTAAAAATCGAGTCTTGGATGAAACGTTGACGTGTTTTTGACGATGCCAAACAAAACTTAACTGTCTCATGTTGGATGCATGTGCAAAATGTTCATAGTTTTCCACTCGAAACTGGGTGCTAAGCGGATCGATAATCTGTTAGCTTTAACAAAAAAAAGGAGGAAAAATTAGAGAATATAATTTTAGACAGAAAGAACGATAAAGAGAAAAAAAATGAAAAAAAGGAACATTCTATAAACACGATACCAAACTGTAAAAAGGGATCAACGTACGAACACCAATTAGTTGTTAGAGAGATGCAGATCTATCGCTATTAACGTACTATTACTATATAATGATTATTTTTTGTCGTATATTGATATAAGATCTATGTACATATGTGTAGAATTTTTAGGCGCTTATCGCTTATCGGATTCGCGCATATTCTAAAAGAAGAGACGTCGTTTACAAGTCAATATCGATCGTGCACGCAACGATTTCTTTCTTTCATGCGTCTTAATCGGGCCCTTTTACTTAAATGTATATATATATATATATATATATATATATTTCTGTGATCTCTTCTATAAAATTCTAATAGTTTATATTCTATTATACTTGTGAAACATGTATCGAGATTTCACATAAGCGCGAATATGTTATATCATTGTATATCCTCTATCTTTACATCTCTCTTTTCTCTGTTATTAAATATTCTCTGTTATTACAAATTATACTAAATACTAACGCTCAATAATTTGAATACGTTTTTCAAGATCAAATTTAATTCAACTTATAATTATTCTCTACAAAAAATGACAAGTGTAATATCTTTCAAAAATTAAACTGTATGTTAATTTTTGAATTATGTATGCACCCGCAAAAATAATTAAAAATATTTAGATACCGACTTTTTAATGGATGAACAAATGCGATTTTTAAAAATATGCAGGCTAAAACACACAGTTTGTTGAAACTATTGAGTGTTAGTATTTGAACGATCGTGCACTGTAAAAAAAGTCGATTTCACATTCGTGAAAGAGAAGAAGCGCGATATTTAGGACACCCTGCTTTACCTTTACTCCTTTGGAGTATTTGAAAAGAAATGCCTTTCTCGATCCGTACCTGTTATAATACCATTGTCGACGATAATTGTCGAATAAAAAAGAAAGAATTTAAAACGCGAGAGAATACTTATATATACACATATATATATAAAATTGTTGTAGGATTGTTGTAGGATGTACAAGAGAATATTTTGCGAGCGTGTGATCGGGTATACATCGTACATACATATGTAAATCGAGATAACGAATGAAAGAGTATATGTACATATATAGTTAATTAGTTTTATGCCCGATAACACGCAACGGCATTGAAGCCGGTAGCCGGTTTTACATCTTGCAGAGAGTTTAATTTTCGATGCCAAATGTACAGTGAGAAAAGATAAATGATTGTGCTTGCATTGCGCTTGCGATTGAGAATAAAACATCATTTCTCGTAGGAACTTTTCACTCAGGTCAAGATTGTGTACCGGTTTCAATCGGCTCCGGAAGTAGCGTATCAAGCTCGTATTACACTACAGATTTGCGGGTTCTCAAGTAGCAAACTGACGTCAAAATTACATCATTTCATTAAATGTCAAAATGACGTTACTCGATGTCAAAGTGACATCCCCAGTAGCAACCATACATCATTTTGACATTTAATGACATCAGTTTGCTACTTGGGTTCAATTGCAATTGGGATTACAATTGCAAGCTGCTTTGCTCCGATTAACAAATTAATTAGTGACAGTCAATTATAATCCCAATTGAACCCGCAAACTCCTAGTGTAATAGGGGGTTTAGGCGAGATTTAGAGAGAGACAAAAAGGGAAGTTAATAGAATTTCTCAGATATATAGCGACGCCTTTCGCGCGACGCGGTGAGGACGCTGGCTCGGCTCGCAAATCTCTCAGTTTAAGTTTTAGAGCAATAAATTAACGACAATCACAAACATTTCGGCATAAGCCAGCGCTCGCACCGCGACTGTTATATTTCTGTCCCGTCCATTCCCTTTTATTTTCCGTTTCTTTTCTCTCATTCTCTCATTATCTCATTTCTCGTCTCTTATTGTCTTATATGATAAAAAAAAAGTACCGTGTGCACGAGCATACTTTATTTTCTCTATGAGGGTATATACTTATACGTGAATGTGTGTAAATAAGGCTTCGAAAATCAAAAGAAGACTCGTATATTGCGCGAGGTATGATTATCGAGCGCAAACAAATACGAGCGTAAATTATATTTAGAGACTCTATATAAAATAAAAGTAAATCATTTATATCAATTTTGAATCATTTTTTACATATTTATATAATTTATATAATTTATATAATTTTAAAAATATTGTTTGTTTTTATTTTCCCTTTCTCTCTCTCTCTCTTTCTTTTTCTCTATTTTATAATCTTATTCTCCAAATTTTTAATTTTACTTTAATAATTTAACAAATTATTTTTTTATATATAATATTTAATTTCTAATCTAACTATTTATTTTTTCGTGGCTTATGTACCTATTCAAATTAATGACGGTGTCTTCTCCGTCCATGATAAAATAACCATGCGGTAAGAAAACTGTTCGTGTGCACGGAATATAAATCCTTAACTAGTTCTATTCTCTCTTTGCTTCCCATAAAAATTTACGGATAGATAATTTATAATTGATATTATAACAGAGTCTTGATATTCCATGTTTGTGATTTCAAAGTTTATTGTACTTGATTATACTGGACGACAGAGCATATGAGAATGAGCCTCATTCTCTCTTTATGCAGCAAACTGCTCGTTAATACTTTTGAGTCTTTAAAATTTATGGATTTATTTTCTTTAATCTCTTAGTTTCCAGAAAAAACAAATTTTTATTACATTTATTGTAAAAAAAAATATGCACAGATATATAAAATCAGCAAACACATTTTTTTTATACATCTGAAATCATGTTCTGCGTAGCAGAAATTGCAGGGTATTTTTATCATTAACACACAAATCATAGTAGTACGAAACTTCAATGTAAGAAAGTTTCAATGTCGTCCAGTTTTATTGAAGAAAAAAAAAGTACGAAGTAATTAAATAATATATAGATTCGAATTATAAATATTATTAGACTCTTTTAGGACTTACACTCTAGTTCACTGAGAAGGATTCTGTCCATTCGCATGTTCGTTCTTCCATTAAACATGTACTAACGTTCCTAGATATTTCTAAAAAAAAGAAAAAAAATAAACTTTTAGTTGATAATAAGTTTCCAGTTTTGAAACAAGATATATAATGATAGCTTTTCTTTTCTACAGAATAGAAATTAAAAACTACAGCTTTATGTAAACATCGATACATTTCTTAGTACTTTGCGCAATTTATGCAGTACGAAAAAGCATCGTGACATCGTAAATTTCTAAGTCGTGGAATTAGGCTTGGATGGACCAATTAATGACCATTTTATTTTATTAAAAACGAATGATATTGCTGTGTATTATCTGTAATTTTAAATCTATTAAACAAAAAAAAACGATTAAAGTTACCCAACTATTTTTGAGATATCCTAACAATAGTAAAGCGTAATAATGAGATTGTCTCGAATTAGTCGAGAAAGCTTGTGAACGAAGCTTGATGACGTAGGGATGTGACGCCCCGAAAATATAACATTACCTTCCAACAAATTCCCGACATATCTCTATGTATTTTTAATAATAATAAGCGTATTAAAATTGTTCAATCCAATGATGTTTTTGATATATTGGCATGCAATATGTATTTTCCTACCTTATATCTTTTCATTTGATCGAGTTAGCTATTGAATTTATTTAAATTATATTTTTCTGATAAAGTATAATAAATAAATAAATAATTTAAAATCTCATTAGAACTTTAAAAAGATTAAGAAAATCTATTTTTATCAAACTTATATTTATTCTCTCTTTAATAGTTAATATTTTAAAACAATTTCAAAATCTTTAAAATTATTGCAGGCTCTTGAATGTTAAAAAATCTCGATTTTTCTATGATACTTAAAATTAAATAAAAATAAAATTTTTTTTCTTATTTACATACTAGTTCGACTTGCATTTTCAATTATTTATGAATTAGAAACAATTTCTCGACATTTTTCTGTAATTTTTTTTCAGATTTGATTGATTTGATCAATATTTCAATGCGTATCAAAATCTGCTGAAAATTATTTCGTACTTTCATCGTCAGATGATATCACGGAGAGGATTTATCACTGAAGATTATTACTTAAAATTACTTATCTCAGATATAGAATGACGCCACGTCGAAACCATGTATCGCGATCTTCTCTCAGGCACGTGATCGGTAAGGAACAAATTAAAGTTTCTCGTTGAACACTTGTGTAAACCGGTATGTACAGATAATCTTGTGGATGCGTATCCTCGAGAATATTAGAATTATCTTCGTCTGATTTATCTTCCGAACCTTCTTTTGGCATAAAAGCCACTTGGCATGTCGGGGCAACCGCAACTGCTGCCGAATCTACATCGAGATCCTTCAAAACACCTTTCTCGATCGAGGCTCCTATAATGATTTCGTGTGAGTTATTTAATATTATATGCGCTTACTTTACAATAATATTCTATAGACTTCAATATTATCTTATCTGAAAATTCATAAAAATTTATATAAAAAAATTTCAGCTCCTCCATCAATCAATAAAAATTGGACATTGAAATATTTTTGAACTTTTGAATAATTATTAAAGTTTACCTGATAAAAGTAAACCTTCGAGTTGGAGCGATACCTTCCACTCCTTGTTTATACGATTCTCGATCCAATTGGCGTGAAGATGAAGTGCTTCCAATGGATAACCAAGTTCACGTGCGGTATGTTGCTTCAGTGCAGTTAGAAGAGCACGTGGTCGGGACAATTGAGACATATCGACTCGATTAGGTACATTCATCGCTGAGGATTTCAACGTCTCGTACTTTGACAAAAGCGCCTTTGCGAATTGAACAGCATTCTTCGGGCCTGATCGCCATTCCGTTAACCAGCGCTCAGGAGTCTTCGATTATAAATAATATATTATTTTGTATATTGATTATTATGAAAAGTATAAATAATTATTATTTTTGAGTCCTCACCCCATCGTCATCGAAAGATGAGGCGTCCAGGTCAAATTGTACAATTTGCAACAACTTTCTTGTAAGCTCGATCTCGTCTACGAAAAAGTCCTGCAAAGGATTCCTTTCCTGTTCGACACTTGTGGATGCCGAGGAACATTGTCGATCCAGGACTTCCTGTAGATCCTGTTGAACTTTGGATATTTCCACCTTATTGCTGTTCTCTTCGCTGCTCTTGAAAGGTTTCATTAAGATACCTTAAAAATCATGAAAAATACACGTCAGCTGATAACTTGAACGGTTTAAATAAAAAAAAGAAATGCTAAAATATCTGACAAATTCGGATATAAAATGTTCATTAATTGATTCCAACGCACTTTTGAGATATATCAGAGCTTTCTCTGCAGCAGATCTTTCCCATGCTCTGTGAGCGTTAGCAGGGAGACCAAAATACTGTTTCGGCGAATCGGTATCGTTCAAGCTCTCCAGCGATTTTATGGGATCGCCATCGGTTATCTTTAACACGTCTCCCAGCTTCCGTTGACCCTCAAAAATATCTCTGGACCACGCATCGCGTATCATCGAGCGCAATGCCCTCGCATCGTAATCATCTTGAAGTCGACCACCGTAAACCGCAACGTCGAGTAAACCTCTGCCGATCTGCCAGTCTCCTTTTTTACAAACATCATGTATATGTTGCAAAACATTACAATAATTTACATGCATTTGCGTTTACGTAGTTTGTCAGGAGAAGCGATAAAAATTCTGTACCTTGCGATCGTTTCTTTTCCATTTCTTTAATCACCAACTCGTAGGCTGCCTCGAGATCCGATTCGTTCCACTCATACGCTCTAATCCAACCCTGAGGAATGAAATTACGTCGTTCTTGGAGAGTAGCGTGTAACCAGGAGAGCATTAATATCGAGGCTGCGGTTTCGTCGTCATGTTGCCGAAGCTGCTGAAGCGACTTTCTCATGTTCCTCTTCACACCTTCGGGAGGCTCGTACGCCAACTTCAAACAGAGCCCGGCTAAACCAGGATAGAAACCGGAGCACTCCTCCGTGGTTAACCAGATCCTTGTAGACGGATTTTTGTTTACGGTACACACGGGTGAACGTAATAGGCTTTCCAACCGCGGTAACCAATTTAATGCAAGTTGTAAGTTGCTCAACAAAATCCAGCCACCCTTTCTGCGAATTAATAACGTATAATAATGTATATTTTTAAAAAATTTGCATTAATTATATTTTATATAAGATGTCTTTTTTCTTTCAATTTTTAAAAATAGTTTTTCTTGAATTCTAGCAAAGTATAAGTAATAAGACATTTTAAGTATAAGTATATAAAAAAAATATAAGTATACAAGACATTTTAATATTCTTTAACTCGTAATATTCCTATAATGCTTTATGCGATTTTACTTGCACGCGGCTTCCAACGCCGATTCAGCTTGAATAACGTGTCCTTGACCCAGGGAAACCTCAGTAAATCCAGCAGAGGCATATTTTGCAGCGAGTGCACTAAGCTCGGGACCAGGATCAGTTCCCGGGGATAAAAGTAATAGCACAGGATACGATCTTTCCTTCTCCTGAGCGATTGCATCCAATGTCCATACAGGTGGAGCCAAATCTTTCACACCTATTGTAGATTAATTCGCAAAATTAAAATTTATATAGAATTTAATAAATATATCAGAGAAAAACAATTACAAATATGTTTATTCATAAAATAAAAAATGAAAATAATTTAAATCAATTATTATTCATTTGCTTGAATTCAAATTATATATAGTTCGAATATTGAAAATTAAATTGATATTAAAATAATAAGAAATTCTATATTAATTTACAATGTAATAAATGGAACGCTGACGCTTACCTAACTGCTTCGCAGCAAATTTGGAAAGAGCGGTGTGCAAATAATCAGGTCGACATGCTTTCACGACTAGAACTTTCTGAAAGGCGTTAAGCTCGCTGTCCGCATAAATATTGGAAATATCCTTCAGCCAGGAAGGTTTCATCTTGGCAGCTACCTTTAATAATGGAAAGAATATCAAATGTCAACCAAATTTCTGACTCTTCAAGAATTTAGACTATTTAAAAGAATTAATATTTATTGCAAGGATAATATAATTCTTTATTGTATCAGATTTACGCACGTCGGGTAAGGAAGAACCTAAGGCCTGCACAGCCTCACGTCTTTCGTCGGGTATCCATTCGGGTAATTCAAAGTCCAAATTATCGTTGTTGATGACACCGCTATCGAGTAAGAGATTCCTTTCGACATCTGATACGGGATTCAATGACAACGCCATGTGCAAGGCTAAAGGAAGTCTGTGCTTTCTGTAGATCGCTTTCGCGCAATGATGGAACGTCAATGTTATCAAGCTGAGCATGACAAAATTAATTATATGATGAAGTTCCGTAAAAATCATTAAGATAATCATTGGGATATATGCATACCGTTTCTGGATTAGATTCGGATTAGATTCCTTTTTCTCTCTGTTTTCACTCGTGAAAGAGCTATCGTTCCGTACTGCTTTCAAGCAAATGTCCGTGTAAACTTCCGTAGAAACGATATATAAAGAACTGAGAAGCGTTAATCCTTTAATAGTCTCGTAAACGTTAGCAGCAAACTGTGCATACTTTTCATGCTCTTTGGCTCGTCTAAAAAAAAGGAATAATAGTGAAAAATATCATCTTCAATATCAATGTCTTAGTGTAGCTTAACAAAGCACCTTGAAACTTCATTTAAGCTCTGTCTGCTTTCTTCGAGGGCAATTGCGATTTCTTTTGCCTTGGATTGCGTTGCCTCCAGCGTAGACAAGAGTCCCCCTTGTCCTTGAGATTCTTGCAAGAGATCTTGACCCCTGGCTGTAGCTAATTGACTCAATACATCCAGCCTGGCTGCATCTCTTTCCCCGGATAATTTTTCCTCCCTTTCCAGAGCTTCTCTTCTTTGCGCCTCCAGCTCCGGCGTTTCGTTTAATAAAAGCTTACGGAGAATATGATATCAGTAATAAATCAAATGTGAATCAAAATAGAATTGTTGAAAATTATTGTATCTATTCTCGCATACCTTCTCGACAAATCTCTCCGCGAGGCTTTTTTTACCAGCGCCAAGTGTGATCTCGCATAATACAGCATCAGCTTCTTTCGGAATATCTTCCAATCTATCCTTTCTTGTAGCTAGAAACAGTTGGAAGCCTTGTTGAGCCGATAAGACACGATCGCCCAATCTAAGCGGTCGCTGGCGAAGAACGGGCAACAATATCGACGGAAACTTGACCAATTCCTCGACCAAGAGAGGTTTTCCAAAACGCACAGCAAGCTCCAGAGCCGTCAAAAATTTGGAATTTTCAGGCTGAGTGACTTCGAGTCTGGAGCCGATGTTACGTTTGATCCAGGATACAGCTACTCCCGAGGGATCGAGGAAAATAGGCACCAATGGTCCTTTCAACACACGAGAAGCTGCGATTAAACTACTCGTATCTGCTGGCAAATCCTGCGCTCTCCATAGCAATCTCTCGCGTTCGGTTACTAATAAAGTGATTGCTGATTTCATCCAGTTGCCATCTCTTTCGGGATTCTGTAGATAATTAATTTATTAAACACTTAACAAACAATCATTAATATTTCATGTTATGACATATCAATAATTAACTCTTTTCCAGATAATTATATTGAAAATATTTAATAAAAAAATTAATATATCTATTCTTTTTTTTTTGTATTGACTAAATATATAATCAAGAAATTTAGTTAGACCTGATACACGAGTAGAGCAGCCGCATTGGCCGCTTCGACGTCCAGTTTTTGTTTTCTGGCAGTCAACTCCTGGAACTGAGTTTGCCAGTCGCGATGTTCGGTATCTAGTTTCTGCAGGAGAGCTCGCGCCGTCGACAAACTGCCTTCGGTGGCCTCCGCCCGCAATTGTAATTCAGCTGCACTCCTCGTATGCTCGGCAAGTTCCTTTTGAAGCTGCGCCACACGACTTTCCACCGTGTTTAATCCCGTTTTCAATTCTCCCAGTTGCGCCTCAGCCGCCGCCAATCGACTTGAATGATGCAAAAGATGATGTTAATCTCTCCAAGTAATTAAAATTATTTAATCAAAAGATTAGATTTTAAAAGAAGATAAAAACAAGTCAAAATCTAAAAAAAAGTAACTTAAGAATTAAGGCAAGATTTTTTTATAGAATAGAAACAGAAATCTCCTCGTCTCGTACTCGGCCAATTGTCGTTGTTCTCGTTCCAATGGGGCAACTTGCTCCAATATCTGACCGTATTGAAGATTAGCGAGAACCCAAGCGGCTAGCGGAGCAGCCGCCACCGATGCTCTCTTTGCAGTCTTCTCCTCGAAACTATCCGGACGTTCTTTCACCAGCTTGGCAACCGCTTCTAAACTGGCGGGCGTGCTGCGTCTCGCGTCCCAAGTTCTAAAAAAATTATTACATAAGATATCCAGGGTATACATATACAAATTAATTTTAAAAGATCGATTGGAGAGATTGAAATCGCTCACCTGATCTCGTCCTTGATACCTCGCTTGGCGAGGAAAGTCTTCATACTGTTCCAAGACGTGTCCTTTATGCCCATTAACCGAAGAACACCCTCGAGGACGTCTCTCACTGGCGCCGGCGGTGCTCTCAACGATCGAACTTCGGCTAACGCGTCGGCACTTATTCCGGCCACTGCCTGAGCAGCTTGTGCCACCAAAGGCTCGACCTTACCCAATTCCTTCTCTATATCAGCCTAAAAAGTAAGAAATAATTTTTACACACGTCACTTGAGACTTCTGAGAGATCTTCGCATGTGTTTGAATTCTTTCAATACCTTACGTAACGCAAGCTCAGCACTCTCACGTTCTGTGTTGGCCTTCAAGTTAGTCATCTCTCCTCTTTGATTAGTCGCGCCTCTCATCGTGGCGGTGATTTGCTCGAGAGCAGCGTTAGCTCTTCCTTTTTGCACCTTGAGCACGTAATAGTAATATTTTATTAGAATTATAAAATATTTTACAATATTTATTAAGATTGTGGACTGATATAGGTCTCTTACTGCCTATAATTTTCATTATAGAAGATTCAAAATTATATATTCAACAAACCTCAAGTTCCTGGCGCTGTTTAGATACTTCATCCTCTAACTTGGCCACTTGATCGCCAGCCTCTCTTAGCTTTCCGATACCAGCTTCGAGAGATTGAAGCTTCTCTTCCACCTCTTTGCTCCACGTGTCGCGAAGATATTTCCAGGTATGCACCAGAGCGAGAAATCTTGCTGGCGCTCTCTGATGTTGAGGTGCCTGAATATGAGCGTCGATCATGACTTTCGCGCCGCTCGGCAGCTCTTCGAGTTCGTCCAGCTGTAAAGTACCTTCCTGGACTGCGAATTTAATCAACGAGCTCTCCCGAGACCACCATTCGCCTAGGCTAGACCCGAGCAGCGCGCAATGTCGAAGACCCAGTAATAATCGCGACGAATCTATCTCTTCTGAATCCAAAATTACAGCTATCCGAAGATACTTGCGCAGACCTACGAAATATTATCAATTTTTATTTATTTCTTTTTTTCGTCGATATAATATTTATAAATTTATATTATATATAATTTTTGAAATTAAACGTACGATGATATAAATAATGCTCCAATGTTCCTTGAAAATCTTCCCTTCGGGCCAGATCAGACAGTGGAGTGACTAACGCATCAAGTTCTTCCGCCATAAAGAGCCCTGGAATTTCGCTTCTGGACACCATAGCGTTTATTAAAACAGCCAAGCTCTCTTCTCTGGCGTGGTATTCTTCTAGCAAGAGCAAGGTCGGTTGGCCCTCGATACCAGCAGTTTGCACAGCATTCTTTATCGCCGCTTTACCGCGCTCTGCAGTACAAAAACGACAAGTTTCAAGAGTAGAGATATCATGCTTCTTCGCAAATTATGTTGCAGTCTATTCACCAGGTCCTGACTCGATCAATCGGAGAGAGGAGAAGGTCGCGACTAGTTTAGCAGCTGATCTCCTGCCCGCTCCCGGTCGTCCGACGAGAATCACACCGCGAAAATCACATCCCACAGCCCAACTGAGTCCTGTCATTTAGCATTATTTTGTTCACATTTTTTTAAAAATAACAATTTTTAAAAATTGATTTAATTAGACTGTCAGCTATAATTGATCTACCAGCTACAGTTTCCAAAAGATAGGATGAAATCGATGCTTGCACCGGTTGACCCTCTCTGGCGCATCTAGCCGCTGCATTGATTATCTCTTCTCGCCATTGTTCTTCGCTCAAAGGATAAAGCCCCATGTTTGCGCTCTTCCACACGTATACATCGTTGTTAAAATCTTTCACCTCGGAGTCCTTTGAGATTAATAAATTTTCCCATCGTGCCAACGCTTTGGGCGATAATCTGGACAAGAAAATGTAATAAAATTACTTGCACAGAAAAATTATTTATATATTTTATGATGATCTCAGGTAATACCTTGCACAAAATAGCCGTTGTCCGATGTCCAACAAATAACGAGTGATATCCGCTTCATTTTCAGGCGTAGGATAATACTTTAAGAGCCTCGCCCACGAAACGATATCTTTAAGAGTCCAGTTGAGAGAGGATTCCTGAGTGGACGCAAATCGAAAAGCGTCCAAGATGTTAGGCTTCATTCGAGTAATCCAAGATTCTGCCATAACATAATCTATCTGCTTCAGAGAGGTTCTCAAGTGAAGTTCGAGAATAGCTGCGATATCCTTTTGGCTGGGATATCTATTAACAGATTTTGTCTCGATGATTTCAGAATTTTTTTAATGTTGAATTTATTATTTTTTTTTAATTTTTTAAATATATAAATTTAGTTTTAAAAAAGAAGAAAAAAGAATAGAAGTTTAATAAAAGTCATTTTTTTATATTTTTTAAATAAAATTATAAAATTATCTAAAATCTCTGAGATTTTGAAAGCTTAAAAATTTCTAAATTATTTGATACTTAATTTTGTGCACAAAAAGTATTTTTTTTTTTAATTAATTGTAATTTATACATTTTTTATCTCTAGAGAAATTACTCACTCTAGATAATAAGTTGCAAATAAGGCTTCAAGTCTCGGATGCAATCGTGTAGATTCATCAGCAGTGCATATGATAGTTAAAGATATTTTGGAAAATTCAAGATCCTCTTCAAGGAATCCTTTCTCTTGAAGTAACTCTCTCACCAATTCCTGAAAATACATAATTCAATTTTATCAATTTATTATTGAGATGCAATATTTCTTTTTCCAACACAAATTTTTTCTTAAGTTATTGTTTGAAAAAATTTGCATTATTTACAAATTTAAGATTTCTATCTAAATTAATAATACAGTTTGAAAAAAAGAGTGATACAAATTTTATTTTATATTAAATAATTAATTTAATTTAATTTGTATTTAACTGCTAAAAAGCTGTGCCAAATAACTATGTAATTCAAGATTTATTTGCTTTATTAAATTGAAAGATCTATATGAAGAGGCTCTATGGATTAGACCTGTAAATTTTTAGCAGCGAGATGCATATCTTCCAAGATAAGAAGCACTCGAGATCCACTTCTCGGCTTATATATTCTACCCTGCGACGAAGAATCCAGACGCAAGCAAGCCTTTTTCAAACGAGTCACAAGATCATCAGGGCCGTAGAACGAAGATCCTCTCACCACGGTTATTGAATCGTGATCTTTAATTCTGGATAGCGCGACATCGATTAAAGTATTTTTACCGCAAGCTTTGGCTCCACGAATTATAAGCGGATGACCGTCTTCTATCCATGGCAAAATAGCTGCTAATGCCTTTCTGATGCGATCTGGTACCAATAAAAAATATGAAAAACATATACTCTATATTTCTTTAAAAAAGAGTTTATTCTTAGAACCTTAATATATGAATTTAAATATACCTGAAATCGAAACGGGTCCAAAATCGGTATCGATAGATTCGTAAGTGTCGCCGAAGGCTATTAATCGATCAGTTTCACGATCGTAGAGAACGGCACTTGGCTTTTGCGGGTCGGGACACCTGAAGAATATTTCACAATTGAAGCGAGCTCAGCTGATTTACAATTAGTCTATTGTTCCAAGAACTTGAAAAAATCTGGGCCACTCACCAACTATCGGTCGAGCCGTAAATGAATTTCGCCAAATTGTTTCTCAATTGTAAATCATCCACTTGACCACCCAGTGAAAGCAGAAGAGCTTGAGTGGTCTGACTAAAGGTCTGCGCTTTACGAAGGTGACACATTACGGCGTCCATCAGACCGGACGCAGACGAACCTTCGACGTTTATGTTCAGGGTCTCATCGATGGATGTGCATAAGTGGGCGCTTGCGATCTCCGCGGTTGTTGAAGAGAGTTGTTCTAAACGCCACGGCGCCAATAGAGACGTCGATCTCGTTAATCCAAGATGCAAAACACCCAGTCGCGAAACCGTAGCAGGACTTGCATCGGCGAGCTTGTGGGTCTCGAAGATAAACCTGTGTTTTACAATATATATTCACGTATATTTAATAAGCGTTGATATTTATTTGACCACAAATCTTGTCACATTTTATCTTTGATATCGCTATAATAATTTGATTGATGTTCGTACCTTGTACCACTGCCGAGTCTAAGTCCTATTCCATTAGGTAACGTTAATAATCGATTATCATCCAGGGCCGAATTCAACGCCTCAGCCCATTCAGGTTCCACATCGCCATTGAAGACGATCCAGGTCGCGGAATTTCCAGCGGATGTTACCGCGCTCGATAAAACTCCGTCCTTCCATTCTCTATAGGCAAACATATTTTAGCAATCGGTTATAAATTCGAAGCCGACAAAGTGTCTAATTATTTTATTATTTTACCTCGTCCGTGGATTTACGTGTCCTAATAATCTGCTCTTTGGTACCGCGCCGGGATAAACGACGATCTGTTGCACAGGTTCGCCGATCTTCGCCATCGCTTCGGCCAAGCACAACCTGATCGATGTTTTTCCACTACCCGGTGGCCCGACCACGGCGACGCCGGTTCTACTCTTCAACAGATCGTTTAGTTGAACGCATCGGTTGGCAACCTCTTTCGTCCATCCCTGACTCTCGCAGATCTTCAACAAAGCGGCAACCAAACTTTCGCTTTCTGCAGAAACGGGCAGAGAAGAATTGGCCTTCGGGAAGAGATCGTTTAGCAACGCCAAGAACTTGATTGTATCTGTCTCTGTCAGCTTTGGAAGGGTCGATGCTCTAATCGAAATAAGAAGCCTATCGAAAAAAATAAGAGAAGTATTTTTATTAAATTGACATAATTTTATGAATAAAAAGATATTTCTTCAGAGTATTTTTGATCAGAGAAAAATCAATGAAACGTACCTAGTGGTCTCGTCTACACCGGTAATCGGATGTAAGGCATCGAGCACGGATTTCAAGGCTCTGAGTCCCCAATCGTAATGCGGTTGCTCGGACAACATGGTTCCGGCGATTTCGAGAGCCTCCACGAGTCGTTTGCCAAGAGTAATCGCTTCTAAGAAACCGGCGCATTCCAGCAGAGTTCTGACAATGTCCGTCTTGTCTGGATGCGCCATGCTGATAGGTCTGAACAGTCTCGCCAATGAATCCGGCAGTTTTCGTCTGCCTCCGTATTCGCTTCCCGCCGGATTCATCGTAATGAAGATGCAGCAGTGAGGATCCAACTTGATCTTCTGATCGCCCAGCAGAATTTCCGGAGAACCGTTTCGAAGCGCCTCTTGAAGCGGCCTCACCAGCATCGCCACCGCGCTTAATGTATCCTCTTCAAGACGATTGAACTCGTCGAAACAACCCCAGGCACCCGCCTGCGCCAAACCTCCCAAGATACGCTTCATACTTCCGGTATCCATCCCTACGAGTCAAATTGACTATAAGATTGATATTCAATATACATTTATATCGTGTATCTCAACATGCGTATTTAACGAGCAATTTTTATCGCTGGCAGTGATCAAGGAGGAGAAGCTTTTTACCTTCATCGCAATTAAAGACGAGCACCAGTCTTCCCAAAACAGATGCCAGCGCTTTCACGCTCTCGGTCTTCCCGGTTCCGGCAGGACCAGTCGGACTTCCGCCTAATCCGAGCTTCATAGCTTGCGTGAGAGCTAGGAAACATTTCTCCGTCAAGGGAGTTCTTACTAAGCCGATAGACGCCCCTTGATACTCGAAACGATAGGGTAACTCTGCGCCGGCACATCGCACCACGTATGTACCTTGATTCTTTAAAATATATTTCGTTTGGAAATATTATATTAGCGAGAAAATTTCAGGATTAATCTCAAATATAAAATATAATTATAATATATAATAAAATTTAATTAAATATTAAAATATATTAAATTAAAATATATTAAATATATAATATATTAAATTAAATTATTTTTTAATTTCACCTTTCTGTAACTCTCAACTGTTTGTACCACATCCAGTCGGCGTTCTCTCCGGTCGCTACAATTTTCAATAACGCCCTGGCTACTTGAAGATGATGAACCGTATCCAATAGAAGGCCGCGCGCTTTCAACGCGGTCAGTTTATCACCGGCATCTTCCAGTCCTCTGTATCTCGCTCTCTGCGTTTCCAGAAACTCGACGAGCTTCTGCAAAGCTACGCGACCCTCTTTCAGCGCACGTTCGCAGCGCTCGGTAAAATCTATCCTTTCCGAGAGCAGCAGTACCTGTGTGGGATAATCGGACGGATCGGGCGCGGAGTCGTTCACACACTTTTCCAAACTCTGACAGAGAGCCTTTTTCATTCCGCTTTCGAGATTATTCAGCCATTGCGGGAGAGGTTCAGTGAGATCGATAGTCTCCGGTAACTTTAACATTTCTCCCTCGGCCGACACAACCGCCGTCAACGTATTGTTCTCTTTCACTACCGAACCCACACCGTGATACAACTTTGGCAAATGAGCCTCCAAGCCTCGTCCGCTGCCCGATACAAGTTCCAAAAGGTCCTCGTCGCTGAGAAAATACAATCTGGGATACGCTGCACGTTTCTCCTGTAATTTTCAAATTTTACATCGTGTTACAACATAGTCGATGTAAAATATGTATGTATAATTACTTTGAAAAAGACAACTATATGATTATTTTATCAAATTTTACCTCCAAAAATTCATCCAAACTCTTCTGACATCGATCCAGCAGATCCTTCAAATTTGTTAAAGCTGGTAAAGAAAGTCGTCTCAAGGACGGTACTCGGGGATCTTGAGATACTTCTCCGATAAGATATCTGAAAGTTTATAAAGGAATAAAAAGTTGGGACGTTTAAATATAATAGATGAAATAGGAGAAAATGGAATAATTATAAACCTAAATTCTTTATCGGCCCTCGACCATCTTCCGGAATCACTTGGAGCCGCTCCACTTCCGTAAACCGGATCCAAGTAGATCCATTTCCTCTGGACTGTACTAAGAACCTTAATTCTTTCCTCGAGCTCCGACAGAGCCGCCTCGCAACGTGCAACTCTAGATGCAAATCTCTCGTGTCCGGATGTGCCTTTTGCTCCTTCGAGCAAGAGTCTCAATTCCTCTGTTTTAAGAATTTATTTTGAAAAAATGAGATAATAAACAAATTATACAATCACAATATAAGTAAACGTACCTATTTTCGCTAACAGATTGCCGTAATCCCCGACTAGTAAAATGGTCCTGTTTCTGCTGTCGGTCGACTGTTGCAACGGAAGTGACGCCGTACTTTCCCAGATCTCCAGGTCCATTAACGCTTGTCGAATTCCGCTTTCCGCGACTGCTCGTTTCGTTATTTCCTGAGAATGAGAAAACATTGTTTATAAGACGGAAATTTAATAATTAAGATATAAAAGTTATATAACTATTCAGATTGCATCTTAGGAATATATCATCTCTCGATAATCTAGAAAAATAATATATTTCTCTTGTGAAAAAATGTGAAAATAAATTTAAATAAATTGATATTTCTTTTAACAACTCGTAGGTCGATATTTAAATATTGAAAAAAATGGAATCACTACCACAATTATTTTGATCGAATTAACATTACAAAAGTTCTCACCTTCACTTGAGCCTCATTCTTTTTTAGCGCCTCCGCACAAGCGAGCAAATCACCTAAAGTGATATCTTGTGGATTTTTGACCTTCAAGCCCAGTATAGGAATTAACTCGGTCCAGTGCTCATTGGCGATCTCGTCTCCACGAAGCAGCTGGATAGATTCGACCGTGGATCTAACTTCGTTTATTTTTTTACCAACGAAGGTATCAAATAATTTGTCGATATCCAAGTTATCCTGCAAGCGAATCTTACTCTCCCAAGAATCAAGCCAATCGTGAAGTCTCGGTAATCTTCTTCTAGCCACAGCCCACTCTTCGATTTCCTGATTCTTAAGCTCCTCCAAAAATTCAGATTGAAACCTGTTTATATGTTTAACATCTTAATTTAATTTATTGAATTTTGAAATAAAAATAAAAATATTTCGTTTTACATAAATAATTAACTTTGTATAAAATGTAATATTTTATTGTATAGTAACCTGTAATTTGACTCCTCGATCTCCAATTCTTGTTCCAATTGCGATAAATTAATCTCGTCGTCCTCCAGAACACTTTCGAGATCGAGGGCTATTCTTTGACAATCCGCTTTTAAGGAATCCAGTTGCATATTTAAATTGACCAAACGTTCCTTCATCGATATCAGCCAATCGAGTGTGGTATTTCCCGATCTTGCGGACCATTTAGCCTGCCATCTCTCCCTTTCGTCTCTCAGCGCTATCGCTCGATGACGAAGATTAACTTTAGCGTCTTCCAGTAGACGCGCCATAACACTTTTATGCTTTTCCAAACGATCCCCCAGCTCCTGCCAAGCGGCATGCGCCGCGTTAACACCTATAAAATGTATCAAATGAACAAAAATCCAATTTCTAGGTCTACTTTTGCAATTTTTAAAGGACCATTTAATTTTAATCTTGACTTGTATATTTCTCACTAAAAATTGATATTGATTATTGTTGTATAATGTGTTAATTATTACTAAATTTACTTTCTCACTTGAAAAGGACTACAACCATATAATCGAAACGTCGTGAAATTTAATAAACGCTTATTACTTGCTAGTTTGGTCGATTAGTTCCAATAACTCCTATTTAAATACTATATAGTGACTGTCATTAATAATTGGGAATTTTTTAAAAGACCAGTTCTACGAAAAAAATTGCGAAAAATGATTCGACGAAATATATATTACCATCGAGCTTCTCGCTGGTCCACGCGGCCATAACTTTGGCGAGGACAGCAACGACTTCCATTTCTTTGGCGATACCCGCCGACTGTTGCTCGATACGCGCATGAGCTTCGTGAGCTAATCCGACTTCTTCGACATCACGAGGTCTACGTTCCAGCTCCTTGGACGCGAAGGACAGGAAGTCCACGATGGCCATCAAACGCGATGATGCCTCCACCCTTAAGTCGGAACATAGACGTTCCCAATAATGACGAGTCGCAGTCTCCAAATCGTTCCTCGTCGTCGCTGTATCGATGCATATGCAGCTGATTCTCACGTCGCAGCCTCTTAATTTTCCAACCTGCATCAACGAAAATTTATTTCACAATTTATACGATTACCATTTCAAATAAAATACAATGTCAAAATTTTATCTGAGTAAAAGGCTTCGTTCATTTCTGATGTCACTGTTTTTTTTTCAAGAGATCAACTTCCTTTTTATTCATCCTCGAAATATTTATAAAATAGTCAAAATAGTTATATTTATAAAATATTTATAATCTAACCTCCTGAGCCCATTGTTTGGCCTCCTTGAACGCTTTCGCCCATTCTTGAGGAGGTTTACCTTTCAGTCTAGAAATATTTAGATATCAAATAATATGTAATGAATATGATAATATTCAGAAGTCTTATTTTTTAGACTTATAACTTACCGCTCTCCAATATCGATATTAGCTGGCGTTGCTAGACTCAGCCATTTCATCCGAAATAATTCGAGAGTGGCCAGAGCGATTTCCACTTGCTTGTAAACGCCGCTGAAGAGATACGCATTCTTCTGTACCAAATCGCCAAAGTGCGCATCGGCGACATCCCCAACGCCCCGAAAGTTCACCGGAATCGAGAGCGATCGACGTACCCCGGAATATAACTTTGCGCGAATATCTTCGAGCGGTGGTCTCCATTGTAGAATTCCGTCCCGGAAAGTGAGCTCCACTCGGATCTCGGGCAGTTTCCTCGACAAGGATGGCAAAGCATTCCTACAAAATAAATTATATCCAATTAAGTATCTCAATATGTATTTTGTTTTATTTTTATTTTATTTTATTTTTATTTTATTTATTTAATTTTAATTTTAATTTAATTAATCTAGTTATATACCTGTAAGCTACGCCCAGTGCTTTCAAGAGTTGACGATCCCAATGCAATTTCCAAGCTTTTGCGTTACCGTATTGCGAATCCACTGCGTCAACGATCGCTCTCATGTTTATCAACGTCTCTTTCCAGATATTCTGATTTCCGACAAGGTGTACAGCATCGCCTTTCAATAAATTCGACACGTAATCTCGTAACGTGGAGTGCTTCGAAATCAATTCCGAGTTTTGTCGAGCAAACTTTACTACCTAAAGTAAATAAATGTTCTCGATTACATCTACAAATTACGTCTACAAAAATAACAACGAAATCCACGGGACAATTCTCACCAGCTCTTTCAATCGAGCGGTGTACACATCGACGAGATGAGGATCTGACCAAACGACACCCGATTGTTCCTGAACAGCACGCGCTAACTCCAGAGCCACCGTCAACATGAGAGGTCTTTGAGAAGGCACCATTCGATCGCCGATCGTGTTGTGAAAGGTGGCGACCTGTTGAAGAGCTCTAGCTCGTCCGGCTAAGGACGAGGCTCTGTCTACCAGTTCTCGAATCTCCCTCGGCAATTCGACGCCTTCGCCGGACAATGCTCTGGCTTCTCTAATCAGAGTCATCAATCGAGAGTCATAGGTCACTCGCATCATGCTAGTGCCGGTAAGTTCTACCACCGGCGAGTCGGTGCCCAAGCTCAATTCTTTCCTGGCTATCTCGTTCTTTGTGTTGTTCACCTGATTTTTGTGAATAAAAAGATATTTTTTTAATTCAATAATATATAATTTTAGATTATCTATAAAAAATGTATGCAATTTAAAAGAAAATTGTATTAGATTAAATACATAATTTAAAAAAAAATTACCCATGACTCAACCAAATCCCTCCTTTTCTCTTCGGCTTCCTTCAGAGCGCTCGATAATCGCGTCGCCGCTTCTTCGTACCCTGGCAAATCGGCGAGCAATTCCTTTCCTAATTTAGCCAAATTTTCTAGTCGTACTTCTGCAGATCTGGCAGCTTGAACCTCTTGCAGCACTTTAGGAACATCCAAAAGATCTTCCGTATCAGGACCAGCCAAGCGATTTTCTAGAATTTCGTTGTTTTGAAGAAACAATGTAATAAAGTCATAAATCTCAAGTTATGTAACTTTATTTCTTTAAATTTAAAAAGTTTAAAATGTACTACTTTATCTTTTTATGTTAAATTTTTCATTATTCTTTTTGATATTATATTCATAATTAACAATATATGGAGAATGTTTAGAATTTTTTAGAAGATATTTTACCAATTAAATCAGGATATGCAGCAAGTAACGACTCTCGTTCGCCACGTAATGCTCTCTTAAGCCCTTCTCTCTTCATTAACTCTCTATATTTCCCAAATTCGGCGACCAAAGCACTTGGAGTGTCAGCGTCAGCAATGTGATCCTTCAGCTTTTGAGCGACGCGCTCTTCAGCTGGCACTAGACCTTCCTCAATCTTTCGTCTCAGTCTATCCCATTCATCGTCCCAATGTTCATCCACTGCAACTAATTGTCAAAGTCATAATTATTATTTAAAAAACATGGATCGATTGAAAATATTAACTAAATTAATTTCTATTTTTCATTATTTTAATTATTTCAAGTATGCAAATGACGTTATTTTGATATTTAATGACGTCAGTTTGCTACTTGGGATATCGTTAATTGTTAAATAATTTGTGAAAATAAAGAGGAGAAACTATAATATTATTTAAATCTCGAAAATGCGTATGCTTGCGATTTGAATTTGATAGAATATCTTGAAAGTTAAAAACTGCACCTCTCGTGTCGTCGCATGTCTGAAGCAACTTCTCGACACCGAGTCCGGATCTTTCGCTCGAGGTCAGAAGTCTGGTCAATTGGCGATGCTGTGCACGCAAGTCGGACATTTGCCTGAAAAGATTCATCTATTAGCTATTCCAGATGATTATTCATACACGTTACTTCACCGTTTTACCTGAGACTTTTGCCGAGCTTCGAGCATTTTCCGGGTACAAAGATCGCTCCTTTCCAAGGATGAAGGGAGTAATGTGGCCAGAAGAGTTCTGTCAATTTCTGAGTTGCGTTTACCCACTTTTCGCACACCGTCGCTCCAAGTGCTATCGTTTCATCCTTTGCACGACTGTCGGTTGTGTCGACCTATTCAGCGATATTCCATAAGTTATTATACATAAAACGAGCAATAAAAGCGTTTTTGAAAAGAAAATTGAATGATTAGATTAGGTTTATAGAAGCTCATAAAAGCTTATTTGATTTTTTCGATTTTTTTCTTTGAGTTGATTTTAATTATTGGAAGAAAAATTCTGTTTCTTTCGCAAATTATGTTGAATAAGTCTTTCTCGAGATTTCTCGATTATTTAGACAGCTGTTAACAATGCTGTATAATTGAAAGAATTTTCAAGTCGACGTACCGCATTGAGATAATTCTGCGTTAATTGGACCACTTCGTTCCCAATCACGTCGAGAAACGATTTCATCCTTTCCTCAGTATACGCTGGTCCGCTTAATTTCCATAAATCATCTACGAACACTGAAATGGCTTCGCAAGCCTCTTCTACAGCTATTAATCCATCTCTATATTCAACATAAAAAAGTATACCAACTGTATAATAATGATATCTAAATAGAATTACAAAGAAATTTTAAGTCAAAAATCTTTAGTAATTACACTAAAACCTCTTTTTCTCATTTTAAATTAAATTACAAAGTATTACAAATTTGTATAAATATTTTTTCCGCTTTGTTTCAGAATAAAGCGCTACAAACTTTAAAGTTCCTGGCTTTTCGGCGCAGTCGCATGTTGGATTGTGACGTCAGAGGTGAGAAAATGCACGTTGAAAATTCTTGCGTGCCATTTTTAGATAAAAACCTATTTCGATGAAACATTACTTTAGATGACTTTAGCACACTTTTAAAATAGTCTGGAAACTCTTTGTTTTCTTTATAATCAATCAATAGCTGTGAAATGACTGTTTTTTATCTAAAAATGGCACGCAAGAATTTTTAGTATGTGTTTCCTCGCTTCTAACGTCACAATTTCAACATGGTCGGCGAGGATCCGTTTTTTACAATTATTTTATATTTCATGCATCGAGACAGACGGGATGAAAATTGCAATGCACCTAGACACCGCGGCGCTTTCAAGTTCGACCTTGATGTTCTTCACCGACTTAACGGCTTCCTCGCAAATTGTTCTCTCATGCGAGCGTTTCACTTCATCTCGTCTCCGTCTCCAAAATTCCTCCTCTTCTGCGACGGTGATCGAAAATCCGGAGCTGAGCAGCCTCTCCTCGAGGTTCTTGAGACATGACGCGCTTAAACCCGACGATTCTAGAGTCGGCGCCCAAACCTGACGAAGACCCTCGATCAATACCGATCCATCACCGCAGCCGGTGGAAGCCACTTGGACGACGTCGTGAAAGTTCTCTTCGGTAATCACGGCTGCTGTCATCTGCAAACATTTTTGCACCATCAGCAATATAAATGACGTACCTGACATTGTAACTTTCTATAGAAAATACTTTCTATTGTCGAGAAATAATTCACGCTCGTCAGCATTGAACATGATTGAAGATCATCAACGAAGAGAAACGTGTAAATCAACAGTTGTGTCTAGCAACTCGAAGTGTTTCTCGACAATAGCTTCTTTTCTATACTCGCTACGTTTATATTTGTCTCTTCTTCAGTATTTCTATTAAAGTACCTTAAAGAAGACCAGACAGTTGGCTGTTCCGGTATCCAATTCGGTGGTCAACTTCAACCGAACTTGCTTCCGGTCCTCGTCAACCGGTCGGGCGCATAAAATTCTACACGACGACTGCTCCAGGAAGCGATCGAGGATCTTTCGATCCTCGACATCTTCCTCATCCTGTTGCACGGAAGCGCCGAAGAAATACCCAGCTGTAGAGACTATAAGGTACCTGCGTTTATCCACGACCACCATTTTTTGCTTAATTTAAATCTTCTTTTTTTTGCGATTTAAGCTGTCATTCGAGCTCGGTGATTTTGTGGTAGACCAGGCTCATCAGGAAACGCCGGGTCGTCACGACGACCGCGACCATCAACACACAACAGCTGTAGCTATCGTTACATGCATCATGCATGGCTGCACGTGCGCAAATACGCGTAACGCTGCTCCAATCTGTCAGATTGCTTTCTATCTAATCATATTATAAGTAATAAAAGTATTTGACTTACATGTATGTGTGTGTGTGTGTGTGTAATATAATTATAGATAATAGTATAAAAAAGTAATATTTACAACGCCGTATTAAAAACATTTTGAAACCTCATACGTAAATTTTCGATATTTAAATCGATATAATGCAAATTGAAGAAATTGTATCAATAATTTTATTAATTAATCTTTGAGAGAGACTGCATGTAAAATTACAGTATATTAAATTAAAAAAGCGCATTTATTCAATTTAGAAAATTGAAGAAAAATGAACTGAAATTATTACTGAAATTCAAGGGTATTAATTCTCAGCAACGTACACGATATTATCGCGCCAGTTACTAAATATATCGCAGTGTTTACAGTAGAATCAATGGGCTAAACCCATTCTTCGTGTCTTGTGAAAGAGGCAATAATTCATAGTAAGTTATCTGACAGCTTCTAATTGTTCTCCTAATCAGCTGGTACATATACAAGCTAGCATGAAAAGACGCACACATGACTTGTAATTTTTTTACGTTGAATAACAAATTACGTAAATTATATTAAAAACATTCGAGTGCGCATCATAGAAGAAAGAATATCATTGTAATCAGTGTTAACAAAATATCTAGCAAAAATATATTTTTTTTAAATTTTATACAAAACAAATATATCTAATGATGGTAGATTATCTCTTTAAAGATAGGGAATGATTCGCAACTCGGAGAAAATATTTAAAGATATACGTCAGTCGTGGCTGAGAAGTTATAAAGCGCATCTCTCCCTTGGTTTCTTCGACTGCATTATGCACAGATGCCTTGTAAATTTATGGAGCGTGCATACTTGCGCCTTACGAGATGCTTATGCGATCGGAACGTATGCGTGCGTTGCGTGCCTGCTCGCACCAAGGTCGCAATATCGGAATACCATCTTCTCGAACCCTCGGCGAAGTCACGTATATGACTCCAACAATTCTTTCTTCTCCGCACTCGTCGTTTATTCATCTGCAAGAGTTACATTTTTAGCAAATGATGAAATTCGAGAAAACATTTCTTTTCTAAGCAATCAAGACTTAATATAAAGATGAAGAGGAACCTGAAGAGAAATCTCCCGACCGCAAATTGGGCCCGCCGAGGCACGCCTTGTACTCCGACACTGCCAAGCCGAGTCGGCAATGTTTCCTCATCGGCCACCGACGCCACGATAATGAAAGATCCAGGGATCCACAACCCAGATCGCCATATTCCAGACCCAGACGCTCAGTCGCATCGCGGACGCGCGCGCGGAGATTCGTCCCCACGCGGATACGAGGTGTTCGAAAGTGGATTTTTTACCTGGCTTTATTTTCTCTCTCTCCAAGAACATTGTTTTCTTCTTTAAGCGTCAACTTTATATGTGGCAGTCGAACGGTGCTCGCGGTGAGTCGAAGAGATACATATCGACAACTTTCGACTTATAAATTGTCCAAGAGTATTAATCTCCTGTAAAGTCAAAGAATTATGGTGAATAAATACTTCATTAATACTTCGTTATATATTATTAAACTGTCGGGCAAAAAAAAAAGAAAATAAGAACTTATCAAACGATATTTTGTGATATATATACTTGTGAGAGCACTTTTGATTATTTTGAAATTTTTGAAATAATAAATAACAGGTTCCTTAATTTAAAGAAATATTAAAAATTAATAAAATCTTACTTTTTCTTTTCAATCTGTTTTGCTTTAATAAAATTAATCAATGAATCAAATTAATTAAATATATTTTAAAAATTAAATCAATTAAATACTTAAATTTAATATTGAAAAATAAAAGGAAATTATGGAAAAGATTGTACGAGTCAAATGTTTGTTAAAAAATACTGAGTTTATGTATATATAAAATATTTGCAATTAAAATGAAACAGTGTTCGTAACATTTTTATGCTAGGTATCTCGTTGATAAATATACTTAAAAAAATCGCTACATGAAGATTATATCGCACACGATTTGAAGAGTGCAAATGCTTAAAATATCACTTCAACTGTTTATCATTATTGCTTTTAAATGACGTTATATATTATATATTATAAAAATTAGAAATTATATACATTGTATTAAAGAATATGCATTAATAATATTACTCGATTCATATTTAAAAGTTTCTCTTATTTGTGAAAATATTGATTTAAAGGTAAAACGTTTTATATATATAAATATAAACAAATTGAATAGATATAGCTGTACAAATTTTTATAACCGCACAAATAATGTGTTAATTAAGATGTTTAAAATTTTTATTTTATGTTATATAAATACAAATTACATATTGCTTTTATTGAAAAATTTATCTTTTAGCTTTTGTATATATACTAAATCTCTTTGCTGCAAAAAATATGATTCATCCATATGTAAATAAAAACACAGATTATACAATAAGCTTATATAAAACAAAACAAATATTTCCCTTTGTGATATTCCCGCACGAGAAAAGTATTTTCAAAAATTAGGTATAAATAATTTAATAATTTTATGCTACATATTTTCTTCTTTCCTTATCTTTTTCATCATGCTAAAACGATATGTTTCATATTTAGAGAAATGTTTAATTAAAAAAAAATGTTTTCTTTATTTCATGCTAGTTATTTACTAATTCTTAATATTCAAACATTTTATTTTCATTAATAAAAATATCAATTTTATAAACTAGTTAGACTAACAAAAAATTATTAATTTTGTTTTTCCATTATTTATTAATTACATTTAAAAAAACACAAATCTGTCAATTCTTTTCAAATCGGTCTGCTATATTGAAAGATGGATATAATTTGAATAAAACAGAAAAGAGTTTTCCAGATATAATATTATCTTTTTTTATCTTGAATTTTAAAATTTATGTAGCTGTCGGAATGTAAAAACGTTGCAAATATATTCATAACGATTGCACAGTGCAGATCGAGTGGCATTTTTATATCATTACTCAATACATGCTTCTCTCTTATCGATAATTATTGAATCATTAACAAAATAAATTCCATCTCAGGGTTTGGATTTTATCACTTAACAAGATGAGCCATGATCTTATTACTTATAATAAGTGGCCATTGTGTTTAACTCATCGCGTATTTTTACCTTGAAAACACAGCAAATGTCGGTCCCTGATATAATCATAAAACTCTTTCCATTAATTTAACACATGTTTTATATCATGCATTTTATATATATTTTATATCGTAATAAAGTATTATAATATAATAATAAAATTATAATAAAATTACTTCTCAAAATGATATCCGGAATCGTAAGAAAGATTTTCCATTTGATAAATTATATGATTTGAATATAATTATGCCTCGTAATTGATAAGTTTTGCATATATGATAGATAAAAAAAATTATCATTCGTATAAACGCATTTATAAATACGTTTATATGTTTAAGCTTTATGTTTACATTATTAATACATACATAAAATTTAAATCCAGATAAACAAAATTGAGAGATAACAAGAATAGAAATGACAGATATGTGTTGAAACGCGAGAAATCTTGCCACTCAATTAAGGATGAATCATGCACCGTGCATTCAAAGGCTCGTAATAATTACGAGGAATTACGTAAAAAGATGTTCACGGCTTCCATAGAACTTTATGCTTATGGGCAGTGTAGACTTAAATTGCTTCCAAACCCTACATTTATTAAAAACTTCTTGTAAACAATATTTTATATAGAATAAAATAGAGACAATTATAGTAAAATATTAATTAAAAATAATAATAATTGTCTTATATGAAGAAGGGAAAAGTTCAGAGGATTTTTTTAATACATTTTTTTTATAGTAGAAATTTAAAAGAATTTATTTTGCTTTATTTCATAAAGATTGAATTTACCTTCTTTATTTTCATTCTTCTTCTACGTTTGTTTATAGATGAAAATCCAACTTTATTCATACTTCTTCACGGATTTTTTCTTTTCTTTCCTTCAGGTTTCCTTCAAAAAACTTGATCGCTTACTCCTCGACATGAGCACCGAAGGTACCAAAGGATCTCCGAGCGGGATTACGATCGGTTTTTCGATCCTGACGCATTTTCTACTCGTAGCTCCTGTGATATATATCCTGGTGCTTGCCTTTAGCAACTACCATTTCTTCTCTTGGCATCCGATTTGCATGTCTATTGGAGTAAGTGTCAACAAAGCTTCTATAAAAGAAATCATAAAAGACTTGACAGTTTCAAATCATATTTTACAATTTTATGATTTACAAATGCACAGTTTGATAAAATTGTGTAAAAATTAACAAAACCATATATAAATATATAAGTTTTTATAGAGCAGTCGTAATCAGATTCCTAGTTTTTTAATGTTCTATTATTTATTGATATAAAACTTGTAAATAAACATGATTTTAAGAATCTTGTTTTTTAATCTTCTATAAAAGAGTTTTATCAAGATCCTTGCTATCTGAGAAATAAAAAATTCCCGATACTTCATCTTCTTCTGCATTGCAGGTCGGTCTTCTGGTCACAGAAGCTGTCTTCAGTGTCTCCGGTGAAGCATATATTGCTTCGAAGCTACCTAGACGTAGCCGAGTGACGATACACTGGATTTTGCATACAATAGGTCTAAGCATCATCGGGATCGGTTTCATCATCATCATCGTCAACAAGGTCAATCACAACAAAGCGCATTTCGCCACCACTCACGCGCAATTGGGCTTGGTAACGATTATCCTGTCCTTCCTGACCGCGTCTTTCGGAATCCTGGCGAATAACACGGTATGGATATATCCCCGTGTAAGACCGGTGCTCGTCAAGGTCGCTCATGCCTGCGGCGGCATCGGCATACTTGTACTTTTGCTGGCGACCCTCATCAATGGGACCTACTCCCACTGGTGGCCCGGCACCGAGACAGGAAGAGACTTGGTCTTCGCGTCCTTATTCTTCGCGGGCTTCTTAATCCTCGTAAAACCGATATTGGGGACTTTCTCCAGGTGCAGAGTCGTATTTGGACCACCCTCGAGCGAAACGTAAGCGACAGAGTCTCGCCTTGAGAGAAAAACCATCAAGTACGAGAAGTCGTCGCTCCGAGAGAAGCAAGATACACCTTTGAATAATCGAATTATATCGAAAAATTAACTATATAAAAAGTTGGGGTCTTGTTTTCTCTTGTAATCTTCGTAAAATGCCCAATGGAGTAGTAGCGAGAAGCCAAAGATCATAGAACTAATCTTGTTAGCTGAATGTTGTACGTCTCACCGATCTCGATCCAGGGAAATGTTGTTCATTATTGTTCTGAATAGTGAAAAAAGAATTATTGTTCTGAATAATGAACCGTCGACAAAGATTCGATTAGCGCATCGCTGGCATTACACATGTATAACAATACTTTATTGATTACACACGCATCGTATACATTTATCATACATTATTTTACACATATACGTATATGTGTACAACATATTTGCGAGTGTGCTATATATATATATATATTTTTTTTTTTCATAATACAATGTACATATATAATATATATAACACAATGTATTTATTTGATATTTTCATATCTTTATATATGCTATTTATATTATACTTTGATTCACATATTAACAACAACTTTTCTCAACTGTAAATTATTTTTGTCTGAAAGATTCAGTCTCTCCTCCCCCTTCCCCTCTCCTTTTACTTCCATAAAATTGTTTAATAAGGAAGATTATCCAACAATATTTAAACACACATATATATAGATATACAGCCTCGCTTGTCTTCAGGACAGAATCATTTTTATTTTGTGTTTTGCTGTCTGTTTGTGAAATCTCTTCCTTGTGTACACATTTATTCAAGGCATCAGTGTGTCTTGATAGTATACTATTTATACTAATTTAACTGTGTTACATTAAAACATCAATACTTATCAGTTCTACGATAAAATCGCTTTCTTACAGAAAATAGTTATATTAAAAATAATCAACTAATCGCAGAGACACATTTTTCTTCACGCGAATCTATCTTCGAATAGGATAGAAGCTCCTTTTTTTTACTTATTTTTTTTACCATTAAAAAAGAAGCTTCTCTTAAAAACGAGAGAAAAGCTCCTTTTTCATGTTTCATTATTACGTATATTAGGACACATTATTTTGTACTGTTCGCTCTACTGGTTGCTCATAATGACACTGTAATTAAAACCGTAACATCGTGCGATAATAACAATTTTTTCAAGTATACTTGACAAGTGTAAAATAGAAAAATAGACTGTCTTTTCTTTTATTTATTTCAATTTATCTGTTGAAAAAATTGGACTTTTTTTAGTATATTTCTTTTTTAGATTCTAAATTTATTTCCCCAAAATAACTCAATCAAATTGACTATTTATAGAGAATACATTTTTTTTCTTTACTTCAATTTATCTATTTTGTAAAATTAATTTTTAGAACAGAAATATCGTGTAAAGTGCGGATTTTTTTAGTATTTATTTTATTAGATTCTAAATTATTTTCCCCAAAATAACTCAATCGTGTTCAATATTCCCGTGTTAATATTGTATTATCGACACATTGTTACTGTTTGCAATGCGTCATTGCTCTTAATCCTACTTATATTATTAGAACAGTCAACCGTTTGACTTGGCCGGTTTAAGAGAACCAGTAACTAACATTAATTATTAATTATCATTATTTTTTACATGGCGTGCAATATATATACTTTTAATAATCATTGAAGGCCGCGCCATTTACACATCAGGTAACTTTCGTGTACAGTCTAAAAACATTAATATTATTAAACATTTAACTCCTAGTTTGATGGGAGATTGATTCAAGGAGAGAAGCAATCGTAGATCTAACGGCACTTTCATAGTTTAACATATTGGCTATAACTTTCTCGAAGTGCAGAGCTTGTGAAAGCGCATTCTTTTTTCTTTTACTTTCATGTTTGTATGTTTACAAACGTGTATAATGTGTCTAAAGTGCAAAATTCACAATTATTTAATATTGCACAATCAAAACGTTATTAATATTAATTATATAATTTGGAGACTGCCTTTTAGCATTTAATAGAATTATTTAAATTTATTTTTTATTTACTTTCGCCACATTTTTCTAAAATCTTTTTCGGTTTCTAATTTTGTAATAGTTTTTGATTTCAGTTACAAAGAGATTTGATTTTTTTATTCATCTGTCATTTTAAGCAGCTCATGTTTCACTTTTATGATTCAATAATTAAAAAATAAGATAGAAAGATGAAAGTTTTTATGAAATGTCGATACTTTCTCAGAATCACAAAACGGTAAAAGTCACAAAAGTGGTAATCTGAACAAGACACGTTTTGGATAATTCGGATATATCGATATATCCATACTCTCTCATATCTGCAAATCTAGATTTAGAACTAAAGCCACTCTTTTTATTTATGATTTTTGACTCATTCGGAATCGATTCTTCCTTGAAAAAAAAAAAATTATCTCAAGGCATCGGTAGTTCTTGTTAACTATAATAGTAATGGTTTTGATATACAACATTTTGCTAGACTAATATTGTTCGAAAAATATTTCGCATAAAAAAATAAAAATAAAAATAAATTTGTTTCTAATTGTACTACTATAATATGCACTTTGTCAATAAGCTTATATTAGCTTCTTTCACACAAATTTCCTAATTAATAATTAATACATCTTATACTTTCTTGTCTATTTCTTCATTCATTATCATCTTTCACTGCATATCCAAAATAGCTATATATATAAATAATCTATATAATCTATATCCCTGAAAACTTTTACACATTGAAAAGGTACATACCAATATAGATATTAGAGACTTTCAACATTTACTATAAAAGATTAGTATACCATACATTAAATTTTCTCCTCGGCTTCTTTTTTGCATTCGCTGGTTACTTTTATCTTTAACAATTTCATCTCTCTGCTATCTAAATATATCATAAATTCGTTTTCATGTATAATAAGTCATACATAAATATAACTCTCTATTCCATTGAATAATTAAAATAATCAACAATTTTAGCAAATAAATATTTATCTATAATTACAAAACAATCATTGTGATACCCTGGCATACTTAAATGATACAACAATGTCGCATCCTTTTCAATTTCTTTTTGCTAACTAATTTTATATAGATTCTTATAACATCTTTTGGGCACATTTTGGCCGAGAATTTTTAATGTTAATTAATTTCATTAATAAGTTTACTCATCTTCACAAAAAATGTTTAGCAATATTATAAATTATTCCAAAGAGAATAAAAAATTTGTAAGAGCCTACATATTTAATAAAAGACTTATTTCTTGAACAATCGATCAGTTGTAAGAATTAGATCCAATAAAAATAATTTTTGGTAGAATATATTAAAAAATTATAATTAAAAATGTTTTTTTTTTATAAAAAGAATTGAATAAAATACAATAAAATAATTCTCATCATATTGATAAAAAATCGTAATAGATTGTCAACATTATGTGAGAATACTTGTCCAATTCGATTAGATTAACTTAACACTATCGAATCCTAACAGTGCACCTAACAGTGGACATACTGTTTCTTTGTTAAAGTTATTCTAAGATTTTGTTATTGTATGTAATATAAATGTGTTATATCATACCTGCTGCGAAGTAATTAAATCAGTTTTACTAGAGTTCTTAAGAATTGATGGTCCGGGAAGTTTCTGAGTAGTAGTGACGACGCTGGGCGGTTGTACGATCATCGGTTGACCATTCACCAAAATAATCGTATCTCGTACCGAGTCATACGTTCCAGGGGGTGCTTTGACGATACGAATTAAATATTAATTAATATAATAATTATAAATATTAATTATTATATATAAATATAATAATATTAAATAATTCGATGTTCGTGATCATTAACGTTTGAAATGACGAGCAAAATCGTTACCTGAGGAGGGCGTACGAGTCAAAGTTCTGGAAGATGTCAAAAAACTTCGCGATGCCGGACCCCAGTTGGATGTTGGTTGTAACAATACTTTTATACGATTCCATACACTTTTATTTTTGCCATTTCCTTTCTTTGCTTTTGCGTAAGACTCGCTGTTATTGCTGTGCTCGTCGTCATCATCGTCGTCTTCGTCATCGTCATCGTAAGCTGATGATTGCACACGCTGCCCTTTTAGCTGAACCTATAAATTGTCATCTGTCATATAGAATATATTTATCATTGCTATAATATGTTCAAATAAAAAGATTGTCTTACAACTTACTATAGCTAAACCGATAATAACTAAAACGGGAAGCATAGTGATAACCCAGCCTAATACATCCGCCCATTTTGGATAAATGTAAGTTCCATATTTCACCGGTTCGTATTTCACCCAATTGAAGCAAAGGATGAAGAATAATGCAGCAGGTGTGATAACTTTCCACATCCACGTCCAGAAAAATCTCCATAAACGACCTCGAGGCCCGATCATCTGTTGAACATCGTCCAGAAAACGATCCGCTCCGTATATCCATGCCACGAGAATGCATTCGCTAATTGCGATCAACAAAACGGACCAATTGGCAGCATACTTGTCCATTAATTGCAACCAGTACATACCGGCCTATGAAAAAAAAGCTAAGTCATTTCAATAGTATGTGTCAAAAACCTAGAATAATTTCTCATCTTTATATCTTCGAGGAACAGAAACTAGACGAAACTCACGTTGGTGGTGAAAATGACGCCACCGATGTAGCCGATCACTGCAGTTCCTAGAACGACCCAAATTTTATAATTTCTCAATGTAGGGATGCCGTCGAGTATCGCCGTAGTAACAGTTTCCATCAGAGCGAATTGCGAATCGAGACCCAAGGTGAGCAGCATGATGAAGAACAGTAGCGACCAAACGGGTGCAATCGGCAGACGCGTCACAACCTACGAATAGTCACATAAAAAAGTTTTTCGATGATTTTGAAACATACATATTTGAATATAAATATGACGTATGTAAGAGCTGATAGAAAAGCTGACATAAAAGCTCCTATATTAAATTAAGATCTAAATGCATAATTACCTCCGGATAAACAATAAACGCCAAACCAGCACCTTCATCTACCACTGACGCCACTGGTACATCGAGTTCATAAGCCAGGAAACCAATCACCGAGAAGATGACCAGGCCGGCGAAGAAGGAAGTCCCGATATTACTGATTGCCACAATCAAAGAGTCTTTGTAACAGTTGTTGGTGAATTTATTGTACGAGCTTAAAGTGATCAAACCTCCCCAGGCTGGACTCAAAGCGAAAAAGATCTGTACCGCAGCATCTCCCCACACTTTGGCGGACATTAATCTTCTCCAATCGGGAGTCAGATAAAAAAGTATCCCTTCGTTAGCGCCAGGAAGTAAAATTCCACGAATAAAAAGGATGACCTGCGACAAAAATATATAATTGTTTCGTAAAAAAATGCTAAATTCCTATTAATCATATATTTAATTATTATTACGGATTAATTACCAGAACGACGTATGGGAAAAGAGCGGTGAAGTAAACGACTTTGCCTGAGCTTTGAACGCCTTTGCTCAGACAAAGAAATACAATAATCCATGCCAAAAAAAGACATGCTGCCATGAATGGTCGAATTGATCCCGTTTCTTCGATCCCACTACTAATTCCTAATACATGATTCCTAGAAACGCAAAAAATTTTATATAAAAAATTAATACAATTCATAAGAGATAAAACATATCAACGAAAAGCAAGATAATAACTGTAATATGCAAATAAAGAATTAAATTCATAATTTAATGATAAGACATCGATCAAATAAATCAAATCAAGCGCCAAAAAATATAATAATTTATATGATGTATGTCATTACTGAAAATATTCCTCAGCTGGCGGTCTTTTGATTACACTAGTCATGTTCTCGACAATTAAACCCATCGCAGTCATTTGAGTTGAATTGAGGCATTTTCCTTTGAAGTAAGAAACGTTTTGAGAAGCGCAAGCCTCAGCAGCGTCTGGCATAAAACAATCCTTGGTGCTCCACTCTTTTTCACATTTACTCCAGGGTAATTCCCAACCACCTGTGCAAGAAATTTAAATAAAAAAACCTTTAAAAAATTGTTTAAATTGTTTACAACTCTGATATTAACATAGATATTATTCATTAAAAAAGTATCAATATTAATATAATTTGATTTATCAGAGAATTTATCAATCTTAAAAATAAAATCAGATTATGCATAAAATATTCTGCATATCAAAATAATTATATTTACCAAGAACTGAGGCGAACATGTAATATAGCGTCCAGGCGATGATTAAATTATAATAGAGCATGACGACGAAACTAACAAGGACCATTCCGTATCCTAAACCACGAAGTAAGGGGCAAAACTGTTTGTAAGCTGCCACTGGTCCAAGACTGGCATACTGTCCTGTGAAATAAAACAAAAACAGAACGATATCATGGTTGCAAAACATGAAATAATTCACAATATCAAATTCGTGTTGTCGCAAAGTATTCGATCACTATTTCGTTCTACCTAAAGAAAGTTCCATGAACATGAGAGGTAATCCAGCGATGACGAGCATCACGGTGAACGGTATCAGAAAAGCACCGCCGCCGTTTGAGTAGCAGAGATACGGAAATCTCCAGACATTTCCCAGGCCCACGCTGTACCCCAGAAGGGATAATAGAAAATCAAATTTTCCCGTCCAGGTTCCACGCTCCGGATGATCATCTTCAGCGTCCTCCAAGGGCGCTTGACTATTCGCCACAGAGTATTTGTCTTCGTTCTGTTGAAAAAAACGTCATTATTTTTTTTCTTATATCTATTAGTTCTATTAAATAATTTTACGAGATTTATGTTTGTAAAATATATATGTATATGAGAGACTACTCGATGTGTATATACAGAAAATCAATATAAATCTCTGACTTACATCCCAGTCCAAGTAAGGACGTATTCTCGAGGATGTGTCTTCCATTTTCTACATCGATGTTATCTCCCACTGCCTAACATCAATCGTTTATTCGTTTTCTCATAGCCGAATCGGACCTATAATTAAAATTCAATGATTAATTGTACTAATTAGCTTTTTTTGATGAAACGAACATTCTATATATTTTTCCTCGGATTTTTCTATACATAAAAACCTTTTACTGCTACATTAAATTATATTCTTCCATCGTTATGTTTATAATTAAAAAGATACAGTTAATTAAAGATATATAAACTATTTTATATTTTAGTTTAAAAAATGCAAAAAGATGCAATAAAAACGAACATCTTTTTTCTTCTGGACAAAATATTTGCAATCCCGTAATTTTCCATCCAAAATTCGCAATATTATTGAATAATAATTATTCGCGTTCTAATTAAATTATGATCGGATTAGCACTAGAGAGATGGAGATAGATACATTGCGCTAGCGCAATGACGTAATCGGTCTTACTGTGAAATTCGATCTTTTCATACAACACCTTTTCATAAACTGAAATAATATATGAATCTAAAAATTACACAGTAACATTATTTTTTCATTCAATTATAAATATTTATAATTTTACATATACTTGTTTTTCCATTAATGTAAAAAACTAATTATAAATTATAAAATTGAATTTGAATCGATTAATGATATTTTTCCCAATTGACATTTGATAATATAAATAATACGAAAAGAGAAAATATTATATTTAAATTAAACTGAAAATTGAATAATGTCAATGAGGCAAATCTGAATTTAAATTTCAATTCGCGTGTCTATCATTCAACTGTCACTTACATATGTCACTTTATCAGCGTCTTTATCAACGTCAAATCACGCGCATTCATACATCCATTCATTCAAGTTTGCTGAAATACAGATGAGTTTGCCGGTAAAATCAGCTGATGATTGACAATATCGATCTACCCCTATCGGCCTTAACAGAGAATTCTTGCCAAGGTCAGACTTGCACTGTCACTATATAAATGTCAAGGTCACGCTCTTGGTAGGCCTACGATCGCGCAAAGGAAAACGAAAGAAGGAGAAGGGTCGGGAAATTGAAGAGATGTGCAAACAGATGTGATGGAAAATTGATTGAAGAATGAGCGATCCGTGCCCGGGCAACTCGCCGGCCTATCTGGCTGTCTGCTTATAGGGGAGCATTTCTATTTGCAACCCTCTTTACCTCTCCGCGACCCGACTCCTGTTCGCGCTCACTCCTGCATTCCCACTTCCCTATTCTCTCTCGCTTTCGCGCCCAGACACGAGACCTGTCGCGAGCCTCAAACTCCACTCCGATCGATCGATATTACTGCTCCTGCGAGCTGTGTTCCATCCTAAACCTTGCATCCTCTCCCTCACTTGGGTCACTTTATTCTCAGTGTGCTATCGCATGTCATCATTTATTTCCATCGGCCGGGTTTGGCTTCGGCCAAAGGGATGTATATACCTATAAACATCTTGCGAGCGAGAAAAGAGATCGATCAGAGATGAAGGAAGGATCAATTCGTTCAATATCATTTTTAATATCACTACTTTCATCGTTAAATATTTTTTTATCCATCCATAAAGTTTGTATAAATTTTAGATTAACATTATTGATAAACATTACAAGAGAAAAGATCAATTTTTTTATATTAATTAAAAATTAATTTTTTTATATGTAAAAGAAAAAATCATTCTTTGAAGTGAAGGAATTATAAGATATCAATTTAATATTTTTATCGTTAAATATTCTTTTATCCATAGTTTGTAGAAATTTTAGATTAACATTTTACTTATATAACTATTATAAGAGAAAAAATCATTTTTTCATGTGTAAAAAAAGGAATTATTCTCTGCAGTAAAGAAAAAATCAATTTGTTCAAAATAGTTTTTAATAATCAAACTACTTTTATCATTAAATATTCTTTTATCCATCCATAAATAAGTTAGTATAAATTGTAAATTAACATTACGAGAAAAAAGATCAGAATTTTTTTGTATTAAAAATTAATTTTTTTCATATGTAAAACGAGAAATTATTCTTTAAAGTATAACTGCACATCATATATGTGTTAAAAATGTTTTGCAAAAAATTTATAAAAACTTTAGGAAAGTAATATATTATGAAATAATCATAGTTTAATTATCTTCCAATTATGCTTAAATTAATTGATAAAGAAAGCTAGTATCAGCTAATTAATAAATTAATAAATTAATTATCATTGTTTAATAATATTACCCAGAAAAGGAATGGAAAAAGGAAAGCATTTTATTAATTTCACTTTCCATTTAACCTTGTATAATCGTGTATTGAATGCTGCTGTATAACTTTGACGTCTCGCAGGAAGTTGTCGACGCATCCTTTCATTAATTTCCGGTGAGTAATTGTCACTGCCATCAATAGAAACTGTTGTTCTCCCCTGCACAATATGTTGGAGTGAGCATTCCTCTTTCAGCATATGTATTTCCCATATATTCGTCATTTTACATGTATTTTATATGTATGAGATTTTTAGGAAAATGCTGCGATATTCGCAATTGTATGCTCAGAAAGAACCTGTTCGGAGAAAAAAATATCAATTTATCGTACAAAATTAACCAAAATTAATCACACATAAATATAAAAATAATATGACGCTAGTAATAAACAATTTCGATGATTAACGACGATTATTAGAAGAAACTCTGATGAATAACATTTACTTCTGTTGTATTAAAGTATAATTACTTTGTTTAATCTGATACTCGAGTAGAAATAATCTAACGGCTTTCCTTCTCCGTATATAGGCTATATTTTCTCGAGAGACACGAAAGACGTCATAAGTATCACATCGAGGCGCTGGCGCTGACAATCAGCTGATCAGCTGTCAACCCCGATAAAACGTCAAAAGTACGACTCACCTAAATCGCGTGTGCGTATCTAATAAACGTTCCATTCGCAAATAATTTGACAGGACGCGCTCAACGTTATACACTTTAAAGAGATCACTTGTCAAAATGGCCGATTTAAAATACAATAAATATCGATATATCGATTTATCGCTTTGTTTAATCTGATACTCGAGTAGAAATAATCTAACGGCTTTCCTTCTCCGTATATATAGGCTATATTTTCTCGAGAGGCACGAAAGACGTCATAAGTATCACATCGAGGCGCTGGCGCTGACAATCAGCTGATCAGCTGTCAACCCCGATAAAACGTCAAAAGTACGACTCACCTAAATCGCGTGTGCGTATCTAATAAACGTTCCATTCGCAAATAATTTGACAGGACGCGCTCATCGTTATACACTTTAAAGAGATCACTTGTCAAAATGGCCGATTTAAAATACAATGAATATCGATATATCGATTTATCGCTTTGTTTAATCTGATACTCGAGTAGAAATAATCTAACGGCTTTCCTTCTCCGTATATAGGCTATATTTTCTCGAGAGGCACGAAAGACGTCATAAGTATCACATCGAGGCGCTGGCGCTGACAATCAGCTGATCAGCTGTCAACCCCAATAAAACGTCAAAAGTACGACTCGCCTAAATCGCGTGTGCGTATCTAATAAACGTTCCATTCGCAAATAATTTGACAGGACGCGCTCATCGTTATACACTTTAAAGAGATCACTTGTCAAAATGGCCGATTTAAAATACAATAAATATCGATATATCGATTTATCGCTACGTCATGATTACGCACGCGGTCGCGATTAATCGAGAGTCGTGGTGTCTGCGATAAAACTCGTGGCTGATCCGTTGAGTTGGTGCTGATTGCAAACGGTAGACGTCAGTAGGCGGAAAAAAAAAGAAAAAAAAAATATCGCCGGGTCGTCTCTCCCTCGGCCCTCTCGGCCGCGCGTCATCTTTTCTTACCTCGCGAGTCGATCGAGTCGCGTCGATTTCCGCGAACCGTCGAGATTTCCCTAACCTCTAAAAACGCTCCGCACTTCTCACGGTACCTTCTTCCGCGAGATCGACGAATCATCTCTCGGACTCTCTTTCTCTCTCTCCCGTAGTTCCATCTATCTATCTCCCTCTTTCTCTCCACGGCTCGCTCCTATTTTCATTCCCCCATGTTTCCCTGTCGCCTCTGGCTCTCGGCAGGCCTTTAACTCCCTCCTTCCTGACGAAGACCGTGAAGATCATCACGTTCTGTGAAAAATTGTGTGCAGAGAGCTCGAAGAAGACATCCAGTGTCAGAGTCTTAAATTGCGAGGACTTGATAATTCTGTGTAGCGATATATATATATATATATAACATATATATATATATATATATATTTTTTTTTTTGTCGCGGAGTGTGGTTGACAAGCACGGTGGCAAGATTCAACTTCCTGTCATCACGATCGCCGAGTAAACAGGCAAAATTCCGACGATTTACGGTCTATGAGCGCCAAGAGTCAGGGGGACCCTGGAGAAGATCACGTTTCCAGGTGTCACGAGAGTCGTTGCGTTCGCCTTAGTGTCGCTCGCAAACCGCTTCCGAAATAATATGTTTCCGAATCCTCGGCGATGACGTTTGTGCACGAAGCCCAAAATTCTATCTCGACCACGACGAAATTTTAAACACGCTCGTTAATCTGATGTCCTCGTCGTGAGATTCGCGACAGTCGCAAGATTAATCTATTCCTAACGCTTTGTTTTGGTGCAACGACATTGTGTCATCCGAACTTGGCGAATTATATATATATATATATATATATATATATGTACAAATTACATATAATCCTCGAGATAACGAATTTACTTAGCTCTTTTGCATTTATTATGAAAACAAAAATTCGAGCGATCTTTATCCTTTGCAGACATTTTGTTTCTCTTCTTTCTCTCTTACGTATTGTGATATAAAATAAATATACTTATATAAATAGACATAAAGCGATATAATTAGAATTCTATATATGAGCATTATAGTTTTACAATACATAGAATCTTATCACGAATATTTTCTCAGTGTTGTATTTTTCGAAATTTTGCAAGAAAGGCATAAATATCCATGTGACTTATACATATTCTATATATACATCTGTCATTTTTATAGGGTAAGAGCAGAGAGCCCTTGCAGCGACATGAAGCGCGCAGCTGCAAAAAAGCTCATTGAACGGTACTTTTACCAACTTACGGATGGATGTGGAAATCCTCATTGTGACAATCAACATTGTGCCTCGAGTGGCAAAGTATGATTTTAAAATTAATTTATTCAGAGAAAAATTGTAAAAATTGGATAACAATTTACTTACATATGTATTTTATTTTATTCTTTTCACTAGGTTACTAATCTTACTCCAAATCAAGCAGCCGCTCAAGCAATACAGTTATTCTCGCAAGAAGCAAGACTTTGCGATGGTACACAACCCAGTAAAGTCGCTCGGACTACTATAGAACCAGGGCAAACGTCGTTAGCTAAAAGTCTACCTGTAAAAAGCGTTAATCCTACAAGCTCCGACGAAGGTATCTTGAGAAGTTAAATTACAAATGATACAATATACAAAGGAATAGATTATGCTTTGCAGATGCAAGTAAATTTAATACATTTTCATTTCTTATTAGGGAAACAAGAGCCATATCTTACAGAAGCTAAACTTCTGTATATTATAGAAAAATGTAAAGCAGAAGATTCATATTCTTTATTAATTCGTACTTTGGGAGAGGTGTTTTCTTCTGGAAAGGCATTAAGTCTCAGCTTTCAAAAGACTGAGAAGAGTAATTCTCCTTTGGTGGCGCTTCTCGAACGAGCACCAGATACTTTATTAAGGCCACCTGCAGATTTAAACAAAGAGGCGGTACGATCTCTTCAAGGAGAGGATAAAGAAGAAGATAGCAGTGATCCGTCGCCTACAGTTCCTAATAATGACGACACTAGTGTCGATTTACCATCCGTTCGTAGAGCTTTTGAAGCTCTTTGGTCTCTTCCAGGTGTGAAAAAATATATTACCTTTTTTATATATTTAATTATATAATTAATTTGTCATACATAGGTATATATCTAATTAAAATTAGTCTCTTTATTTAAAACAATTTTTTAAAACAGTAGTTAGTGTATAATTTATAACTATTAAAAATTATATAAAGATATTATTTATATAATATCATTGATAAATATATATCATTTTAATTTAATTAGGTGAAGTATTTGAGTCAGCTTTGGTGAATGCATTAGTCACTTTGGCAGATGACATAGAATTAGATCTGAGAGTATTTCGCATAGTACGCTGGGACAGTATGGACAGTTTGTTAAATGTATTTCTCATTGTCTTTGAAATTCCGATGCTCGGAAATAGCGAATATCTGGAACTGGCCCTTCATATGTTATGCAAAGCATTGAGTTGTTTACCGATAGTGGCTCAGGCTAAGTTGGCACGTGTCTGGGCCAAGCACTGCAAATCACGGCTTCCAAATCTTCTGCAAGCACTTCAAGAACTCATAACTGTCAAGGTGCGTCTTTCAACATTATCAATGCTCATTCACATCGATTTCAAAAAAATCTTTTTTTTTTTTTTATAGTTTTTCCTATAATTTTGAAAAAAATTTAATATTATGTTACAGGTAATAGGAGGCTCTTTCACGCGCGATTATTGCGTCCAAGATGCGGATACTATTACCGCACCTACGAAAGTTATGAAAATTCTATACTATGCAAGTATGTTGGCTGGAGAATTAGATCCTCCGGAGCTAATACTGGGCGACGAGGCCGAATCAGCAAGCAGTGACAAAACTGCTTCGCGATCGGCAATATCAGGACAGATTCCTCAGGTATCTTCTTCATTCATATTCTTAGAGAAAACCCTACATATTTATTACATCGCTTTTGTACGATAAGTAAAAAAACAATATTTATTTCAGGATCCGTTAGCGACAGAATTAGGAATTAATGCATTAGACGCACGTAAACCTTTTATACCATTTACTGATTTCTACAATGAACCACTGAGCGATGCCATAGAGATGGACAAAGATTTTGCCTATTACAAGAGTGAAGAACCGATGAAATTTAGCTTTATGAATTATGCTTTTGTTCTTACACCAGCTACTAAAACTTTGGGTTTATATTACGATAATCGCATTAGAATGTATAGCGAACGACGTATGAGTTTTTTACAAACTGTTGTCGGGCAACCTACCAATCCATATCTCAGATTGAAGGTTTGTTAATTCAATGAGATCATAGAAAAGATTTTCAATGTACGAGTTACATATACATATATTTCATTTAAACAGGTGAGGAGGGATCATTTGATAGATGATGCACTGGTGGAATTGGAGATGGTAGCGATGGAAAATCCATCTGACTTGAAGAAGCAATTAGTTGTCGAATTTGAGGGAGAGCAAGGTGTCGACGAAGGCGGTGTATCTAAAGAATTTTTTCAACTAGTTGTAGAGGAAATCTTTAATCCTGATTATGGCATGTTCACAACCCAGGTCAGATTTCACTTTACAATTAAGTAAGCTAAAATACTTTTTTTTATTTTCTATTTGTCTTTTAAGAATTAAGTTTGTTTTAAAATGTGAAAAATGTTTAATTTCACTATTAATTTCCATAATGAAATTTTTCACTTTTTATGTCTACTTTTTTTATGAAAAGTTACACTATCGCTACTCTGATTTAATTGCCTTTTGTGGTCGTAATTTAACTCGTATGAAATATGATTATCTTTACATTTCAGGAAGATACGCAAATGACATGGTTCAATCCAACGTCGTTTGAAAGTGACGCGCAATTCACGCTAATAGGCATCGTCCTTGGCTTAGCAATTTATAATAATGTAATTCTGGATGTACGTTTCCCAATGGTGGTTTATAGGAAATTACTAGGTAGAAAAGGTGCTTTCGCGGATCTCGAAGATTGGAGTCCGACGTTATATCGAACAATGAAGGAATTAATGGAATATACAGGTGATGATATGCCAGAAACATTTATGCAAACTTTCCGAGTGGGCTACAGGTATGTCTTCAAATAATCGAATCGTGTACATCACGCGACATAACATCTTCAACTTGTCATTACATCTTCACTTTGTAGAGACGTATTTGGATCGTTATCGTTCCACGAGCTCAAAGAAAACGGCGACGAACTATACGTTACGCAGGGAAATAAAAAGGAATTTGCCGATCTCTACGCGGATTTTTTGCTCAACAAATCTGTAGAGAGGCAATTTAACGCCTTCAGACGTGGCTTCCAGATGGTTACAGATGAGAGCCCGCTCGCGTTACTCTTCCGACCCGAGGAGATTGAGCAGGTACAATCATGATCGTTGATATAGCGTAAACGATGAATACGTTATATCAAGCGATGATTCTCACAACATATATTTGATACGCGCACAGCTCGTTTGCGGAAGCAAAATATTCGATTTCGCCGAGCTGGAAGCAGCTACAGAGTACGAAGGCGGCTATACCGTTGACAGTGAAGCGGTACGTAACTTTTGGCGGGTAGCGCATTCTTTACCGCCCGAAAGTCAACGAAGACTTCTTCAATTCACCACTGGTAGTGACCGAGTCCCAGTCGGCGGTCTTTCGAGGCTCAAAATGGTTATTGCCAGACATGGTCCGGATTCCGACAGGTAAAGTTACGGTCATTATTTTATATTTCATTAATTATATTATTAACATATATAATTGACACGTGTATTTGCAGATTGCCAATAGCACACACATGCTTTAATGTTTTGTTGTTACCGGATTACAGTACGATAGAGAAACTGCAAGATCGCTTATTGAAAGCAATCAACTATTCAAAGGGTTTTGGCATGTTATGAGCATGCTGCGCATTGACCCACTCTCTTCCCCAGTCTTTCGAATTATGTTCGAAGTACATAAAACTTAATTCCTTTTGTCCATTGTAATCGCAGCTATACTACTTGGAAGTATCAATTGTAATAAGTGAAAATTACGTCAGTATGTTTAAAATGTGGAAACATTGCTTGTTGCAATACAAATCGACAACAAAAGGCTCCTAACATTCTAAAAGAAATTTCAACGAATCAAAGAGAGAGATTGAGTCCTTTGTACAAAACAGATATAACCTGTGCTTAACAACTATCCTTGCACCATTGCAAGAATCGCTTGTACCATACTGTGTACTTTTTCTATTGAAGTAAAAAATAATGAAGATTGATTTCATTAGCCATTTCGAAACGATTGAGAGAAGAAGTGTAAAAGATGAATGTGAGTGTAAAAATACGGGAAACCAAACGAGACCGCATCATAGTAAATAAATATGTAACTTTAGCGAGACTAAGTTGGACAAAAACTGGGTGCATTTCGGAAGCTCGACGGTTACAATCGTTACGTAATGTCATTATATAATAAGTTAGCTTACAGAATTGAACTTATTCTTAGCATCTGAATTGTTTAATTATTTTTTTAAGAGTGCATTATTAAGCACAAGTGATCAATATCTGATTTAATCTGTGTTATGCAATACATGGATAAGATTTTAATCAAAAGTATTGAAATTTTATTGATTGATGTAATATATTTATAATAATAACAAATTACATAATATTTAACTTGGAGATAAGATAAATCAGATAAGAGTATAATTGATTTGTATTTATGAATACAATTTTCATATGAAAATGAGACTTTACATAATAAAGTTGTAATCGTTTACAGATGTACAATCGTTTAGCTTCCTGAACGCATCTGATGCTGCAAAGCCGAAGACAACCCTTTTATAAAAACAAAACATATTGAGCTAATGTCACTCTGGACTTTTTCTTTCTTATAAAGTGAGAGACATGAGATAATGACGCTTTTGTATGTATATTTTCTTTCAATTTCTAACATTTTCTCATGCGTCACGCGCGTTACGATGATCAAGTACAGTATCGAATAGAAATTGAATTTATATAAACGTTTATATATAGGCAGCAGTCTCTTTAACGACTGAGAGACATTGTCAGTCGTTTTATTGTTATTCACGTGACAATAAAGCTCTCAAAACAAAAAGCAAAAACTTCATCCTTTGTTATTAATATTGCTCTTGTATTGTATTCCTTAGTTATATAATTTTGTGTACATGCGCATTATCAAGTAATATTGAAAGAAAGCGAATGAAAGATAAAAGATCATTAGTATACGTGTGGCAAATAATGAGTCATTTGTCCAGGTCCAGAGCTTGTAGTTGTAAGTGATGATTAAGGCTTTGATTGGTTATCGGATAGAGAATTTCTAAAAAGTCCAGTTTCATCAACAGCAACCAACCAATAAGTCAAACAGAGCTTCTTGAATGACTAATGTAAGAATGCTCCTTAGGCAAAAATGTTTAATGTTTAATCATTTTTAGTGCTTAAACATAAACATAACATTATTTTTTTAATTATAAAAAATTTTTAATTGTAATTATATTTCATACACATTTCATTATTCATCTATTTGTACAATTATACAGATGCTGATTACTTTGAAACCAAAATAATTATTAAGAAATCAGCTGGGGAAAATTTCTCCACCCAAGTGTTCTTGGATTATGACTCAAAACGTCTTCTCTGAGAAAAATATTCGATAGTCAGGTGGAAACCAATTAAGAACATTCGTTTTAAATTTAAAGGTGGTATCCATGTGCGGCTGGCTAGGGAATGAAACGAGACTTCCCCGGGTTATACAAACTGTATAAATACGACCGTACGATCGACGCACGATCCACATCATCATATCTTTTGTTTAGTGTCGACTTCTTTATTACATCTACGGACTTCTCTTATTTTATAACAAAGAAACAAAAGGAAGGTGTAATGTACAAAAATTAATACGGACAAAATAAGAGTGACATTATATTATTATTATATTATTATTATATTATTATTATATTATTATTATATATATAATAGTATTACTTAAATAAATTGTGAATCTGCAAACATATATACAAAAGTAAGTGATTTCACAAAATTGCATCATACAATCAATTATTAAAAATTAATAATTGAGTAGAAAGTTATAACTGTTAATAGGAAGCTGTCGAATAATTCATCAAACATATTAAAAGTAAGTTTTATATATAACTCTATAAAGTTTATTAGAATATTATAATTGTTTACTGTAATACTCTAACAGCATAACATGTCTGCAAGACGTTTGAAGGATATTCAAAGGACATCTGAACATTCTTTAAATGTCTTCTAAACATTTTTTGGATATGTGTGTTGTTAGGGATATATATTATAATATATAATAATGTATAACGCTATGTATAATATAGTTGAAACTTTCGATAAAAACTTTTTTTATGGTAAACATATATTTGCTTTCTCTCTTGCTTTTATTCATATAATTATTTAAAATTATATTTTTTATATAATTTTATAAACATTCTTGCTTTTATTTATATAATTATTTTAAGTATTCTGTTTTTCAGTTTTAGGATGGCAAATTCACCAATTAATTTACTCCAAGAATTATTAATTAAGCAAGGATATGCTCCTGTTTATGATTATGTGGGCACAAAGAAGGATGGGCTTTATGATCAATTTGTATATAGAGTACAGTGTAAAAAATTCAATGCTGAAGGTTCAGGAAATACCAAAAAAGAAGCTAAAAAAAATGCTGCAGAGAAGATGTTATTATTACTAGCCCAATATAATGAAATTTCAATATCATCTGCAGTTGCATTTAAAAATGTACAGATTTCTACACCGACAAAGATATGTGAACCAATATCATCATCAAGAATGGAGACTCAGTCAAGTCCTAATGTTAACTATGCTGGGCAGTCAAGTCCTAATGTTAACTATGCTGGGCAGTCAAGTCCTAATGTTAACTATGCTGGGCAGTCAAGTCCTAATGTTAACTATACTGGGCAGTCAAGTCCTAATGTTAACTATGCTGGGCAATCAAGTCCTAATGTTAACTATGCTGGGCAGTCAAGTCCTAATGTTAACTATGCTGGGCAGTCAAGTCCTAATGTTAACTATGCTGGGCAGTCAAGTCCTAATGTTAACAATGTTAAACAGTCAAGTCCAAATATTAACAATGTTAAACAGTCAAGTCCTAATGTGAACAATGTTAAACAGTCAAGTTCTAATGTTAACAATGTTAAACAGTCAAGTCCTAATGTTAACAATATTAAACAGTCAAGACCTAGTATTAACTATGTTGGGCTGTTGCAAGTAAAGTTTACAATTTACTTAGTGAATGTGTTACAATAAAATGGCTAATTATTAACATCATATAATTTTTATTTTACAGGAATTTTGTGTACAACAAAAATTATCGGTTCAAGTTTTGTATAAAGTTGTTGACGATAGTGGACCGGCTCATATGAAAACTTTTACAATAGAAGCCAGTGTGGGATCTTTACATGCAAAAGGTACAGCGCAATGTAAAAGAATTGCCAAACAAGAAGCTGCAAATAAATTGCTACAACTTTTACATCCTAATATAAATAAGGAGGAAAATAAATTAAATTCAAAACAATTGACCAAAAAAGAACTCGAGGATACTATACGAAAATTAGGTGTAGACATAAAAGAAAGTGTGATTGACAAGCCAAAATTACCAGTTGTACATAATTCAAAAAAGGAACAAGAATTGTATAGGAAATATACCCATAAGGAACATAAAGTGACCGGATCGGGCTTTTCACTCCAAAATATTCATAATACATTCGAAGAAACTTATTCCAGTAAAATTTCCTATAATATAAGGAAAAAAATAAAAACTGTACGGGACACAAGTACAAATGACGCATATATAATAGAAGAAGTCGTGCAAGCTATACAAAATGCATTGAACGTCAAGATAGAAAAAGGTACCTTACCCAGCCTATCGAAAGAAAACTATTTGATATACTTACGCCTGTCATCTCGTCCTATTATTGCACAATGTGGCATAGGTAAAACTAAACGTATAGCAGAGATTCAGGCAATGTATAACATTATTGTGACTATATCAACACTATTAAACATTTCTTGATATATATGCATGTTTAAAATAACAAATAAGAAATGACTATTTTTTTTTCTTAATTGTTGCATTAAATAATAGACGATATTTTAATGATAGATGAATAAAATTAGAAATGTATATATTCAATTATTTACTAATTCATTATTTACTTTTTGTAAATAAAAATAATTATAAGGTATGAGATATTGTAAATAAAATAAATAAATAATATAAATAAAATTCCTACAATATTAACAAAAAAAACTTTCATTTTAATTTATTTTACATAATATTTTAAGTTATTTTGAATATTTGAACTTTATACACATGCGCCATCTGTAGCCTCTAACGTCACTTGGCGCCGAACAGATTTTCGTTTACGCAGTTCAGCGATAATTGTGCATTTTCGTGAAGTGTCAAATTCGAGAGATACGTCGATTGATTTCGAAAAATGGCAGATATACGTATTTTGGGCAAACGATTAGGACAACGTGTCGGACAAGAAGCGATCGTATTAGGTAGAATTACGGGGGTAAGAAAATATTCCAAGTTGGATTAGGTTAAGATATTGACCGGCGTTCAACATGCGCTGAGACCAAAATAATTAACATTCTTTTGTAATAAATATTAATATTATGATTAATGTAACCCAATAAATTATAATTAAAGGGAATATTAATTTCCTCGCGTTTTAAGTGTAACTTCGACGAATGTCGAGGAGAATTGATTCAAATTGACTGATTTGTTTAATGTTTCATAGGATAATTTCGTATTTAATATTTATATATCGATAACACAATTTGCAGAAAAGTTCGGATGGCAAAAGTGCAGAGATAACAACAACAGACGATACTCGAATCAACGTGACGTTTCCCCAGTCGCTCGACAACGATGCATCAGGTTACGTGGAAGTACGTGGTAACGTGAAGTCAAAGTCTACTATGCTCTGCAACAGTTTTGTATGCTTCCCTTCAAGTATGACGAAGGATTTTGGTGAGTAAAAATAAAATATACATATATATGTTCTCATATGTAGTTTCTTTGATTAATTTTAAAATTTGTTGTAAGATGCAAATGGCTACAATACCATGGTTCATACACGCTGTGCAGTGGGTAACCAGTTGGAGGGAATGTTTTATGAAGGTTAACACATGAAGAGAATCGAAAAGATTTATAATATATGCAAATCGTTTACTGTTTCATACTTTTTACATTCTATAATATTAGCTATTGTGGCATAAATCATGGTTGCAAAACTGGAAATGCCATAAAGAAAATTGCGATACACTGTCCTTTGTACATGAAATTGATCCAATTAAACTCAATAAATGTACAAGAAATTCTAGAATTGTAGACACCTTGTCAGCATTATATAAGAATATTTAAAAATTTCTATTTATGCCAGATACATACTCTTATGTCACAGTTGCATTGCGTGTATAATCTAAGGAGGAACAGCGACAGTTGCAAGATGTCACTGGACATTCAGTATGTTGTCTAAAGAAAGAAATAGAAATTAATAAACATTGCAGATTTTTTTGTACAATTTGGGCATACCTTATACTTTTATTCCAATATAAATTCTTTCAATATGTTATTAACAATATTAACATATTTATGACTCATCAATATAAAGGTGATTTTGAATTCTTACCGAAACCACTGAGCAATATGTTCGCTGTGTCCACCATGTTTACATGTTAGGCACCATGTGAACCAGCTGTTGAATTCTGTAAGCCTGCTATCACATTCTTCGCTCCTGCTACCACCAGGACTAGGAGCAGTTTGCAAACCGCTAACAGTACCCATATGCATCAAACATATCGCGCAACGTGGCAAAGGTTTGCGGCAATTTGGGCACGCTGTCATCTACAAAAAGGAGAACATTGAGGAAAAATCCTTTTCAACATTTACAAATAAAAATCCATTAAGTTGTATATATAAAAAATGTACCTTTAATTTATTAGGTGTACCGCCTAATCTACCAAATGGAACTCTAGTTCTGCTCAGACCTTGCATAAAAGCAGATATACTTTTACCACAGAAATTACAAGAAACGTGTATCTGTTGTGGTGGTCTCTCTTGTGGCGTCGAGGATCTCATAGCAATGTCGAATCTAGCTCTTTGAAACCACAATTTCCATGCATTTAAAAGATGTCTGTAACTGTAACAATGATCATTAATACATAGTATCAAAATACTAATTATTCGATAAATGTTTACAGGTAAAGAATTAATACTTGGTAATCCACACTTGAACTTGGTTCTCCTGAAGCAATTTGGGTGCAAAAGCTCTGATTGCAATTAAAGTGCAACTCTGAACATCCGACGTGATTTCTAAATATTTGTTCAATAATTGTATACTTTCCATACTTGCTCCTAAAACACAATACATGTTATTAATATGTGTGTAATTAATATTGTTGCGTCTTATATTATTACAATTCTGCTAATTTCACTAGTTCTATTAAAATATCCTTATTATTGTGTTATGTTTGATATTAATATTTAACAATGTTGCTTACTTAATAGCGTAAGCGTGTATTTATCTTGTGATAAAGAGAATGTAAAGAGTACCGCGAGACGCAGCAATATTGTATACTTACAAATATAAATTATAGTTAAATCACACACCTGTAAGTAAGAAGCCTGCTAAATCTCCTTCTTCGATTAACTTCTGAGTCAGTCTTTTTAAGTATTCGTACAGTTTATTATCAGATAAAAATATAAGGGCGAATGCTATTCGATCTGCGACGGCCATACCATTTTCATTCTACGATTTATGAAGTTTCTAATTAATTTTTCATCCAATATTTGAATCATATTCGTACATATTTATTATACTTACAAGTACACTTTCATAAGAATCGTTATCTGCTGTTAAGAAACCGAATGTCGCTCTTAAGTAAGGATCCGATAATTGGGATCTAGATTTCTGACAAGATTCCCTCCACAACGTGGTACGTTCCTCAGAGAAACCCGATAATGCCATAGCCACCATATTCAAAATAGTCGTTTGTTTTTTGCTGGCACCTCGGTTTAAAATATCTATAGCTTGTTTTAGGCAAAGATTAAATACCGCGAATGCCGCTGCTTTCGCGTACGCTCCTTCTCTCTCTAATTTCTCCAGATATGTGTTATCGTATGTAGTATTGGTTTCCTTGTCAAATCGCAAACCGCAAAGAAGAAGACTTTTTTCTCTATCTGGTGATCTATAGATATATCGAAAATTATATTAGATATAAATGTTATATTATAAACATTTGCACATTTATATAGATGAAACGATCATCACCTATAAATCTTTGTTGTATAATTCGAACCTATATCCACCCAGGAACGATGAATGACTTCCGACTTTAAGAAACCATTACCCAGGTTCTGCTGACTATCCAATTTCAGAATTGTCCTGTATAAAGATTGAAAATATTAATTTTGATATACGTTTATATTTAAATGTACATTATAGCTGATGAAGTATTATAATGTTTACCTCACACCAGGATGCTTATTGTCCGGGCTTTGTATAGTGCCGTCTTCTATTAAAGAGCGACTCAGATATAACCATTGCCATAAATTCTTTAAAGTTTCATTTTCAGCTATGTCGCCATTTTGCGCTAAATCTGTCTGCAAATACATGCACATACAACTGTATGCGAAAATATAAATATAAAGATAGAAAAAATAAGAGGCCAATATAAATCTGAAGCAAGATGGAAAATTAATGTTAAATATACTCAATATTGGTATAAGTTACAAACATTTAATACTAACATTCAAGGCTTAATCACATTTTATTATTTTTATTTATCTACTTACAAGCAAGCCATATTCGAGCATAGCACGTCTTTTAGTTAAAACTGAGATATCGTTCAATTCTTTATAAATGCTATCTTCACTGTTTATATATTTGAATGATTTAAAAGCATAATTCCACATAAGACACGATCGAGCGGACCAATTAAGTGTTATTCTCTCGCATACAGTATAATCGGTTACTCCTATAAAATGAGAAATACTCCAGTAAGCAATATCGTAATCTTGTGAAATGCAAGAATTATATCCTAAGATAAGATTATATACCTTGCAACGATATGGCCAATAATCGATTTTCATCGGTTAGATGCCACGAAAAACTTATAGGATTATGCCATGGTGGTAAAACCACTCTTTCCAGGACACCCGGCTCGGTATCTTCTGTTCCACAGTACTGGATATCAAACAAATGCAAACCCGCTGTAAAATAAGAATATATATATTTTTATTTCAATTGATCTTTTCAATTGTTATAACAGTTTATGAATTTGAGTACTTTTCAATCATAATTATGCACACACACATTTATACATTAATCATGTAATTATATATCATACATGTACAACTATAATTTAAAAGCAGAATGCATTTTATACCTGAATCTTTATGCAATGTGCCAATTAGATTGCGTCTTGTTGGACACCACAGCACTTTGGTAACTTGCCTTTGTGATACTATAGTAACAATTGGTTTTTCAAAACATCGAGTATCCCAGACTGTGATTAAATTGTCGACATGCGAGAGTAGCTGATAATTGTTATGGGGATTCACCGACAAATTATATACCGCCTTTGTGGATGTGTTATTCACCACTTTTGCAGAATCTAATTAAATTGTCATAACATTCGAATTAATTAATGAGCTATCAATTATGTATTAATTTTATCTTTGATCCGAACAGACCTCTAAAATCAACAACTTTTAATTGCTTGTTATTAGCACCAAAAGCCAGACATCTCGAATCGTGTTTAAACCAAGCAGCGGAATGTACAGTTTCTGATATGCCAGCTTCTGCTATCGAACGTTCGGAGCCTTTTGGATAATGCTGCACATCCCACAGCAATACAGAGTGTTCTTTGCTATGTTTGTCCAACCCCGACATAATCAGGTGAGTGTCCACAGGATTCCAAGCAACAACATTGCATGTCCGCATGTATTTTGGAACTAGAATTTTAGATCAAAGATCATATAACATTATGCCAAAGTAATATACAATTAAACCGATTCGATAAAGCATAATATCTACAAAATTCTCTCCCGACAAGTCCCTGGTAATCAAATTCCGGGGACTAAGGGTACTCAGAACGATCTTTCCATTTGCGTGGCCACTTGCCACGATATCTGGCTCTGGTTGCGGATATATGTCAACGCATTTCGCATAGCTATTAATGGTGACGGATGAGACAAGTTCAGCGACAGAGTGTTCAGAAATTTGTAAGTCTGTGGAGAGCAAAAGGAGCAAGAGATTATTTCAGTGGAGCAAAAATACATATCTTCACAATTAATTGTTGATCGCCAGTGATAAAATTTTCACAAATAATAAGATGCAATTTAATTCGACCAAAAACTGGCTATTCATTTATTGAAAATAAGTAGAAACGTATAGTGTGTACTTATTTTCAATAAATAAATAGCCAGCTTTTGGTCGAATTAAATTGCATCTTATTATTTGCAAAGATACATATATCATCGCAAACTTACAGATTTGATCACTATCTCGCACGGTGTTGTCCCGAGGTCCAATTTCGTAGAGGCTCAACAGGGAATCGTTGTCCCACGTGATGAATCTGTCGGAATGAAAGGGGCACCATAACACGTCCCATTTTGGCCGGCTCATCTTTTTATCTCTTTGAAAAAGGATCGCCTCGTATTTTCTATCATAAAATTATAAATGCTTGCATTATTTCGTCCGAAACGCGTATACATGCGATTTAATATCGTGATTTGACAATTGTTGCGCGACCATGATTAATGAACATGTCAACAAAGCGTCTAGATCTTTTCCGCCTCGTTTCTTATGGATATTTGCCCCTCTTCGAAAACATTCTTCGAATAGCCCGTATTTATCATGCTTTATTATTATTATTATTTTATTTCATCCTGCGAATATCTAACCTCTTCGCGAAATCAAAACACCGAATGTCATATAAACATATGTCTATGTACATAAATAAGAAAGATGAGGAATCGACTGTTTAATTATATTCGATCGTCATTGGTCATCGGCTAGGGAATTTCTAGCGTTCCGAAAAAGTACGTTCAAAAATTGGACGAAATCCAACACGCTCTCGAATTCGAGCTATAAATTCGAACTCATTGCAAGATGGCCGCGATACTGATAAAACGCGGTAATAAACTTTGAAATAAACAACACGTTTATATTGTTTCATCTCGTATTATAGGCTGAAATAATAATACGGAATAATACGGACAACGAGGTAAGATCATTTCCGTCAGGATTTGACATTTCCAAACAAATGTCAAATTCATGATACATTTGTTTACGTCTCGTGCGTCCTGTCAAAATATTTACGTCCGAATGTAAGTATATTTATCTGTCTCTCTCTCTCTCTCTTCTTTCTCTCTTATATAGTTGTTGTTTTACGATTTTCGTAATCGGGGTACAAACTTCACGAGATGTACCATTTTTTCTTACCAGAGATAAGACCTAAGACCATCTTCGGTTATCTCTGTCGTAACTCGTAAGTTGTCATTATCGCTAATAGCGCGATTGATAAAAAGTCGCGCGCGGTGAAAAAGAAGACGAAGAAGAGGACGAAGACTACGAAGACGGCGAAGGTGGGGAAAGAAGGAGGACAGTGAAAAGTACATAGGTAGAGGTGGGTGCACACATATTTAAGGCTGCCATGCTCACGCCCCACCGCATTCTCCGGCCGTGCGCACATTTTGTAAGGACTGTACACTCGTTACAGTCGGCCAGTTACGGTGTCACGTCATCGTCCCGGTCGCTCCTCGCTCGGGACTTGGATCGTCGTCGGCTGCTGCGAAACCCCTCATCCGTAGAAATTCTCGGTGCATCGTTTGCAACAATGGCGAAAATCAAGGTAAGTGTTCCTTGCTTACAATCGTGCCTCGAGAAGTGACATGTCATTCGAGTTAGAATGGAGGGGGAAGATAATTCAATTAAATTGCGATGATTGCTTTTCAGGGTGAAAGTGGACCGTACGTCCATATTGCTCAATTTCAGTATAAAATTTTTTTATCTCTGAAAATTATGGAAATTGTATATGTATAAATTTTATTGCCAAGTGTATTCCAAGATATATATTTTATTTAACGATAAGCAAATTTCTATATATAAATGTATTTTGAATAAATAATGTAGCGTCTTGAGATATGTTTTCTTGTGTATAATTAAATATTTTTACTTTAATACTTATAAAATTTATATTTAACAAAATTGCCTTTAAAAAATACACGTTTCTTAAATATTATATAATTTTCAGGCTGGTCCAGTCGTCGACATTCTTGGAGATGAAATGACACGCATTATATGGGATTCCATTAAAGAGAAACTCATCTTGCCCTACTTGGATATTGAGCTGCATACGTATGACTTGGGTGTTGAAAATCGTGACGCCACAAATGATAACGTAACAGTGGAATGTGCAGAGGCAATTAAACGTTACAATGTCGGCATCAAGTGTGCCACAATAACGCCAGATGAGAAACGCGTAGAGGAATTTAAATTGAAGCAGATGTGGAAGAGTCCTAACGGAACAATAAGAAACATCTTGGGCGGCACCGTATTTCGAGAGGCGATTATTTGCAAGAACATACCTCGCCTGGTGGTGTGTTGGAAAGAACCGATCATCATCGGCAGACACGCGCATGCCGATCAGTATAAGGCGACGGATTTCGTGGTGCCGGGTCCGGGCAAGCTGGAAATCACCTGGACCGGCAACTCCGGCGAGAAGATCCAACACACCGTTCACGAGTTTAAGGGTCCAGGTATCGCTCAGGCTCAATACAACACCGATGAGAGCATACGCGCCTTTGCGCACAGTTCATTCCAATATGCATTAGCGCGAAATTATCCCCTCTATCTGTCTACGAAGAATACGATCCTCAAGAAGTATGACGGTCGGTTCAAGGACATATTCCAGGAGATCTACGACAAGGAGTACAAGCAGCAATTCGAGGCGAAGAAGGTGTGGTACGAGCATCGGCTGATCGACGACATGGTGGCGTATGCCATGAAGTCCGACGGTGGTTTCGTTTGGTCGTGCAAGAACTACGACGGGGATGTGCAATCTGACTCGGTGGCGCAAGGCTACGGTTCCCTAGGTATGATGACCTCGGTCCTTGTATGTCCGGACGGTCGTACAATCGAAGCTGAAGCTGCCCATGGCACCGTCACTCGCCACTATCGTCAATATCAGCAGGGCAACGAGACATCCACCAACCCGATTGCTTCCATCTTTGCGTGGACCCGCGGACTCCTTCATCGCGCCAAGCTCGACGACAACTCGCGTCTGCAACACTTTGCCGAAACCCTGGAGAAAGTCTGCGTCGACACCATCGAGTCTGGCTTCTTCACCAAGGATCTCGCAATATGCATCAAGGGCATGAGTAACGTCACCAGGGCCGACTACCTGGAGACGTTCGAGTTCATGGACAAGCTCGCCGACAATCTGAAGAAGGCTCTTAAGGCGTGACTCGTTATTCACAACAAAGAACATACGAATTTACGGGCCAAGTATTAGGTTCTTACACGCATTGCAATAAGAGAAAAATATAAGTAAGCTTTTTTTTTATATGGTTACGGGAAAAGGAAAGCTTCGATAAATATATAATATATTTGCATAATTATATTATATACAAAGGTTTTTTGTTGCCATAGTCAAATCAATTTCGCGCTATGTATGATTGTGCTTCATTTATGTTGGAAATATTATTAGTTTCTTAAATGTGAAACACGGTTAAATCGATCACTTACATTTTTCTCAGTGTTTGCACTTTTTACATTAACTTTTATACAGCAGATAATGCGCAAATATATACACGCGAAATAACAATATTTAGCAATGATTGGATTGATTCAATTTCATAAAATGAGGACGATAAACTCATTTTTATTAATCGTCGTCATTATTGTGGTGAGACATTTTAGAAAAGACATTTATATATATTTAACAATAAGTACTTTTTTAAGTACTAGATTGTCAAACGTAAAAAGATATAATATATAATATATACAATTGTATAAATTTTTAAATAAATTTTTTTTAAATCATAAAATGTACACGCGTTAATGCAATTTTTAAATTTAAAATTAATTTTTTTTGGAAATTAGAAGGGTTCTCTTTGTTCAAGAATAGAAGTCTTTCTTTTTAAAATTTTTAATTTATACTTCTCTTATGTACATATAATATTAAGCGATCAAATTGCATTTCCAAATGTATAAGGTTTTGTATCAAGAATTTAGCAATATTTCAGTAATTATCTGTAAAAAATAGCATCACGCAATCTATCATGTCACAAATAACAGTCTTGTTATCAAAAACACTTCATATCAGTTAATTGGCTCTAAACTTATTTTACATATAGGACGAATATGGAATATTATACATTATGCTATCCAGAGATATATATTCTATGAAAATGCGATTGATGATTACTTGACATTTTGAACAATTTATGCAATTAAAACTGTATGCATAAATATTGAGAAGTTTACACCATTGAAATTTTTTAGTTATCAGAAAGACATGCAATAATGAAACTCATGATTTTTTATTTATATATAGATCTATGATATATATCACAAATTAAATCTGTCAAAGTAAAGAAAATATTGAAGTAGGCTCAAATGAAGACAATAATTTTCAACAAGTAGAATAATAATTCACGATTTTTTAAGTAGATACAATGAATAATCAATCTATCAAGTATCGTCTCGCAGAAGAATTATATTAAATTTATAAGTATTTTAATGAGATGTTAGTCTTTAAATAAATTTAAGTCGTGAAATTTATCCATCAAAAAATGAAGGATATGGCATTGATTAGCGTGATGGAGACTCATTTAAGAAACAATCGTCTCGGAATTCGTCGTCGACCTTTCGAAACCTTTGGTAAATAAATAATTCATATACATTATGCAACTGTGACTTCGCTTTTTTTTTTTTTTTTGTTTACATAATCAAATATATTCGCGCTCATTTATACATCAACGGACGGTAAATGAGTGTCATGTGAAATGTCAAAAGCGAACTGCATTATCGATGTAAACATATGCCGATTTTATCGACAGGGAAAAAAGAGAAACAAAAAACCATAAACTTATTATATATATATATATATTGTATAAATATAGAAAAAGGTCAGCGTTACACAAAATCTGTATACATTTATTTCCGGCGATCCATATAAATGTAAAAAAATACTCAATGAATCTATATATACTTAATGATGCTAATTCGTCAACTTTACATGTATAGAACTGCAAGCTAATTGTAAGTTTCATTCGACTTGTTTGTTCATTAACCTATATACTTATACAATACAAACTTTGCTCGATCTCTCTTCTCTCTTCAGAGTTTTCTCTTAAAAAAAAACAGACTAAAATAATTAATTTCTTTCTAAAAATAATTATACTAATTTATTTTACTCCACAAAAGGTATATCTAATTGGAGCGACTGCACACAACGATGAGAGAGCATAATGGAATTGCAACAATTAATTATATACACACGAGCTTAATTATATATGAATGATTATAAGAAAAAGTTGAGCTGGCCGTGAATTAATGCAGCTAATCTTTTTTGCTTGTATTTTTCCGTATGTATGCATACATATATATCTATGGTTTTGCTCGTGTCCTTCTCTCAATGGCGGCGCGTAAATAAGTGCGTAAACGCACACATATATGCATATATGCGTATGTATATAACATCTCCTTTTACACAAGAAGCACGAGCGCGTTTGCGTAACGCCCTGCTACTTTACATCAATATTGTTATCAGCGGTTGCAGCGTAACATGCTTCGTTAGAAGAGATCGCTTCTTCCTACGTTCGCATTCAACGTGTGATACGTGATGCAAATAATATCTAATGAATAAATAATGAAAATTCTTATATATATATATATGTATTTTTTCTTATAATTATATATTATATAATTTTATTTATATATATAATATTTTTATTACATATATTATATTATATTTATATTATATATATAATTATTATATATATGTATATAAGAGGATTTTCCACCATTTTATTTTCTGGACAAATATTTTATTTATCTCTTTTATAATTATTTTTATAGTTTCTACATCTCTTCAGTATATGCATATATCTTCTATATTTTATGTTATATATAATATATATTCTAGAAAAAATATCTTAATATGTATATCTTCTATATATTTTTATATATACATAAATATAATAGAAGATATATAGGATAATGATAAAAGTTATATATATATTAAATAGAAGATATATAAATTAATTAATTTTTTCTCCAATAATGATAATGCACACCTATTTCGCACCAGATGCAGATATATATACTTAATTAATTATCTCGATTTCTACACATTTAATTATATATGTCTTTTATTGTGCTAATAATATAATACGTTTTATTTTTCTTCCCACAGAAAAAATAAGAGAGCTCTTTACGAAAAATAGTTATACAGAAAAAAAGTATATATCCTCTCTTCATGGTCGATCGGACTTATTTCTATCGCACATTGGACATTGGAAGATTGAAAATTCTTGCGACAAAGGATGCCATTCCCTGGAATTTTTATTGCGAAACAAATCGACTCCGGATTGAGGGCAAAAATTCCGCATGTTTACGCATTATTTGGAGCACTTTGTAAACACGTATACTTTATTCCGCAAAAAATATTTCTTAAACACATGCGGCTTCCGTCAATATTCGCTTGCTTCGAATTCCAGACGAACGGAAAATTCCCTCGAAGCTGACAAACCATCGAAATCAACGCAAATCAGCGTGGATCTGAAGACAAGAAATACGACGATAATGCTCCAGGACATGTTCTTGCACGTCGACACCGTTTCCAAGTGCTTAAGTATATAGGTACACATTCTTTGTTAATCTTCATAAAGAAGAAAAATATGAAGAACATTATTTATAAAGTAATTATACAGAAATATATATTCATTCATGAATGGTGAAAGAATGGAATGAGGAAGAAATATCATTCACGTATCTTATCTCATCACGTATATTATTTAAAGTAATTATACAGAAATGTATATTCTTTCATGAATGGTAAAAGAGAATGGATTGATGAAGAGATATCATTCTTTCATCATTTCACACTTTCTTTATCTTCTTGATGAAGATAAAGAATTCACAAAGAAGATAAAAATATGATGAACGATGCGAGATGGAATGATAAACGAACAATTACGATATCTCTTTTAAAATATAATATATTTTCAAGCAAAAATAGACTAGATCAAAGGTGGTAGTTCTTCGAGATAAAAGGTGGAACAAAACAAGATCTTTCGCAAGAGAGGAACCAACCGGATCCAATACAGGACATACTAGATGAGGCTCATATATGTCACGTTGGATAACAGCTGAGGAAAGGAAAACAAAAGCGCACTCGGATATCATTCCGGATTCCACAATATACTAGGTAGGATATTACATAATTAGAGGTCATCGGGTGTAGTGACGTCATCGTCATCATCATTTCCCAACATTCTAGGAAACAAAAAGGCGCTCTCTCTCACGGTGGAGGATCGAGCGACGAGGGATCGACGCGGGATCGGATCAGGTAGACGAGATCGAGGAAAAAGATCGACGACGAAGAACGGGAAGAAGCGGCCGCAGCAGCTACGAGTCAACGAGTCGGAATTGGAATTGCAGATGGCGCCCAGCCTTGCGCCACCTCGCCATCGTCGTCGAGTCGACCGCGGGGCGCGGCAGAAGGGGAGGAGGGAAGGGATGCGCTCGCTCGACTCCTTGTAGTCTTCCTACAGATCCGCTATCCGCTTCGTCGGCCAGTGTTGACGCCGACGACGAGAGGTATATCGCGATTGCGAACGGAAGAACGCTCATGAGGCGCGCGAGAAGTCGGAGCACCGGAGAGTGATAGAGAGAGAGAGAGAGAAAGAGAGAGAGAGAAGGAGGGATAGGGATATACAATCGCGCGAGAGGTGGGGATCTCTAAAAAGGGGAGTCTAAGAGGAAGAGAACGGTCTCTTTCATGCCGTTGTTGAATACTTCTCGAGAACGTCCGATATAGTACTTTCGATTAGCGATTTCGGCGGGTCCTTCTCCTCGTCGTCGATCGGCCGATAGTTGCCGATGATGACGCGATGCTAATCGTCACGTCGACGTCGTCGCCAACCGCTGCCACGATCGCGTGCGCCTCGATAGCAAGATAACCTACTCGCAAAAGACTCGTTGCCGCAGACATACGGTGGCGCAGGTGAACCAAGGTTTGTTTCCAATTTTAAAAATACCCTCGTCGACGATTTTCATACAATTTTTGCGTTCTAATTCTCGACGGTTTCTCATCAATGAAACAATACCGTATAAAAAGCATATCGAGCGTATAAAAAGAAATAGAAAGCAAACTCGTCCTAGTAGAATATCCCCCCCTCGATCTTGAAGAACCGCAACCTTGCAAAATGGCCGCCTAATTGATTCTATGATTTGTTTTGCAATCTTATTGTTAATTTCCAGGAAGGACTCGACTCGGAGATCAGCGATTAGCGCGTTAAATCGTTATCCGGACGAATCGGTCGAGTCGGTTTATTAGCGATTCGAGTTATCGGGTCTCTCCTCGGAGTTACCCGATAATGATTCCTTGGCTGTGTGATCTAAAAATTGTGCGCGCGCGCACACACATGTACGAGTTGGAGTAAACAAGCCCATCGAGTTTTCCGAGTCGAGACCCTTCGTGTCCATTTCCGCCCACTCGCTCTCCTCTCCGTTTCTCTCTACCGGATATTGTCTGAACGAAACTAAAATCGAACATGTTGCACGGATATTATGCGGGCGCACTTTATTCTGACTTTATTTGCGAATTAAAATTAATCAAGAGGGACCCCGCAGAGCTTGCAACGTTTTCTTTTTTTTTTTTCAATTTTATATTATACGACACGATATAACAGCTGTCGTCATTAATGTAATAAGATAAAAGATAGAAGATAAATGTAGTCTACTGTATTGTTTGGATCTTTGAAGGAAACACATTATTTTCAAGATTTAAAATATATTATATCTATAATATTATAATTATACATATTATTTATATATTTTTTCCTTGGACTACATAACAGATAACATTTTTTAAAGCCACCGCAATGTAAATTATATTTTTAATATAATTGTATTTAATTTTTCAAATAATTATTGCAAAAATTTAAACAAAAGATTATATATATATATATATATATAAAATTTTCAAGACGTCTAGATTTTAATGTCATTCTTAAATTCAATTCGCTCGAGCAGACGAAGCATCGAGAGATGACGTGTTTCCTTCACGATACTCTGTCACTAGTAAGTAAGAAAGAGAGAGAGAGAGAGAAAGAGCATGTCACAGTACAGTAGCGCGGGATTAATATGGCGTCATATTCTGTGGTGGTCACACGATGTTGGGATTTCTCGCGACCGTGAAAGCCACTTTACTAAATGCGATCAACATCTCGTGAATCTACTCAATAACGGCTCTATCTTCAGCTTTCGGTAAGGCAATGCTAAAACTGTCATTGTAATTCCGTCCCTCTCCCGATCAGCTGTTCCATTCTTGCGTCACCGCATTTTTTCCTGTTCAACGTCTGCGAAATCTACACACACTTCGCTTTCTTTCGAATCAAGAGATTGCACGAGAGAAATTATTCAATAACAACGGCGAGACTTTCAAAGCGCATTTACGTGGCGTTAATCAATAATAGATCGGGAAAGAGAGCGAGGAGGAGGAGGAGCAATTCAATACCAATCATATAAAAAACACCATATTTATCGTTCATTCACAGACCAGATAGATCGGGAGGGACCAGGCGGGGCGTTATTTTTTTTTTCTTCAGCATATGATACCGCAAAGTAGTATCTCGAAAATTATCTCGTACGGTGACGCGTTGTTTTTTCCCTGCGTTTTGAGAAAAAAAAGATTCATGTACCTTTTTATTATACGTAAAGTAAGCATGTTTATTAGATGCACGATTTTCAAGGCCGATTTTTCCAATTTCTTAATGAGGGTCACTCCAATATAGGTAGCATATTTTTATCATCTCTTTTCAAATAAAGTTATAAAATAGAAGTTGGAGCAATCGGCTTTTAAGGTCGATTTGTCCACTTGTTGTTATTATCAGGTAGTATATTTTTGTCTCTTTTTACATAAGTTGTAAAATAGAGACGAAGACATACTACTATACCTGCCGGGTAAATTGACTAAGAAGTAAGAAAAATCGGTCCTAATTGTTTTCTGAGCGATCAGATTTTGAAAGCGAGAAGCCAAAAAGACGGAACCAAAAGAGAAGGAGGTCGAGAAAAATCATTTCCCTTTCGCGTAAAATTCCAGTTGGAGGGAGAAGCAGCTCGACTCAAGGGCGAATTTCCTCTATCGAAAAAAGGGGGGAAAAAAATTAAGACATGGCGGCTCGTCGGAGGCGCGTCTAGATCGCTTCCTCCATTGTGCTCCAGATATATGTGACGGTAACGTGAACCGGAATTTGTTGCAGACACGTGCGCGACATCGGTCAGAGAGGAGGTCTCCGAGTCGGATCAGCTGATCGCGGATGATCGACGACGTCCGACGAAAGAGAGGTCTTCGATCGCTCCTTTTCTTGGCGCTGCGGGTGTCGGCGGTTCGAGGAAGCGGCGAGAATTAAGCGTGGCCATTCTGCCCCGGACTCGGTGCGTGGTGCACCGAGGAGGAGACGCCGCGTAGGAGCCTCTAATCGCGTCCGGTGTCGGCCAAGACCGGAGACCACCCGGAGGATGACGCAGATCGACGAGGGCCCGTCCCGAACCTGGTGAATATATAGTCGAATCGTTCCTCTGCCTGCCGTCCGCCATGTTGTCCGCCGCAGGCAAGGGCGAGAGAAGAAATCTGCGCGGAAGCGCGCGACTCTCGTCCAAGATGTCGGGAAGGCCGCCCAGGTTGCGGGCGCTTCGACCTCGGCAGCAGCAGCGGACGAGGACGGACGCGGACGGGACGCGCAGAACGGAAGGTAACCTAAAGGGGCTCGCGAAGAGCCACGAGGAGGAGGAGGATCAGCTGGAAGAGAGCAAGAAGAGATGCGACGAGGAGGAGGAGAAGAAGAAGGATGACGCGATGGGAAACGAGGACGGTGACGATGAGGAAGAGGAAGAGGAGGAGGAGGTGACCATGACCGCCGTCGACAACGACGTCGTCGTCGACGTCGACGTCGAAATGAAATCCGTGGAAGGTGAAACGATCGAGCAGCGGGCTTCTTTCGAGTGCAAGAGCTGCAAACCTCCTAGAGAGCTGCCGGATATCAAGGCCTACTTTGAACATCTGCGGAAGGAGCACAAGTATAAGGTGAGGATGGGATTCCTCGTCTCCCGTTCGGATTCATCCTGGACTGTGTCTCCGATTTTGCGCTCTCGTGTTCGTTTTCATTTATTTGTTTGAATTCATTGTATGTATCTCTGCTTTTTTCTCCCTTCGGAGAGATTGAGTTACTTTAAAGATACGCGAGATACGTGATTTAGAAGGAAAAAAAGCATTGTGCGTTGTAATTTACACAGTCTCAAGTTTACGTGACGATGTATAAATTAAAATAAGTCATTCATATAAAGACAACACACTCATAGTTCGCAGGAATATGTTTTCTTGTAATTTTTAGGGCAAAAACGGGCACAATCCAGTCGAAAATCGTTGCCCTGCGTGTTCGTATGTCACATTGAACGTGAAAGATCTTGAAAATCACCAAAGAGTGCATCATTTGAAAAGAAAATTCTTTCGATGCGCAAAATGCGATTACATGACGCACATCAAAGCGCGTTACACTAAGCATGTTAGATATCATTCTATGCCGATGATCAAGTGCGATGCTTGCGATTTTAGTTCAGCGTATAAGGTTTGTTCTTTCATAATCCTACTTGGTTTCCGAAGGCTAGAGAGAGAGATATGTGTGACATTATTACGTCACAAGTTTTCCAGGGATTCAGAGAGAGAAGCTTTGCGATTACCTTAAGACTATATCTATATAGATTATATGTGTGTCTCTTTTAACGCTATTTTTCAGTGGAATCTAGAAAGACACATGCGGAATCATGGAGGTGGAGGTGCTTTCAAATGTCGGGCTTGTAATTTTACTGCTGATATTCGTCAGAGCTTAACGGTGCATGAGTCTTATCATCACGACCCACCTGTGGGTCACGTCAACCGCAAAAGTAATAACGCTTTCGAACGTAAGCCACGAAATAGTCCGAAACGTTATAATCAGGTAACGTAGGCGTAGTACACATCTGTTATTTTCTTTACGTTGGAATACATTGACCAGTCTGTGTTTAATCAGCCTGTTTTCTTGTGTCTGTCAGGTTGGAGCGAGTGACTTTCGAGCAGCGTTTCATAAAACTGGAAGCACAACCACGTCGGCCAACTCTACGGATTCGTTCATATCGGATCATTCATTAATTTCGATAGACGATAGGAAAAGCGCTCTGGCCAGTGCCGAATGCATTGCGTTGAAATGCGAAGAGAAGGGCTGTCAGTTTGTAACATCCTGGGATTCTGCGATGCAACGTCATTTAGCGGAATGTCATGGGCCAAATGCTTCACCCAAGCTTAGAAAACCACTGCCAGAATTAATTCCATTAAGTATAGCTAATTCTAAGCCCAATAATACAATTGGCAATAGCGGGCCGCACACGACTCTGCTCAAAGTTCCACGAGTCAGAGTGAGACCCGAGCTGGCGCAAATTGCGAGGGATACAGAACTGGCCAAGATCTATGGAAGTAAAGAGGTTGGTTGGGAACAATTTGTTCCGTTACATCAAATGCAAATGTGATTTTTCTTATTTCAATGCCACGTTTCATTTCTCAGGTCGCGAATTCAAAGAGGGACCTCGATACCGCGGCCGGTTTATTTGAGAGAAAGAACGCCTCCTTCTTCGATAAACTGAAGGAAAAACTAACGACGACAGCGACGTCGATTAATAATAACGGCGTGCCAGAGGTAGCTGTAAGTAGCGAGAACGATTTGAAATGCTGGTGTACGTTTAAAGCTAGTAGCATGGAAGAGCTAGCTTGCCACAAACAGACACATCACACTGCGCTCAGCGTATCCGTGGGTACGACACGTTGTCCTAAGTGTAGAAGACGTTGCAAGAGTTCGACCGATCTTCAAGTGCACATGCAATGCTGCCATTCGCGCAACGACACGACGTCGTCCATTGATAGTAGTTTAGAGAAAATAAATTGCTCGGACGTCCGCATGACCTCGTACCGTGGTGAATACGCTTTCCCATCGCAAATGGATTGGGACGCGAAACTCAGAGGACTAAATTCTTCTGAATCCTCGGTACAGTGCTTGATGATAATGATTTATGTATATACGATAAGAAAATTACTGCGCAAAAAGATATTTTTGCGAAAATCATCGCAAAGGCTGCGTTCGACGAAAACAGCAGCTTTGCAACTGTTGTAAAATTCGTGAATCTGAATTCGTTGAGCATACACACCTATCGGATTCACTAATTTTACTACAGTTGCAAGGCTGCTTTTTCTGCTGAACGCAGCCAAAAAACAGCTGAGAGCAGCTTGTTCGTGGAACGCGGGCGTTTATAGAAATTCTATGTGAAGCAAATTTTTTTTATCGCTATGTGGATATTTATTTTAGCCATGTATTTTATAATTTTTATTATTATGTCATCAAATAGTTTAAGATTTGTTAAACTACTAGTTGATTAGTTTGGCACAGCATATCGCTATGAGACATGCAGAAGCTCTGTGTATCGCGAAACGTTGATTAGAGAATGATAATTAGAGGCTCGTTGTTTTTTCTTTTACTTCTTCGTTTATTATTAAGAATGTGCTTTACATATTGCGTAGTGGATGTCGAGCATCTCTCTCTAGTTTGTTACTAGTTTATTACGTATTCGTTACTGCCATCCTGAGTTTGTTAAACGATAAAAAGAAAAACCTTTTGTTAGGTTGAAGGTGGTCCGACACATCCGAGCGGGCGGCGGGTATTCAAATGTCCCCATTGTCCATTTTGGGCTTCCACCGCAAGTCGCTTTCACGTTCATATAGTCGGTCATTTAAACCGGAAGCCGTTCGAGTGTTCTATGTGCGCGTATCGTTCAAACTGGCGATGGGACATCACAAAACATATTAAACTTAAAGCGGCTAAAGACGCAGTGCATACGACCGCCAGAGTGCTCATGACGGATGAGACAGGTCGACGGAATTATTCCAAGTATAACAAATATCTCGCACAGGTGAAATCATGAATCCTAATAGTTTTACACAATAGAATAATTCATTCAGTTTTGTATCACATCGAGTAGCGATTTTATATGGCAATTAATCATTTGCCTCGCGAAAGGGATGACAGAATCTCGGCACCACAATTCGGCTCAGACGCCTTGATTGTAACAATCATTATAAGCATATTCTTAGTAATTGATTCTAGACGCAAAAATATCGATGCCATCTTTCTTGAAAAAGATTTCAAATCGATATTTTTCATAATTGTGTGAGAATCATAAAGAACGCGATACAAAATTTTCGACGTAGATGTGTAATTTGATAGACGATTATCTTTCTCATAACATCATACATCTTGCGAAATGCGAGAGATTTGCGAAATTTATTACAATGGCGTATGCGTTTTCTGGTTTAGGTGGAGCAACAACCGTGGGACGAGGATCGTATGGAGGAACGTAGTATAGAAGAGACCAGCCAAACATCCGATGGACTTTTTTCAACAAAGTTGTTAATCGTAGGAGGAAACAAAGAGTACGTTCCGACGATTGATCTCGCGTCGCAATCTCCCGTCACGATTTTGCCGTCGAGCGAGGCAAATCAGAACGGCCATAACGTGGACGTGAGTTTGCGACCACCTCCACCGCTCAAAGTGGCGCTAAAGAGTCGTGGACAGTCTCTGCTGAAAAACAATCCGATCACAATGCATATACAGACCGCTAGCGGGGGCGGTTCAGTCTCTATATCTACGACTGACGAGAGCAAACGCACTCAGTGGAAGTGCAGACGTTGCGATTATCGAAATTTCAATAAGGACGCCGTCTTGTTACACGTCAAAACGGCTCATTATGAGTCTACCGACCAAGAGGCCATCGAGGAAAGGGTAAGTTTTATTATATTTTATGTCTTGCACTCGTGTAGATCGAATATTCCATCTCGAAATGAGGAGTACTATGAAAACAAAGAGAAAGAAGATACAAGATACCTGAGCAGAGATAATATAAGAAGCAAATATCGGAGCAACTAGAACATGAAATATTCTTTTCTCTTACTTTTAATTCAATGCACTAATTTAACGCACTTGTTTTTTTACAGACTCCATTTGGTTGCTCGGATTGTCCCTTTTCGGCACCAGATGCTGCGACTCTGTCTCTTCATAGGATGAACCATCGGCCAAACTTGGAGGCTATATTTAAATGCTATCTTTGTCCATACTACGTTAGTACAAAGGCGTATGTGTCGCTGGTAACGCATTTTACAAACGTGAACGTTGTTTTCTTTTCAATCTGGAACAGTTTAGTTTTTCAATATCAGCAATTTTGAGCTCTTTTGAAAAATCCTTTCTATTTTTATATAAAGAAAAGTATTAAAACACGTGATGATCTTATATAATTTGATATAACAATATTAGATATACACACACATATATATATAATGAAACTATTTGCTGTGCCACAGAGAACTGTTGGAGCACATTAGACTTCACGGGGAAGAGATGGCTATTCATCAGCAGAACATAGATCCCCGGTCGCCAAATTCCAAAGGAGGTAAATTGCAACAAGTATCAATTTCCGATGTCGATAAGTTTCATTAAATTGCCAATTACAAAGTTTCATTAAAATGACAATTACAATTGTCAAATCGAAACATTATCCTGACAATTGTCGCAATTTAAAATGTTTCGTTTTCCAGGAGCTTCTCGAACAAAGGACGAAACGTCTATAGAACAAGTGATTCAGATAACGTCGCGCAACAACGTAACGACGACGTCAAAAACTGCTCCAGGTGGAGTTCCACCGCCGCCGCCACCTCCGTCGCTCCTCTTGGACACTCGCGCCCTCCCAGACGCTCCGCTCGTCTGGGTATCTCGACTAGACGGCACGTTGACGAAGATGCTGAAATGTCGTCACTGTCCCTACGTCTCGTCGCGACGAGCGGAGGTGCGCGACCACGAGACGATGCACGTAGACACGCCAACTCAGGGTCCTTTGATCGCCTGCACGGACTGTAGCTTTACCTGCACGCGTCGGGAGATCATGATCACGCATACGGAGATGCACGCCGGATCTTTGGGCACGGTTCACTGTCTGGTGGACGAGACGCGACCCGACTCTCAGCAGGCGAGCGATCTGGCCACTCTACTCGGCATGACGCATACTCCGGTCTTAGGCAGCGAACCTGATTTGCACGACTCTCGTCTGGTGCACTGTTGCGGCAAATGCCCGGCGCGATTCCTATGCGAGAAGGAATTGCGCATCCACCTGCGCTATCACACTACAGAGCTAGCACACTCGTGCCAATGGTGCTCTTATGCGGCGCGTCAGTCGACTCATCTGCTGGCGCATCAAAAGGCACACTCGAGCGAGTATCAAGAACGCACCAAGTATTTGTTGTCTCTGTACGGGCACTCGCAGCGTTATCCGCCGCCCGCGACGGCGTGCGTCGAGGCGGCGAATCAGGAGGGGAGCAACAGTGGCGCGCCCAATGTCGCCTGGATCGTCGTCGAGATCAACGATAGCGCAAACAGCAACGCCGGGTCGAGCATTCAAAGGACCGGAGATAATCAGGTGTTTACGTGCGCTAAATGCCCAGCTCGTTACTTCAAACTAGACGCTTTGGAGTATCATATGACTTTGCATGGCTCGAATAATCGATTCAGGTGCAATGATTGTGACTACTCGTCAAAAACGGCGCAGAATCTAGTAAAGCATCAGGTAGTGCATCGACGACACAACGAAATCAGCGGTAACGAAACGACTGCAATGACATTACCGACCACCACCGCAACTACCTCCAGCGCACCTTCTGTCTCCACTTCAATTCGATCCGTGCAACCGCCACCGGATCCGCAATTCGGTAACTTTATGCGTGGTAATCCCAACTTTGTCTACCAGGGTTATCTGCGAAATGGTCGTTTGAAGGAAAAGCGCTACAAATGCCACAAGTGTCCGTCCGCTTTCGAAAAGCGCGAGCAATATAGAGTCCATCAGACGCTACACGGTGCCAAGCAACGTTATCGCTGCGACACGTGCGACTATTCGGTCAAGTACTACGCGAACTTTATACAACATCTGAAGAAGCATCAGGCAAACGCGGAAGCGCAAGCGTCCCGCAGACAATACGAGGACGATCGGATCTTCTTGGACAGCGACGGCATCGCTGACGTAACTGCCGCGTCGACCTCGTCGCGCAAGTCTTCAAGATCGTCCGTCACAGCTGCGTCTTCCGCTAACAACGTCGCCAACGCTCTGCAGACCTCCAATCAGGATAGGCAGAGCCTGCTGTTGATGCAGAAGAAGGGTATCATCTCCGCGACCGGCGAAACCGACGCGGATACGATCCGTTGCCTCAGCTGTCCGTTCTCCACCACCGACAAGGACGTGATGGACGTGCACAAGCGGCGCCACGGCATCGAGCGTATGACTCCGTCGTGTCCGCACTGCGATTACATTCCCCGGAAGGACGAGAACATCCAGGACCACATCCAGTTGCACTTGACGAGACTGTACAAGCCCGAGTCGTATCTCGTTATCGAGCTGCTGACGCTGATGATGGAGAAGGTGCCAAAGGCGAACGGTAAAGAGGAGGAGAAGGGAAGGCAGCGGCTGAAGGAGCTCCTGTTCAAGGAATGCGCCGACGGTAGATTCCTGCCACTCACCGATCCGCACTCTTCCCATCCTCTAGGCACCTCGAGCGTCAACAAGAAGGTCATCGTGGATCCGAACACGGGCGAAACCCGCGCATAATCCCGCCGCGTAAATCTGATATTTACATTTTCGACGAATGCGTGCGTCTTCATGAATCTGATATTTACATTTTCGACGAATGCGTGCATTTTTCTATGCAAGAGACTGCTTCGAAAATTACAAATAGATGATGTAGACTTTGCGAACAATTTATAATAAGTTAGTACTCATTGCGAAAATCGTTGATTTTATTTTTTGAGATGGTTGATTTAAATCAGAGTGTGATAAATCAGTCGCGTTAATGTTAAATTTCTAATAAATATATAGAATTTTGTTATAGCAATATGAAATTAATTTTTTTACTATACTTGTATTGGGCAAATGTTACGCTCGTATATCATTCATTTATTATTGCTCTTATTGCCTTTTATTTGTAGATTTAAATTTTCTAAAGAGCTGTTACAAATTATATTTATTCATTTATATTTCTTACCATTTTTTTACATTCATTATTTGATCATTTTGAGCGAGAATGAATGTATGTGACTATACTCTATAAAGTAATAACATTGTATGCCATATTTTGTTAATTCCATGACTATCATTATTGTAAATATTTATTTCAAGCTGTCACTCCTGTACAATACGCAATCATGTACGATAATAAATGCTCACAATGTATATATACAATATTATGTTTAGATATATGTATATAATATATTATATATATATCTAATATCCGAAAAACAAATTATCCGAATTTACAGTTATTTACTAAAACAAAGTAAGTAGATTAATTACAAAGCATATATATATCAAGCTTCATTATTGAAACATTTTATATCATGATTTTTGTTATTATTTATATTTTACAAAAATTTGTATATAATTGGTGTATCAGAAAATTATCGAGATGATTTTTGTCAAACAGATGATACGGGAATTTATTAATTATTTATTTATAATTTATTATATATATACAATGCAGATGTACGATTTGTCATTTCTGTACTTTCCGCTTTTGACGTCACAGTCTAACAATTACGTCACACAGAGTGTAAAAAGTACAAAACTGCAATCTAGATTTTTGTTCGTGTTTCATTCACTCATATATGTATACATTTTTCTCGTCTTCGCTTCTTTTCTTCCTTCAAAACCCGCGTACTTATGCATTTAAATCGTCGCTCTAAAGTGCAGAAGGTGCGAGTGGAAATTCTGCGCTGACGAGATTCAAGATCGATAAAGATTGCGGCGGCGTCGCGCATGACTGAATTATTTTGCAAATTGCAACAATCTTGAGGTTATGACGATGGTGGACGACCGGGCGCCAGGTTGACTCCAGGTCGATCTCGCGTTCCTCTCTATCGCAATACGTGCAAGGACGAAACGCGATTACTTTGACAGCTACGATGTTCGAGGGGGCTATAGCGGCATTTTTGAACCGTCTGCTGGGCAGGTACGTGGAGGACCTGGACACGGAGCAGTTCAACGTCGGTATTTTCTCTGGGGATACGTGCCTCACCGACCTGAAGCTGAAACCGGAAGCTCTGGTACGATTCTTCCACAATTATTTCAATCGAATTTTCCACTTTTAAACTTTGATTAATTTAGCAGTAATACTTGCAATATTTTCTTACTAATGAGGATAGAATTGTTAATTTTTCACGTACTGCAAGAAAGATTTGATTATGAACGTGTTGAATTCGATTTGACAATTTTGCCATAGGCCAATTCTATTACTTCAATGTATCCGCTGACTAAATTAATCCAGATTTTGGTCAAAATAGACCTCAGATTATATAAAATAGAATTATATTTAGTGTGTATATATATATATATATATATATATATATATGTATATGTATTTTGTTTTATATTTTTTATGCTTTCAGTATCAACTGGGATTACCTATTAAAATAGAGATTGGCTTGATAGGAAAATTATTTTGAAAATACCATGGTCCGGACTCTTTTCGCAACCAATTGTGATATGCATAGAGGTATTGAACAATATATAAAACTGTATATAGTAATAATATATATATTAAAATAATGTGAAATCTAACATGGATATTTTTATTCTCTTTAGGATATATATGCAGTAGCAGTACCTGCACTGTCCGGTCCATATGATCCAGAGATACAGAAACGTTTGATAAGAGCAGAGAAGAAGAAAATACTTGAGGATCTCAAGGAAGATGAAATATTTAGAGCAGGTGGTTAGATGTTTTTACTAGATATCATTTTCACTAATAAATTGCTTTATTAAATTTATTACATTTTTTATTAGAAATATCTGCAATTTTTATTTATAAGTTTGTCAAAGTTTTTCAATTATTAATAAGGTTGAATGATTTTTTTATCTCTGCATAATTTATCTTTCTTTTTTTCATAGGTCTACCTCCTCAGTTATTTGATGGTCTGTTAGCATCAATTACAAAAAACTTCCAGATTACTATAAATAATGTACATATTAGATATGAAGAGAAAATATTGCGAAACTTTCTCTGTGCCTGTGGTATATGTATACAAAGTATATCAATTACAACTACCAACAAGTAAGCAGTAATTCATGATGATACATATTGCTTTTTTTTTTTTTTTTTCGATTTATGTTCAATGTTGTTAATAGAAATGATGAATTTCAGTAAATGGAAGCCCGGAGTTTGCGCTACAAATTCGCAAACAGTGTATCAGCTTATACGCGCAGAATCGCTCAGTGTGTATTTGGACCACGATACTGAATCTTGTATAAATGTTCAGGGTAATTGGGACATGTCCAATTTTCTAGCATGGAAAAGCAGAATGCAAATGTCTTTACAAACATTTGGAATGAAGAACAAGGAATTTCAATTTTGTACGTTTGAGATATTATTTGCTTGTTATCATTATCTTGAATCTAAAGAAAAAAGAAAGATTATTTCTCAACTTTTGATTTTAATTGACATGTTTTTTTTGTCGAAAAGTGCTGAAGCCTTTCACAGCCAAGATTAAAGTCATCATACACAAAGGTACAGAGATTCAAGCTTCTCGTATGTTGGTCGATGTTGTGCTGCAGGATGTAGCGATGCAACTGTCCGAAGCGCAATATGCTACGTTTTGTCATATTCAAGATTCTTTGTTACGAGCAACTGTCAACAGGTAATTAATTTATTCAGTCTTTTGTTTATTTTAATAACATGTGCATTTTCAAGAAATATTCTCTCTTTCTTTCTCTCTCTTTGATAAAAAATTAATGCTTAAAAATGAATAGCTTTATATAATATTTGTAGACCACATGCTAAATATCGCCCTGAACAAACTGTGTACGAGGAGCCAGCATCTTGGTGGAGATACGCGTACAATTCTATTTTGAATCACTATATCAAACCATATACTTGGTCTCATATAGCCAAACATAGAAAAAATTATAGAAATTATAAAGAGATGTATATTCAAAGTTTGCAACGACCGAATGACACAGAACTGAAGCTAGATCTGCAAAAATACGAGGACAATCTGACAATATTAAACATAGTGATCGCGCGAGAGCACGCTAAACAGGAATTGAGAAATAAGGATATCGAGCGCGAGTGTCAAACTACAACAGTGGATTCATCAAATGACGTTAATGTTGAAACATCTTCCAATAACGACCAAAGTATAATGGTTCCATGCAACAAAGAAGAAAGTCAAAAGTCGATAGATGTAAAAGATAATTCGTCCAGTCCACAAATAAAATTGGAAAAAACGCTGAAGCAAATTGGTAAGTGCATAAATACTTATCTCAATGTAAGATTATTTTTATATAGAATATTATCAAGTATTACAAGAATTGTGTTATAAAAGGCAAATATATTTCACAAGAGTTTTATTTATCTAAATCTCTTTGCATGTTTGCAGATTACAAATTGAACTTCACTTTGGCAAATTGTTGTCTGACTCTATTGAGCAAAGGCAAAGAAATGTTGATTGTAACTGTCGCACAATTCCTGACAAGTATCGAAGCACGGCCTATGTTATTAGCTTTCAAGATATCTGCTCGTGCTGAAAGTTTTGTTGTCGAGGCTATATCAACCGATGGTGATTTAGTTCCTTTGATTACAGTTGATAATGTGTTAACAGGTAACGTGTCTATTTGTCTCTCTAAGCGATTACTAAATTATTACAAATACTAATTGCAAATACCTTGTCCAACAGGCAACGTGTCCACTTATTTTTTGGCCATAGATTTTGAGAAGAATGGACTGAATATGGATCCTATTTTCGAAGTATCCATAAAGCTGGAAGCCATCGAAGTGACTTATCATCATGTAATAGCGCTTTTATTATGCGTTGTTTCGATCGCAATATTTCTATAAATTCGCTCACTTTTTCTTATATATCCATCATTTTTTATTCAGTTTGCTATGGTGGAGATTATAAACTTTTTCAAATTCAACACCAATTACATCTATGGCACGATTCTCGGAATATACAGATTGTGGGATTGCGCAAAGAGAAAATATTTCAACTTTGTGGACGACATCATCTCGCAAACATTGAGAATTAGTTTCAAAATAGATATTAAAAGCCCATACATAATATTTTCCGAACACGGATCGATTCAAAAGTAAGTTAACTATGTATGTAGGAGATTATAAAAGAAAGTATGTGAAAAATATTACACATTTTGTATACAACTAAATTTTTTTGTCGCAGAGGAGGATATATACTCGTCCTGGATCTCGGTAATGTAACGTTGACCAACGAACTTCAAGCGATGAATTTGCAACTGGAAGACGCTACTCTGATGGAACTGGAAGAATTACTTTATGATAGACTTAACATGGTGTTTTCTGGAGCGCAGATTTTATTCTGTCATTCGGGCGACGATTGGAGGTCGGCGAGAAAACGGAGTGATTCCGAGTTTCATTTGTTACCCAAACTACAAGCGAATGCGACACTTTCCTATAGTATTAGACCGGAATATCGTCAATTACCACGGTAAGAAATTGCGGCTGTTCCTTTAGTTTATCCCTTTCTTTTTAATATGTAACTTTTCGCAACAGGACAAAACTCAATGTACATATTTCAAACGTAAAGTTCAATCTGTCAGAAAGTAAACTGCGACTTATGGCGCACTTTTTGAACAAATTGCTAGTACTTTATGAAAATAATATCGAAAAATATAAAGCTACCTTCAAAGATACTACTCTTGAACAAAAATCGAGGATTGCCTTTACTTCGGTGAAAGAATTGATGAAAATACAATCCGGGGTGTGCTTGCCATCTGATTTAATGATGCATAATGGATTTAAATCTACTCTCAAGGAGGTTGTAACCAATAATGTACCAAAGCTTGACAGGTGATGATAATATATTATTTCAAAGGTATATTTCTCTTTCTTTACTCGAGATGTATTAAGAAAATATTCTTATTTCTTATTAGGAGTGTTGTCTCTTCGGAAGTCAGCGAAGAGGACTTGGAACTGTTATCTAAAACGATTAATTTATCTGGCTTTGATGATAATATATCTCCGTGTAATCGCATTAATTTGTTACTTCGATTTGCCATAACCGAGGCAAGTACAGTCTTATCGAGCATTTGTCACTCCTATTAAATAAATATATCAATGATACATATGTGGATCTGAAATTTAGTTCTCCATAAATCTTGAACATACGGTGGACAGCCGAGAGCAGCCTTATCTGAATTTGAGATTGCATACCGTTTACTATGAAACAGCTATGATGGAATATGGAGTTGCTGTTCAATTTGGCATTGGATCCATTCTTCTAGTCGATAAGACAAATGCTGGCGTTACTGGATCATATTTAGAATTGATATCCACAGATGAGTCTTATGAAGTTCTGGTTGTGTCATATCGTAAGGTAAGATTTGCATGCTGATGAGATACAATATTCATGTTCCCTGAGTTAGATGTACATTAATCATCTTTGTTTTAAAGGTTAAATCAAATTGCCCCGATTTCAAGTCGCACTTTAAGAATATCGAACGCTCACTGGTTGTGAACCTATTAAATATTCACCTAAATCTTCATAGATCCGCGTTACTGAAAATAAAAGATTATTGGCATAAATTTAAAACGTAAGTAAGAAAACGTACATTTATTCCGTGTGAGATATTTCTAGAAACACTAATTTCTTAATTTATTAATTTCTTAGTATGTGCGATGGTACGCTTATAATCAAGTATGCCGAAAAGATATGCAGTAATATTATAAAACGGGAACAACACGATGTAGATCCACCCATTCCACCAGGTAATAAATATATTTTTTACATACTTGAATATATAATATATTTAATATATTTTTAAATACAAAATATATATTTTTGGGTATGGAAAGGGAATATCGCATACTTTTACACACTCTTACAATACAATATTTTTGCAGGTGCAATTAAATTGAATTATTCAACCAGACTTAGCTCGCTGGTTCTACGATTTTGCGACAAGGACATAGATTTAATGGAAATTAAGATTTCGGGTTTGGAAAACGATTGTATCTACAATGCGAATGAAAGAATGGTGTTGCGTGCTTATCTCAGCAGTATACTTGCCGAAGATTTGAACGACGACACGCTTTATTCGAAAGTAATTAGCTTGATTAACATGCATATTTTTTAATTTATACATGATACAAATATATATATATATATATATATATTTTTTTTTTTTATTTTATTCAAAGATTTTGACGACCGACGAAGACAAGGTGTTTGATATGAAATATGTAAGGCATACCCCAAGGTTGTATAAATGTTCGGATATCGATACTAATCAGGACGATGTGATGTCGGATGGCACCTTTAAGCTTTCCATCGGAAGAATAAATTGTGTGATCATTTCTAAAATTCTGTACGATTTACGGGTACGATCGATTTCTCGTCTTGCGTTTTGCTTCTCGTTAGGATATCAATATATATATTGACACTTTAATTCTTCTACAGAATTTTGTGAGGCCGTTCGCTTCCACATATTATACTCGCTTCTTAAATTATTTGAAAAATAAGTTTGTCGGAGGGATCGAGCTGTTTAAGAGAAGCGCCACGAAATTACATATTTTTATCGATATACAAGGACCTACTTTCCTGCTACCGCAGAAGAAGGATGCTCCGAGTCTCCTGGTTTTCGATACAGGTATGGAATTGCAGGCGAGAGATAGTTATATATCCAAATTGAGGCCTTATCTTACAGAATTTATTTCCAGGCGTATTATCGGTCGAAAACTTTTTCAAGAATAGCGGACAGTCAGTGCAATCGACGAAAGCTAATGATAGCGGACAATTAATAATCGACAATATTTTGGTAAAATTGAAATCTATGACTATATCTAGGGCAATTATGACGTTGGCGCGAGATTTGGAAGTGCAGGTAAAGTTCGATTCAAATTTTGATATCTTTTGTGACAAAGTATCTGTTGAAAAAGAAATTGTGCCAATGTATGGAAATAATTTCAGGAACCCATTATCGAACCTATACAAATTCAGTTTGACATTAAGAGAAAGACGGAATATCGTAGTATTATGGAATTTCAAACATATGGTTTATTCAATGTGCAAGGAGCTATCGACATTGTAAATGTAAACTTGAGTCAGCGAGATCTAAAGTCCCTTATTTCGGTGTGGCAGGATAATATTTCCAAAATCCTGTTGCTTAAAAAGATCGGTGAGAACGAGGATCGAGTTTTAACGCGAGACGCTCGAAAGAACGTCAAGCACGACGATGACGTTATGGTAAAGAAGCTGGAAGACTTTCTAACTCATAATGAAACAGCGTTGTGCGAAGTCAACGTAAAACTCACTTTGGAGGGATTGCAATTGAATTTATTCGTGGACACGGAAGAGGTAGATATTGATATAAATTAATTAATATTATTTTACCATAATGTATAATTATATATAATAATAATTTTGATCGTATTATGTTGCAGGTGTTGAGTTCTCCTGTGCGCGACTTGAATCATGGTTTGTGCAAGTTGTGCTTCGGAGAAACTATAAATACCTGGGACTTTTATAGCGACAAGAGTGTGAAAATGAGACTTTCTTTGCAAAACTGCTCGTTGCAGGACACTCGCAAAGAGTCGGTTGTTGAAAAGAGGTATGTATCCTAGATCGGGAGCTTCAATCAAGAGAATCTTGTTGGCTTTATTAATCTTGTTTTACCGTTTCAGGATAATACAAGGACCAGCAATATCCCTGGAAAAGAATTTGGAATCTTGTATTTCCGTGTCGATGTCTCCCATAGTCGACGTCACGTACAGTCGTACTCAAGCTAAGGAAAAGTGTTTCGATGTTCTTATTCAGGACGTGCGAATTTATCTGTCTGTACCTTTCTTGATGCACTTGGGACGGTACTTTTTGGATTCCTTACCCGGCGAACAGATAGAAAAAGGGATTATCAATCATGGATACGATAATAATAACCAACTGGTAAATATAAAGTCATTTGGACTGTAGTAGAAGTCGTTAAGAATATTTTTTTATTAATTTTATCAAATCTCTCGAAAACTATACATCTAAGATATATTCATTGAATCGAATTAATTCCATCAATGTGTTTGATTTAAATCAAGAACCGGAATGCTATAAACGCAGAAACTGACAATATAAATCGCTCCCAATATTTTAAGGAGCAACCAGGTAGTTTGTCTATGTGCATGCAGGTTGTATACACAAAGATGGCTGTTTCCTCTCGTTTTTAAAAACAATTATATAACAATTATTGTATGTAGAAAATAAAATGATCAATTTTAATTTGTCTAGGTACTTCTATATCAATCAGAATACAAAAGCCGGATATTTTTCTATTCGGTGACTTGGAGAAGAGTAATACACACGTGATTCGAATGCAGACGGAAGTGTTTATCGAAAGCAGCAGACACGATTGTTCCTCTTCGATAGTCTGCACCCTGACCAATGTCAATGCCAAGACCAAGGGAAACGACGAGTCCCCGTATTGGTTGTTACGTCCTTGCGATGTGGAAATTTCTCAAAAGAAAGAATTGTCGAGTGGCAATGAGGAAATCGTCGTCGCTATAAACAGTGTTAATGTACATCTATCAGCGGAAGTGATGCATACCTTTTTCGATGTAAGTAATATATCTGATACCTGTAAATTGTGCGATTGAATTACATCGCTATTAAGTAATGATATCTGCATTTTAGATATTGAACGAAGCGTCAACTTTTTTGAACAGCATTCACTCGAAAATAGATGACAATAGCAATCAAAACGCCAACATGCATAATAATCTCTGGGCACCGAGAAAAGTTTCTAGTATACCGTATAAGAAAATCGAAGGTAAATATCTTTGCGATACAACGTAGAGATATTGTTTTATTTCAATTCTATTATATTTATTTGAGTAATTTGCATTTTTTGTCGTTTTAGTCGACTCGGGATTGTATCGTCATCGCAACGATCACGTAACATTCAATTTGAAGCCAGTGGCAATGTGCTTATTGTTAGAAATGGAATATTCCGTAGGAAGATTTCCAGTAATGAAAATGGAGACAATTGTTTCTGCCACCGTCGACGATTGGTACAACAATTTCCATCTCGAGTCCAACATAAAACTTCACGCGTTCTGTTATAATAGAGTTTATCAGAATTGGGAGCCATTCGTGGAGTTTTGTACAAAGGACGATGTAAATTATAAACCGTGGGAATTAATTATCAAGGTTACAAAGATTCTCAATTGCTACATATTTTTCTATTATTTTCGAATTAGTTGTTAATATAATATTATATAATTAATGTAATTTTTGACTTTTTTCAGACGTATCGAGGCGAAGCAAATATGATCAATTCCCATTGGACAGATTCTTGCCACTGCATAAAGCAAGATTTGGTGAAAGGGAAAAAGAAAGATATAAGGTATAATGAGCAGGATGTAATGGATATGATATTTATTGGACCCGATGCTGATACTACCTCATCTACAATAAAGGGTAGAATTATTCATATGATTTTGTTGCTTAATACATGAAAATTAGTTATTCAGTATATATGCATAGAGTCTAATTGTTTTTTAAATATACAGAGCCTGAAACTTACATTTCGTACGAGGATGAATCTGATACGGACGATGACGAGAACGATACGAAATTAACCAAGATTTCCAATTATCTATTCAATAATGATAGCGACGACGAAGAAAGCGATTCTGACAATTCGAGTACAAATGAGGATGATGAGCTGGAATTAACGCTGGATTTTACCTGTGAATCTTGTACGTGTAAATTCAAAGGGTCACACATGCATTTTAAATTTTAGTTATTTATACATGGTACTCAGCGAATCACTGATTACAGTAGATACCTGACGTCATTCGAGGCATCAATAATTTTCAAGATATAAGGGATTTTTCGCAAACTAGGTCTTGTGGAAATAAAATATTAACAAAATCACATTATCAATTAATTTTAGATAGAGTTTACTTTAATAAAAATTTAAGGCTTAGTTACAAAGATATATATGATTGCGAGAATTAAGGACATGTAAAAAATGATGATCTTCAATATTTTCAATGAGGAAAAATCGTTTCCAAATAATCTCGGAAACCTAACTGCATATCAATGATTCTGGGTGCGGGATATCTTATATTATAATACTAATGTTTTAATTTTGCACGTAGATACTCCCGCCACGCCGCGGGCGACAGCAAAGACGAGTCTCTTCGCGCCGCATATTATTCTATATTCGGAGGACAAAATCAACATCACCATAACGGAAAACATGATCACGACGTGGAACGCAATATCGAACGCGTTCGCCCGAGTCAAGGGTGGAATCCCTTTTGTGCCAGCTAGTACGCGAGAACTGACTGTACTGAACGACATAGGTCACCCGAGTCAAGTGGAACTGCTCGTTCAGGAACAAGTGGACGGGCACAATGTCACGCATGTTCTGGTCGTGCGTAATTTTGCGCACGACGGGAACTCGCCGACCAGTGTGCCGAGTAGTCCGGAAAACGAAGTCCAGGGGAATCTCACAAGTCCATCTCCTCGATGGACCAGTAAAGAGACCGCCGAAGTACCGGAATGTAAAACCTTCCCCATCGATTCGCCCGTTCAAATCTATAAATCTGTAACTGGCGAACTTGTTCGTGTGACTTTTGAAGGTAATTTTGCCTCTTTTACTTGCTCTACAAAAAATAAATAATCATAAATAATTGAATTTTATTCTTAATTTACGTCCAGGTTTCGAGGATGTGTTGGTGTATTGCCCTAAAAAGGAGACACGCAGTCTCGTATCGCTTCGTCCTGTGAGACACGAGGTCCGCTACTACCTGGTGATAGAGGCAACGATAAACATTTACCTGCATCGTACGATTTGCGTGCGATCTCCGCTACAGGTAATGTCCACTCGTTCATTCGCGTTTCACATCATTATCATCTTCTATGTTTCTTTTTTTGCTTTTTGATTAATTGAAAGATACTTTTTAGTTTCGAAACGAAACATCGTACGCACTCGGACTTTATTACAAGAAAGCAGTGGTGGACAAATTGGGTTTGACACTCACCGGTGAAGCCACAAATCCCTTCGATCATAATATAAGAATGGCCATCATCGAACCTGATGCGACTTATAATATTCCTCTATATATCGCTTATCATTGTCCGATACACGTTCTTCCGGCATATCTAGAGTCTATAGAGTAAGTAAAACCACAAATCAGTTTGTAAGATTGTTTTCTCTTTGAGAAAATAAAGGATTGAATAAAGAATGAAATAAATAACAAATATTATTTTTACAGGAAATATCAAGTTAGCGAGGAAGGAATTTATTGGAAAGACTTGAGGGGTACAGCAAATGCATTTAAAGACGTGTGCTGCAAAGCTAAGGACGGCATTAATGACTGTAATGTATTCTGTGTCAGGGCGATTTGCACGGAAGTCTCGTTAACGACTCGTCCTTCGGGTTGTCAAGTGCCGAATTATTTGATAAATATCGTACCGCCTGTCATTTTTAATAATCAGCTGCCCTTTGTCATCGATGTCGTTGTACCTAGCATTAATTATGAAGTGAAAATCGAACCCGGGGAAAAAATAAACATGCACTCTTTGAATCACAGCAGTAATGTGCAGTTTACTTTTAAGGTAGAATTTTGAAAAAATTCAGTTCTGTAGTAAATATTACTCTACGCCATTTAATTTATGCATTACTCAATAATTATATACAGGTACACAATTACTTGGGCACGTCTTGGATGGGTGCGGTGAAATTAAATATGAATCTAGAGCGAAAGTTTGTACTAATGTCTACAGATAACGAGTCGGATTTGACGAAACCCTTCTTGTTGTGCCTAGAATTAGGCAAAATTTTCAGCTGGAACATTATTATACAAGCGCAGTATTGGATAATAAACAAGTCTGGTCTGCCTCTATTTATCCAGGTATAAACTAGACAATTTGATTCTTATAATAATAATAATAAAAAATAATAATTTATTACTACTTTTTATTTAGGATTGCCATTCTCATATAACTTATGAGATGCCGGAGGAGGAGTTGATGGTGTTTTCTCAAAAGAACAATAAAAAGAGCATGGTACGATTGAGGGCCCATCAGTCCGAGTGGTCAATGCCATTTGGATTGGACGGGATCACGTCGATGTCGTTGATCGTATGTCGAGATATCGAACGCGGACGAAAGTATCAGATCTTGACGGAGATCGAAAGTTCCCGCTTGTCACCGATTTTCACGAAAATTATCACGTTTCTGCCGTACCTCTTCATCTGCAACAAAACCAAAAAGGCTCTGAGGTTTATGGAGGAGAACGAGCAGGCCGATCTCTGGAACGATCTTTTACCCGGGCAGGAGATGTCGTTCTGGCCCGCCACCGAGTCCATGAAAATGAAGATAAAGTGGAGAAACAGTCAGCTAGTCTCGCAACATTTCGACATCACATACGTGGGCAAGACTGTGCTGAGAATGGATAACGGGGTACGTGCATTTTGCATGGAATTTTGGAATTTTATTTATATTCAGCGTTGTACTTGGATGATTTTAAAATTAGTTTGATAAAGATGAGATGAAAATATGTAAATTCATCTTAGATAAAATTAAGATGATTTTCTTTTAAATATATCTTCTAGAAAATGAAATTATATGACGATCTTATCTAAATGATTTCCAGATAATATTATTTTTATTTTTAACAGTTATTAAAAAATGTAAATTATAAAAGGAATATAAATATTTATATTTTATCAAGTTATAAGTTTTTATCGCTTACTACTTAAGTTCTACTACTTAAGTATTTTTATGTGCTATGACTCTGAACATTATTCTAGATAATTTAATAAAGATACTTCTTTTCATCTAAGATGCAGATACAGCTAATACATATTTTTATTATCTATATAAAGATAAGATGACACCAAAATTCTATCTAGATGATTATCTATATAATTTTATTTAGATAACAGCAAACACTGTATACATTTGAAGAGAGATTTCATATCAGGTTTTTCTAATTTACAGTCGGCGCTATGCGTAGAGATCGAAGGCGGCATGAATGCTCCATATCGAGTAACATTCCGAAGATACGTCGCCAGTGACATACCTGTGCGAGTGGATAATCTCTGCGACAAACTATTCCTGAAGCTGAACCAGATCGGTTTGGGTCAAGTCGCTCTGCTCAAACCCTTTCAAAGTCTGCTGTACACTTGGGACGATCCTACTCAGACCAGAGAATTGATTTGGAACGTTTATAGCAATAACGCGTTCGGCTATAGAGCTAAATTCGAAACGGTAGTGAAAGAAAAAGCGTCTATTATTTTTCCTTAATGTTCTTACATATTTTTGACAAGATTTGCCATTTTGCATTTTTCGAAGCGCTAAACTTCTTATCATTTTTACTGAATAATTAGTTTTACGAGATTTCTTCATTATTAAAACAATAATTAAAACTTATAAGAGTTAATTATCTTAATTTCGATTTAATTTTATACAAATTGATTACTCTGCTATTAACATCTTTTTTTTGTCTTCAGGACGGCTGCGGACATGAAACGGTAACTTTTGTAACCGTCGAAAGATGCGACAGTGCGTCTCATTCCTCCCAAGTCACTCCCAAATCTCTAGCAAATACAAAGTCGTGGTCGGAGGATTCGAGTATCGCACATTCTTCCCCCAATGCAGAATCCGAGACGAAGCTCCAAGCATTGGAGCACGCACGGCAAGATGAGACGGAGGTTTACTGGGTGAGCTACATGGAAGGGGAGCAACGTGTGTTGCTGTTTACGCAGCACGAGAGTGTGTACCTGAAAGCGAAGAGCGTCATCGATCCCGAGGCGAGCAAGAGAGAGATATTTCTGTCGATCGCGGCTCTCGGAGTCAGCGTTGTAAGTTGTAAAAGCACATAAAAGCGATTTCGTGCAAGTTGACCCGATAAACCGAGAAAATCGAGTGACTTCTTTCTCTTCCCACAGGTTGTCCAGGAACCCAATCTTCATAATGTCAGACGGGAGTTGCTCTACGCCAGTGTGATTGACTCCGCCGCGCATTGGGAGCTTTACTTTAGCAAACGATGGAAGAGCCTGTCGTTGGAGCTGAGCGCTTGGCTGGAAAACAAGTATACGAATTCCGCGAAGGTGGCGCAATTGGAGAACTTCATTGATGTACGATTTGCTTAGCATCATTTTTTAAACTGCATCGTAGACGTTTCATGAATATCACCATCCTTATTTTCAATTCTATTTAATCATATTTGATCGAATATAATTTAATAACATTATTCCTATTTTATATAGTATTTTAGTTATAAACAATTAAATATGTAGAGCATTTAAACATAAAACAATGTTTTAATGTTTATCTATGATTAATATACTTTTGTTCGCTGTGATTATAATTTATCGCGCAGTAAAAATGAATGAATCATCAGACATATCCCTTTTAAATCACAGGTTGATCTGGTGAAGATGCAGATGACCAAACCGTTCTTCGGTAAGTTACGAAGGACGTATTCACCAGGTATCTGGCTGCATTGCAGGGAATCCACAACACTTTCTTACGTGCAGGGATACGTTCACAGGATACAGGTACGCAGATGTTAATTGTAAAATTAATTCATACTGACGTCATTAAACGTTAAAATGACGTATGCTTGCTACTTGGGATAATTACGATTCGCGATAATAATTTCTCTTGCCCATCTCTTGCATAGGTCGATAATCAACTGAGCGAAGCCATCTTTCCGGTGGTTCTGTATCCTAGCCTGCAAAAGACTTTTGTGAATTACGCCGGAAGTCGCAGATTGAAACACTGCTTAGAGTTCTCGTATCTGAAGCAACGCAAACTGAAAAACAGCATTTACAAGTACAGCTTATGCACATAAATATTATTACTCGTTACGATAAAGAGCATTCGAATATTGATTTTCAAATAATATTCTTTCAGAGGTATATGTATCGTCCTCCGGGAGTTTAATTTAAATTTGGAAGAGGCCTTTCTTTGCTCCTTGATCAATCTAGTACCCAAGAATCCGGAAACCAAACACTCAATCGCCGCCAAACTCAGGAGAGACGTGTCCAACATGCGTGTTCCTTCCTTCAACAAAATCAATAACGTAATAATTACAGACTATATTAATTCTGTCAATGAATGGATACCTAATTCAAAGTAACTTTAAATATTAAAAATGTGTTGAAAGCATGAAGTTGATGCCCAGGTTGACCTATTCATTGATGACAAAGAAATATAGAATTATGCATTGATAGAAGGATTAATTTATGTGAACATGCATAGTGTTTCGATTCGCTCATAAATATAAAATATAAATTGCAGAACGACAAGAAAAGAGACTTGATAGAGCAGATATATATTTCTCCAATGGAGTTGAAGTTGAAATTGCTGGCCAATACGGACGGATCTAACGCGCGCAACTTTAGCATCATGCTCGATTACCGCAATATTCTTCGTTTCGTCTTTGATTACGCGGAGAAGGGTGCATTCGAGAGGGATGCTGAGTTCAAGTGAGTGCGATTTTGCAATTTTGAAATCCTGATTTAATTGCCAACGAAACAAATGTACAACTTCCCGTTCGTCAGGTTGCCAAGTTATCAAAGAAGCTTCATCGTCGTCGACAACAAGAGATTCTTCTCGCGCCTCTTGCGAATTTACGTGGCGCAGATCATGGAACAGTTTCACGTGCTGGTGCGTCTGGCTACCGTTCTGGGAAATCAGTATGGCTACAACTTTAAATCGCCAGGGAGCAACTTTTGCGAACCAGATTCAGTAAGCGTACAAGACTGACAAGACTTTTTCTACGTACAATATTGAAAGTACGCTCGCTAATCATCTCTGATCCTTGTAGTTACTACTGTGCGTTGACGAGGTTGCTGAGAGGCTGGCGTACGAAGTGGCGTGCGAACTAGGATACGCTACTCCCGATGGGATGCAAGCCTCGATTTTGAACAGCCACGCGCCCCATATTAAGGTAAATATAAATGTTCCAAGTAGCAAACTAAGCAGCATTCGACGGCAAAATACACTTGCTATATGATATAAATGTGTATACGATGTTTATTTAGTATCAGCGAGTATCTTTCTAAACTTGAAGATATTAATGTGGCTGATTGTTGTCAAATTTTTAAGAATTTTTACACCGCTCGACACGATTAAATTTTGTAATGTCTGTCAAGCAAAGTCTAATTAAAATTAAATTACTCTTTGCTTGAAGAACAAAACTCCAAAAACAGACCCTTGTTCAGTTTTATATATTTATATAATTGAAAGTATATTCGTTGATTATACGGAAGAGAGATATATAGTAAAAATACATATTCGTTTCAGATGAAAGACACAAATTATCAGAATCCGGATGTACCTCCTTTAGCATTTTTGGTCGATCATTCGTTCGCTACAGAGATCGATTTGGAGACCTCCGGCTTGATCACCACGTCGACAAACAGTGAATAGCGAGATGCGCAATAATATTTTAATTTGTTCACTCTCAGCTCGGTTCGCTAAATCTGTTATCAAAAATGTGATTTCAGGTATTCATCGAGAAGAATTGAGATACTTCTTCAAAACATTGGGGAAGAAAATATCCGTGTTGTTCAAGACGGAAAGCTCTTGTTCAAAAACCCATTCGAAAGTGATATCAGACATAATAAAGAGGTATATCAATACGCTACTGTGTATAGCTATTTTCGTTTTTTTCGTTCATCATAAAAATGAATTTTTCAGAGCGCAAGAAGTAGGACATAGTTTTGTATCCAGGGTACGATTGCCACGATACATCAATCCGCATTTCGTGAGTATCGTCATTATTTCATGTATTTTGTATATACTTAATGCTCCTGGATTCTCACTGCGGTCATGTTAATTTGTGACGTCAGAAGTGAGAGAACACAAGGGCAAAGAATAGTTTTCGAGGTATTTTAAAAGTGTGCTAAAGCCATCTGAAGTACTTTTTATTTTAAAATGGCATCTAAGAATTTTTAGCATGTGATATCTCGCCTCTAACGTCACAATTCCAACATGGTCGGCGAGGAGCCAGAAGCCTTAAATCTTGTGTTATTATCTAGGGTGTGGAGTTATTCTCGACGCATAAGGCGAAGGGAGCCTACTTATTGAACGCTATAAGTAAAGGACATTGCGTTCAAAACGATTCTTATTGGGGACATGCTGCGCTCCACAACGACGGGAAATATATTACACTAGTATCCTTGCAGTAAGTCTATCAATTATACTCTCGTAATCCATTTCTCATCTGTTTTCATTTTCATCTATATAAAGATGGAAGATGACTAGAGCTAGATTCGAGGCAGCTTTTTACTCTAAGGAATCGCATTCGTTAACGTATTTGATAGATGAAAAATATTTTAAGAATATAAATCTATATATTAATTCTTTGAAAGAATCAAGGATTAATTCTTTGAAAGAATCAAGGATTAATTCTTGAATTTTTTTAGGCGAATACACTATATCGAAAAGGGAAATGTTTGGGGATCATGGAACGTAAAGTGGACTTTAGAGACGAATCAATTGCTGTCACCGCCAACTATCGCTAAAAATAAGCTTATTTTGCACGTAACAGAGGTAATTTGCATGCGTCCGATGCGACATATATTTAATTCACATTACTAAAAATATTACAATCGTGGAAAAGAGACAATGATTTGATACATTCGAATATCGAACATGCCTTTTTAAAGAGTGGAACATTTAAGCTTGACTTAAAGTTTAAAAAAATGGGAAAAATATTTAAAATAATCATAAATTCATTTCTCGCGTGACAAACAAGTTCTATTTTTGAAGAAAATTAAATTAATTAATTTCATGATGATTCTTCCTAGAAGTAATTAAAGAGTTGACTATAACGAACAAAAATTTTTTCTCCAAATCGCATAATAATCAGGAATAAAAAGAATCAAAATAATGACATCATTATATAATTAATATTGTAATATTATATATACTTGTTCGACCGACAAAGAGTGCTGAACACATGATTAAAAATTACATCGATTGTTGCACGCGCAGGAAAAGGAAGAGACGTCATCGTCTATGGTAGACTGGTACGTGGAAAGCGAGGCCGCGGATATTCTGGAATGGCTGTGTCGCAAAATGAACAACGCAATGATCGTGAATATGGAGAGCAGCATTTGTTCCAAGTGAGAGAAAATCTAACGATGCGCCGACGAGGCCGGTTGATTAACAGAAAAAAAACAAAGAGTAAACGAAGAGCAAGGAACAAAGTGGATAAAGAGATCAGTGTATTTACATATTTTAGTTTGGCGTAATAAAAAGTCTATATATGGTGAATGCAAAGAAAAAGAAAAACAATGTCTTTCTCTTTCTTTCTTTTTCTAATGCCCTACACTTGTTTCTTTATTATCGTTATGTAATCGTCTTATGCCTTAAGTCAGATCGCATCTTCGTCTTGGATAAAGTACGTCTAGTTTATTTCATAATTTATTTACAAAAAGTCTTAGTAAATTACACTTACAGGCATCTCCACTCGAACTAAAGTAAATAATTTAAGAACTACATGTATTTAGATATCTATAGAATAGGATACTTTGGGGTCGGGGAGAAGCTGGGACCAGGGAAAGTGTTCTGTTTAACTTATTTCAAATATAATCGTTTCTAATCGTATCTCCGACGAGAATTCGAGTCGTTTTTTAAACGGCTACGCGCGTCGTGTGAAAACTAAACTTCACTTCCGCCTCTCTTTAATTCATTCTCTCTCTCACTCTCTCTTTCTTTCTCTCTCTATCTTTCTCTCACTCTCTACGAAACGAGGAAGTATACCAGTGGAAGGTGTGCGACGAGTTCGCGAATGCGTCTTTTCTTTTTTTTTTGCTTATTCTCTTCTGCAACTTTCTCTTGCACAAGAGTGGGATTTTACAATTACAGGTAAATGTACGTATTGATTGTAAGAATCATCAAAATATGTGCAAGCTGACAATCGGTATCTGTTAATTTTACAATAACGTATGCGCGCTTTGAAAAAGCATAAAATCTTGGTTATAAATATATTCCCATTAGAATCGTTTAATGGCACGATCGAGCTTAAATTTAAAAATCCTTTTTCTTTTTTTTATCCTTTTAATATATATTCGTTTCTACAATTATCGTCCAGTTTTTGTCTGCTTCTACAATGGTTGGTTTTTCATCCTCATCTTCCTGCTTCTTCTTTTCGCTTCTTTTTTTTTATTTTTCTTCGTTATCACAACGGCATTTAATTATGTTTATAAATACGTTTATTCTCCAAAAAAATTGCAGTTTTTTTAGTTAAATTCGCTACTTTCAACTCTCCTCTCTCTCTCTTTCTCTCTCTCACTCTCCTCTCTCTTCTATAAAGGAAATCATCTCGAAAAAAAGAAACGAAAGAAAATGATTTATGTTACTGAAACTGTAAAATCTCCTACTATTGAAACAACGACTGTGAAATCAGGGAGAATCGAAGCAATTATCGAAATGAATCAATTACTCAATTTCGCAAGCTGCATATTTTTTCTTTCTCTTTTCACAGACACTATCCCCACCCCTTTTTCTACCGGCACCCCCATCCTCCGTGCATACATATACACACGTACACAAGCACGCACTACACATGCACAATGCATTCCTGCATTTTCCTCTCATCTTCTCTCCCTTCTCCAAATCCGTCTCTCGATACACCAATACACATGCACATATATGCATACGTCCCAAGGTGTGCATTATATGCACGCATATGCATACACATTCGCACACGCACACACACACATGCATTTCTCGCGGGCATATATATGTAAACGCGTATCCATGTCTCTCTTCATTTTATCTCTCTTCTCAATTAGCAAACTGACGTTATGAACGTCAAGATGACGTCTAATGACGTCATTCGACTTGAAAATGACATATGTTTATCTGAGTTCTCATTCTCCCAGATAGTAAGCTTGCGTCACTAGACGTCAAAATGACGTGATTTTAACGTTTAATGACGTCAGTTTGCTACTAGGACTTTCACACACACATTCTCTCTCTCTTTCTTTTTCTCTCTCTCTCTCTCTCTCTTTCTGATTCTCAACATTATATTATATACATACATACATACATGCACGCAAATATATAACACGCACGCACACGTACGCAAATACATGACACATTCTTTCTCTTGCCTTCTCGCTCTCTTTCACGCATCCTTTCTCTCTCTCTTTCTTTCATTTCAATCAGCGGCTTTTATCACACATATCATATTATTTTCATCTTCTAGCAATGTCTTTCTTCAGTTCTAGTATCTGCCTGTGCTCCTAAAAGTCGAGACTTTTTTTGCGATCCTACAATCGCAAACGTATATTTGCGCCACCGTAGCCGTAGCACAAAAATCGAATAAGATTCAATGGAAGTGTGTGTTATCTACAAAATATCTTAATTACTCGCTAATTACAGCACAAAACATGCAAATATAAAAATTTGCATTATATTATCGTTTAATATTTATATATATAATCATCATCCGATATATATATATCGTTCCACATCCGCACCAGTTAAGGTTCGCCGATATACTTCTGGGTATATATATATATATTTTTTGTATATATATATATATATATTTTTTTTTATTTTTTATTATGCAGTTGACCGTTGTCTCTTGTATATGAAAGTCCATTTTCTTTCCCTTTAATGCGCACGCATGTGTGTATATATACGTCGCGTTTGCGCGCATGCATGTATGTATGTGTATCTGCTATGAGTACACGGATTGTACGTGTCTGTGTGTGTGTGTTTGTGTGTGAGTGTATATATACGTGTACGCCTAGAGTACATGGATCTGAGTACATGTGTTTTCTACGTGTTTGTATATATTGTATGAGTGTATCTTTTTTCTTTCATTAACTATGAAATATCTTACACTATCGATATTATTCCAATTCACGAAGGGGAAGGTATACCGATAGGCGGAGATCGCATCTGGTATACCTACACGCTAACACCAATAATTAAACTTTCTTATTTCCTGTTTAATCGATATAAAACTACAATTGCGCTGCCATGGTTTTCATCAGCACTTTTGTTCCTTCACTCGTACGCGTCTCTCTCCCTCTCTTACTCTCTCCCTACCTCGTCTTTTTGTCAATTACATCAAGGTCTAGCGACCTCTCGCTTTTACGTTTCTGTAACGCACTCTACAGCCGTTCATGCACATGTTACCATCACAACGTCGTCGTCGACGTCGTCGTCGTAGTCGTCATCATCGTCGTGTTATATCTTGATACTCGTCGTTGTCGGCACCGTTAATAATAATATAATCGCATAGTGTCCCGACAGACGATAGAAAGTTACGTGCCCCTCGAGCACTGGAACAACACGCGGGCGACTATCGCGGCGACCTGCTGATCGAGGATCTGACTCATGACCAGGGCGAGGAGGCGAGACTCGTGCTGCAGAAGAAGGGTCCGGTTGTCCGGATGCCTGGCGAGGTTGAGCAGAGTGCCGGCCGCGCGTCGCAGCATGTCTAGGCTAGTGCCCATCGATTCGGGATTCTCGCGCAAGGCCGCGAGGCCATGCTGGTTGGCAACCCCGAGGGCACTGGACTCCGCCTGCTCGATGAACGCGACGAGCAACGCGACGGACGGCGTCTGCAGGGCGATGGTGCGCGCAACGCCGCTGTCGGCGGCCGAGAGAAAGTGTAGCAGGTTCACGCCGAATTCGCGCAGCACCTGCTCCTCGCTGCGACAGAGGAGCCTGGTCAGCACGGAACATAATTTCTGCAATCGGGAGTAGGGCGGCGTCGCCACCACCAGGTCGACGTTGCACTCGGTCACGCATAACTTGCACAGCGCCTCGAGGGCGAGTCTCTGCGGCGAGAGGGACGAGTTGAGGCCGACCGTCGGGAACGGGTCCTGTCCGTGGGCTGCTGGACATACGGCCCAGTGCAGGAGACCGTCGAGCACCGGCCGCGAGATCTCCTCCGGGTGCTGGCTCAGATCCATGTGGCCGGATATGTTGGCGGCCATTACGAGAACGTTCTCCCTCACGTGGTGCAAAAAGTCCCACCACCATTCGCTCTCGCCTTGCAGACTGCTGCACGAGTCTGCGAAGTCGGCGTCCTCCTCGCGGTCGTAATTGCGGGTCTTTTGCGCCCGCACCGGGTGCTCGTGGTGCAGCAGCAGGAGTTTGCCGAGCAGGCTGAGGAACGTAACGTTCTTCGCGAACTCGGCCTCGTTGCCCGGGATGAAGGTGAGATTCCTCAAGATCGTCGACAGGCACACGCAACGGCGGGCCAGGCTGTCCTGCGTCTCCGTCACCAGGTAGAGGCTCGCCTCGTCCCTGGAATAACTTTCGTCCTCGTAGTCGCTTATCCTCCGCCGTTTCAGCGTTCCTGCCGGATCTCTTATCTGTAATCTTGGTCCCTCCTTATCATCTCTCGCGCTTTCCAGTTCCTGCTCCTCCGTCGCCTCCGTCTTGATCTCGGCTTTGTCCAGGGTACTGTCGACGTTGCTCGTCGCAGCCGCTGCCGCTGCCGCCGTCGCTGAATCGTTCAATCCGTTTTGCGTCGGCAACGAGTCCTCGTCGTTCGATTTTGACACATCGCTGCCAAAGTGCTCGCCCATATTGTTGTTCGGCTTCGTCGTCTCGCTGTCGCAATCCTTCTTGAAGCTGTCGTTCTTCTTCTCGAACAGCGCCCTCGTGAGATCGTTCATCTCCACAGGTTCTTTCTTAATCCTCGATAACACGTCGCTCAGACTCTTCTTCTTCTTGTCTACCTGCTGCTGCTGTTTACGTTCACCGCCTTCCTTGCCAGACTGTTTGTCGCCGATCTCGCCGGACTTATAGGTAAAGTCTAGGGTCTCGTGAGCACTACCACTGACGCTGTCCGCTTTGGCTTCGTCCTTTAAATCCGTGCTGTCGACCTCCTTCTGCAATAACGGCGGTTTCTCGTCCCTCAGCAAACGAGCGAAAGGCACCGAACCCACTTCGGACTGAAAACACGTCACAATATACTTGGTCGCGTTCGCGTCGACTTGCCACGGCTCGGTCTCTGACTCGCACTCCTGGTGATCCCAAGATCTCCGAGTGTCCAGGACAAAGAGATCCTCATCCCGGGAAACGATCTTGACGGGACGACCTCTTCTCGAGAGATACGTGTAATTCGATGTCGATAACAGTTTCGTCCGGTCCTCCGCATCGATCGGGCGCGTCACCGCGCCAAGGTCCACCTCCGGACCATTCGCGGCCTGGCAATAGCGGTCGTCGTCGTTCACGCACGACTCGAACATGTCGGAGAGAGAACGCGAAAAGTGTTCCAGCAGAACGTCCAATAATCCAGGCAAGTGCGCCAACCCGAAGTAACTTACCTGCGATCGGAAAACTCGATTATATTTTGCATCTTTTATCATTCTATTAATATATATATATATATATATTAATTACTTTTGTATACAAATAATTATGTACAAATAAATAAATAAAAATAAATCATTATGTAGAAATATTCCTCATTGTATATTTCATCTCTTTAATTTAAAAGAGAATAATCCATGTTTTTATTTAGAATAATTGCTTGCAGAGAGAAGACGGTACTTACAGAAGAGTCATCGAATAACAAAATGTTTAATACGTCAAGGGCCCAACAGCTTTCGGCGAGCAGGCCCGATCGTAAAGCCATCATGATACGCCAAGCTTCTATCGGTGCCACGTCAGAGCGTGCTAGTTTTCGTCGCTTGTACAAAAGAGGCGAAATAGCTTCTACACTGTCAGGAGGGAATGTCATTTCTCTCTTTGACGTCGGTTGCTGGCTGATCATGGGATTCACAAGTTGATTCTGCGTGAAACAAAATAATGCTTTATTTGGCCCAACGAGATATTTTAATTGAAAATATGAGTCTAAAATATGTTTACTGACATTTATGTTAAATCGTAGGAAATTCACGAATAACATATCGCGTTGGCAAGAGAACTGAAAGCATACCGGATGATTTCCGGGTGTCGGATACAAAGGGGACGGTTGATTCGTGTAACGGTGATCCCACGGCGGAGGCGCGTGCGCTATAGCGTTCAAAGCAGGTTGGGACGGGGACCTGTTCGTTTGTTGGGTGGACCATTGTTGACTACCGGTCATAGCACTAACCGCCGCAGCTGGTGGTGCGGCGGGGCCGACTACCACCGGTGCCTGTTGCGGCTGTGGTTGCTGCTGTTGCTGCGACGGCGATTGTGTCGGCTGACTTGGGTACTGAACCCTATTGTTGCCACTATTACTATTGTATTGATTGGTTGTATTTGGCCATCCTGTAGAAAGAGGTTGCATTTCTCTTTGTTAATCATCGATCGTGTGCTCTCGTTTATCTTTTTAGAAACTTGAAATTTCTTTCAAACAGAGATAGAAATTGTGATTTCAAGTGTCTGACCTGGATACGCTGGTCGTTGCTGATTATACTGGGGATATTGTTGGTCTTTGGCAAAATCTGGATGACGTCTAGGTTGGGTGGGTCCCGGAGGAGGCGGTGGCATGTTCTTATTAGCCGATGCGCTCGGGCTATATATTTGCGTTCCACCGGGCGCTCCGTATCCACTCTGCAATATACGAGAAACATAATTAAGACTATTGACTTTTCTCTATCTGTGCAATAAGGTTTTTTTCAAGATTTTATCTCAAGAAATGAAACAAATTAGCTTAATAAAAGAAATACAAAAATATAACACGCTCTTGCGTACTCTTGTACGTAATGTCGTAATTATTACCGTAAACAAGTGTAACATAATATCGAACGAGTATTACTTGTTCCTGTCGATAGTAATCCTGCGGACACGAGTACGCGGACGATGCAGCCGGCGGTTGCGAGGGCGACGAAGGCTGACTGGTTACAGTCTGCTGTTGCACGGTGGCGGGATGAGCCTGCGGTCCCGATGGATAACTGTTACTCCGCGCGTTGGGAGGCGTTCCCGTAGGATAGCTAGCGGGTCCCTGCTGACTGCTAGTGTATCTGTTGTACATGTCTTGTCCAGTAGCGTTGCTCGGCGGCATGTTACCACCCGGATATCCCCTGTACACGACGAAAATAATAATAATAGATTGAATAGATTTGTTATTACGGAAGGGAAAAAACAAGTCTTCGCATTTCTCACCTGTCAACATCCGGCACGTATGGAGGATAATGCGATCTTGGCGAGTATGGTTGACTAAATTCCCCTTGCTGAGACAGCGCGTTTGCCTGGGGCCGAATGTACTGATCTTGCGGGTAATTCTGATAGGAACCCGTGTTCTGGTAACTACCTTGTTGTATTCCTTAACAAAGTAAAGGAGAAAAATTATCATAAAGTTCATAACAATGAATGAATAAACTTTATCAACGCGTTGACCAAACTGCAAGACGTACCCTGATGAGCAGAAGGTGCGCTGCTTTGACTGGGTGGCCTAGGCGGAGGTGGCGTATATTCCGACGACGGGCCACCGGGTGTACCGCCCGCGTAACTACTCTGATAGCTTCCATAGCCATCCATGGAAGCGTTGCTCGATCCGCCAGCGGGAAAGGAGTCTTGAGAATTGGAAGAACCTGTGGCAAGGAAGAATCTCCGCGTTAGAAGACGAAACCAAAATTTTTACAATTTTTATTCTTTTACACACGACACAATTTTGAAAAAATAAAATAAATAAATAAATAAAAAATAAAATAAAAACAAGCCTTTACCCGGCGATGGTACGGAAGCAGTTCCCTTGGAGCCCTTCTTCTTCGAGCCCGCTTCGACTTGATTGATGATGGGTTGTGGATCCACTCCCCCGCGATCAAAGTGACACTCGTATGCTAGCAGATGCTTCGTATAGTGCTTACGCAATGTATAAGCAGCGCTGCTGCTCGCGCCGATACCCAGCAAGCCGGCTATATCCTTCCATGTTTTGTTTTTCGTTACCTACAGAAAAAGATTACGCACACGCGTCCTTTACTACGTTCACGAGAGAACAATTTCGTGTCGAATCTCACACACGCGCACACACACATATGGACAAAAAATATGCATGTCCAAAAGAAAAAGAAAAACATAATACAAAAGATATTGCCGATGTTCCATAGCTTAAGATATCGGTCTTAACAAAAAAAAGTAATAATAAAATTAAGTTTTAAGAAATAATAATAATAATAATAAATGACATTGGTAGTAAAAACTGCTAGCAAAGTTTCTAAATACATGCAAGTTGAAAAAAAAATAAAAACAAACCAGAAATATACAGTGTACAATCGGAAATTACCGTTATCGTTACATTTCGATATTAAAAGTTTATCTTCGCTGTGTGACTATTAGAATAATTCCATATAGCACCAAGGTTTGTAGATCAGGGTGTTTCCATATTCGACTGTTGAAGACTACTTCAAGAAAAGATATGTTTAGCTTTTTTTCTCTTTTTTCTCTTTTTTTTTTTGTTTTCTCATGACACAGAATATAGAATATAAGGGATACTAATAGCAAAAATAGAAATTATACATATATCATGCACAATTCAGCATAGATGTAAAAATGAAGCATGTTCTGAGGTGTTTCGATACTGTCTAAATATCAAATTTCAAACTTTGACACAAGTGGTTTGTCAATCAAAGCTTCATTGGATATTAGACATATATATACTTTAAAGTACTTTCCATCGAGTACTAAGAATCGAAAGTAATCGACGAAAGACACCTCAAAAATATACAATGTGCACAGAATAACAATATGTATATATATATATATAGAATGCAAAAAGACATAAAAACAATATAGAAACTATGTAAGACACCGAGGGCTAGATGGAACTACACTGCACCTTGCATACCTCCATGAAGCCCCCCCTCTCCTTCACGTAGAGGTATAGCCGAAACAGATCGAGGGGGTTCTTGGAGATGGTAGGACAACTAGTGATGGGTGTTCTTCGTTCTTCCATAAAATTGACCAGTTTATCCAGCCAGGTTCTCCGTTCTATCGAGTCGTCCATTTCGTATAACTTTGCCAGACTATCTGGCTTCTGAAAGTCGCACATCATTTTCATGTTTTTTAGTGTGTTTTATCATGAGCATGAATGAAAATGAAATTACTAACATGTAGATTTGACAAAAATATTTCGTATATATTATTGATTTTAAACTATATACTAGAATAAACAATTATTATTCTTGCAAAAGCTGCGAACGTAATCCCAATTGTAGCCATATTATCTAACATGCATAAACATAACTTTCAATAGTTGTTTATCTTTTTTTCCCCATCTCATAATTAAACACCAGTTGTTAACATATTCTTGATTACAATTAATGAAACATACTTTTAACACCAGATAAATTGATAGATTGTAACCAGAATATTAGTATTCTTAAACATTTACGAGTTATTTTTCTCTTTAATGCATGTTTAAAAAATTGGTATTTAATAAACGTATTAAAGATTAAAATTGAAAAACTAAGATAAATGGAGCGATATATGGTATGCAGCATAGTAATTTGATGCATGCAATGATTATTTAGTAAACATAATGCAGGTAATGGTGTTGTTATGCAAGTAACAGAAATGTTGGCAAAGAATTTGTAAAATGTTCAGTGCAATAAAATAAGTGTATCGATAAATACATTGTCTCAGTAAATAGTTGCGTAACAACCCTACACAACGTGAAGGGTTTTTGTAATAATCTCCTCTGTTGGAAAATATATTATATATAATTATATTATTGTAAATCACTTATTAAATTGTGCATTGTGTCATAACTTTTGTTGCAATCTTGTAAAAACAGTCAATTTATTCTGCCATTGCAATATTCTATCTGATAATAATATATTATTAAATTGTGTTAATAAAAATATTTTTTGTAAATTAAGAAGAGATACTTTAGATAAATTAAGTTTTTTCCAAATTAGAAATGTGATATAAAGAAATATAATATAAAAAAAACTTGACAAAATTGATTCCGACGTAACTAGCAATTTTATTCAATACTTTCACGACGTTTCGACCATTTGGTTGTGGTCCTTATCAAGTGAGAACTCCATCAATTAAAATGAGATTAACGCAACATAAAACCGATCTTATTTAAAATTAATAGTTAAAAGAAGAACAAGTCCCATCGCTATGATGTTTCGTCGTTAATCTCATTTTAATTGATGGAATTCGTTGACGAAACATCATAGCGATGGGACGTGTTCCTCTTTTAACTATTAATTTTAAATAAGATCGGTTTTATGTTGCGTTAATCTCATTTTAATTGATGAAATTCTCACTTGATAAGGACCGCAACCAAATGGTCAAAACGTCGTGAAAGTATTGAATAAAATTGCTAATTATGTCGAAATCAATTTTGCCAAGTTTATTTTTCACCACTAGCGTCCAATATTAATTTTGATTAATTATATAAAAAACTCTAAGTTTTATAATATATACTTTTACATTTAAATACTTTCAACTTTTGGACATTGGGATATTTGTAGATTAATATGATGGTATATAATATGTGCCAAGCAAGAGAAATTTTAGTACAGGATAAAAATGCCTAAAGCGTGGAGCGCAAAAGGGGAATGGCATTTCGACAATGTAACAAATATTTAGTGAAAAAACAATAACCTTAGATCTGTACGGGTCTTGAGGCACATGACTGTTAAATACCTGTAAAATATTAAAATATTGAAGATTCATTCGTATATTTGACCTTTATCTGAGGTCTAGATACACAGTCAGCTGCTTATTTAGTACATTAGAGTATGTACTACATATGTGTGATTGTGCGTCATACGTACAGGACTAGCAGGAGTACGCGGCCAACCAGGACTGTTCATGTCATATTCCTCGTGAATAGAATTGATGCTCGCAGCACCAGGTGACGGGACTGTACTTTGTGGTGTCGCGGGATGGCTGTGGTATCCTCCCATCATCTCCTTCCGCACTTTTGGCGTAAAAGTTGGATCTTCACCGGAAGCTGTGTACATATAATACATTTATGATTATACTCGGATTATACAATGAACAAAATTTTACAAAGTTTAAAAAAAAGATAAAGATGAAATCTATAAAATTAGAAATGATACTAACCGGCTGATGCATTGGATAACGTTGATTGTTGTGAGCCTTCGTCTAGAGATGTGCCATCTGGACCTGTCGTTATTACAGATGTCACAGTACCGCTCGAAGTAGATATGACATTTATAGCTGACGTACCTACATATAAATTATACAATTTGGCTACTTGCTATTTTGTACGAAAAAATGATGTAATAAAGATTAACACGATATTCTCGCTTACCTGAAGCGGTCGTGGTTATACCGCTGTCGTTGGAAGTCTCAGCCGTGAGATCTGCAGAATTGTGGCTGATTGGTGTCGGCGCTGACGCGGGATGCGAGTTTGGTGTGGTACTGGGTGGCGGCATAGGACTGCCCTCGTGATTGAGCGGCGGGGTAGCCGCTGGAGTGTGCAAATGCGGTACCGCCGAGCTGGTAGGCGGTGGTGGCTGGTTGCTAGGTATGTGATTGGGAGACGGTGGTGGTGGGCCCATGGAACTCGCTGGCGGTCCCATATTACCGATGACGGGCACACCTGGAGCACCTGGCGGTACCATCGCGGTCGTACCACCGGTGCCATAAACCTGCGGCGGTCCTGGACTCGGTGGCATTCCTGGCGGTACACTATTGAAGCCCATTTTATGCTGCAAAACGATACAGAGATGTTAGCTTTAATCGACAACGATATAAATATAAAGACATTACTGTTGTTAATTATTAATTAAAAATCGGCTTACCGTGTACGGTGGATATTGTACCAAATTATTGGGTCTGTTGGGAGGCTGATACTGATTGTTGGGTGGCGGTTGTGAGTTTGCAGGTGTCGGATATCCCTGTGGAAACTGCATGTGAGGACGCGGAGGTGGATACGTGGATTGCGCGTGATAAGGAGTGACCCCAGGTTGACCCGCTGCTGTTCCGCCAGTTGCATAGCCCATCCCACCACCCATTGGACTGATCCCACCGAGAGTCGTCGAACCGGGTCCCGGTTGCACTACGCCAGGACCAGTATTGTTCATCTTGTAGCTATGCATGTGTGGCGATGGACCCAATGGTTGTTGATACGCTCCTGAAATCAATGACAATTATATTTATTATTTCTGATTTTTGTAACAGAGACTGTCTACACATGAGATAATTAATAAATGAATATCTCAGAAACAAGGTAATTTTCACAAGAAGAAATGATAAATGCAAGAGAAAAAGTAGAAAATCATACCTTGAGTAGTCATGGGAGAATGACTCATGCGTGGTGCTGGTCCACTACCATCCGACTGGCTACTCGACGGACGTGGAGGCATCTGAACGTTTTGTTGGCCTGTGCAGTCATGAATAAATTTTAGGTAAATACTCTTTGTGATACACGTATATAACATAGGAAGAAAAAGAGAAGAACGTCATTTTTTATAAAATAACTTTTACATAATATCCAAGTAATTCTTTTTTCTTTTTGATATTATTCTAGTGAAGAATACTAAGATAATTTACTGAGATACATAAAATATGCTACACAGGACATTCCGATAGAAGCAGTGAAATATTACTCCATGACAAAAATTGATTCTTAAATTTCATGACAGAATGCATATAGTGAAAATGAGAAAAGTCTACAACACTGAAATATTCTGCGTAGCATAATATTTGAAGTTACAAATTTTATCACTAAGTACAAATGCGAGTGAAAAGAGAGACAGACGTAAAAAAGACCGACCAACAGCAGGGGACATCGAGCGAGAACCTGTGGATCCTGTAGGCGACGGGGTAGGTCTCATCCCCTGAGAATTTGGTGTCCCTGGGCAAGCTGGTCCATTCGAACTGTCGTTACTATTCTGTCCTGATAATTCCTGCAATTCAAATTCAATCTTGTAACAACAATTTGTGACGAAAGGAAGAGAAACAGAAGAAGTATTAAATAGTGATAATATTAATAGAAAATGATGTGAAAAATATAAACCGTGGAAATAAAATGTAGCCAATTTAAGTAAGAATTGCATCTTATCTAATTCTAATTGTATTTAGTTTAACAAGCACTGCTTAAACTTTCTCCTATGTATTTATGTATGATAACAAGTTTACGCAGCAGATATAATTTATGAAAATACAGTTTTTATCCCACAATTATCCCATATATTTGCACATCAACGTGTGATTATCTCTACGTTCATATCTTACACTCTAATATTCTGTGAATATCATGGTTTTTAAACTAGGTCAGTCTTTTGCAACACATATTTGCCTTGTGTAAAACTATCGCAAGAATCCATTCGCACAACACTGCTGTACACAGTACGCATAAGAACACAAGAAGCACTTTTGACGACAAACAGATTACAATTCCAGTCTAGATCTAAAAATGTGAATCACACAGAGAGGAGATCCACAAAGCTAAACCCTGGATTCCTCGACAATGAAACAAGAAATGCTGATGAGGAGTCGAATCAGCCTCATTGTCATCCTATATCTAGACAGCAGCAGCTTTGTCCGACGCCTTCGGTGACGTCGCGACGTTTGCGCTCCGCCTGTTGGAACGATATTCTACGTGTCGGGTGTTTCTAGTGTTTGAAAATCAATCGGCGGCGATATCAGGACGAGGACGAGGACTGCAAGAGGGAATAAGCGGCGATGTCGCCCATGATATTCGCGCGCGCGGCGTTCAATGTTGCTGTCAGCCCGTCGTGTCCTCGACGACGATGATCGTCGTCGTCACGATGGCACGCGGCGTCGTTCTCGGAACACGAAACAGACAACACACGTACGCACACACACACGCACCGTGTATATCCCCGGTTGAAATCGCGTATGCATGTGCCCGCGTGTATACGCACTTTCGTACAGATCGTCCGTCACACAAGGAGCACCGCTGCTGTACGTGTGTGTGTGTGTGTGTGTGTGAATACGCGCTCGCGCGCGCTAAGCGTGTGTGCGTGTGCGTGAGAAGGGGTAGGAGAAAGAGAGTGGAACAGGGACGAGGATAGACGTGGAGAACCCGAGGGAGAAAGAGAGAGAGAGAGAAATGGATGGATTAGACGGGAAGAAGGGATGGAGAGAAGAGAATGAAAGAAAATTTCAGGCACATCATTACACCTACCAGGCCGCGTAGAGTTGGTCCGTGGCGATTAAACACTTCCTCGGGCGCACGAGCGAACGTACGGTACATAGGCCGTCCGGTACAAGGACTCTCGGCATGACGCGAGAGATCGAAGGAGAGGCGTTACCCGGCTCTCCACTTAAAGCACGACGAGTGGCAACCGAGAGAGAGAGAGAAAGAGAGAGAGAGAGAGAGAAGGAGCGAGCAAGAAAGAGAAGCGGAAACGTATTTTGCTCCGTTTTACAAGTTGCGCTTTCACATGTTTGTCAAACTGCGTGGAGTTATGTACGCGGACAAAAACAAAGAGAGAGAAAAAAAAAATATATATATATATATGTAGAAGAAAGATGGAAAAATATTTCTTTTTCCTTCTTTTTCTTGCGAAAATGATTTATCGCCCCAGTGCGCGGCTGGCGTACCGATCAAACATGATATTCTTCAGGTTTGTGACTCGGCCACTATCGTCGTCGCCTTTCCGTGTCTCCTCGAGCGTCGCATGTTGTGTGTCAATAATTTCTGCCAAGGAGTACGAACTGTCACGGGACCGGAGCTCGATGGTAGCAAACTCGAGACAACGAGGACAGACAGACGGACGGACACGTAGGAAGTTTACGTAGTGGAATCAAATATTCGTCAACGTCGTCGTCGTCGCTCGTATATATATATATAAATATATATATATATATATATTCTGCGTGATATCGCGTGTGCGTACAAACACGCGTCAAACAGGTTATAATCCGGAGCCACGACGAGGAGAGACTTGGTTACGGAAAGCTGCGCGGAAGTCTTTTGACGTGTACGAGAGAGTCCTCGGAGCGAAACGTTCGTCGCGTTTTCCTCCTCTCGGCGAGAGAAGGAGTATTCCTCTGTATCGGGGTCGTCCCCGAGGCTTCGGTTTACAGATTTCGCGTCTAGCTGCCTCGTCGAGCTGGCTTCTTGTTGGAGGGCGTTCTTTCTTTCGTGGCGCGGCAAGCGCTCGGCCAATCTCGGCCAACTTCGGACCGCTCCGAGACCGTATGCCAGCGAATCGTTCCCAAAAGCCCGACTGTCTCGGGAACTCTATCCAAGTCGATATTCTCATATATATATATATACATATACATATATACACTTGTACATATATATAAATGAACAGTTTGCTGTTATCTAAATCAAATTATATAGATGATCATCTAGATGACATTTTTTTCACGTCATCTTGTCTTCATAGAAATAATTTTTGCATTTTTATTCCGCATTTTATCTTCCATCTATTTTTTATTCTATTATCTTTAGATAATGAAAATGTATATTATCTGGATCTTAGATGAAAAAGTGTCATCTTTACTAAATTATCTTGAATAATTTAGATAATTTGCTTTAGAGTTATAGCATAGAAAAATATCTGGAAGTTATATCTTAGATCGCTGTATAATTTGACCTTTTATCCAGATGTATTTAAATTCAAAATCATCTTCATCTTATTCAAGATGAATTTACATATATTTTCATCTCATCTTTATCTCGATCATTTTTAAATTCCCCAATTTTCTCTGTGAAAAAATTGTCGAAAGCTGCAATACATTTTTCAATGTTTTCACCCATCTTTAAAACATTTTTCGACCCATGTTTATAGAAACTTTTTCCTTATTTCGACCCCTAGAATACCTTAAAAATCTGACATAGTTTTCGAAACACCCTGTATAGGTGTGGATTTTCTTTATTCTCGTACTTTTGCCCTAAATTTGTTCCGAAACAAATTCCTTTTTCGCAATTTTCCCTCCAGCGCGACGGAGATATCGCGAACGACGTGAAGTTGTCAACTTCGTCGTAGCTCCGAATTCATCGAATGCACGGTACATAGATCGCCTCGTGTCGAATATAGGAGCGTTCACACAAGCGTACGCGATGTACGTGCAGGCGCGTGCACACAGGCGCGCGACGCTCGCTTGTGGCGGCAAGCGGTTCGGCGAGCTTCGTGCGACTTCGGCACTTTTCGATCGGCGAATTCGTGTGCCCCAGTAAAGCCTGAACATCGAGGGATTCGTGTCTATATGCTATCTCGTCGTGTTCTATGCAAAATAAACGTTTTTCCATATTCTACCTGCGAAATCTTCGCGCGAAAATGGAAAATATACAATGTCATTCGTGTAAATTGGAGTATCGATAAAGATACGAATAAAATGCAGCAAATTTCGAAGCGAAATATAAGATACAGAGATATTGAAATATCTATTTCCGGGAAAAAGGTAACATTTCCAGCTAAATATATGTATAGTTATTATTTTAGAGTCTTGAAATGTATATATAAAATGGCAATCTCTCTTAACATAATTCGTATAGATTTTTAACGCTAAAAATATGAAAATATAGGTCGTTACGTAGAGAAAGTATACTAATTTTTTATGATACAATAAGTAAAAAGCTATTGTTATTCCGATTGGTCCAAATAAATGAAACAATTCTTCCATCCCCGATAAATTTTTTTCCCTATGTTTTTAAATCACAGAATAGCTTTTTCAAATAATTTTCAACAATAACATAGAATTTCATCAGCAATTTAAGCGAAAACAAAATTTAAAAATGATTTAAATCTCCCCGCGATATTTTTGCCTGGTTATTTTCCACCTGATTTTCAAAAATTACATACGTAATAAGAAATTTTAAGGGCGTATTTTAGGAATCAAAATAAGAAAAAAAGTTCCTATAAACAATAGATCCAAAAGTGAAAATTAGCACCCCTCAAAATCGGATCAAAATGTCAAAATCACATAAAAATAAATGGAAATAACTCGAAGAGAAAGCATTTTTGGAGCCACGCTTATAGGAACTATTCTCTTATTTTGAATGCTCTATTTAAAATACGCCCTTAAAAAACACCCTGTATATACATATCTGTAATAAATATTTGTACGAGAGAACCGCTTAAAAGGGAGCTCGCGCGAAAATTGATCTCGATTGGGACATCTCGAATTGAATTTGAAATGCGAACCGAAAACATTTTGATTCATGCACAATTCCATTGTCACAAAAGTCGCGGCATCCACACGCGGAGTGTTTACGTTATCGGATGACTAAAGTTAATCCGTTCGATACGCGGGGCTGAACTTCAGCGATATGTAACGTGTGTGCGTGTTGGAAAGAGGTTCCGATCGCTATCTCTCTCTCTCTCTCTCTCTTCGGGTTGGGTGGTCGAGATGTGCGTGAATGAAAACGTAAATAATGCGGGGGCGCTTGGAGGGAGAAAAAGAAAGAGCGAGAGAAAACATATATTTCTCTCGGTGCGAGAGAGCGCAAATCGCTCTCGGTTACGTAACATTACATTTTTATCTGCCAGTCGGCGTAATGTTATTATCCCGTCAACTGCGACAATAACTGAATCCTCAAGGTTCATTCAACTCCGTTTATTGAGAGAGAGAGAGGTAGCGATGTGTATCAAGAGGTGATATATCGACAAGGCGATAATAAATTTCGTTACATTTAGTTTGACAGATTCTTATCTCGAATGATGTATGAAATGTTTTCTTTTTTACATTTTATTGTTTTACTCCGGGGAGATTGAACTTGAAGTCGAGATATTGAAGCAAGGCGGCTCCGCGGTATGTGGTATATCGGCCACGATTTCACTTCGTGGCCAAGATCACCTGTAGCAGACTAAATACCATGTGTTCCCATCAGACCATGTTTACATTGTGGATCGTCTGCTACTATACTACTTGCTTTGCACGGATTAGTTTTGCGCGCAGTGTTTGCTGTTATCCAAATAAAATTAAATAGCAGGGTGTATACTCAAATCTTATAAATAAATTCCAGGATTTTCCAGGTACTTTTGTTCAAAATTCCAAGTGAAATTTATAAGTACCTATTTAAAAGAATTTTAAACACAATTTTAAATTAAGTATATCATTGTTATACGTAATTTTTTAACATAATACAATATTATATTTTATAATAAAGTATATTTTAATATACTTTATATAAACCTAATAAATTTTAGATTCTTTAAAGATATATTTGAAAATAAAATCAAAGGGTAATTTTTTTTTTAATTCCCCGAGTTCAAAATAAATTCCATGAGTAATCCATGATTTTTTGAGGTAAAAAAAATTCCCTGAATTCCATCAGGTTTTCCACGTTTTTCCAGAGAGTATACACCCTGCCTGTACAGATGATCAATTAGATAAAATTTTGGCGTCATCTTATTTTTATATAGATAATAAAAATATGTATTTATGCAATTTCATATGAAAAAAGGTGTTTTTCACGACATCATCAGATAATTTAGTTTAGAGTCATATAGACATAAAAATACCTAATTGGTAGAATTTAAAGGGATGCTGACTAGATCTGTTTTATTTATACAAATCTTATTTACACTTAACTCTTTATTGGATTTACAGAATAAAAAATTCTTTACTAGAATTCATAATAACAAATCTGCACTATTATATATGTATATAAAAAGAAACCAAGAAAGTTCAACAATTACAGTTTTCTTATTGCAATTATTTAGCTTCCTTGTGTTTTTTTATATACACATCATTCTGTATAGCCAATAAAGAGTTAAATGAAAATAATATTTATCCATAAAACAGACCTAGATATTATCTGGAAGTTATCTAGACGAATCGCCATATAATTTTATCCTGGATCTATATAAGATCTTCTTCATCTAAGACGAATTTCCATATTTTCATCTCTTATTTATCTATTTAATTTGCAAAAATCATCTAAGCACAGCAATGTTTGTGTGGCACCACTTCGCAGCTCGATGCAACATTGACGTTTATTGACCGTATACCACATACCGTGACCGTGCATAAAGTATCCACCGTTTACGGCCATCGTTATTTTTCCTCAAGTACGATCTTTAAAATTTTAAGCTTCCGTCCCTTCCTTTTTGCCATCTTAATTCCGCGCGCGACTTGAATCCCCCGACTTGAAAGAGGAGAAACAAAGGGCGAGATTTTCCAATGGAAAAGGATAATTTCCCGAGAGCCCCTATAACATTGTCCCCCGCAAGTTTTTCCATTCGAACGAAAATTTAGGAAGAGAATTAAATACCTATACAATATTTTGACTCTTTTCCCCTAAAAATACCTTAATTTAGATTCCCCAACAGCACGCATATCCCGAAGACGTTCAGAAAACATCCTGAGGATGTTCGAGTGTCCTCTGGATATTCTCTGAATATCTTTTTCAAACATGTGCTATTAGGGTTATAAAATTTGAATCTCTGGCTCGATATAATAAATATATTATTTTCCATTATTATTGCAGATAGAACAAGCTGGATCAGGTCGCTAAAGGAACATGGCGGGGCACCTAGAGCGCATGTACTCCGCGAACGATTCGTGCGGTAAACTTAAAGATCGCGAGAGCACTCCCTGGTCGGGGTCGACGATGTCCTCCGATCCCTCTGGGAATTTCGCGCGAATATTATTTCGAGAAAGAGTTGAGCGTCTCCGGAGGCGCTCTCGCGGACGGGGCTTCCTGGCGTCCGCGAAAATCCACCATCCGGGGGTAGGGAGAAAGCGTAAAACGATATCCCCCTGCAATAATACTCGTTTCCCTTTTCGTATATATCCTTCCATGATATATCCCGAGTACGTAGGTACGTACACATTTCGATTACTACGTTCGAACGCGCCTGGAAACCGCGTCGTGGGAGCGAAAGCAAGAAGTTCGATAGCGTGTCGCAGAGTGACAGTCGCATGATCCGGCGAACCGAATATAGCCGAGCGCGACGCAAAACGTCACGTCGTTCAGCGGGAGAAAGGGTGGGGGGAGGGAGGGGGATTACCCCGCTGTCGTCGCTCTCGACCAATCGCGTTCGCCCTCGCGCGGGCTCCCGCTGCCACCCTCCTTCTCCTCACGCGCCCGACGCGCGGTTCTTACGCTTACCCGCCCATGTAAACCCGCGCGCCCGAAGTGGGGTGGGAGGGAGGGGAAAACCCGGAGAGGGAGGGGAAGTCGCTAATATCTGGGGCTCCGGCGGCCGCGCAACTCGCGCCCTAATCGAACTCTACGAGTTCCCCTCCCGCCGTTCCTCTTCGCACCTATCCATCCCCACCCTTAGAACGTGCGCTCTTCCTCCCCTCAAGCTCTTCCGCTCTCCTTGCTCGTCCGCTACCTCCCACGTCTCTTCACCCCCTCGTCACGTCCTAATCCTCGCACACTACTACCGCGAGATGCGCGAGAGAGGCCTCCCTTTCGCTCACTCTCGCTTGCTCTTTTCGTCGGGAAAATATACTTGACCGAGTAGACCATGTCAAATGATATTTTGGAAGAAACGCAGAATTGTTGCCTCTGCCCCGAGAGCTAGAAACCCCCAAACCTCGTCGTCGACGTCGGATCCCGCCATTATAAATTCCGCCGCGAGGAATCGGCGTCCTTACGTTTAATAGACGATGCTTACGCTCGCACACATACAAGTACACGTATACACGCACACAGATACACGCCGTATTAAACTTCGACCGGTTATCGGTATAGAATAATTTTTGCGACAGAAGAATAGAATAGATTCAAATCGGTCTCTCTCTCCCTCTCTGTGTGTGTGTGTGTGTGTGTGTGACGCGATGTCATTCTTGTCACGATGGGGATTATGCAATTGCCGGCAAAAACTTGTTTGCCACGTTCCCGGTACTTTAAGCTCTTTTATTGCACGCGTATTTGAACCTTGAGAAAGAGGCGCTTTAAATGCGGTGTCGATGGCACTTGATAATTTTTTTGGCCGTTCAAATATAATTATTTAAAAAATATATATATATGTGTGATTGTACACAAAAACTCACCCCAGAGTCAATTCCTTGAGTATTTGGTGTCGTAGCTCGCTGTTGCAAATTGTGGAAAGCCTAAAAAAAAAAAGTATCACGTTGTAAATCCATTTTTAGATGATATTTTTAGATTATGAAAATATTATAAAGATATAATATATTCTTTATATTTTGCAGTCATGCTTTTTTTGTAATTTCAAAATAACTCTTGCCAATTATTAACAAATCTCTTTTCTCTCCTTTTTCTAAAATATACACACGCATATAATGTATACACTTGTCTAAAATGTATTAGACTAAATTAAACTTTATAAAATTCAACGCGCTGTATAAATTTATAAAATAAATTGCGAAAATAGGAGATTAGATTTGTACCGTTCAAATGTCAACACACGTGCATGTGCATTAATTTATATTAATTTTCATAATTTGTACGTATCGTTAACACACCTTATATTATAATCTCTCTCTATTAGATAGTTTTGACAAGTATTTTCAATATATAAATATTGTTTTGGTGTCAACAGTGTGATTATTATGTCGAGGTTATTTGCAAAAATAATGTACGGCAAAATATTGTTATTGCCTTTACAAAGGGATACATTATTTCTACAAATAAACTACTTTTCATGTCTATATCATCACATGTTGTTATTTCAGAGTTATTTTGTTACAAAAATAGTTTTTGTCACATAAAATAATGTATAAAAGCACTGACATTAGACGCAGACACTCTGTACCGACAATAACTAATCATTGTTAACATTCACCTGAGATTGACCAGTAGCCTGTGGCTGCGGTGACGCAGCTGGTGGTGGAGCTGGGGATTGAGACAGAGCTCGCTGTGGTGATTGACCCGATGGAGTGACTTGATTACTGGGTGGTGGAGGTGGATTTGGCGGACCACCTTGATTCCATCCCCTTTGTTCCGTATATAAGCTTGAGGGATGACTGGTTTGCGTCGTATAAGAGTTTAGCTGAAAAAAAGGATGCGATCAAACATCTAGTAGAAACACCAATCTGACAATTTCAGTTTGTTGAAATTTCCAAGCATTAGAAGAAAGATACGAGTGACTGTTTACCTGATGATGACTATAAGGTGCGTGAGGTCTCGTGGGAGAGGAATATCGTTGGGCATATTGATACTGCATAGGTGTCGGAGAACTCTGTACTCCTGGTCCTGTGTGTAATCTTGGCGAACCCTGTCAATTCGAGGAAAGGAAATAGAATTAGAACGGTATGCGAACGAAAGGTAGTTGTGGTTGCGTAAAGGAAAAACAGAAATGTGCATTTACCGTCTGCGGAGGACGCTGGCTAGGTTGCGGATACACAGGCGGCACAACCGGTGGCCTCTGCATAGACCAGGGTTGCTGATACGGCTCGGATCCCATTCCGGGATAATTGCCGTGAAACCGATGCATCGACGGTGTGGACGCCTGGAGCAACTGGTTCAACGTCGGGGTAGGACCGGCCGTCTGCGAGATGCCCTGTCCGGTGAGAAACCTCGGCTGGCCGGAGAAGGTGCCGGGTCCGGGGTATCCGAGGCGCGACTCGATCTTGGAGCCGGGATAGTGCTCCTCCATCTCGGCCCGGTGCGCCCGCTCGCTCTCGTGCATCAAGTGTTTACCGTAATCGAGCTGCTTGCCGGGAAAGTCCGCGTGCTTGGTGACGTACTCGGGCAGCTGCTTGCCGGGCGGATAATCCGCCAAGGATTTGGTCGGAGCGAACGGTTGCTCGCCACCGGGTCCCCCGGCGCCGGCCGACTTGTTGTTCCCGTAATCGTCCGCGTAGTCGCGCATGACGTTTGGCGCGAACGGATGACCCGGGTGACCGGTCGCGGCGGGATGACCGGGCGCGTCGTGCGCCTCCTGTTTAACCCCACCGAGCACTCCGGCCTCCTGGGGATTCGCCTCGCGGGGCGACTTCACCTCGGCGGCGGGACCGTGTCCGCCAATGTCCTCGCGGTACTGACTCATCTCGTAGCCCGTCCCCGTCGAACCCGTCGTCGTCGTCGTCGTCGCTGTCGTCGTCGTCGTCGTCGTGGTCGTCGTCGTCGTCGTGATCGTGATAGTCGTGGTGGTGCTGGTGGTGCTGGTGGTGGTCGTCGTCGTCGTCGTGGTGCTGGTGTCCCCGCCGCTGCCGCTGCCGCCGCCGCCGCGATTCACATATTTAAGCAGCTGGGCCGCGCCCCGGGACACTTTCTCGTCCGGCTCAGAATCCAGCTGCTGCTTTGCACTGGCACTCGCACTATTCGCACCGCCGACTTGCGTACGCTTCTGTGCGCATTTCACAGACTCGTTCAGCTTCACATCGTTTTGTTGGCTCTCGGCTTGCGTCGCAGCCATGTTCTCTCCTCGCCTCACGGAGCCATCGTCGTTTTCGTAAACTGGCCAATCGCGGGACCTCGTGCGCGCCTCGGGCCAAGTACTACGTACTCGAAATCGAAGTACCGATTAGTCGAACGGCTCGCGTTGTCGCGCGCGACGCCACCCGGCGCATCCTCGAGAGCCCCCGCCTCCTGGACTCCGGATATTCAAGCCACGGCCCTAGGAAATATCAAGCCTTCCTGGCCTTTTTCGAACTACGGCCTTTTCGAGCCAAAAAAATGCTCGTACGCGAACGTCAAAAGCAGCGTCGCATGTATCACGCCATCTTGCGTCCGAGAAACGCATCGAGGCCGCCTCTCCTTGGGTCATCGTTTCCAACCTTCAGCTCCCGTTTCCATTCCATCTCCTTTTCTTCTCCTTTCGAAAATCTAGTTGTTCGTCCCACGATTTGCATCCTCAATTTTACATTTCGCCCGCCCGCGGACTTTTCTCCCATTTATTTCCCCGCGTTTCTCGCTCATTTGACATTTCGCGTTTGACGTTTCGACGTACCTCCGATTTTTTCATCGGATGCGACGCATCTAGATGTTCGCTGCTCCGTGACTGTTGCTTTCTAGAAGAAATATTATCGTATGTTATCTACCTATATGGCATTCCGTTAATCTCGCTTTTGATCGCCCGACGCACGAGCTGTCAAACAGCTGTCAGACAGCTGTCAAACCGCTGTCAAACCGCTCGTCGAGCAAAATCGTCGGAGCCAAACGGCTAAACGCGAGGTTTGCCGCATACTTTGACCCGGAAGTGGCTATCTTCAAGGCGATTCGCGATGCTGAACGTTCCATGTTATAAATAAAATCATTTTCCTACTTTCTCTCTTTTCCCGCCAAAATCCAATTCCCCGAAAAATGTAGAAAAAATACAAGATTTGTTTTCGCTTACCCTCTTTTTTCAAATACAAGTCGAAAATACGTGATCCGACTCGGGAGGGATCAGGGAGAGGAAGGAGGTGCAGAAGGTGCAGCTAAAACGAACAGACTCGACTTGATGTTTACATCGCACAGTTATATCGCGCGAGCGAGCGATCGACGAAACAACCGCGGCGGCCATTTGCATTCGCGGGACGGACTCTCCGTCCGAATGGAGAACGGATTGTCTCGATCGTGGAACGCTTCCTGGCGTACGCGGCCGACTTGTTGTGAGATCGTTTTGCCGTTTGTAAAATGGCGAGGCCGAGCAACGACGCTTCGAGGATCGTCCGCGCGAATATCATTCAGGAGAATGAAAAGAGGCTGCACGAGGCGCGAATTAAGAATCAGGTATATAATATATATATATTGCGCCATAAGGTAATTCGGTCTATATTACATGCTACCGAGAACCTGCACCTGATGTCAGAAGAGTCTCGTCTTGCTCTAGTCTTGCATATATTATTCTGTGAAAAGTATTTGTATTGTGTGCCAATTTTGTACACTCACATCTACTAATGTTAGTTGACATGTCTTTTTCAGGGAAAGAGCCGAGCTAGGCAAGATCTAAACAAATTGTTCAATAAACTCAATCAGGCTGAGGCAACAAGCTTGAAAACGTCAGAAAAGTTCAATTCTTTGTGCTACAATGCGAGTGTAAGCATCATCTTTGTTATCAATATTTGTCAGATGGTGAAACGTACGATGACTACGGTGACCATCCATTCTTTATTTTAGAGGACAGTCCTTTATTTCAACTTGCTGTCCTTTAGATTTATTTATTCTTCCAAAACTCAATTTTGTTCTTCATTTTTATCATTTATTTAGCATTCTAATGTCACAGTATTAACATATGAGAATTGTATGAAAATAGACATAGACATAGTCGAAAGCAAAATTTTAAACTATAAGTATAATATGTAGGATTTCTGATAGTCACAGAATTATTTATTTATTATTTTTTTTCTTTTTTTGCTTGTCGATCTCCACCTTGATTGCAAACTGATTTGTTTTTATTTTCTCTCAGAAAATATGGTCATAATGACAGTAGATTCTTATATTTTTCCAGATTATTTCAAACTGCTGGTATGGTCCGGTTCTAGGATTTCCACCTGGTTCCTGGTGGGGCATACGCATGGACTGTTCCAGAGACCACATGCACGATCCATTTGACAAAGACATACACGAAGGACCATTCGGAGTTGTTTCCATCTGCACCTCTCACACCAACATGAACGAAGATGTGGATCTTGGTAATTTTCTCACTCTCACGGGCCAAGTGTTCAATGAGGATCAACCTGACGCGGATCCGTTTCTGCGCAACTACAAAAACCAGATACCGTTGAGATTAATCAGAAGCTACAATCTGCAAAACGATATCGCGCCCAATACGGGTTATAGGTATGACGGGCTCTACATAGTTATAAGCTGTTGGATAGGCGTGGCTTCGAACGGAATCAAGTACAACAAGTTTACGCTAATGCGTCTCGCTGGTCAAGAACCGCCAAGCTGGAGCAAGACCAACCCGGACCAATTTTCCGCGCGGCAATGCGTTCCACCGTCGAGATTGAATCACTCGAGTGTATACGATTTGAGAAAATGTTCGTACAACAGCGGCGGAATTTGCGGCAAGCGGAAACTTAGCCACAGAGATGATTCACCGGCTGCGAAAACGACTTCAACGTTCGTCGATGTCGGCCGGAAACCCGTACCTGAAAGCTCCATCGTCACGCGTCACGTCTTCAAGAAGCCACCGAGCAACGCGGAAAACGCGACGTCGACCATCGTATCCGATCAAAAACCATTAACGTGCCTGGGTGCGTCGTCTACGAAAACTCACAGTACAAACATCTCGATACGCATGGGTTTGTACGAATCGTCGCATAACGCGCAGGACGCGAAGAGGAACGTGTCGACAATGTTGCATAAACCGTCCAAGTCGATCGATATCGCTATTCGCACGGCGCTGGATATGGAGAGTGTTCGTGCGGCATCGAGAGACGATAACAAACTTGTCACTAAGTTGGATAAAGCGCTGGATAATCCTCAGATCAAAAGTGAAAATGTAACTTGCAACGGCTACATACTGCCTGAGAACGCCAACGAAGTCGTTTGTCCGTTGAAGAAGCGTGGAAGAAACCTACAAGCGTTAAACTCCACGGAACCTTCGCATACCCCTGTCTTGTCTTCGTCGCCAAACAACCTGGAAGACGGTGCAAATATCGTCGAGGAACAACTTCCAAATGTTCAAGACCACTCGTATTCGCAAGATTTAAATCCCAGCAACGAACCGGATGTACAGATATCAAATCTCAGAGACGAATCAACTGTCCCGAAGAACTCCATCTCGACGCAAGACAAGGTTCCTAATCACAACGATACCACTTTGGAGGTATCGAATGATTCGCTCTGCGCACAGAGCATAAAGTCTTTGGACTCTTTAACGCCGGATAAGATCTTGAATTTGATTAACAAGGAGAAGCATCATCCTCTGTCCAAGTTACTGATTGGAAATGTGATAGGTTTAACGACCGAAGAATGTGCAATGTTGAACGGATCGAAGGTAACGACTTTGGATTCAAAGAGCAAGATGCATATATCATCAAAGGTGAATCTTAGGAAGAACAGACGTAAGAAAGGAGATAATATAAAGGAGAACGTCGCGTGTCTGGACAATAGAAGATACTGCAAATATTCCAGATCCAAGAGATTAGCTTGGAAGGTGCAATCGGAAGCGGGGAAATTCGACAAGGCTCTACCTGGTGTAGATTGTCAATCGTGCAACGATCAGAAATGTAACAGTAATGCGAGGAAGAACGATCAGAGTGGGATATCCAAGAAGAGCAACGAGTACTTGGCACCATTTCGTGTGAAGACTTCGCTTCAGACTATCGCCCAGCATACTCGCAGCTCGTACGACATAAAGACTCGTCTTAGAACCGATAAAGGCGCGGTGGGGTCGATGAAGCAGGACTTTTCCGACTCGTCGAAGAAAAAGAAGCGGGACAGAGAGATCGCTAATTTGTCTATAGACGCCAATTTCGGTCCTATAACTCGCGGACCTAGAAACCGAAGATTACGATGCAAAAATAATACTTACGCGAACAAGAGATGTTGCAGCACCTTCAATACCGTGATATATTCGCCTAGCAAACGATGCAAGTCTAGTTTTAAACGAAAGAGCAAGCTGACCAAGGTGAAACGGGTCGGTGACGGGCGACCCAAAACCAGATACGCGATTTCCAATGCTCTACGTACAAAAGTCGACGGGGATTCGATGGAAAGGCAGAAGAGTTTCGAGGCTACCGTCGACACTGATAACGCGAATAAAGATTACAATCGTAACAACGTCGGCAAGAGGAAGGAGAATAGAGTCGTGAAGATCGATACCGACGACCGCAACATCTCCAAGGTCACCTTCGACAGAAGCCTCCGGAAGAGACTGACGCGAACGATTCCTCTGTCATCGCATCACGGCACAGCTCCAACCAAGCCTCTCCTGCATTATTTTCATAAGAAACCGACCCAGAAACCCAGCACGATGGACGCGACGACGCAGTGCAGGCTCATCACCGACAATCCGGAAATCTACGTGATCGGACAGCTGAACGATCGAAGGGCGATCCTGAAGATGGAGTGGGACAAGTATGAGAAGCTAAGATCGGAATCCATATCGTGCGACGAGGATCAAGAATTCCCGACTTGCCAGGCCTCGCGACCTTCTACCTTCGCGACGAGGAGCAACGACGAGGGAAGGAAGCAGGATAGAACGTCGGCCTTCGTCCCCGTGACGAACGCCTTCGACAGCGATCTGCGAATCGCGCGTCTCAGGTCGATCGGTTTCAAGCCTATAATCAAACCACGATCTCCTCTCGTCGATTCCAGCCAGGACCCACTGAGCAAGGTGGCCAGGCGAGACGTTGCGGAGAGATACGACAAGTACGCCAGCGAGGATGACAATACGGTCGTTTACATGGACGACGAACTGCAGTATCAGGATATCGAGGAGGAAGAGAATACATCGGCCGACACGTCGGTGCAGTCGAGGAACGAGGACGCGTTTCCGGAAACGTCCTGCGAAAACATGGAACCTCCCTGGCACGGTTGGAAGAAGATTGAGGCGAACAATCGATCGTATTGGATCGGCTGGTAGTAGTCGATTGCAAATTGTTGATGTACAAATTCTGTCAATCTTCTTCTCGCCACTGCAATCAGAAAACAAAATGAACATATTTCATCCACTCCTGAGTGTATATATATAATATTTTCTATTTTTATTCTTTTTTGCCAAAAATTCAAGGCTGTTGATGACATTTTAAATTATTTTTCTAACAATAATAATACGGTATTTGAAATATTTACTAACATATTTTTAAGAAAACATTAACAGATTATTATTGTATAATTAAGGCTCCTTGATCTCACCGACTATGTCGAAATTGTAATGTCAGAAGCTGTAAATACTTGCGTGTATTTTCTCGCTTCTGACGTCACAATTTTACATAGTCGTGACGAGGATTAAGGAACTTTAAAAAAATGCTTATATATATAATACATATATAAATTATTATATATATATATATGTGTATATTTTCTACAAGTGAGGTATTATTATTAACAGAGATGTGTTACTTGTAAATAAATAATGTTCTATTCATATAGTTGTCTCTTATCTTTATTACGAGATATAATAGGACAATAAAATTTGTTCACAGATTTACTCGTTTCTCTCTTTCTTTTCATTTTAAACGGCGACGAAATCTTTTTCGACACGATGCGCTCCGTCGTATAAAATAGATCTTTGCTCCTTACAACTTTGATCGTCTGTTATGTTTCTTCTAAAAAAAATATAAGGATTATACACAATTTGTGTACACACACATGTAAGACACCAAATACCAAACGTTTATTCATATTCGACACAATACCCGTCAATTCTTTGCACTTTATCCCGCGCGCCTATAATGTTATTATTATCTCTTTTTTTTTTTTTTTTGGTACATATATATATATCGAAAGGCTTTCATTGAAAGAAAACTCGTCAACTTTTGCATTTTCAGATATAATCTATTTTAATGATATATACACGAGAATTTCGCAAGACGAAAAAAGGAATAATTTCATAGGACTTTGACAAGGACGCAAAGATTTTTGTGGCTCGAGGCTTCTTATGCGAGTACGAGATTACAAGGAAAAAGAAATGATGAAAATTCGTCGAACGCAATACGCAAATAAAAAAAGATACAAAAGTGAAAAGAGAAGCTGTCGATACTTATATAATAGATGTATCATGAACAATTAGTAATAAAAAAAATGTGTGTGATTTCGCAATAAAATTAAGTACTATACACAATTACAATTCGCTTATCCGCAAGATGTATAAGTTTTTATCGTGCAGTTAATATCTTTTACAGTGTCGTAGTACAGAGCCACCAGGTATATAGATAACACATTGCCTCAAATACATCTTCAGCATAGTAAAATAAATATCTTCTATATACCATTTACTCATTATATGTCATAACATAATACATATATTAACATGGATGTAACATTATGGAACTATTACAGTGTGCGGCGTAATACGTTCTTACATCCCGCGCGATTTTCGTTTTTATTTTCTCACCCCATTCCTTTTTTTCTTTGTTTCTTAAATCACTGCCCGTTTGTCTTCTGTGAACGTTACATTTCCTACTTGATTAAATTCGCTTCGCTTAAAAAGCATATCCTGTTTTTTTTCTTTTTCTCCAAAAAGCAGAACTCTAAAAGAGTTTATATGGAAGTCCCGGGCATTGTGATGCAACGTTGATACGAGTAGTCGAACTTGGAAATCACACATGCCTTATTGAAATTCATCGTCGCTGCTCAGCAACATCGTTTTCTCGTTATAGTTTTGCGAAATCGTGGCGACGCGCTGGTGAGAGGTGTTTCGCCTTTGCGGCGGCGGTACCGGCATGTTCTGCGGATCGTCCGGATCAAAGCTGGATACTCGCATACCACGTTGTCCCTTCGGGCCCCCTAATTGTTTCATCACATTATACGTTACATGGTAGGTACAGAGAAATATACATGTATAGAAAATATCATTTGGCCAATCGATCACACGTGAATTGCAAATTGTGCCGTGTAATAGTACAAGTGTTTCGCTTTTCTCTATTAATTTCAACGGCGGCAACATATGTGTGACATTGCGACGAAAATTTAGTAGACGACATCCTCGCCGAAATGTCACATTTACATATTTCGAACACGTTCTTGCTCTATGCTCGCGAATCGAGAAATCGGCACAATTTCCGGATTAATTTAATTTTTTACATAACAAGTGTTATTTATTAGCGAATAAATGTGAAGGAAATATTTCTGCATCAAAATTTAAAATGCCGATTTCTCTACGAAAAAGTATACAATAATGCGCAATCAAGAAGATGCAAGTAGCGCAAATACAAATTGCATCGACAACGTATAGCGAGAACAAGCTGCTCGATCAGAGAAATAAAGTTTGACCGCTTACACGTGATGAGTGCAAAAAGGTGTAAATTAATGTGACGAAATCGCAGTATCAACAAATCATGCAAATTATTGAAATGGAAAATAAAAACAATCGCAGGTAGCTAGGAATTGTGATGGAATTTGTCACTATCCGGTGTACTTGGAAAGAGGACGCGATATAATGTGCTTGCATGCTTGGCCGCTTCACATTGTACATTCGCATGCTACATAATACCATGTGATAGAAATATAAAGTAAAAGCGATAAAACTAATATTAAAGTTGTGACAGTTATAATGTTATTGGAAAAAAATAAACAAATAAAAAAAAAACAATACATCAATTCTAATGCCTAATTATCTTTAATATTTATTATAGAGCAACACTATAGTAGTACGTCTCTTTCTTCTGTTTTCTTTCCCTTTTTTCCTTGCGTTCTTTCTTTCTTTTATATACTATCAAGCGCTTAACTCTTACTTTACACAATAGACTTTATCTATGTAAAATAAATGAGTCTTATATGCATGTAATACGTATGTATCGATGATAGTTTAAGTACAATCCTTGTTTTATATATAATTTCAGCAGAGAAATTCATCTATCAACCCCTGATGGACAGATACCGATTTTTAAGAGATTGTGTAATCCCGTAAGCAAAGTATAGTGCTGTATCGTGTATCTTTCAATCTCCATTTAAAGTCGCGCGTAAAGCTCGATGTCCAATTTCTTGAAATTAAAAAAGTGACGCCTCACTGTGTCATAGCTTTTCGTACGGCAAGTTGGTACTAACGTCTGAAAAATAGCAAACAAAAGTGCCTTCAGAAGTAATTGTCGAGTCTAATCAATTGGCACATAGGAAAAACTTATACAATTAGTCTTTTCTATTTCAGTTTAAAATATTTTTGAAAGCGAATATTCTATACTATTCGTGATTTTAGATTTGCTTGTGTAAAACATTACACGTAGGTGCGAATGGATATTATATTAATAATATTCGCCAATTAGTGCCCGTATCGGCCAGCAGTGAAGTGTCATAAAATCGGATAAAAGGAAATATAAATTATGTACAAAAGCGGAAGCCTGTGCGTAATTGAAGCGTTTGCAATCTCGAATGTATCTTGTATATTGTAATTATATATAATTATCGCATTATATTTTAAATAATCTTGCTCTATAATTAAAATATTCAGTATCATGTAATTTTGCGTTTTTATGTCAGTTTTTACTTGATACTTTTTACGAATACATAAGAAAAAGTAAGTCTTTAAATTAATATAAAATGCAAAAATTTATAAATAAACAAATTGAATTTTTATCACATACTACGTCATGCTATACAAGACTGAGAGCAATTTAAAAATAATATAAATGATATAAATGTATGATAATGACACGATAAAAATAAAAAATATATATACAGCATGTATGTTATATAATTATGCAATAATGCATAACAGCAAAGAAAGAATTAAAGAGTCATAAAATGATATACATACCGGCACTATATTGTGTATACTGTTGGTATTGTGGATGGAAATTATGGATGGCATCGGTCATAATATCTTTTGGATTCATCGTTTCCTGCAAAATTAATGAGCATATTAAGCTTATAACAAAGAAAAGTAAATAAATAAATACATAGTTGCATCTTTGCGTATAAAAGATTGTAAAGATTGTAGAGATTGTAATTGTACATCTTATATACATACCTTCAAACTACTACTGATGCTTTGCATTGTCACGCTTCTACCCCTGGAGTCAGTAACACAGCCAGCTGCATATACTTGGTACGGGAATGCGTACCGTAAAGCTACAGCAGCAAACAGCATTTCGATACAAATAAGAAAATTTTGGTAACCAGCAGAGACTGCACCAGTGTTTGACTGACCCAAACTGTTTATAAGGGGAGAAATAACATTTGCCTTTTCCAAAATAGCAAGTAAAACACCTGATGGCGAAAAAAATGTTTGAAATTGTTAATTATATTCGATGTATAAATTTCGAAGTGTTTAATTTTTTCTTTACAGAACATATGAATTTTTGAAATCACTTTACCTTGCCAGAACGACAGGAAGATGACACTCTTCACTGTACAAAACTTGAGCACAGGCTCAAACGGCGTAAGCAGGTCTCTTGTAGCGAAATAAAATAGAAACAGTCCGTAAAGTGCAAGCGATACGCTAATGTTGTAAATTATAGTGATGTAAATGTAACCACCGTCGGGGGACCAATCTCCGTCTCTATAATGGTCAAAGGCTTGCAGAAATATGATGACAAACGCCATCACAGGTTTAATTAAGCAAAATTGCAAGGTGGCTTGTTTGCAGAATCTCAGAAAGCCGATGGTGTACGTCTTCCCGACTAGGCAACAAGTGCCGTAGAGGCAACTGGAACGTATCGGTTTGCCTCTGATCTCGGACATAATGTTGCCCTCACCACCTAGGTACTCGTAGCACAGCGACAGAAAGTTATATATAACAAACGCCTCGTAACAATCTCGCACCGTGAAGAAGTAAACATAGTAGCTTTCGCTGTTGAAGAACAACAGCGAGACCCATGAATATATGGCATAGATGGGTACGATGAAGAGAATTCGCACTATCCATCTCTGCTCGGTGGGATTCGTGTACCACCTGAGATGTTGGTAAATCTAGAAACACGATGAGAAAAGAAATATAGAACATTGAAAGATATAGAAAGGTAGGTCGAGAGGTGCAAAATCTAACGAATACCTGTTGGCAAGTGAGAAAGAGCGCCACCCACACGAATATACCAGCGATGACTTGGGCCGCGCGAGTTTGCAGAAATATCGGCGTTCCTTCCTTGGGGACGTCCGCCAAGTCACTGACATCGGTGGTCGTTGACATCTTGTCCGAAATATTCATGAAGGCGCCTGTGTGTCCCTGTGACTGCGCGACTACATTCATACGTCAACCTGCTGATGACAGGTGATAAATATACAGTTACATCAAGGAATCACTTCTTGTCAATAATGGGACGTGCGATACGACTGTTTATGACAAATCGATTGAACGTGGAACGACTTGGAGTCATCGCAACCTCGCGTAATCTCGAACGCGAGGAGAAGTGGGAGGGGGAGGAAGAGAAGAAAGAAAGCGCGTCGCGTAAACGAGATTGCACGAGCGATGGTCGCATAAATCGATATATATGTATATACCGTAAGTAAGTCACTTCCACGCAACAGTTTCAGGTTTCGACATCGCGATTACGCGATTTAAAAAAAAATAAATAAATAAATAAATAAATAAAAATTTTACATACATTTTTTCGCAGGAGAAAAAATCCCCTCTCTCCATCTTCTGTCAATTCGTGTCAAACGACGACAACACATTCAACATACCCGTGTCCCCATTCGCTCGACGTCCACCTCCTCCACCCTGGACTTTCCTTCGTCTCTCCTTTCACGACGAAGCCAATCCTCGAACAAGTTCCCCAGGGAGTGGTTCCTCACTCTAGACTTCTCCCGGAATATTTCCAAAGTCTGGATCACTTTGACGATTCGATGACGCGTTTCGACGAACTATATATATACACACGCATACACACACACACGCACACACTCATCGAGAAGAGTCGCGCAGGATAATTGATTGTCCTCCGGGCATTCGCGTCCGCGAATTCTATCTGCACTCGCGTATCCCCGCGTCCGACATTCCTCCGCGTCCACCAGTCTGTCTCTCTTTCTCTCGCAATAACACGTCAGGTGTAATCTCGCACCTCGGTCAGTCGATTGATAGACAAAAGTGCACGGGAGGAGAGGAGGGAGGGAGAATCCTTCCGAAGGAAAATCCTGCGGGGAGAGAAAATCTCTCCTGAGAGAGAGATATTTCGCGCACTTGTACCGTATTAGATGCTGAAGAAGAACCGTATGGCCGCTACTCCGTGAACTTCGATGAACTTGTTTTCCTCTCGAGCGAGCGAACTCGGCGAACCCTTCGAGCCCCGCGAACGGTTTCACTCCCACTACTGCGCGCCTGCGCGCCTGTCATTCGCTCCCCACGCGAGCTGTCACTTCTGCGCAAGACGGGATGCGCGGCGTTCTACTCCTTTTAGCCGCTCGGCCGCTGTGGCGGAAAAAGGAGGAAAAAAATCACGATTTTCTTGCGTGTTCTTGATTCCCGCACGAAAGTGCACAGAGAGTGAAGTTACGGAGAGTCGATCTCGCGGTATGCAGATATCGAAACTGGCATCAGCTGACGTCAGCGATAGAGCGATTTGATATATTTTACCTCTCGTTCCCCCGGTCTTTTTTTAAATATTTTATTATAGAATACATTTATATAGGATATTTATAATTTTATTTTTTTTTATTTTTATTTATCTATTTTTTTTATATTTTATATAAAAGCGATATACATATTTTTACGCATTTCTGTTATATAATTTTAATCGTGAAAGGAGTCTGATTTGAATAATGTCGTTTATATTAAGAGAGAAAATATATCTGAATTTTAAGTAGTAAGCGAGTTTTGGCACCAAATTCTCGAGAGAAATTTGCATATCTTAAATGACTTCTCTTTCTCTTTTGTTTTTTTTTTTTTAGTGGAAGGTCACGTTATTCGTGCCGACCTCCGAAGGTTGCGCAAATTACCGGATCTTCGATTTCGCCTCTCTAACGCACGAAGGTCGAGGAATGTGGGATCGAAATAATATATTTTTGACGTCGAATGACGTCATATAGATGTTAAAATGACGTCAGTTTGCTACTCGAAGTATTTATTCGCGTTTCGCACAAAAGAGAGCACGATGATACAAAAGATCAAAAAATGACGCAAATAAGAATTGAAGAAAAAACTTCGCGCCCTTTGATGACGTCATTGGACAGAAAAAGGAGAAGGATATAGTCGCGTCTCGATATTTTTGGCGATCGAAGCGCGTCATTCAAATTCGCGGTCATCTGTCAAAATTGGAAGTTGACCATCTTATCTCGGTCGATAAAGTAGATTTCTTCCTCTTTGATTGATCTATTAAACGACACGTTTCCTCGCCTCTTCGACTTTCTTGCTTCTCTTTATTCATGGCGCACAGCTGTGCGTTTCGTTGAATTCTGTGTTTTCAGAGTTATATCTGCCCCGAGAGAACGGAAATGTCGGGCAAGACGAGACAATTTTCGCAATCGGAGCACGATGTCGATGGCAAGTGACGCATCGGCATTTTTCGCGGCTGCTTCTGACAAAACGATGCCAAGCGGATAAATTATGCCACGAAAAGAGAACACGTGAGTTGAAATTTCAACGAACTTTCTAACCTTCTAAATTGTCACCTCGCGAAAGAATTATCCGCAATTGAGGTTCCTTCGTCTCGAACCGACGTATATAATTGTAGAAATGTAAATTCAAAATCGTAATCTTTCACCATACGTTGACTTCTCTTCTGAGTCTAAATCTCGTTGCAGCAAAGCGAAATCATGGGAGCGAGACAGAAGAGAACGCATGAACACCTACTTCAAAACGTTGGCGGACCTTCTGCCGCCTCGTCAACAAGGTCGCAAACTCAACAAAGTCGACATTCTAATCCACGCTTCAAAGTACATCAAAGACCTCCATAATCGTACCGATGAGTTATTCTCTACTCACGCCTCCGAGGCACACAGTACGTTAAGTTTATTCTTTATTGCTGCACTGCAATAAGTTATAGTGAGACAAGTATATTTTGTTTCACTCTAACTTTTTTAAAGTTACAGAACACTTTTGATTATAAGAAAAATTTGTAGAACACCAAAATTATTAAGATTATATACACTAATAACATATATATGCATGAACATACTTTGTAATAAAAATTATGCAGTACAGATTGTATAACAGATTGTATAAAAAAAATTTTAATTAGATTTAAAAAATAATATTTATAATATTAAGAATATTGTAGTAGTTGTTTTTAGGTAGGTATGCCGTGTTTTCATAATTTCACAGAACACTGGTTAAGAATCTACTGCTCTAGCTTATTGCACTTAATATACACTAGTTCACCAGTTGTATATTGTATTGAAATGATTCTTCTAATTTTATATCGATATTTTTCAGAGGAAGAATTGGTTCGTTTGAAGAAACTCGTGACTCAGCTAATGTCTCGTACTCAATTACTGTCCACTCTTCTCAAAGAAGCAGGAATTTCTGTGCCAGCAGAGCCGGCTCTTGAAAAAATATGTCCTTTGAAATGGTCGAACAAAATTAATGTCGACGATGTAGATATATATTTTGATAAGATCGAAGAAAGTAAGTATGCAGCGTAATAGATTTTGTAATAGTTGAAAATACCGACCTATATATACTGTTGACATTTGCAGAAAAAACTGTAGAAACAAAAAAGAAGGAAAAATCTGTGAAGAATAAAGTGCCTTCTAAGAAAAAAATCAAGACACCATCGACTCCGAAAAAGTTATCCAAGGAAGCTGCTGTCAATAAGAAAGTTTGTAATTCGATCGAGAATCAAGAAAATCGAGTGAATTGTGCCAATAGCAAAAGTTATAATACCGATAATACAAGTAGTGTAGATGAAACTGGCTCAAAGGAAACAGGCCGTTCATGTCAAAATGGTAGATAGATTTAGAATAATAATTGTCTTATTCATTTATAATACGCGTCATAAAGATTTCGATATCGAATAAATAACTCATCAATTTTGTCTCTTTTTAGATTCTATTAATGAAGCCACCACTACAAGTACAATAAAAAATACAAAGAAGAAAACTGGTAAGTTTAAAATAACCAATATACTTTCAAGATACGTTATAACAATCATTAATGTGAATTCTTATCTTCTTTTCAGCCGAAAAGAAGATTGAATCCCAAAAAGCGTTGAAGAAAAAAAGCAAAAATAAGAAGAGTAAAGATAAGAAAAAATCAACACCACCACCACCCGTAGCCAGCACTGTCACAAATTTAACTCCCAATACTCTGATTTTCTCTAATGGAAAGTTGATGCCCTTGGTAACTCCGATGACATCGAATATCATTGTAAATGCACAGCAAGCGCCAACTAATCCGATAATCCTCGGCAGCACGCAGCAGAATCAGATGATTGTGATGCAACCTTTGGCGAATCGCGTTCCAAATTCCGTCGTCTCCATATGTAATCATGCTTTGATCAACACCGTACAAAAGGTCACCTTGAACACCGTACCGACTATTCACGCAAACATGGTTGTCGATTCTCAGAGTTCCAATATGAAGAATATGATTGGTGCCACGAAAATTGGCAGCCATAAGAACATCCTGCCAAAAAGCAAGGAAATCACAAAAACGACCATGGCTTATAAGATGCCTATTCCGGCGGTGCACAAGGAGAAGCCAAAGGATAGCGCGATTAAAAAAGAATCCGAAGTAAAAAAGGGTTGCAAAAGTCATTCCAAGAACCATAAAAGTGTTCCAAATACTCCGGAAGCGATTGAAGAAAATGTCGAGAAGAAATCGTCGAAAGAAAATACTACCAAGACTCAGGAAGACGCGACCGTGGCGCGAAAAACCGCTCTTAAACGCGCTTTATCCGCAGAATCCGTTTCCACGGGTGAACCAGAGGAGAAGAAGCGAAAGGAAGTAAACAATGAGGTAAATATCTCAACCCAACTGATCGTTTCAAAAGCGTCAGATTTCACCGTCACTTGCAAATCCATCGAAAGCTTGAAGTACGTTATAGAGAAAATAGGAGAAGATATCCGAGATGAGCACGTGGCTGTGACTAACGAAAAAGAATCCGCTGTCACTGAATCAAACAACGCGAATGACGTACAAGTGATGAATGACGCGAGCAACGAGAAAACGTCCAAAGCAGACAAACTGATAAATATCGTGGATGCGAATTGCCTGGAGATGGACAAGGAAACAACCGAAGATGCTGTGAATACGTCGAGGACTGTTGTTTCGGACAAGCTTCCCAACGAATTGCGCGAGACGGACGCGGTCGATCAATCTTCCAACAATTTTAGTATATCGATAGATAGTATAACGGAGAAGAATGACGAAAATGTGGAGCATTTAAGCGCAAAGTCAACCTTGACTGACATTGACGTGGCAGAGAAAGCTGTGGGTTCGGATGAGTTGAAGAAGACGTGCAATCTGGGCAAGCGTTTCGATAATCTTCTTCGCGTGACGACGGCCAAGGAGCAACAACAGGTCAATGACGCGATGTGCGCTGCAGATAGCAACAAGATCATCCTAAACTTGGACACGAACACTACGACGACGATGAAGTCCGACGCGAGTGCGAATGTCATCAACGTGGCAACAATACCGATATCTTCATCATCGTCGTCGTCATCGTCTTCGTCTTCGTTGACCAGCAACGTGATTAACGACGAGACTAAATTGACAAAGACTTCGAAAGATGAGATGTCAAAGTCATTATCGTATACCAGTGAGAACACATTCGTCCCGATCGGCAACAGAACTGATGGACTACACTCAGATTTGTCCAACGATATATTCGCATCGCTGCAAGTTCCTTCCAGCTCGCACAACTCGGAGTCGATATCGCCCACGGCGGCTTTCTTGATGTCCTTCCCCTTGGTATCATCTCTGAACGGCAAGACCGAGGTCCTGGACGAGGAGATGAAAGAAGACTTCAAGTACCACAGTCAGACTCCGCCGATGCTGTTACAAATCGGCGCGATAGAGCCGAACAGCTTCAAGATTAAGACGTCCTCGCCATCTCACGCGATTGCGGAGAAACGACTGAAGACGTCCTGCGAAGAGAAGCAAGTCGCATCAACGAATACGAATATAATTGCCCCTGCGGAGTGCTCGACGACGAAGTCGTTGCCGAAAGTGATGAGCGAGGAAACGTTACGAGAGCCGTATAAAATAGTTCAGACTGTTTTGACATCAAGCTTGCAGAAACCTGCGACGACTACAAGTTCATTTTTCTCTCACACCTCGGTCAGTTTCTCCACCGTAGATTCCTCGTGCATCTCTTCGAGTTTGGCAGCAAACCAGAATCGCCCGGATCAGCTGACGACAACGAACGCGTTGAACAGCGCCAACGTCATCATCTCGTCTCAAGCATCTCAAGTGAACATTCCTGCGTCTACGGACAAGAGCAATATTGTGGATTGCGTCTCCCAAGGAACAACGAATCGTAATTCCGACGTGGCATATTCCGGGACGCCAAACTTTCTGCCAAATTACTCGACGGTCCCAGACAACAGTCTGGGAACGCCGCAGCACACACCGAGCTCTTACAAGAACGCTATCGCGACCACGCAGAATCCAAACTCGCGCATCGAGAACGCCGATGGCTCCCAGAATCTGTTGGAAACTCGTCTGGATTGCACGACAGTGACCACGAACTCCTCGTCCGCGGCTTTGCGATCTTTCCAGGTGGATTATTCGGATCAGGGGAAGGATAAAGGCTCGCAGAGTTCGTCGCACGTTACCTATTCGTCGCATAACAAGGTTGCGCTCATCAATTCCGGTGGCATCGTTTCCGATCATCGTGTCGATTACGCCAGCCAGATAGATCGAAGTCTTCCGGCGACGTCCCAAAGCCTACCGAACTACTCCTCCACCAAGGAATGCACTCTTCCAGCCTTTTCTTCTCAGGACATGCAACCGGTGTACAATCAAGCTCTAAACGATTCTCCGCAGACGTTCACCGTTCACAAGAAACAAGAGCATATCATCGCGAGTTCTCATGATTACGTTCAAGCGAAGACGATCTCGCAAAAAGACTCGATATCGTACACAAATGGCGAGGCAAACGAGCCTGCGAGTGCTTCGTCACGGAACCAAGATTACGTGACGAAGAGCACGAGTCAGGAAAATCCTTTCCAACAGAGTTACATGAAGCTGAGCAAGAGCACGGACACGTCGGACAATCCGAATCAGGCGAATCAGAAGACAAAACTGAACGGCGTGCTCAACTCAAAGTCTCAGGAGCAGCAGCAACAGCGACACAATCACATACGCGACTCGGCTTACGTTCCCACGAAGAAGGTGGACGTGGATTCGTTTGTCCAGTCGTTCCAGTACGACGTCAAGGAGACGATGAGCAACGCGGGCGAGCGAACGAATGTTTTGAATGCCGAAGACACGCACAATAATTATGTCTCTTATACCAGCAGCAAGGACGATAAGAAGACGAACGCCGTTGCTTCGACAAACACCATGGTCAACAAATCCACGGTGGTGCAGCAAAATGTTGTTCCACGTTACTCGCAGCAGACGTCGTCGCTCGTCACCACGTCCAATTACGAGCAGAGTACGATGACGGAGAATCACGCCAAGTCCACTACCACAGTTGCTCATAACTCGTCCAACTTTAGCATTCTCTCGTGGACGACGTTTTCGCCTGTCAGTGGCAGTAGTGGTGGTAGCAACGGCGGTAACAATAACAACAACAATAATAATAACAATTTGATGCACTTTGAGCAAGTACAACCGCATCAGAACGATAATACCGAGGCGAAGACCATCTGCGAGAATTACAATTATATACCGTTACACAAGGAGAATCCCAGCTTCCCCAACCAAGTATTGATTAGTGACGATTATCCGAGTGTGTCAACTGGAATCGACAAGTTGCGACAAGGGAAGATCGAGCCGCAGAAGCAGTCTTTCGTCGATACTTCGAAAACCAGAAACGACCCGTCGAAGCAGCAGAACAGGATGCAGAGTCAGCAAACCGGCAACGACTATAAATTTGCCGATGGTGATAAAAGCAAGAACAAGTATACCATGGATTCGGCGGGCTACAACTTGCAGAACGAGTACAACCCCATGGATCAGCAGACCCAGCAACACGGTCCGAAGAATCATCAGAGTCTGTCGTCCAAGGAGAAGATGATCTACACTTACGAACCGCATAACTTTGATCTGGCGGAGAGCAACATACAGATTAAGTATCACTCAGCTGACACTACTTACGCCGGTACGAATTTCAAGTACGCCGACAAGACGCAACAGCCGGCTCAGCACAAGTATCAGACTCTCGCCCAGGGGCAGATTTCTGTTTTGTCGCACGACAATGGCACTTACAATAGCAGTGACATCAAGCACAGCCAGCAGCAGCAGCAACAACAATCGCATAGTAACAACAATAGCGGTAACAACAAGTCCAAGGGTAATCAGCATCCTCAGCACGCGGTCAAGGCGCCAGTCAACTGGATGATGACGCCAGAGGTGAAGCACAATTCTGCGAATATTACTGATATTATTCTACCGCCGATTGGCAAGGAGCTGGACTTTTGTCAGAACAATTTGTTCAGCCAGACACCTGCATATAATCAGGGCACTCCGAATCAATTCTACAATAATTACGATGCAGCCACCGCTCATAGCTTCGCGAATCTACCGGTTCTGCAAAGTGATCCGAAGAGATCCGCGGAAACTTTTTACTCTGAAGAACAACCGTTTCCGTGGTCGCCGACGAAGAACAGCGTGCACAATAGCGTCGAGCACGTCATTGGTCAGTCATCGATCAAGGGTGTCGATCAGCATATCGTGCCGTCGAGTCTGCAATCCTTGGTCGGTGATCTCGATCTGAGTGCCAATTTGACGGAGAAGCAGAACTTTTTATTCGCCGCAGCGACTCCATCGTCTAGGATCTCCACGGAGCAAAGTAAAGACGCGTCTATGAAGGAAAAAGAGGCGAATAATGTGTCGGGACGGGATTTGCATGCTATACTGAACACGCAGAATACGCAACATCCGGCATCTACCTTTTTATCCGTGAGTCAGCTGGTAGAGCAAGAAAAGGCAGAGAAGAACCATCATCAGCAGAATCATCAGCAACATCATCAACACCATCATCCGCATCCGCCTCAGCATTCGCAGCAGCAGCAGCAACAGCAGCAACAACAGCAGCAGCAACAGCAGGCTAGAAAACATCAAAGGAAGAGCAACACGAGTCCCAGAACGACCAGTAAACGACAGCAAATGGATATTCGCAAGTCTACTACGACCAATGACTTGCATCAGAGACACGAGGAACAGAAATCTTCAGGACCTGTGTTCACAGAACAGAATTACCAGCAATCGCAGCAGCAAAAATACCAGCAGAATAATGTTCATTGGAGAAGCAGGAACTGTAAGAGCAATTACACCGCGGAGGCGCTGATCGGAACCAGCGTTCACGATCCTGGTGGTCATCATCAGGACAAGCACGCGTCAATCAAGTTCACGTCCAACTATCCGCAGAATAAGTTCCAGAATCTGGCCGCTACTGCCGCCGTGGATACCACGGTGATGCCGATCAATTACTTTTCCAGTGCGCCACCACCGGACGATGGCACCGCGGCTGGTTACGGCCAATCGGTGGTCAATCAAAACTTCAACACGTACGCGTACTCGTCCAACTCCGCCAACTCCATATATCCCACTGGGAACTTCATCACCAGCATCTCCACCAACACGTCCAACAGCTACATGGGCATGCAACTGCACGAGAACACCGCCGATTACACCGTACAGGAGACCAACACCTTCCTGTTGCCGAACATGGGGGGAACGAGTTCGTCCAGCACCGCAAACACGTCCAGCGCGAACACAATCTCCACCACGGCGAACGCGAACGTGAAAACTCATCAGCATTACGGGAAGCATCCCAATTGCGACAAACGCTCGTACTCCACTGCCGCGAAGAAGGGCAAGCGAAAGAGCGGCTTCGAGGCTGGTCCAATGCAAAATCTCGCTGAATTTCCGCTGTCCGGCATCACTTCCCCGTTGGAAGACTATCATCATCACTCGGCAACATTTTTGGCGCCGCCGCCGCCTCCACCGCCGCCTCACGCCAATCCCCTTTACCAGAATCACTCGCAGACGAACGTGTACGCCAAGACTGTCAACGGTCTTCCACCACCACCTCCGCCATCAGCTATGAGTGCTCAGGGTGCCGCGACCGTGGGAGCGACTAGCTTCTCCATGAACTCCAACATGGTGCGAGGAGGAATCGTCTCGAGCAACCCGATGGCCATGCCGCATCATCCTTCCGGCACCAGCCTCACCAATTTCAACTTGACTACGATATTCCCTGAAATGAATGATAAGGTATAATCTTACTGATATATAAAAGTTGTCGAAGCGACTACTCCTTGTTCGCTGGACCTTGTTCCTCAAATCTCCTTTTCTTTTTCAGGTCACCGGATATAAACCTTCGAACGGTATACCATCCGGCCTATCGCAGACTGCGTCGAATCAGATTGCGACCTATACGCAACGAACTAATTATCCGTCGAATTCTCTTGGTCACTTGCCGCAGCCATGTTTATAGAGTTCTATACACAATAATGATCGGATTACGTGTAAACGATTATGAGGAATAGTATGTATATATGTTATATATGTTATTTGTAAGTATCGCGCTATTTACTAATAGTCCCAAGTAGCAAACTGATATGTCATTGAACGTTAAAATAACGTTTCGTTGTCAAAATGATGTACACTTGCTACCTGAAGCGTTTTACTATTCTTCGCTCCCTTTTCTGTCTCTATCTTTTGACGCACATACACACATTGTAATTTATTATAAACACTAATGAAATAAGTTCATATATTTGTGATACGATCAATCGTCATTTGTACATAATGTAAAAATAATGTGTATTAATCATTAAATAATATACGTTATTTAACACGTCATGTAAATATAACATGTATTATTTATTTAAAATTGTACATTTGATTTACGTTGACGTGTTATTTAATTGACAAACATGGACTGTCGAGTTAACAATGATTTATTTCAATAAATCAAAAGTTCTTAGTACAAAAAATATATCCTGTATATTGAATCGTATCTCTCAAACCAAAATCACTTTTGCACATCGATATGGTTTTATAATACTTTTATTTATATTGTCTCGCATTAAGTTTTCAAATTCTTCAAATTGTACAACATTCGAAGCTCAAATTAACGTCACGCTAAAGGCTCTTAATTATCCGACCATAATTTGTACTAAGAATCTGATTTTATATATTTTAAGTTAAGTCAAGTTTATATGTACATTATTGAATTGTAGAAAAATTTGGATATTTACAAGCAACAAAACCACGTCCTTATCACAGCACATACGTATCGTTATTTATAAATCTACGAATGAAATTACCTTATATCTTTGGTAGGAGGTTTGAGTGGTATTTTACCTATAATAAATTTCTCAGCCAAATACATGCTCTTTTCGTCATCCGTTAATGCACCTTCCATGCTGTAAACAGTATCGTCGATAACAATATTATTCATGGCGTTGAACGGCGATTTCCCGAACGGAGAGGAGAAGTCGATGGTACCGGATTGAGTTTGCGCGACACTTCCGAACGGCGTGACACCTTGCTGAGTCCGCGGGGCGAATGGGTTTGCATTCGTCGTGAGAGTTGACGAGGAGGCATTAATATTGCCGAACGTCGACGTGGGGAACGAAGAATTCGGCATGGTCGCGTTGGAGGTTGCGAAGTTGGTTCCTGCATTCGCGAATATAGAGCTGGAAGACGTTTCCATGGTGCCGAACGTGCTACTTGGGACAGCCATGCCGAATCCTGTTCCCGCAAACGGTGTCGAGGTTGCACTCGTAGAATCGTATTGCTGCGAATTTACGGTGACAAAGGGTCCAGCGGTGATGGATGTTCCAAAAGGTGCATTGCTGTTGCCTAGCGACATGGTGGCATCGGTATTTTGCGTCCCACCAAAGACATTCGGGGCGGACACCGTCGCTCCGAAGGTATTATTAGCATGCTGTTGGTTCAGATCAAAGGCCGGTGTTGTGGTAACAGAGGCACCGAAAGCCGGCGTTGTCGTAACGGCGGATACCCCGAAAGCCGGGGTCGCGACGGCTGTAGATCCTCCGAAAATACTGCTCGTGGGTATCGCCGTGGTGGCGCCGAATGTTTGACCATTGCCGAAGATGGAATTACCGCTAGAATTATTGGCGTAGCTGGGAGTTACCCCGCCGAAAACTGGGGCCCCGCCGAACGCGTGCATCTGCGTCTTCGGTTGATTAAATATTCCGCCGTTGAAAGATGAGCCGGATGAGGTGGTGGAGGCGCCGAAGACCGAGTTTGTCTGTAAGCCGGACGATGACGAGCCGCCGAATAAGTTGGGCGTTGTGGTTGTTGCTCCGCCAAATATAGGGTTTGCTTGCGAAGTCATTGGACTGTTGAACAGCGAAGCGGAAGGTGCGTTGCCGAGCTGGCTCGTGGTACCAAACACGTTGTTAGTGTTTTGACCAAACACGCTTTGCGGCGATCCACCAAAGAGTGGATTATTCGAAGGTGTCCCAAACGTTGACGTGTTGTTCTGTACGCTATTAAACGATGTCGAAGTATTGGTTGTCCCACCGAAGAAGGAGTTGGTGCTCGTCGCGGTACCAAATCCACCGAGATTGTTCCCAAAGGACGTGGTACTACCAAACATCGGCGCTGCATTATTATTACTCTTTCCAAATATCGATGATGTGTTACTCGAAGATGTGAATCCTCCTCCGCCAAATGGATTGTTACTTTGCACGAAAGTTTTATTTCCGAATACATTATTAGTCGATGTGTTATTAACTAGGCCCAATTGAGGAGCTGTAAAGAATAAAATAGATTAGTATATGATTTCCCAGCTGTGCTGCCACTTACGTTCAACTCACCTTTCTGACTACTTCCCAAAATCTTTTTCTGAAACACAATCGCATTGTTATATTTATTTGAAATCTTCATATCGACTAAAGTAATTAAATAAAGGAAATTGTATCGAGACATACCAACATTGTAATTGTCTCTCTGGTGGGATTTTTCAGTGCTTCTCTCTTCGCTTTCATATCTTGGCACAATTGTTGATAGTGTAATTTCTAAAAGTAATTCCCAAAAATAAACATTTGAAATTACAAAAGTTGGAAGCATTCTGACAATGCAATTCTACTAACTGCTTGTTCAACCAGGCCATTTTTCTGTGCTTCGTATATCTCGCATCGCACTTCTTCTGGAGAGAGATCATCCATGCCTGGTATAATAGGACGATCTCTAAATGGCCCGAAACATGACAGTAGCCACTGGCCACCCCTCTCCGCAAGGAGTATCTCCTTAGCAACAGTGATACTGTAATATATAAATTAATAAAAAAAAAAAATATATATATATATAAATTGAATTTACATTTTATTATATACAAAATTGATCTACAACATTCTTTGATGTCAAACTTACGCGATGTCATCCTCGTTATGCTCGGCTTTGGTGTTGGCTATTGGAAGGAAAACAATATTATTCATGATGGCAAAAATAGTAAAAATATTAAATGTTAAATATCTTACTGTTTATGTGTTCGAATTTGCAATATTGCCCATAACGGCAATTGCCTTGCTGGTAGTAGTTGCAGTTAACCATTGTGTACACAGGGTCGCATAAATTCTCTCCTTTTAAGTATACAAACTCTTTCTTCTTCTTGGAAATAGTGCGATTCAGCAGTCTCAATTTCTCAGCATCGCGTGTCCTCGGATTCGGATATAAAATCAGTCATGACAAGGAGTGGCTAGTAGATTGACACAATGAAAGCTTTGCGCGCGAAAAATATAGCTAGCTGGATATTATATGGTTAGAAATGTGAATCTTAAATATATAAAGAATCTTAAGTGCGTCTCGCAAATTAAATAGATGAGATTCTTTTATATCTCAAGTCGTCTAATTCATCACTTCTAATGTGTCCATCGCACTCCGGTAAAGGCAACAAAAATATTATAATGAGGTCTTGTCTCTTTCCTCATGAATAATTGTCTGTTATCGAAATACACAATATCACACTCTTTCACTTTTCTTCTCTACTTCTCTTCTTTGTCAAATATGGCATAATCTTTCATTTTATTTATCGAAAATTTTATTTTGCACGTGTGGCTTTATGTAATTCACAACACAACGAAAAAATATATATCGGTAAAATAGTTTTCCTTCATATCATGTGATGTCATTATACTAAATGCTACTTTATCGATATATCTTTAAAAAATTTTCATTTCTACATATATATTTTGTGAATATTTTTAATATATAAAAAAATATGTAAAGATTTCAGAGATAAAGAATGAATCATCCACTCTGTTGAAGAATTTATCTCTAGTAGTGAGGGTTTATTTTATTAACTGGAAGGATATATATTTTAAAAGTATGTTAAATGTATATATTCTACAATATTACATTGCTTTTGAATAAAAAAAAGTTTACTTTAAAGCTCTTCTATGTTCTTAAAAAAATTGGACAGATAATCCTCATTTTTATCATCATAAGCATATAATATATATATATAAATCACTTAAACTATTTTTTTTTTTTTACATTTTACAATACAAAAATATCTCATAATTAAGATATACATGAATAAAGAGTAAATATATAATCAAGGAACAGTTTTTGTCGATCAACCTTTGCTCTTTGTCCTCCAATTTTCATTTTTAGTGTCTGAGGAAGCACAACTTTGGCAAGAACAAGAATTTGGTATTGTTAGTTGCTTTTTTAATTTTCTGCCATCTTCGCATATTAAGTTGACAATTAAACCAATGTACTCCTTTGGTTGACAACAATGACAGTTACTCACTTGATTCCAACTCTCTGTATGCAAATAGAAGAAGGAAATAAGTAGAATTAAATTAATCATTGCATAGAGCAAAGTAACAGAAACATTTATTTTGTATGTTAACATTACCACTATCAAAAATTGTTGACGATTGACATGTTCCACTGCATTCTTTAATACCCTCAATGACTTCCAAATTTTTACATATTCCATGTAAAGGATGGTTTACAACTAGCATACCTACAGTATTTTTTGTATCCACAATAATTGTCTCGCATGTTCCTAAGAAATAGTCATGAAAAATATTAGTAAACACTTAAAAAAGAATATTTATACAATACATACAATTAAACAAAACACTCATTTTAATTTCTCCCTATACACTTACCATTAATAGGTTTTTCTGTATTATGACTGTTCAAATTACATCGTTTGCAACATTGGTCCTGATAAATTGATTCAACAGGACAATCTGTTGTATCCGGACAAGCAACTGGACTTATAGCAAGAGATAACTAAAATAATTAGAAATGTAATATGAGACAATGATAAAATTAATTATATACATATATATATATATATATATATATATATATATATTTGTTGTGTAATCGATTATATTATATTCCTAATTCAAAAGTGCATCTAACTAATATGGAAATATTTGTTCTTCTCAAGAAAGAACTTGCCTGTCCACTCTTTTCTATGCATGTATAAGTAGTGCAATTGTCATCAGATGACCATGTCGTGTCAGGTGCATACAAAGTATCTTCAAATACACAAAATGCTTGTTTGCATTCTCCGCAACATTTACCATCTTCTGATTCTTGATATGTCCATCCCTAGAGATTGAATACGATGTTAAAACATTATTGAATATACCTAGTAAAATAATGTATAATATTCTTACTTGAGCACATTGCGTTGAACACACTTCAATTTCTTTGCGTTTTGTTATATTCGGTCCAACGCATGTCTCGATGACGCAATTATCCATGATAGATCTCCATTTTTCTCCAGGATTATATATTTGTCCATCGTCGCTACGACAAGCTGTTTTGACGTATTCCGGACAACACTTTTCTGGAATTTTATGCTTTTCCACCTCATATTCTAACTCCAATTGTGGATCGACTTCTAGGCAAATTTCGGTATTTGCTTGTATATACACCTAAAAATGAATATTAATTACATTCATAATTTTGTTGATTAATCAGTATGTATAAGATTTATATAAAAAATTATAACTTACACTTCCATTCACAGATTCACAAAAGTATGTCACACAATGATCATCTGAGTACCATTGCTCTCCCACATCTTTAAGTACACCCTCTACAATGCATGCAACTTGGACACAGGTTCCACAACAATTAACACTAGTATCATTAGGCGCTTGATATATGTAACCATAATCACATATGGTATTACATTCTTGAACCTTGGTTACTATCTGAACATTACCCAAATCTTTATCACACTGCATCGAAAGACAAGCATCTTTGATGTTGGGTTTCCAACTTTCGCCAGCCTATCAACAAATAACATGCAATATATTAGTGTTTTTAAATAATATTTAAAAAATTGTGTTAAATGTTAATATACTTTCTCTTACATTATATACTTTGTCTTCCCATCTGCAAGCGATACGCTCAAAAATTGGGCAGCATTTATCATCTAATAATATTTCCTCCAATACATAATTTTCTATATCAGGATGTGCATTCATGCTTGGACATTCGGTGATTAAGCAGTTTGCTTTAGGACCATCATGCGAGTTTTCGCACAAGCACGTTTTACATTTACCATCCTTCCATTCCTCTCCAATCTGTTTCGCTATTATACGCTGCTTGCTTTGATCTTCATCGTTTGTATAAAGACAAATGTCTTTTGGAGGCACTATAATGCAAATATAAAATAATTAATCAACATCTCCATTTCATATCTCTCACGATAAATGTTATTTAAGAAATTTCTGACTTTCTAAAGAAACTCTTGTATTATATCATTTTAAATTACTTAAAATATAATAATACAGTATGTATACACAATTTAATAAATTGTATTAATATTTGGGAAAAGAGGAAACTATACCGCATTCATAAGTGGAGCAACAACTGTCTGTGAGTAAAATTGTTGTAATATTGTAGTAATCTGGACATTTTGGTGCAAGAGGACAAGTTGTTGGATCGCACAATTTAGTTGGTCGCGGACAGCAGCCGGATGTATTCGTCACTTGTACGAAACCAGGCTGCAGTTGCTCGACTTCGTTCAAAAGTTCATCGAAAGTGGGACACTCGTTTACAGGTAGACATTCTGAAATGAATCACACAATAGTCCTGTAGCTAAAAGATCTTAGGACGAATCTGATAAATAACTTTATAAAACTTGTCTGGTTTATATACGTACGACAGATAAATTTATGACATCCATCAGAGTCAATGATCGTTTTCATTATTTGGCCAAAACCACATTCCGGTTCTTGTGGCTCGATACACATCGTAGGAGCTGTCGGTTTTGGAGCTGCAAAAATCATTACATTATAAGTATGTTTAATGAAATATATTCTTATTTATTGACATTGCAAGACTGGAAAATTCTAAGTAGTATATATATTTTTATCACTAATTTCTTTTTATTATAACTAATTTATAAAATAATTTAGTAAGTTTTATATGTGCGAAAGGATTTTTAGCAATTTACAATATATATGTATATATATATATATATATATATATATATATATATATATATATATATATAAGAATATATACAATTAAAAGATAATTTATAAAATAAATTCTCCTCTTTCTCTCTTCACATAACTACATGTCAAAAATTTTCTTGACAGATTCGATAAAGAGGCATACATTAGAAATACTTTTTAATGATGTTATTATTAACTCACCACATAAATACTTGGCGCAACATCTCTCCTCAGTTCCATTGACAAGTACAGGTGTCATGTTTTCCTCGCAGATCGTATCCAATACAGGACACTCTGTCTTCTGACAATTTACAAACCCACCATTACAGTTGCATTCCGTGCATTTGTCTGGATACCAGATATCTCCCTGCACGTGACCCTCCTTGTCACAGACGAAACAGTTTTGTTTCAATATACAAGAATCATTGTAGAATACATAATCCTCTGGGCAGAAGCATCCTTCAATAGGACCGGATGTACACTTTGAATTGTCCGATTTGTTCAAAATGTCGCATGTTTCCTTGCAACTTGAGCCGCATGGTTTGTAGACAAGATCTAAAAATATATTATTTGTTGAATATAACAAGAGTATACATTTATATAGATTTATTGTTAAGTTGATGCAAAAGATCAATCAATTTTCTATACAGTCTGATTTTAAGATAAAGATTTGAAAATAATGTTTTAAAGTTTTCTTCTATCTAGCAAAAAGGTTTTATTTTTTTAAGACATAATAATGATCATCTTAATTAGTAAAAATTACTTTATAAATTAAATAAAAAGCAAACTACCATGTAATTTTGCTTTCAATTTAAATCGACAAATCCTGCATCAATTCAAGAGATCAGATTTTACCTGTAGGACATTCGTATGGACAGATTTCATCGGTTCTCCAAGCTGGACACAAACCAGCTTCCAGACACTTTCTCGCATACATTTCCAAGCTGTCGCAGTAGTTTCCACCGGTGCACAAAGCGTCGTGACAGCAATCCAAATATGGTTTTGGATCGATGATGCTGTGGCAGTGCATAAACTCTGGTAGATCCAACAGCTTCTTGCATATGTCTTCGTCAGCTGGCGGTGGCGTACACTGAGGCTGATGATTACTGAAACACGTCTGATCGTTCAGGCCCAGCTGCGTCGACAAATCCTCGACCAGCCAGGATCTACCGAACTCATCGATGTCGCTCGTAATCTTCCCGTCGCGTTTCTCAAAACCAGCCTCGGGGTCAGCGTTGCATTTACCGCATAAACCCTCGATAACGTCACTGAAGACGTGCGAGGGCAGTTTCAAGGTAAACGCAAAGTTCTGTCGAAAAGCGACCAACTGCAGTTGTATGAACGGCACCAGCAGAGTCACGTCTCCGGTTAACGTTCGATCCAAGAAGATCCATCCGCGATCAATTGGGAATCTTTCCACTTGGGCGTCGTCGACCGATACCTGCAGGTCCTTCGACTGTTCCGCGCGTCTTATTTGCACCACGTGCTCGTCGTAGAGCAGGGTGACGACCTCCGTACACGTCCCGGTGGTGCAATACCCGTTGGTAATGAAAATCTGATAGGCGCGAGTCCCGTTCCTCTGACTCTTCGCGTTCTCCACGGCGGTTCCCGACAGCAAGTAGGTGCAGTTGCCGGCGAACCTGAAGTTTCTGCGATTGAAATCGATGAACTTGGCATCTCCGAGGCCGTCGCACACGCAGTCCAGACAGCTAGCTGGTGGTACGCACTCGTCGTCGTTTCGACGTACCAGACCGTCCGGGCAAAAGCATCCGGGGAAGCAGATACCCCGCATCGGCGGACACGGTTCCACCTCGTGCAGATTGTCGCAGGTGATCTCGCACTTGCTGCGGAAGCAATCCCGATGAACAAAAGGTGATGGACAGCTCGCGGGACAGTCGTAAGCGGTTCTCCAATCTGTCAATAGATACGTCCCGGAATCGGCGGCAGCCTCGCATTCGCCGACGAAAGTAGTTAGCAGGCGACACCGGCAATCCTCGTAGGAGTTGTTGGAAGAATGTAAGCAAGAGCACACGCTCTCTACGCAGCAAGACACAAACCTGCAATAATAGTAGATTCATCATTTGTTCTGAACATATACAATATGTATATATTATATATAGACATTTTTATGAATATATATTATTTAAAAAAATAATTTGCAACAATTTAATGATTTGAGTTATATGTATATATAGCAAGTTCCTATCGCTGATGTGTGAAATAATTAAAATCTATTAACTTGTCAAGATCGACGATAGCGGAACAGGCATCCAGCAGCATTGGACTTCTCACAGAGTTGCAAATCGTCCAAGCCTGCTCCTGGATGTCATGTGGGCACACATGCAAATCACATTCTTTCACATCTTCCATGGCCCAGCTGTCTCCGAACTGAATGGTGCTTCTCGCTTGCGTTCCCTCGGGTGTCTGGCGATCGTTTGCGACGTTACCGTCGAAGTATCCGCATAGACCATCTACGCGACCCGCCAATTTCGCCACGACGCCGATCTTCACGTTGGTACTCGAGTCCCAGATCACCCAGAAGCCGTAGCGATGAGAGAGGAAGATGATTCTGTCGCCCGTTCGCGAGAGCTCGAAATCAGAAAACCGTTTTCCAAAGCGCGCAATCTGTCCAGGTGTGAAGGTATATCCATCAATGTCCACATGCAGATTCGGATAGAGCACGATCGCCCGTTCGTTCAGCGTCACCACCAGGATGCGAGTACAGTGTCGCTGTCCAAGCGAGCCAAGGCACAGCTTCTCCAGGGTGATGTACCACTCGTTATCATACATATCTCGGGCTAGAATGTGATTGCAGATGTCATATTTGTACTCCATGTTGTCGAAAGTGTTGAAGGTCCTCCCGGTGACGTTGCAGATCGCTTCCTGCGGCGTTAAAGGTCGGCATACGTACTTGGGGCACTTGTGCTTCTTGTACATGCTCGTCCTCTCGTACACTATTTCGTACTGTGGCGGGCACAATGCCTCCGGACATGGTTCCGGCTTCTTGTCGGGAAGGACAGGCGGAGACTTGATAGGCATGCAGATGAACTCGGAACATTGAAGATCCTCCACTTCTGACCAATAATGTTGATGCTTCATCGGACGTCCATGGAACGGGTGCTTCTGGTATCCTTTCTGGTATCCTTTCTGGTATCCTTCTGGTATCCTTTCTGATCCTTCTGGTATCCCTTCTGATATCCCTTCGTCTTCGCGAAACCTTTACGAGCTTTGGATTTTACGTTCGTTTCATGGTGGTGCACTTTATCCTGAAGTTGAGCTGACGGTTTGAAGACTACTCTGTAACCAGGTGGACAAAGTGGTTCCTCGCATGGACTGATTTGAATAAAGCCGGGAGTCGTCGCAACTTGTTGACCAACCGTTCTTATCGTTTCTGAAACTTCGAAAATAGGTGTCGTGGAAATGATTTCTGGACAATCATTCTCGTCATCCGGACAATCTTGGACACCGTCGCACCACGAGGTCTCGTTCACGCACACGTCGCTCGTGGGACAATGTTTCGTGCCTGCCGAACAAGGTTTGCACAGACAAGTGCACAGTTTGCCGACGACAGATCGGAGACCCGGTTCTAGACAAGGTTCGCATTTCTTCGGCGAACACGTGGGCGTTCCACCCAAAACGCATATGCACTGTTGACAATCCTCCGTCTCGTAGACGCTGCCTATTGCGTAGGACACGTGTCCGACTATGCAAGGACATTCCCGTTTTGGTACGCACAATTCTCCATCCCACCAATAAGGATCTTCGCATTTGCAATGTTTTTCATCGCCCGACATCGTCCAATCGATTCCATCGCACACGTTGCACTCTTGTTCAAACGTGGACGTCGTCGTCGACTTGATTTCCGAGGTCTCCAATGTAGGATACGCTAAATAGCAGCCGAGGATATCGACCTTTAGTGCAACGTGATCATGCCACTTGATGGGTTGTATCCTTACCAATTTTGCATTTAAAGGTCTCTTGAAGAAGTTTGTTTGTTGGCTTTCTGCATCAAAATTACCAAGGAATTCCTTCTCGTTGCCATTCTCGTCGACAACTGGGTTCCAGTGACGTCCATCGTTGCTGTAGAATACTTTATATACAGTCGTCCAAGCGTTGTCGCCTCCCTTGGTCGTGATTCCGGTCAGATTTCGGGTCTCCAGAAAGTCAAACTGAATATACTGATGCGGATTGTCTAAAGCGGCACGCCATACTCCTTCCGAGGATAACGGAAGATATTTAATCAACTGCGAGGAACTCGATACCGAGACTTGTTCGATGGCCATCAGCCCGTTGTCCAATCCCATGGAATCCTCGCAGACTGGTCTCACGATTTCCTCGGAGTTTGTTGTCTTTATTGTAGGTTGTTCAGTTGTTGGTGTTAAGTGATCCTGACAACCCAGCACCTCTAGCTTAACAGCGATTCCGTTGTGCCACGTCAGCGGATTGATACGAATAATCTTTGCCTCGATCGGCCGATAGAATGCTTGCTTCATGGATTGGATTCTGTTGGCAGGTCCTCTGAAGACACGTGGTTGCTTTTCATGGTCGAGCACGTACGAAAAGCTGTGTCCATCTTCTGAAAAAAGTACCTTGTAGCTGGTTACGAACTCATCCTTGGTGATAGCACCTTGTAGGATCACACCGTAGACCGGTTCAGGTCTACCGAATTCGACGTCGAGCCATTGATCCGCATTCGTTATTTCAGGTTCCCAGAATTTCTCGGACGGTGGAAAGCTTCCCTCCGTGTGTACCAGCAGATTCTCAGACTGCAATGCATGGTTTTTGCTACTGCTAGTATGAATAGTCAGTTTCTTTCGCAGACTTTGCATTAGTGGCACGTAGTTTGCGTCGTTGCAGTCTTCGGGTGGTGTGACCGTGCTCTGTATAAAGATCGTGTGCTCGAACAAGGGCGATGGAGTAACTGGTAATATCTCCCAAGTGTTCCCCAAGGTCGTACTGAATGACGTTTCCGATAATGTGGCAGTTTCAGTCTGTTCTAGTCCTGGTTCTGTTGTTTCTTCGTGACTCGACACGTTGTAGCAGAAGGTTGTATCACACGTGTAATAATTATTGATGCACTGGCAGGTCTCGCAATCGGATTCCTTCCTGACAGCGCCTGGTGCGACCGAGTCCCCGTCGTGGGATTTACAGGGACAGTGATTCGCCTCTACGCAGGTAACACCGTCCCGCCAGAATTTGTGCGAGGGACACGTCGGTTGATAGATAGAAACGCATCCAGCAACGCAATCGGTACCTTCGTTGCAATAACCCTGGGTCACCAGGATGTGACGATAGTACTGGCACGTCCTGGTACACTGAATCGCGCATTCGCTCCACGTCTCGCCGGTCTTACATACATTCATGGTCGACACTACCTTTTTCGCTGTGCTCTCATAATTAGAGCTCCAATCGGTTCCACTGTTGATCTGCGTGGTTTGTCCGGATGACCTCGAACACTCTGGTCGTATACGTTCAACTTCCGCCGGCCAATCGCAGACTTGGGTCTCAGAATTGTACAAGGTGCCGGGACCGCATGACTTCTCCACCAGTTCATATCCCGTCAGCGTGGGGACACAATGATAAAATAGTTGGCAATTGGTCGGATGAGGCGAATTGGGACGCATTATGTCGCATTCCTTTGACTCGATCTTCGTTGTTGCATCTTCAACATCGGTATGTGTAACTGGTTCGGAGCAGCGACATAGCACGCTAATCTCAAAGTCCACGCAAGGAAGATCCGGAAGATGCGATTGACAGTACAAACCGCGCTCTAGGCTGCACTCTACGTCCAAGCCAGTTTCTTTCGGACTCGTGTGTTCCTTGACGGATCTACATCTTATGTCGACTATGTGTTCCCTGTCGCAAATCGCGAATCCGTTCACATTAGCAAGATCCATCAATATGGGCAGTGGCTCCACGTCCAAGAATTTCTTCCCCTTCACAGCTGGATCCTTATTGATCCACATGGACCAACCATCCACGCATTTCTGAGGTTCCACCATGGGCACGGTGGCAGTATTAGCTACAGGAGTGCTAGGACAAGCCTCCCCGTTACAAGTCACTTTGCCGCGACTGCAGAAGCAACTTTGACAATCGTCGCCGCTGACTCGATCACCTTCATAGTATGTCGTTCCGTCGATTTCGGTGCAGAATGGCTTTGTGCACATCGACTTGGATATACACTCCGTGTAGCTGGCGTTCTGATACACTTGACCCTCGGGACAAGGTTTGAATCGGCAACCCTCTACGCACGTGTCTTCCGTGCATAAATGCGAGCTATGTTTCACGGTCATCAAGTTGTCGCACGTCTCACGTGGACAAGTTGAAACGCAAGCCGAATACGTGCTACATTTCTCGTCGCATTGCAACGGACAAAGTTCTTGCGTTCGCCATTTTACAGGAACGCCTCGTACGTTGCATTCATGCGCGTATGCGGCCAATGCCGTGCATAGACACTCGCAGTCGCCACCGGCGTCGCAGCTGCACGTGTCGAAGATGCAGTCGCGTAGATACGGCTCGACCTCGACTTCCGTGTGACATGGCGAGAACAACGGCGATTTGAGCACGTTGCACTGTCGCAATGACCACAGCTTACGTTCTGGATGCCGTTCACAGGCATCGTCCTGCATGTCCTTTGGCTCGAGGCAGAACGCATTCTTTTTCCACGAATCCCCGAATAGATTGACGGAGACCTCGGATATCCCGCCGGACGGCGTCTTGAAGTCGTCCTCGGCGTTGTCATTGTAGTCACCGCACAGACCCATCGTGCGACCTTTCCATTCCGGATTTAATCTCACGTAGACTCTGGTACCTAAACGTCAATTGTCAAAATAATCTTTCAAACGTTTAAATCTGATTGATCTAGATTTCTTTAGACATTTTGTGCACATTCCTTACCTCTGTCCCACTGTAACACCAATCCCAAGTCCGGCACATCAACAAACACAAAGAGACCAACAATTCTAATTGTCATCCTCTTAAAAATTTCCTTCGGTAACTCCTTTCCTTTCGTCAAGACAAGTTCTTCTCGCTGTTCACCGCTGCCGATTATTAGCTTGATTGATTTCGAACACGCGACTCCGTTCGTACCACAAGGTACGTTTTGAATCGATATGTCGAAACACTCTTCCTTGCTCAAGGCACTCTTCACCAAAACATAGTCGCATATCCCTTGGAAAGTGTACATCTTACCGTCGAACGTTTTGTAATGCGAGTCGCCCCACACGGAGCAAATTCCTATCAAAAGATTATATAAAAATGATATAACATTTGTTGATATAATGAATCAAATTTTCTTTCGCTCGAATACAATACACATTTACTAAAAAAAGATAGGAACGTAGTTGAGAAATTTCATAGAGAGTAAGTAAATATATAGTGTAGCTTTTAATTTTTTATCACAATAAGATTAATATATAAAATATAGTTTCTAAATTTTATCAATAAATATGTAAAAAAATTAATGGCGTTTAATAAAAAAAATTTTAGTGAAAACTCTCACCCGCGCAAGACCTGTCCGTGCACTCCCACTTGGTGTTCTTACACGTGCAGGTGTTACATCCGGTTTGTATAACCGAGTCTTCTTTGTAGCTTTTGCCGCCGTGATGACAGGGACAGTCCTCTTTCTTGACACACACCCCGTTTGCCACATCTAGGACGTATCCGGATTTGCAAACGCAGCCAGACGTACATACTGATGGTGTTTGTTCAATCGGTAGGTGCATATTGCTGCAAGTCCTCTGCTCCACCGGTTGACAATCCGTCGTCTCCAATTGTTTCCAGGCGGGGCAGAACAGATCCGTGACCGGTGGATATTCTCGAATCTCATCTGGCGTTGCTAATCGACACTCCCATACCCCACCTATAACGAAAAGATGGATTTTTGAAAAATATTGTCAGAAGCAAACCACAGTACTTTAGAGTACCTATGCAAGAGCAAAATTCCTGTCCCTTGTTGCCCGGACGGACCTCTCGATGATTAGGCTTGTATTCGCGACCAGCGTAAACGCAGGGACACTGAACGATCGGGATGCATTCGCCTTTCGCGTCTAACGTTTGGTCCTCCGGACAGTTGCAGCCTTCCACGCACTCTTGCTTGCAGTCTCGATAAAAGGATATATCAGTGCACGACCTGCGATGGAATGTATAAAAATCAAAAGCAATAAAAAAATCGCTAAAAAATATTGTTAATGCATGTACCAACCTAGTGCAGCTATTTCCGCAGATTTGATAAGTCTGTCCACCGCCGCAATGAATCTTGCACTCCTCAATCTCGGTACGCCACAAAAGTTTCACGCCTAATGCCGCGCAATCTTTTGCATAGGCCGCCAATATCGGGCAGAGGCACGATTTTACATCCACATCGCATGCGCACATATCGTACATACAATCTCGGTAGAATTCCAATGGATCAACGTACCAGTGACAGTCTAAACGATAAAAATAATGTAGTTATGTATATAAAACTATTTAGAACAATACATATAAATAAAAATGTAATGTCAATCTTTAAAGAAGATCGAGATAGTTGAAAATCTTTAAAAATTGTAGCAGAATGTATACATATTTTACCTAAATTTTTATAAAATTATTCTATTAAAGTTATGCGATATATGACGTGTGAAAATTTCGACAAATACCCGAAAAAATATCGCTATGTATCTTGGAACAATGTTCTTCCGCTTTCGCCTTTCTTTGAGGATTTAGATCGCAAGGGTGTTTCGTTTCGCTTTCAAACTCATCGATGCAATATTCGTTCGTTCTCCATTTGTTGGCAAAGACGATCGCTGCGGTCTCGACGTCACCGTCAGGCGTTATAAAATCATCCTTTTGGTTTTCAGTAAACGTCCCGCAAAGTCCTTTCGTTTGCTCTGCAATAACGATAGCTCAATCAAAAATACTCTTCCAAAGTACGATTATATTTCTGGTATTGGAAAGAAAAAAAATTTACCGTGGAATTCGGCTGGAGCATTAATGTAAACACGGGATATACCGTCCCACCATACTTCCAAAGCATTTGGCAACTGGATCACTATGAATATACTGCTCGCAATTCGTATTCGAGCACCGTTGAACAGCATCGGGAATCTTACTATCTCGTCGCCGTTTATCGAAATCTGGCGATCCTGCTTTAATTTTACAATGGTATCCTTAAAATTGATCGTGACGCCTTTGGTGCACGATGGAGAGCCGCCTACGGAGGCAAAGCCCAAATTCTGAAATAAATAATAAAGAAATAAGATACCTCATAAAATTGACAAAATAATAAATATAATATAAAATATAACATAAAAGTAAAATTGAAACAATTTCTCTGACCTCGGAAATTGCTCCGGAACATGGGACATTTTCGCTCTCAATCGTATAATTATCTCCCTTCATTAAATAGTATTTGCACTTTCCCATAAAATCGTAGTGCTTGCCATCGAACGTGGTGTAATGCGGGTCGCCGACGATGGCACATCTGGCGCCGCAACGTATCTGGGTGCAGACCCATTTGCCGGAAATGCACGTGCAAGTGTTGCATTTCTTTTGCACGCTCGTGCCCGGTTGAAACAGTTTGCCCCGTAATCTGCACGGACATTCTTCCGGGGAGACGCACTTGCCCTCGTGTTCCAAAGTACCTGCTGGACAGAAACAGCCTTCCTCGCATTCCTCGGAGGAGATCTCCTGCTTCTCCTCGGTACCGGAGGAACAGGAAGCTTCCACCTTCGGTCCGCATAACAGATACACTCGTCCATTGTTGCAAAGAATCGCTACAAGATAATTTATTTGTTTATTTACAAAATCAATGAGATAAAAAGATGTTAATTCTTACAAGATTAAATCATGCATCACCGAAAACATTTTTAAATCGACTTACGACAAGTGTCGTTGCTCCTCCACGCAGTCAATCTCGCGAGTCCCTTGTGAGCACATTGGCGGATGTAAATATCCATGGTATTGCAGGCGCATTTCCTCCTGTCGTCGTGTTTGCACGCGCAATAATCCCACAGACATGCTGCGGTCAATTCAGAAAAATTGATCGTGTTTGCGCAAGCTTTGAATTTATGATTGGAGAGCAACTTGCTGCAAAACTCGTAAGCTTCTCGAGCGAACTCGTCCTTCAATTCGCACGCGTGTCGCGTACTCGGATAATCGTCGCATATTTCTGTGAAATAAAACAGGTTGCTATAATTAGTACTAATGTCATGACAATAAATCTATCTACAATAGCTTTTATATTATTATATATTATTTATATTTAGATATATGTTATATTACTTTAAAATGTTGAAGAGAAAGTAATATAAATATACAGTTTTCATAATTTTCACGTAAAACATCGCAACCTACTTGGTGTTTGCATATTTATGTATAGTAATGCAAATATAATTTATACAAGGCAACAACTTTGTGTCGTTTCTCGTTTACCTCCAAGATTGTCGACGCGCCAAGAATTCGCCAACGACGATATACTAGTGGCATCACTTCCGCTCTTTGTTAGGAACTCGTCGTCCCGGTCGTCGTTCATCGTACCGCACAGACCGGCCGTCTTGTTCCACATACTTTCAGACGCCTCGATCTGCAGCAGCAGGGCGCCGTCCCATTTCAGCTTCACGCCCAAGGAGTCGAGAGAAACGAGGGTAAAATGAGCAGACTTGTCTACGCGCAATCCGGGCAAATACACAGGTATTGGCAAAGATCGTTTGCCGGTGAGGAACGCTGGCATCCCCGTCTCGTCGCTGGTGAGAATATACTCCTTGTCGTGCACAAAGAGCTTTATGGTCTTAATGCAATGATGACTCGATGATCCGGCTCTGCATCCCGGACTGTTAGTCACCACAATCGTGCAGACGTTGTCTCGAGTCTCCCGAAGAAGCGTATGTGAACAGTCGCTGTCGAAACTGTAGATTCTGTCGTCAAAGGTCTTGTAGTGTGCGCCGCCCCAGGTGAAGCACGTCTTAGGTCTCGGTCGATTCATCTCGAATGTCATTACTCCATTGGAGTCAATCTACAAAGTTTTATACAAATTAATTACATCATTCTTATTTCACATTTAGCATTATACATGTTAAATCCATGATTATTTACCGGATATGAGGACGCATCGTTACCATGAACGTCATAATATCCGCCATGCATTTCCTGGGAGTGTTTCGTGCCGTAAACATCGTGCATCGACCACGAATGATTCGATTCTCGTATATAGGTGTTGTGGGAGGTGCCGAGTGAGATGATCTTGACGTTATTGTCGACCTTACATTGCGGTATCGGTTGTGGTTCAAAGACGCCCTTATCGTAGGTGCAGGCATAAGACTGGGCAGGTGGGAATTCAAATTCCACTCCCGCAGGACAATTCAGGGTGCAGGAATACTTCTCGTTGTCACCGGTGCAGTAATATCCGCCGTTGAAACGCAGCTTCTCGACATCGCAAGTATCGGCAGCTGTCAGCCACATTAGATTAGAAATATTCATGATTTTATATAATTTGTATTAAAAATTACATATATAAATTTTTAATATATAGTAAAATATATTAATAAATGTATAACATATTAATATACGAGTATTATAATTAAATATTAATCTATTATATGTATACGAGATTAATAAAAATTTATTAATTTACACAATAAGATTTAGCAAAACTTATCTTTTCGCGTACATATATTCTTTGCGTTGGAAAATAAAATAAAATTATGAGTTTATTTTTAAACTCACAGTATTGACATTGAGGTCCTCGATAATCCTGTGGACATTGGCATAGATTCGTCGGCAGACAATTGCCGCCGTTTTGGCAGAGTGGCTCGCACACAGCTGTTGAGATACAATTATGTTATAAATTATGCTAATGTTACAAATGTTACAAAATTATATGGCACATATTTAACGTTCGTGTAGACATACGTTCGCAATCCGGAATCGATATCCAATCACTTCTTGTTGGCATCCAGTTCCCGTTCTTGCATATTAAATTGGTGATGGACGAACCATCGGGGAAAGTAAATTGTTTTAAGCACGAGACAGTGCACGTCCTGAAAAAAATAAAATTCCCCCAGAAAATCAGAGAAGCAATAAAAGTGCCCACTTGGGAGAAATACAAATGCATATAAGATCTACAGATGTATCACTCACTTTAAATTACATTTTTTATAAGAATTCAGCACGGGCGGTGGATAATTCAAACACGGTTTATCCTCGAATTGGCACTGCGGACCGCTGAAGTGTTCGGGACAGTCGCAATGATGAGGTGCGATGCATATCCCCTTGTTCTGACATTCGGGCAAGCAAATCGCTGTGAAAAAATTTGATGTCATGATTGTAATCACGTTTCTGGATTTTTCACCTTCGATGAAAACCTCGTACTTTCTCCTACGTACGTTCGCAATGCGGCATCGAGCTCCATTCGGTTCCTTCAATGTGCCATTCCTTGTCAACGCAGGTAATCGTCAGATAAAACGCGCCGTTTGGAAATTTGTAGTCAGGTGCACAACTTGCAGTACAGCCACTGTATCAAAGAATTAAAATATATTATCAAACTTTCTTCAATGTTTTACATACTTTAATTAACTATAAAATCTAATATGAAGTTTTGACAAATCTTTAGAGTTTAGAGAAATTAATGTTACAAATATATTTAATATCGTAAAAGAGACTAACAATTAACTAATTGTTTAAGTACCTGTTCAGGGAACATTTAATCTTGCCATTTATAGGTGCGTCCGGTCTACGGGGACAACCTCCTGCAAATATACGTCTTCCACCCTTCCTGCTTTTAACATTATAAAAATCTTCATCTGGTGCATCGTTCAGCATACCTTCCTCTCTGCATCAAAAGAAGTCACATGTACTATATTGTATTTTTATAAATAATATACATATATAGATAAGACAAAAAGTGTACAGTTTCTCTAGTAAAAAATGTCTTTCTCTTTTACAAAAAGATATACTAACTCGTCTGCTTCTTGCGTATCCATCGAATATCCATATCCTTGTATTATATCGTTTGCAACGATAATTAGTACAAATGTACATCCAAGTATCTGTAACGGTAGCATGTTATCAATACTAGATGCAACTTTTCATATTCGCAAACAAGAATTCACATTTATGTTTTCTGAAATGCGCGGATCAAGTAACACTTTTAAAAAGCGCGAATCAGAGAGCACACAACCCTTTTATATATCTACCTCTAGAAGGAAACGGATAAGTGATAAGCTCACAGGTCGCGTTTGATAAACGAGAAAAATGAAAAATATAGGTCAACTCTGGCGCATGATGCACTGTATATTTTGTATATAAAGTACTTATATGTAAAAAATCATTATGTGTATATTTCTATATAACATTCCTATATCATATTTCTAATATAAACATATAATATAAAAATATATAATATAAAAATATGTCATATAAAAAATATAATTATAATAATATGTTATCCATAAACTTTCTTTTTTTGTAGCACTAGTTTCAATTTTCATTCTACGCAAAAAATCGTTAAATTATTAGTTATCCAAATTTTGATTATCTCTAATAATTTATTTGTTTCTGCTGTAAATAAATATATCTTTCTCACACCTGTGCACTTCTGGTTCTACATATATTATGTGTGCAGATTTTAAGTACATTTAAAATATAAAACTAACAATAAGCGTAAAAAATTATATTAAAGCTATAAAAAAAGTACACAATTATTGTCATTAATAAAACTAATATATAACTGTTTTTATATCAACGATTTATATAAGTTGTGGCATGTTTTTGCCAAAGTGTTTTAGGAACGAGATTAACTTATCACTTTTGTTCGTGTAGACGTTAATGAGCTTCTAATTGGCTCGATAAAACGGCCAGGAAAAGTAATTATCAACCACCATTTCCTATTAGTAATGTGAATTCCATAAGGCACGTCTAATTAAATCAATTATATACATGATAAATTAAATAAATTAGATCAAATAACGTTATCTTTATTGTTAATATACTTATCTGCCAAAATTTATATCGCGTTCTTAATGCATAAATAATCGTGTACTACAAGACTGAAGATATTCACCGTCTATTGGTTTTTTGTAAATCTTCCATCTTGATCGTTATAATAATGCTGTAATAATTAATGTTCTAACGCCTCAGGTTTTTGTATTGTCGACAATTTTACTTCTACAATTAGTCGATTTGTTTCCCGCTTTGTAATTCGCCAATAAACAATTTAACATATTCGGCGCCATTCGATTATTTTCAGCAACTCTCAACTGCCCTGGTTCCGAATATTTCGAATGCCATATTTCATAATAAGCATCACTTGATATATCGCTTAAATGCGTGATGTTGAATTCCTCCTGCAGTGCAATCTTCCACACCTAGGAATATACAAAATGTTTATTATTATCATTTATATCATTTATTTCTTACATAATATTTATTTATTGCTATATATCTGGATAAAAGTAATTTAAATTTAATTCTGATTGTGTAATAAAATCAATATTGTTTGACCAAATATATTTAAGAATCAAATTAACATAGCATAAAGACTTACACTATCTTCGGGTACTGGCATCTTGGCGGGTATATTACCAAATTTGCTTTTGCCATTGAATACATGCAAGTGATACAACAAATAATTCAGGGTATACATTTTGTCGGGCTCATTGACACTGAAAGTCACGGATATCGGCGAGCAGCATTCCTTTTTCGTCGGATAAACAGCATGTGTAAAGTAGCTATCCGGTCTAATGACACCCCACAGAAGGTTTTGTAAAGAATAACCATGGAAAGTATCTCTTAAGTACTGATCTCTGGTATCGGACGGATGTATGCCCAAAGAGGACAGGTGTTTTCCTGTAAAATGAGAGGAAATCAATATTACACATAGAGCATGTTGTCTCTAATTTATATAAAAATATCACATTATTTACCAAGATAATAATCTTCCTTCTTCCAATACTTCCCCCCAGTAAGGCATTTTTCTGTAGTATTAAACATTTGCATCACTTTAGCCAATGCCCCTCTACTAAGAACGTATCCAGATTGAGCGACGTTATAAGTTTGACCCCATAAAACTATGGGATGACCCAGATAGTAATCATCTTTGTAGTCTAATGGAGCAATCATGTAGCGGAGATTCTCTGGTACAACTATAGTATTATCTCTTATGAAAATAATCCATTCCAATTTATGCGTCGTTTTCTTCCAAATATAATTCATAGCTTCACATAGCAATTGCCAAGAAGATAGAATCTTTGTATCTATATTTATAATAGGCAATTCGGCGTCTTTCACATGACGCGCAAAGAAATAAATATTGTTACAGCGTTTACCCCATGTAGCCTGGATTGACTTTCCCATTTTGACTTTTTCTACAAAAACAATACATGTAACAGATACTCGTTCTTTTAACCAGTTCCATTCTATGCTTTCAAGCTCTCTTATATTGTATCTTCTTTGAGGTTCATATAAATAGCTATCCAAATCAAGTTTGTGTAATTTCAAGTTTTGCGCTGCCAACCAAGTGTAGTATGTAATATTATTAAAATAGCCAGACGATTTCTTCACTTTCTCCCAATGCCGTAAAACAATCTCTTCGTGATAAGGTAATTTACTCAGATAATATTCAGGCTGCCACAATGGTTGATCTTCACACGTCATTTCAACCACAAATATATTCCTTAATAAAAACAGTAATAATGGAAAAACGAAACCAATTCCAAAACCAATTAAAAACACAGATCTCTGTTTTAAAAATCGAAAACGCATTTTATCAGTGCAAAGTAGAAATTATATATATAATCCAGTCTTCTCGACACTAATGCCAAATGATCCAGTAATACTAAACCAACGAATAGAATCTACTCTATTCAGGTCTTTGATCATTACATTTAACCTTTGTTGATCTCACTTATCTCATTAATAAGATCCTTTCTTGCACATACTTTAATCTTGTTTGAGCCTTACTTTTTGATTCTCCATCTCATTAAAGATTTATATAGCCTGGCCATACTGTAAGTATCACACAACAAATTTAACTTATATACATATAAAAAATATTTTCTTAATTGACCTTTTATTAGCATTATTAGCATTATTAGCATAAATGTTTTACCTGCAACATTTGCACGTGTCGATAAAAATACGCGATGAAGTCATCACGAAATCATCTCTATAACATTATTCGATAAATTGACACGAAGAATTTATATTTTCCAGCATTTACAAATATACACACACAAATTATCCGATTTTACATTATTGAGCTATACATACACTTGCGATGATCAATCTATACTTGTTGCTACATTATCCAGAAGATAAAATTTTAATTTAAAAAACAATCAAAATGTAACATATATATATGGTACACATAAATTAGCATCACATTTGACGTCGAAGCAACAGGTGACATAAACAAGTCATCTGTTTGCCTAACCTAACTTACATAAAATCCTCCTCTCCCCTATCAAATAAGCAGAATAATCATATAAAAACAAAAATCAATTAATGCATATATGTATATATATTTGTTGTAATTCACGTTCAAATACATAAAATTAACTCGTGCGGTCTTTTTTTAAACTTGTATAGGAGAGAGTTCTCCACACACACACACACACACGCGCGCGCGCGCGCACACGCCATGCACACATACACACATATATATATACATGGGCGCCACGAGGGGGATGCAAGGTGGTGCATTTGCATCCTCCTGGCTCTGTTCTATAAAATAAATGGAAAAACCACAGAGAAAATATTTAGTAAAAAAATCATGTAATATATAATAATATCGATTATAATTTTTTTAATTGAACAAAAATGTGATGGTTAAATATAACTATTTGCAATTGTAAAACTGCAATTCTTTAACTATATATTAACAGATCTGCAATATAAAAATTAGAATTTTTCAATTATTAATGCATCTTTATTAAGATTCAATAAATAACATAAATGATGTTAACAATAATATAATTATAAACTAGAAAAAAAACTGTTTTTCCAGTGCATCCCTTTTGGGTGCACCTCCCTAAAAATAATTCTGCCGGCGCCCATGTATATACATATATATATATATATATATATACACATAATACATATATATATATATATATGTATAGAATATATACATAATACATATATATATATATATATATATATATATAATAAAAATATATAATTTATATATTATTCTTAAACTATATCAGTCCTGATAATTTGAGATTGAGATTTTAACTGTATTTCTCTAAATTTTTTATATAATAATGAAATAACATATATACTGTGAATAAGTGACAGAATAAGATTCCAGAATAAAGCACCTTTAAAATTCCTTAAAATACTTGCCCTAATTGCCTACTATTAGAAAATACTACTGTGATGTTATACATATTATTTAAAAAAGATTTAAGATTTTTTAAAATGTATAAATAAAAAATGTGGACATGTATACATATATAGATGCATTGATAATTAATGTCCTATTAAGATTACAAATATAATTCTTTCTACACAATAATCCAAGTACTACATTCTAAAATAGTTTCAAAATTTTGATAAATTCATTTAAAACACAAAAATCTTTGTGTTTTTGTGCTAAATATTAATAATTTAGCACGCAGTGTAAAATATACAATTTATATATATGATGCTAGAAAATATATGTAAGAATTAATAAAAATTATTAATAATGTTTCATAAATCTCCAGTTTTGCTATTTCGTATGAAAATAATTAAGCAGTTTTAAAAATACTGTATATATACTCGAGACTTTATCTTAATATCTATATAGTTTTTTCTTTTTCATAAAAGTGATTGTGTATATCAATTGCTTTTTTTCTTTTTTGAGGGGCATATATTGTACAAGTGTGAAAACCCACAAATGTAATATAAAAAGAATAATTTCCAGAAATAAAAAATATTTAGCTCAGTAAAATACCTTGAAATATTTGAGATTAAAATTGGAAAAATTAGAAACTGACTTTGCCGCGTATTTTAAAGAAACCTAAGCCGTTTCTATTGTGCACCAAGGCACCGAGACCGCAATAATTCTCTATAATGATCGGCATATTAACAACATGGCATTCATGCGATGTTAATAAACTTTTGAGCGTGGTATGAAAGGCTTCTATGTCAAATCTCGTTTTTTCAATTTCAGTTCCAGCTAAAAAATATCATGTCATTATTGAACAGTACTAACTATAAAAAATATATATGAAAAAATTGTTCATATAATTATGCTTTTTATGATTTTGATCATTACACAATTTCTTTGTTTCAACATCTACCTTTGTACCAGAATAATGGATGACTGGCATATGTGAGCCATGGTATATCTTTTGCAAACGGATTCCACTTTTTTATGAGAGACAGAGGTTGCCCTCTGTTCCACAAAAGTCTTATTCCTGGCATATGCCGCTTCCTGAAAAATTTAAAATCCTCTTTTCTGCAAATATTTAATATATATGTGAAATAAGCCAATTTCGACGAAATCAATAGTTTGAAACAATTTATGGAAATCATAACATAAATACACACAGAAAGCATACTACAAAATAAGCATTTATTAATACAGATACAAGTGTATAAACAATAGAAAAAAGCAGTAAAAATAAATATATGTACAAAGCAAATTAACAAATTGACATATAGAATCAGTGCTAACAGACAACAGAGCAATACCTAGGTTCAAATTGAGTATGACTAGAGTGATACCTAGGCTCAAATTGCGTAAGATTAGAGCAACCTGTAACAGACGACCATTCTTGACGTACTGCACAATGAATTATAGACGACACACCTTCTGCTAATCCACTTAATCGTCTAGAAGATATTGAGTCAATATGAATAAAGTGCGATAGACAAAAGCAAGAAGAGATTATAATTTTTTAAATATTAAAAAATATATATATATGTATATAAAAAATATATATATATGTATATAAAAAATATATATATATGTATATATATCATACAGATATATATCTATATTGTTTCTTTTTTTATACAGAAATAATTCAAAACTTTAGTACTCACGGTGCAAGAGAAGTAGGTGGGTAAATCAAATCCCCCGCAATTATTGTATCGAACAATGATATGGGTATTCGATTAAAATCGAGTATTTTTAGAGAAATAAAATCGTATTTTACAGAGTAAAGAGCCCTCGGTGATAACAATACAAGTCTCTCCTTTTCCGTGTCCCACAGACTTATTCTACAAATAAATAAATTTTTTGTAAACGATAAAATTGCAACAAAGAAAAGTCAATAACTGATAAGAGCAATATGTACTCTGTAAGAAGCCAACTTCCTACAAGCTCATCATTGTTCTCCTTTATCAGATTTTCAGTGCAGTCATTTATCGCTCTCTCTACAACTTCATTCCTGTCAGTGAAGAATGTATGAACATCTATATGCCTGAACGGCACATTACACACATTTTTCGAAGCGGAACTCCGCTTTGACGTGTCGTCCGCGCTTTCTGCTGCAGGTTTGACAGCTGAAATTAGAGAATGATCAAAATTTGTCTTCGTTTATCCTCTTATAAAATTTGAGACTGAAAAAATATTTTGTCAAAATAATTGTTATTATCCGAAAAAACTGAGAAGAAAACTTACGATCAACATTTGCGATTTCTAGAGTAGCTCTTTCGAAATTTACCGCAGGTTCGTCCAAACACGTCTCTTCCATATCTTCTTTTAGGTTATTTTTGTCAACGAAAGATGTTTGTAATGCACAAGGAACAACGATCGAGGAATCACAGTAACGCAAACGCGCAATAATAATACGAAACACCGAAACTCGAAGTACGTACTGTTTAAAATTTTAATTACGCAAATGCACTCGATCGAATCACTTGAAACTGACGTTTCGTTCGAGCATGCGAGACGCCATATTACCGCATTGCAAAACGTGTTCAAAAATTCAACCTATAGATTAGAACAGTTTTTCATCGTCCAATCAGAACAAAGATTGCTTCGTTCTGATTGGTCAATTAAATATTACTCTAGCTTACGAATAGAATTTTCGAATGCACTCATATAAATTCAATATGGCGCATGTTTTTAAACATATATCGATACTCGAATGTATCGAATGTCACTTTTCGAAATTTCGATCGATCTCTGATTGCGTATTTTGACATTTCAAACACGATCAGCTGTTATTACAAAAACTTTGACAGTTTGAATACTCAGTTAATAATGCTACGATTTTATTATATATGATTGTATTATTTTTTATTTATTATATTTATTTATATTGTAATGTATTTCCTGTGTACTTTTTTTACGCAAGTTTAAGAACGTATTTAAAACTTTATTATCGCGTTTAATTTTTACATGACAATGTGATCAATCGTCATGTCAAAATATAGGAAAGATTTTTTTCATGTTCTTATATAGATGTAACATTTATTAATCTGCTCAACAGGGGTATCAACACAATATATTACAAACACACTTGTTTTGCATGCGTATATGCCAGCTTTACAAAATATGAGTATTTAAATATGAGCTGACTTGATTTTTTTGTACATTTTATACAGTTTTTTCATATGCTACATTCGTACGTATGTAAAGGCCTTAGACGATCTATAATTAACTAAATTTTAAGACAAAAATTTTATTTATAAATTTCATATGTCATGTAATATAGAAAATATTTGAATGCGTAAAATACAATACAAATGAAAATATATATCAAAAGACACATACATTAAAATACATGCGACGTATAAAATTATAAATAGAACTCTTTCTTGAATTTTGTCACAAGTTACAGATCGTCTTGAATAGCCTTGAGATGAAATGTACATTGTTTCTGTATAAAGTAGCACATTAAGTTATTTAGAAAACTGAAAGTGTAAATAGGATTAAACAAAGAGACACATGTGCTACTAAAGAAATGTGCATAAAAAATTAATGTTTTATAACATTTATATTTTGTTGGATGTAAACATATATTAAAAATTTTTGTTTAATTGCTCCTAATGTATCGCATTAAGTCTAAGTCATCTCATTTCGTAGATAAGTAATTCGCTACTTTTTAATACATATGTACATATAAATGCATGTACAGTGTGTTTCAAAATCAACATGTCCTAATTAGAAATCTGAAAGAACACATTTCAAATCTATTTTAAAGTCGAGACTTTGAAAGAGTCATTAAAAAATAATTAAAAATGATAACGAAAAGTTGTTAGTTTTTTATCACAGAGATTATAAAATTTCTCGTACGTTTTCATTAAAAACAATCGACTCCAAAGTATCACATATCCCGTAAAGTAATGACTCTAGGACACCCTGAACATGCATCATGCAAAATCATGTATTTGCGATATTACAGAATATACACGCGCGCGTATGTACATTGTTAGAAAATTTCTCTCAGAGTTCTATCTATTTTATAAGTTTTTTACATCTTATTAATACGTATCAAAAATTCCTGCGTTTATTATCTTGCGTCACAACTGTAAGACGCGAAACCATAATTCAATTACGTTTAAATCACGAGCGACTCATACCCCGTCAGGTATAGTTATTTAATTATTATGGTACTTTGCATCAGTCTTTTTAAACTTAACATTAAGCGTCGTAACTAAGGCAAGGATCCATATCCGATCGTGCGTTCTACGAGAAAAGTCGACTAGCATGTCAAAGAATCATGTATGTCAGAAGAAAGAAATCTAGTCGAGATTCGCTCTAACAAATTACTTATAGTATTGTACGTCGTCCAACATATTATCCGACGATGATAACGTCAGACTGCGTTCCTCGTGCATCCCTTTGGCATAATTGATTTGTTGCGATACCTACGATATCGTGAAAACGAATTCAATTAAATCGGTAAAAAAGCTGTGATGAAAAAGAAATAAATATATTGATATTTTATTTTTATTATATACTTACGCGTTTTGCCACCTCCTCGTTGTCGCAGCGCACTTTCGGTCGCCTCAACAGCTCAGGCACTCCGTCCAAATTGACCGCGGCTGATGAATCGGATCTGGATATCAGCTCTATATAATACAGGATCACACTGTTGCTTTGCGTCTTCTGCATCGGTTGACAACGCAAAAGATCCGCCAGGTTGACCTGGGTTACCACGGCCTTCGTGCCACCCGAGATAACGCGTACTCTCTCGTTCGACACGAGCACTTTAAGATTCTCCGTACCGCTGCACAGACACTCGTAAGCCACGAAAAGTTCCGAGTAGTCGCGATTGTTAATGCTATATAGGAACTCTTGTCCTTCAGCCTGCTGGCGATTATATGGCGGCAGCAATCCGGTAGAACCACTGACGACACGTGGAGGTCGATCGCGTCTCGGTATCGCGCGATGAGCACTGCATGAAAAAATTATGTCAATTACTACACTTCACAGAAAGCTTAATCATTGTAAATATATTATGTATTTTGTATTACCTTCTACTTGTCTCTCGTACAGCACTAGCTGTTTCCGTCGCCAGATCTAAAACCCCGACGACCGGTTTTGTTATCGTCCCAACTACTCCTCTTCCGAAACCCGCAAAGAAACCCTAGAATTTTGCATTGTCTTTAAACTCTATAAATTGTATATTTACAATGGATTTTTATTGCGAACTGAATTTATATAAAAATAAAAGTATTTCTCTTACAATTAGATAAGATTATTATATTTCAATCTATACAATCCAAGTTACATACTGGAAAACCCTCATTAGTTGCTCCATCGTAGGTCTGCTTGAATATACTAGTGACACCACCCAACAGACCAAAGCCGAAACCTTTTAAGCCTGCCACCAAATGATCGCTGCTGCCTGTGGTGTTTGCTCGGATCCTCTGTCTGGCCTCTTCGTGTCTTTCATCCATGATCACTCTTCCCAAACCGTCTGACAGAGATTCCGTCACTTTCGCTGCCGAGTTTGAAATACCGTGCGTGACATTTTTCACTAGACTCTTCACGCTGCCTTCGTATATAAGACCGGAAACACCTTCCGTTACGTCGTTCATGAATCCAAGAGGATTCCCTAAAAAGTCCACGGAACCTAGAATAACTGCAGCTTGCCATTTCAATTCCTGAAAAAAAAAAAAAAAACATCATGGTTTATTTATTAGATAAATGTGAGAGAAAAAAATGATTAATTCGCAGTTTTATCATACATCTTTGTAATGCTTCACGATGGAGTGCATTAAGAATTGACTACTTTCGAAAGGATGCTTCTTCACGAATGGCTCCAATTCGATAGTGGCATTCTCAAAATTGATCAGAGTCAAGCCTAATTTTCTCTTTACGGCTTGCAGATGATGCGGCAACTTTGTCGTAGTAAGTACACTAAGTTTTACCTACAGGAAAGAAAGAAAAAAGTTTATATGTATACATATATTACTATGTTAATTTAAATTATTATTTCTAATATTATATTCTGATACCACAACCTACCTGATTAGGAACGAGCTTCAGGGCGCCAAAGTAATATCTTTTGGCATGCGCGGCAGACACCTCGGAGATAAATCTTTGCGCTTTGAAATCATTCTCGTCCACTGGCATTTCCAGCTCTGACTTGCCAATTCCGAGAAACGCTGCCAGTTTTAGGATAAATTTCTCCTCCAAATGTACGCACAAGGCCTTGACACTCACTATGATGTGTTTATATATCTCGGCGTTTTGATTCTTCGACTGCAGCTTCTCCGCGGCCAGGTGGAGGGCGGGTCGATACTCATCTTCCGAGCGGGATGAACGTGTGACGAACAAAACCGACGTGCATTGAGCTTCGAATAGCTGATTGTCGATTTGCACGTCAGCAACGCTCAGGTCCAACGTGGTATTTAACGGGGTTTGCAACATGTCCAGGGATATTCCAGCTAATCGCGCGAACAAGAGCTCTTCCAGGGGACGTTGCGACACGATGGACAATCCGAGGCCGGCCGATAAGTTCACTTTTAGGTCCAATTCACCGGAATCCATCTTTTTCATATCGGCATCGATCCGGGTAGGCCGGTGATTCACAGCGATGTGCGACCAGTCGCGTTCTTCGAGTAGGGCAAACGTTTTTTTCTAAAAGTTACAAAAAGTTTAATACACATACTTGAATATTTATGCCACATTTTATTGATTTCATCAATAATATAACATTTAGAATATTTCTGAGCAAACATGAGGAAATAGAAACGAATGATATGATGAACTAGACTGATACATACTCTTTCTTTAATGTCCAGAACTTGCAAAACGCGAGTCGGACCGTCAGTGGTGACTCTGACAGATAAGAATCCAGAACCAGGGCGTAATTTTTGTCTACCCACTCGTTGTTCAATCGGAGGTGGATTACCGTGCATTTGCGGACCCAATACCGCTTCGCTCCCTACAAAAACATTGAGACTTTCTTTGAACTGTATGCAAAATAGCTAAATATGATAGAATTGTACGATTTAAAAGGTCTTGCGAATACAGAAGCTATACTATACACCAGAGTACGATAACGCCACAATTGATCTTGTAACAAGTAGATTTTTAGAAAAAAGTTTTATTAAAAAAAAGAAATTTTAATGTTGCGCTTTGAGAAGTGCCCGAGAAAGATGCGATCCAGAAATGGCTTGTAAGCAGAAAAAAAAGAAAAAAAAATGAGCAAAATAAGCAGAGATATTATAGCACGTGATATATACTTATTATAGGTAAGAGCTCTTATAGAAAATCGATTTTAATGTGTACTCTGAAACTATACGTACACATTTGCCAACGGGCGACACTGCCGCCTGCAACATTCATGATCAATTTAGATTTTCTTAGTCGAATATAACGAGAAAGGAATAGTGAAAAAAATAAAGATCTTTTGATCAAAATTACGTAGATAATTGCTAATTAAAATCATAGAATAGATGCAATATTGTAAGACAAGTGTCTACTATAAATTCATTCAATATACAACAGAAAATAAACATTTTGCCAATTCCAACGATACCGTACACTTATCTTACTAGCTTTTACGCTTTGCGTTAACAAACAGAAAGCTTTAGATTTCTATCACACGCGAAAATGAATCATTAGCTTGCAAATAAATTATATATCATTCGATCAATTTGAAGCAACATAAAATAACAGAAAAAGTATTTAATGATGAAGCGCGTGAAACTAACAGAAATGTATAGCAGATAATTCGACAGATTTGAATCAGAAAATACATGCAGATATGGAAGCGGCGTCCCAACCTTCGTATAATCCCATAAAGCCGTCTTTCGACTGAACACACATATTTTTATGCGCGCAGCACAAACGTCCATCATCGGTGAATCGCCAGGTCTGCGTCGATCTTCGCCTAGGATCCGGCTTCTTCAAAGCGAGGGCACAATAATTAAACGGTTGCGGCGCGGTGCCCGCTATGTCCAAAACGTATATCGTGTCCGGAGTTTTAAAATGCTTGTCCCTTGGTGGACTAGAACCTGTCCCATTAAAATTATGCAAACGATGTGAGTATAAGTATCATTATTACAATTTTATATAAACTACATAAAAAATACCATAGAAATTGATTAAGGTTCCTGAATCCTCGCCGCGACAATGTTAGATTGTGACGTCAGAGGTGTGAAAGCATAAAAATTCTTGCGTGTCATTTTTAAATAAAAAGATATTTCGATGACAAATTACTTTAGATGGCTTTATATATTTTCTCACCTCTGATGTCACAATCCCAACATGATCAACGAGGAGCCAGGAACCTTAATGTATTACCTTCGTGCTGCAATTGCCCGTCACCGGTCATTCTCCAAAGTTGTGCCCTATCACCATACTGTTTCCTTCGTAAAGCGACCCACCCACCAGGGCCAGCTTCCAAGACTAATCTCTGAGTTTCCACGTCCAGCGGATCCAGGTCGCTTTCGCCTGATCCAAGATCAGAATCGGTCTTGAAGGTGCCTGTTGGAATAAAATCACACAAAGTCAATTTTTATTACATATACCTACATACACAAAATTAAAATCTATTTTCTCGTTTTATTTCTAGCATATATTACCTGAGAACGCAATGTAAATAAAGTTTTCGTAGGTTAGTCCTCTGCCCTCTCCGAGTATATTTAAGTCGTAAGAGGCTATGACGCCTCCAGGTGCGGTTAACACCAAACCGGCAGTTTGTATTGGTTCATCTAAAGCGTATGGTACCGACGAGTGAGGTCTTACGGTCCATTGCAAATTATCAGGGACTCTAATCTATACATTTACAGAGTTATGATTAATTAATAACATGATCAAAGAAACAAAAATAAAAGAAAAGAAAAAGCAAATGAATATTATGGAATTTAAAAGCAATACTAGAGTAAAGTATTATAGATGTACCTGATTGACGATCAACGGAACCTCCGAGAAATTATCTACTCTTATAGGCGGTGGCATAGTATCAGCATCCGTGAATACAATGAAGTAGGTAGTCTCCTGTAGCACCACGTCTACCCGTAGAAAATGCATTTTCCCCATTATGTCTCTGACATTAATGGTCAATGAATAATTGTCGTCTAATCTGATGCCACCTGACCACATGCAATCCGGTACATTGGTGATTCTCACGCAGAGCAATAAGTCCTTGTCCAGCCGTGGCCAGTGAAAAGGCATGTGACAATCGGGCATGGTCGTTATATATGTTGCCTGAGCATCCGGATGAGACTGAAATGAATATAACGTTGAACAAACAAGTTCTATTTTTCGATATTAGTTAACTGCAAACTTACAACAGTCGTGGTGAAACACTTTTGAGCCAACTCCAACGTATAAGACGATTTATTGTGTAATTGATATCTCGGTGATAACGTGACTACTGTAGTAGCTCTATATCTTCCTCTTGCTGCGCGAGTAGCTACACTGATCAAATAGACTATGTCGGGTCTACCGTCGCGCAGGCTAATTCTCAAACGGTGAACCTATGGAATGTAAAATATAGTTGAGACATGCTTTATGAATTGCGACTTTCATAAATTTGTATGATACCTAAAATACTCCTCGCTCATTAAAATAATAAAGATAAAATAAAATATCTTCACAATTAATTGTTGATCGCCAGTGATTTTAACAAATAATAAGATGCAATTTAATTCGACCAAAAACTGGCTATTCATTTATTAAAAATAAGTACACACTACGTTTCGATCCACATTGTGGTCCTTCTCAAGTGTTGTTCTTATTCAGCAATTACATTAATTAAAAAAAGTAGCTAACAGACTGTCGATATGACAGAACAACTTTCATGTTTCTATTTTTAATTAATGTAATTGCTGAATAAGAACAACACTTGAGAAGGACCACAATGTGGTCGAAACGTAGTGTGTACTTATTTTCAATAAATGAATAGCCAGTTTTTGGTCGAATTAAATTGCATCTTATTATTTGTTAAAATAAAATATCTTATTGAAATATACTCACATGAATGCCAGGTTGTAGATGAAAGTGCTGAGACCATTGTGGTATCCCGTAAGGATGCACCTCGGTGCCGATTCTAACCGACAATGTCCTACTGGCCTCCTCGTCGCTAAACGAGAATAGTAACGGTGCCACCATCCTCGCTCTTTCATGCTCTTCAAATTGTCCCGCTGCTTCTATGCCGACTCCCTCTTGCCTAAATACTAACGGTAAACCAGTTTTGTTTACAATCCAGTAAGGTGCAGTGATATTGATTTGTACAGCTGAACCCTTCTCCACGATCACAGCCGCCTGTAGGCACAGCATCCTGCTGGCAGAATCCAGCAGTTTGAGACGAGCGGTGAAGGAACAGCTGTTCGGTGGTAATATTATCTGAAATGCGCAATGAATTTCAAATTATTGAAAACATAATAATAGAAAAATTTTTTAAAGTTGTTGATATATTAATTCCAAAGTGGTTAAATATGCTATTCATCGTATACATACTATTCCAGACCCCGGATAACCGTCCAATTGAATTGCAATTTCCAGATGCTCGATTAGATTGGCGCAATGCAGATCCGCGCTGCAACCTGGGGCGACTCTGCCGCCTTCTACGCCTGCTTCGTACATCAATTCGTACGGTAATAAGTTCGTTAGCGTTATCGGAGCCATTATCGTGATTGTATGCGCCGGTAATACTTGCACACCGTCGAGCGGATAATTGTTTCGTCTTACTGCTACGCACATTCTGCAAAAAAAAATCGACGTTGAGCTTTCATCGCTTCGACGATCTTCGTCGGAAGCTCATTCCATACCTGAATATGTTATGTTGATTGGTTCGACAAGTGATGTAGCTTTCCGTCACTTCCAACGGCTTCTTAACTATCGTCCAGTCTACGGATTCCACGCAATATTGAAACAAATAGTTCGAGATGTGAGGTTTGAAACACATTTGCACTCCAGTATGCGTCAAAGGGACAGACATCACCGACTGTGCCGGTACTTGGAGAATTCTCCCAGTGTTAGCCGAGGTCAGCGGTAAATCTAGAAGAATATGACAGTCCGATTTTAGATTTAATACTCGTCATCGAGGAAGGAATCGCGATAAATAAAAAAGAACCGACATGCCGACAGCTGATTCAAAGATTGTTCCATCTTGATCTCAATTGGGTGAGTTAGCTTGTTGGATACCTGGAGGGCTGATCTAATAGTGACTAATTTCCTGGCAGATCCTTCCAATTCTACAGCGAATACGACTCTAGCTTTCGGTGTTATTGCCTGAAACTGAACGTTGTTATTATTATTGTAATATTTATTATATTTTAAAATAAACCCTTTTAAGGACAATTAAAAGAACAGAATAAAAAATGTATAAAATATAGAATAGGAAACGAAATATAAAATGGAAAAGTTGCCTACCTGAGATCCGGGGATGTCAGCATTCGCGTGTCTGAAATAAATGCCTACGCGATCGACAGTTACAGGATCCACCGCTTTCCATCCCTCGATCAAAACCGCGATCTGATGTCTTCTGATGATGTGGGTTGAGTGATGTCTCATCTTGCCTCTACCTTCGAATGTGAACGACATTGTACCTCCAGGAGTTACCTCTATCCACGTATCGTCTTTGTTCGAGACGTTCTTCTTCGCTTGAGATGACGTTTTGTTGATATCTATAGTATCGTCCGCGATGGCAATAAATGTTTTAAACCAAAGTCTACAACCGGTATCGTTCTTCAAGGCAAAAGGTACGAAGGGCGATCGACGTCGGTATACTTGTCCCTTCGTCGCCGATTTCCCGATGATCGTACTATCGATGGACAAGTAATCCTGCGTCCAATTGTGTTTAACTAGTTGCACGAGCTCCACCAACGTCAGGGTAACGTTCACGTTCACGGAATCCTCAGAGTTGATGGATACATACATTCTCTTTGACTCGAGAGAGCCAGCGAGCGCCTCTTCCCATTCAATGTTTGCTTGCCAAGGCTCGACAAACGGTTCCCAGCCGCTCAACACTCGATTGTAATAATCTACGCTAAAGATGCCAGACAGCAAACCAGGCTGCTGATTTATTTTCCTCATGCTAAAGTCCGCCAGGGTGATCTCCAGTAGCGGCACGTCCGCGTCACGGCAGTCGTCGATGATGCAGATTCGGATGCAAGATGCTTCCAACTCCACCGCACGAAAGACGGAGTCGTCGGTCGCCGCTGCGATCGCGACCTCTGAACCTGACGGCTCCGCATTCTGCGTAAGCCAGAGAGCAGCGTCGTCCAGCTGGCCATCGCAGCGGTCCAATGCGATCTTGCAGTCGGCTTCCGCAAACCCCAGGTTGGCCAGTTTCAACACCTGAGTATCCGCTAACATCTGGCTACCCTCCGTTACTGTTTCGCTAAATCTCTGTTTTGCCCATAAGGTCTGCTTGGGAAGTGAGCTCAACATTCTAGAAAACATGGTCACGTCGTGGTAACTTAATCTGACGCACAGCGGTTGCAATTGGGCCTCCAGACACTTGTCTTGAGTTAGTTCTAGGCTTGCTCCAACCGGGTCTATGATCGACAAGGCAGTCTCGTTTTCCAGACCTAAAATGCAGGAAAATAATTCGCAATTCGAGAGATTGCAGGACAGTGGCTTCTCGCCCTCCTGCGACATCGAGCGATAGGACAAAACAGCGGTAGTTTTGAGAATCACCGCGTTGGTGTCGAGAATCGCGGTGTCCTCGACGATGACCAATTCGGAATCAATGATGTTGATCTTCAACTCAAACGGTATGGTTGCGGCACTGTCGACTTCCGCTTCTTGATTAACTACTGATATCTGAGCAGTGCAGGATATAGGTTCCGGTTCAGGCGAGTTTAGCAGCAGAAAGTCTCGTACGGCCTGCCACCAGTCTAGAATGGCAGTCAATCGCATGCTGTGCAACAGGATGGTAGTCGCTGAATAAGCCTTGCGCTTCCGATGATGCACTTCGGCTTGAACGAGATCCTTCTTGACGTTGGTGTCGGTCGAGTTCCTCAACGGCTGCAGGATTTGCGTGAATACGTTACACTGCCGATCAACCGGTTCATTCTGGAAACGCGTGTCCACAATCAGAATCTCCTGCGACACAAGATCGATGTCCTGCGAACCGTCGCTCAGCGAGTCCAGGGTCAATCGGGACTTGATGAAGTTGATGCACGCCAACGCTGCGATGTTATGACTGGGATGTAATTTTACGGTCACGTTCACTAGCTCGAGAATTATGCAGGATCGGGTCCAGGTCTTCAAGTGATTATCCGCCGTCGGAATCGCATATTCCACCGTGTGATTCAGGTCTTGCACCAGAAGACGCAAATCGTCCAAGTTCTCGCCGATGTTGTAGGACAAAAGACCACGAATCAGCATATATTGCTCCGGATCCAAGGCACAATCCATCGTCGATAGTATACCGTGCACGCTGAGATCGGGTATGTCGCGGTTAATATAAGTGTCGAGATTCCGCTCGACGCGGAGTTTCAAATGGCACTTCTCCGTGAGCAGCGAGGAGCCCATTTTCTTGATCAGAAAGCCACCTACCGTCAAAGTGTCCGCGTCTTCGTTCAAGTTTGTGTCGTCACACTTGTATCTTCGCGCCGCGTACACGTCCATGTTGACCAGCTCGAGCAGCATCACGTCCAGCAAGCATTCCGGAACGATCGTCGACACGTCAAATCTGTTGTGAGCCGTGAGCTCTCCCAAATCCAGTAGAATCAATTCGTCAGATCTGGAACTCACTGGCAACAGTATCACTGGTGCACCAGCATGCAATTGCAAGGACAGTCGTGTACCACGCTTGTTCATGTCTATGACGGCACCGACGCCAGCCCGTAGGTTCTTCATGATGCTCCACAGCTGCGAAAAATGCCCGAAGAAAGCCTGCAACTCCGCCACGAATCTCTGCGTGTGAACGTAGTGCACGGCGGACATCTCCAGCTTCAGTCGTGCGTCGTGTGGTCGATCCTCGTAGTCGGCGTAGCTGGAGTATTGGAAGTTCAGGGCCTTCCTGCCGGACGATAGGAATCTCTCGCGATAGAATCTACCATGTGGCGTCAAATCCAGCAATGACATCGAACCTAATGATCCCGATATTTTGGTCTTGCCGTCCACCGCTTTGAGAATGTGCAGACTGGCGTTGGACACGTTGGCCTTGGCTATCTCGCGTTCCAATTGCGTCAACACCAGCGTCAACGACCTCACTTCTATCTCGGTTTCCGATATCACCGGCAGATTGTCGTCTACCTTGCTGCCTGTGCTAACGCTATCGCTGTCCGGCGTGGTTTGACGCGTGGGGATTTCGGTACCCGCCGTCCCAGACAGGCCTGCAATCCCAAAGAAGTCAAACACCACCATCCACGACTCCACGCTTATCACTAAGTCCAGACAATTGAAGTCCACGGTTACCATTTTCCGGTAAAACTGATCTTCCCCCGTGACGATCCCTTCATCGGGTCGCGTCATGGTGATGCTCATTAGCACCAGGTTCTCTTCGCTGGTGATGCCGCCCGGCGAGGGTGGCGGGGTGTTCGGCGTTTCGGCCGACGAGATCGTCGGTTTCCTGCGCCAGTGAGGCGGAATGGCGCCGTACAAAGTGTCCGTCTCCAGACGATCCGGTAAACTGCCACGACCGATAGCGAAGTTCTTGTACTGTCGCGTGAAGGCGAGATCCGGACAGGATTTCGAAGCGCCCGTGAGCAATTTTGCACGCGTAGGCGCCGAAGACTGCATCATGTAACGATGCCTCGAGCCGATCGGACAGAGAAGATCTTCCATCAACAGGGAACGCAGCGCGACCTGCACGCTAGACTCGTTCCGATGCAATTTATCGTACTTGACGACAAAGTCACGCATCGACAGCTCTACCAGTGGCTGTTCCGAGTGCGCCTGCTTCAGCTCCACGCTGAGGATGGGCAGCTCAAACGAGACCTTCACGCAGAGATCCAGTTTATCCGAGTAGTCGGATACTCCGTCCGGATCGTCGTATTCCGTCGAAACCGCGGCTGTAGGAGTTACCGCGGGCATGGAGAACAATCGATGAAAAGTGTCGAGTAATTGCTCATATTGGCCACGTGACAAAGATACCTTCAGCGGCGTTATCACGGCACCGTTCACCTGAACAATCGGGCTGTTACTCGTAAATTCGTCAATGTCCAGCAGGAAATTCATACTCTGCGTCAGCGTATTCTGTTTCTCCACCAGAATCTTCAGCGTCGTGTCATGCAATATCGGCCTGCCAGACTCCTTACAGGAGTACATATCCTCGGCCCTCATCGGTAAGTTGTTATGCGACTGTCCGGTGTTGGTGGACACTTCAAGAGAATAAAGATTCATATCGCGCACTTCCAAGGTAATTTTATGCTTCGCCATTGATCCTAAGTTGGGTTCGTGGCGCAGCGACATCGTGCCTAGATGAGCTACAAATACCTGTTTGCTGTGCGAAGAGCGCGGTATCACGAGCACCGGACTTTCCAGAAGCACGTCCAACCTCAGTGATAATGCATTCGTGTTATCCAGATCGATCGAGACGCTGGGTAATCGTTTACGCGGCTGAATAGTCCAATCGTCAGCGTTCACCAAACCGATCGCCATGTCGGTAGCGGCCGCGCCGATCTGACGAGCAAAGTTGCTCAAGTACTGCTTGAATTCGTCGGCGCACGAACGCAACTCCGATATCAGATGCGGCGCATGAGTGTACCAGACGCTGGCCACGCGTATGGTGAAATCAAGGTCGATCTCAATGCAGTCCTCTTCGCTAATAGCCTGCCTGGTATTTCGGTTCACCACAAACCTAAACGCTTCCGGTTGTTCGTTGTCGGACAAACTGCTGAAGTGCTCGAGCGGATGATGCGGCGGATCCGCCAGCGGATCCCTTCCCACGCTGATGATCCGCTGATGGGTCTTTCCAGTTGGCGTTTGATCGAGAACCTGTACACCGCCGAGGGAACCCGAGATGGACGTGTTCGCGGCCAATGTCGCTTGTATCCGCGCGTCCGACATGGTCGCTGTAGCGATCTTCTGCCCGACCAATTGGTTATCATGCACGACCGCGCGCAAAAGAAGCACGTTCAAGCGATGAAAGTCAAAGGTGATCTCCGTTCTGGTCGAGGTCAATCTCGTCTCTGTATTCTGATTCGACAGAGAATCGTTGCGGTTCACGATGTACGCGGATCGCGATTTCTGTAGCGGCAAAATCCTTCGGAAGAAGCCCAGCAGCTCTACTATCGTCTCCTGATTGGCTATGATATCCAGATTGTTGAACTGTATATTCGCCATTCTCAAGTTCTCCGTAGCATCATCCACCAGCGTCAGCTCTACGACGATCAGCGCTTCCGAGTCCAATTTTTCCAAGCAGACCGACGAGTTGTTTCTAGGCGAGTGTGGCGTCTTGTTTTTGTTCATCAAGGTGGACAATGCGTTGGTCAGAGCTACAGGCGAAGTTAGTCGCGGTGGTCTCGTAAAGTCTGGTGACTCGGGCGACTCTGGCGAGACAGGAGACGTTGGCTCCGAGTCTCTCAAACTGCCAGAAACACTGTCCATACCGACGTGCTTGTGGCTGGCCACCAATAATTCGAAGTCAGGCCCGAATTCCTGAAGAGCGTCGACGAGAAGCAGTCCGTGGACGGAGAGAGAGACGCTTAGATCCGCCATCCTCTTGCTGAGAGCTGCTCGAACTCCAGATACTTGCAGCTCCGCTACGCTGCGACCTCTCGACTGCAACTCAAAGGCCATTTGATCAATAATAAATGCACCATTACCGCATGACTCAACGAACGATCTAAATTCTCCTCCTTCCTGGGACTCTCGGGTTCTACGTTAACGACTTCCGTCTGTGGGACTCCGGCCGAGCTGGAGAAGCTCGAAAGTAAATTATACATCAAGCGTATCGCGCCCACTTTCTGCTCGTTCACGTGCACCACCAATCTCGGCAGATTCCCGGATACCGTAACCGACGGGAAATTAGGATCCGAAGTGGTAAAGATTCGCCGTTCGACTTGCAATGATATGTTGAAACGCTCGAGAAAGTGCAGAGTCGACATACTCCTCATGCGAACGTGTTTCCAATTGTCCTTCGCTTTACCTACCAAAATCTGTAAGTCCACCAGATTAATACAATACTGATCGTACAATTTCTTATGTAGCTCCGTCTCTGATAAAGCTTGAAAATCATTTAAAGAACCATTTTCCTGGCTGCCTGGTGGAGTGGAACAAGGCGTCTCGTATCTCTCTTCCTCGTCGTCATCGTCATCGCTGTTAATGGATTCCGTTTTCAGCATTACTTCATTCAGGTCGGCATAGTTCGATAAATGTAACTTGCCGAAATCAACCACTATCACGGCTGCATTAGAATCGACAAAGTTCTCCACCAACAAGATCTGTGGCGCAGAGATTTTAAATTGCAGATCCCACGACGAACGATACACAAAATCGCCATCCAAGATCTGCTCCCAGTTTTTGATCAGCTGTCTCCTCGTACGACGCTTCATCGCCTGCAACTGTTGATTAGATGACGTCGACCGATGCGGCTTATATATAAAGTCTATCAACCAGTATATCACAGTAGGATTGTACACGACGTCCAAAGATTGCGAGTACATGTGCAACAAATGATCCACATTGACGTGCAACGGCCTCTTCTCGTAGACCAATTCAAAAAGATGGTGCGGCGTTTGTTTCGTAACTTTCTCCGAGGATAAATTACGGACGCGCGAAGAAGTGCTAGACACGATTTGCGGCTGCACCAAGATGGGAAACGTCGAATTCTCTGTGAGGAAGTCGTGTAAATATAACGCGCCTAAGCTGATCGAGAACTTGTGCGATCCGGATCTGGGTCGTGACTCGTAACTCAGATTCACCCTCTCGAACTTCAGTTCTATCACAGTCTTCGTACCGTCACAGCCATTTCTCGCGGTACACAGCGATACAGCACCCTGCACCAGAGCGAAATTAAACTGTCCGAATACCGTATCACGACGTAACAGAGTATCGTCATTCATAGTGTCCGCCAAGACGTCCAGCAATTCTCCATCAAAGGTGGTCGAACTACCTCCGTTTTGCGTTCCATTGTTACTATGAGGTGTCTTCGAGTACCAGCCCCACCACTGCGGAAACCACTGCTCGAGCATGCCACGTCCCTCTGGCACCTTCGTGTTAGATTCCTGTTGCGACTTTGCGGGTTTCACCTTGTGCATGGCCAGTTCTCTCAACACCCGGAGCTCATCGAAAGTCCGCTCGTTTTCGACCTTTTCTTTCAGAGTTTTAGTTTCCGGTGGTAAGACTGAAGTCGGTGTGCCCAATAATTTAGTGTACGCTTGAACGTAACTAACGTTCTCTTTGGCTTTGAGGAGAAGGTTTTCCCAAGTTGGCTTAGGTTTAAGCGTATCTCTGCCCAGGTGACACCTAGCAGCGTATATCCACCATTCTTTACAACTCGTTTTAACGAACGTTACCGGCCTACAACGCAACTGCTGCTTACGACGATCTATGCGGTCGAGTTCCTTGATACATTTGACCATTTCTTCGTATTGAATGTCTGTCAAAGACAATGGTACTTCATCCAAAAGTAAATCCACTACAATACGTGGCTTGTTAATAGACCTCAATGGACGTACAGTTCTATCTCTCTTAATATGTGCTCTTGCGTTTACAGGTGATAAAATGTGTCCCTTCGTCACAGTTTTGGTTTCATTCATGGCAATAGCTAAATCGCCTAGATTCAAACCACCAAAGAGTTGATCTTTTTTGACGTGATTCCAATAAACGGAAAGACTATCGAGTTCCATTAGTTTAAAAGATGCATCTGTAAGATTCCAAGACGTAGAACCAGGTATCCAGCTAGCGTCACAACTTTGAGCCGTTAATCCTCCAATTGTAATACCAAATGCGATACCATTATCACTTGAGAATGTAACACCATCTTCATACCTAATGTGAACATCTTTAATATTCAACTGTAAATTCTCAATGATATTTGTTACTAAAGATGTGCCATAATGTAGCCAAGAACTGTAACTTGAAGCATAATAACCAGGGTCGTGTTCTATGTCAGCTCTCCATCTGGCTTCTAATGCATCTAATCGACTGAGTTTATATTCTAATATTGCTTGTTCCTCTTGTTCGTTGTCGTACTCATCCAAATTAATTGGTCCTGCCACTAGATAAAGCTGCTCTATACCTATTACCCATGATGCGGTCCTTATTTGTCTAACTGGCACTTGTAATCTAACTTTACCGATAAATCCAGCCTTAATTTCCATCGGTAATCCAATGTGGCGCAGAGCTTCGCGTTTCAAGGGTAAATTTTCTAATTCAACTTCCCCTAGATGGAAATAAATCAATTAAACAGGTCAATTAACATAATATACATAAAAATACAAATAAAATAAAATAATTAGAAAATTGCACAATCCTTTGTAAATGTTACATATATATGAGAAGTATAAAAATTTTGTATATTTATTTAATATATTAAATAAACGCTCTATACGTATACAATAAATGGAAAACATTATATAATTGAGAAAGATCAGAGAATATAGATTCTTGAAATATTATGCGCGTTAAAACGAGTAGCGTAACATAACCTCACCTGATAACAAAGCAATGCTCAGCTGATCTGTGTTTAAATTTTCCACATATTTGCCAAGATAATTGTTCAGCACCCAAGCAACGAGTCCCTCCAACATTTTGATCGAACGAGATCTTTTCTACTATCGAATCGAGAATATTTGCAAGAATATGCATAAGTAAGGTTTGTGTAGGTTATGCTTCTTATATTTCATTCGAATTCTCGAAATCTGCGAAATAACAGCCTGTAAAGACGAAACATTTCGATAGACGATATCTAACCTTCGTACGATCGACACCTTTCATACCTCGACTATCGTTGCATTCCTCATTAAAAATTCGTAATTTGTCATCGACTGTGAATATCATTTTAAATAACGGTTTCTCGTTCTCTCTCCTCCTCATTGACAGCGTCAACACGAATAGATGAATTTTCTTTATAGCGCATGCGCGACGTAGTGGTGGCAAATATAAACCAAATTTAAATTGCATTAAATTATATTTTTAATTATATATTTTGCACAAAAATTATATTAAATTAGAATTATTTCATTGAAATATATAATTTAATTTGTATATATATAATGTATACTTTATTTTCTTTTTACTTGACTTGTTAATTAATTTCTTAAAAATTTTTTAAAGGAGCTTTATCTATTAATATTAGTGAAATATAAATTAATAACATATTACACATATTAAATTTTATTTAATAATTTCAAATATGTATTAAAAATGTTTGTGTTTAAAACTATTTATAAAAAAATAATTTTGTATTCGAATTTGCTTTTAATTGGAAAGTTTAAAATAACAAATAATGATATATAAAATGATTAATAATTGAATTGTTTTTTATTTTGTGTGTAATATATAATAATTGAACACACTAATATATATATATAACAAAATATACTAATAATCTGTAGTAAAAATGTAACAAGATAAAAAAACTTTCATATATAAAACCTTCATATATATATATATATATTATATAACATTTTCAACGAGAATTGATATTAAAGCATCCATTACCCTATTTAAAGTTTGATAAATATATATCGAGGTATGAATTGTTATAATACATAACAAATTATTTCAATGTCTATATACACACATGTGCGTGTACGATATATATATATATATATATATATATATATATATATATATATATATATGTATATATATACCTGCAATTTTATAAACAAAATGAATTTGCATTATGCATTCTTTTTTTGCATTTCAAATAAATTTTTTGCCCTAAAATCTTTTAACTAAAAAGAATGAGAATAAAAGATACCTCGTATATACAAATATCACGGAATTTGTACTATATATCTTGTACATATTATATCTTTGATCGGATTTCTTTCCACCACGATGGACGTTCCAAGTTTGCTTTATCTTTAAATATCCACTCTTTTATGTGTTTGTATACCTATACAAAAATTTTTAATTTTTTTATATGGAAAGAAAATTAATTATTGTATGCAAAATATTCAATGTAGTAGCAATATTATACCTCGCCATCAGACATTCCTAGAGGAGAATTAAGAATAAAATCTGGCGGTGCCAAAACGTCAACCAGCGGAACCGCATTGTCTAATAAATCTCTGCATAATATTATAATTCCTTCTCGCAGAAAATTGTCCAAGTTACTTCCAGGAGAAGCATAACCACCACCATACAAATCTCCCAATCTCTTTTCCAAAGTTGTAGCTCCGAACAAAGAACATAATTTTGTCAGTACTTCTCGTTCATTCGCTTTCCATTTCGGATCTTGTAAACATTTGATAAAATATAATAGTAAAGCATGCTGTAAATAAAGAAAAAAATTGCATTAATTTTTGTTCTAATAAATGTAAAAAGTAAATTCGTTTATATGAAAATGTATGTGCACTGTGTTTAGTAATTGAGTCTATGATTTAGCAATTTGATGCAAGCTGTTTAAGATATAACTTGTCATTTCCTCCTCTCCAATAAAAAAAAAAAAAAAAAAAAAAAAAATATATATATATATATATATATATGCGCACACACACAGATATTTTACTTACCTCTCCATATACGAGGGACAAAGTCCGTGCTAAATATGTTTGAGAATTGTTTTTTGCATCAAAATCAGACATCCCACTTGATTTAAGATTATTTACACGTTGATATGTTTTTTTCACGTAATAACATGTCAACCACTTAAAAGCGAAGAGTAAATCTAAAACAGAGAAATGTATTAATTGCAACAAACATAAGTAATTAAGACTAAAATCTTTAACATTATATATTTTAATATAGTACAAAATTAATTTTTTTATCATACTTTCAAGTTTTAATGTATCCTCAACTGTAACTTGATCAAATTTGGTATTCAATATTTGTTCCGCATCAACAAGAAAATCTATAGAACCAAGCGGAGCCGGCACGAATTGTCCATTGATCACGTTAGTCCATTGGCTTAACAACCAATTACTTGCTTGTTGAATAAGTATATTGTTTTCACCCTCATATGTACAATTTGCATCATTGTCAGCTCTTATGTCACCCAAACGCGACACTAATAATATGACGAAATGATTAGTATTAAATATACATATACATATATATGTATATTCATTAAAATAACCCAAATTTGTATAAAATCTTTACTTTTCAAATATCCATGACCACCACAAGACTCTCTGCAGTCCTGAATTGCATCACGAGCGATCCATGAACACAACGGTTTTGTTGCAGAAGACAATGCGTGTATCTCTATTCCTAGATCAGCAATCAGGTTTTCGTCGTCTCCCGTTAAACGGCTCAAAGCGAAGTCTACCATTTTTGATAAAACATGGTCGAAAATATCTTTATTGCGTATGTTTCAGCTAAATGAGGAAAAATTCGCCATTGCTAAAACGTATATGTTTCACATGAATTATAATTGCAATTTTTATATCTTTTATGATTCAAATTTAAAATGAAAATCTGATATATATATATACTTGTGCTTGATATTCTATAACTGGTAACTCATCATCTTCAGCTGTAGGACCGAATTGTCTCCTAACTGCACAATAACGTATGGCTATCGTTAACGCAATAGTCATATACTGTGCACAGATTGCAGTAATACTGACACGACCTGATGATAATGCGCCTAATGATGAGCCTACAAGTAAAATGTGTCAATTGATTATGGGAGAAGAAAACAATACAATAATATTATTGCACTTATTGTTTTTGACATATTTATCATAATATCTACCATATCTTTTTCGTTCATCCTGTACAGCAAGCACATATTGTCCATCCTCGTTAACATCTGCTGTACGATTCAACAAACAAGTATGTGCTATAGCATACTTGTTGAACATTATGAATCCATTGTCTATTCCATTAAGTCCAATCTTCTCACCCATATCACCAATGGTAACACCAGGAAAAGGTAGATGGGTTTTTAGATCGCGAATTGGTACAATGAAAACATGGAGACCATGATTCACTCCATCTGGTGTAACTAACTGTGCAAATATAACAGCGTGTGTAGCACTTTTTCCTGAAAATATATAAAGAATAATACATCAAGTATCGTTCTCGATTATTTATTTATTATTTAACTTGTCTGCTAAAACTTGTCTCACCTAAACCACCTGCCCAACATTTTGCGGCTTCAAAATCGGGTGTATGAAGAATGAAACTTCTTGTTGCTATATCATATGTTGCTGTGGTCCGCATGCCTTTTGCATTAGATCCATGGGAAAATTCAGTTAGAGCAAAAACGCCAAGACACTAAGTAATTAATTATTATTATAATTATTAATTATTATAGTTATTTCAATGAATATTAAACAATTTATAATAATGATTGCTGTTTTGTTTATACATACATTTCCATTGCTCAATTCTGTTGCAAGATGATAATGTCGTGCAGTACCTAGCGCTAATATAGTAGTTGGTACCATAGAGTACATGATACTTAATTTTACTGGTATAGATCCATTATATTGAAAGGTATAAAAAAAATGTTCTCGAGTATGCATTGGCTAAAAAAATTGTATAAAAATTATACATAGAATTTGGACAGAAAAACAAAAGTTTAATAAAATATTTTTAAATATTTTAAATAATTTAAACTCTTTCTTCATATTTTTATATTAATATAAAAAATTTATGATGAAGATAACAATATACGTTACCTGCTTTAATGTTATTGTAATTATATAATTATATTATACAAAGTGTTAAAAATAGTCATTTATTTTGTGAACAGATAGTATTGATCAAAAAAGAAAAAAAAGTCTAATTAATATGGATCCTACAATTAATATCTACAAAGTGTAAACTATCTTATTATTTGAGTTCTTGGTCTTTTTCTTATTGATTGTGTCATCTCTACAATGCAGTAAATAAAAGAATATATTTATTAGTTATGCTATAGTAACATTGACTTATAATAACAATGTTAAAATATACAGTTTAACCAGGAAACATATGCAAGCTTATTATTCCACACAGGAAATAACAGATATGATTTTTCGTCACTCTTTTTTGTACACCTTTGAATTGCAGATAAAACCAATTATAAAAGGATAAAAAAAAATCCAATTAAAAGATAGTCTGTATCTTTGAAGATTATTGAGTTATGTTAATTAATTAGACATTTTATTTTGTTTCGATATATATAACACTATCTGCTCTCAAAATATATGTGACTTTCTAAACATATAATTAGAGTTAAAATTATATATAATTATTAATAATTACAGTTATGTCATTCTGATGAAATATTTGCATTTGAGCATTGCAGTGTCTTCGAACTTCATCCAAGCTCATTGAACCTATCGATCTTTGAAATGCTGGATTCTTTCTGACAATATCCCATAATTTTTCCTACACATTTAATCTCATATAAGATATCGTTATATGTAATATAAATTACATAGTTGTGTTGATGTAACACACATATGTTAAAATGTATCAGCAAGTTTCAATACCTGAAAATGTATGCCATCCACACCTTCTAAATTTAGTTTGAATGATTTCCAGTCAAATGTTGCCCGCTTCCTATAAACATCTAAGGGTCCCTTAGGCAAGTCCTTTATCAAATTACTGGCGATAGACATCATGCGATTTCCTCTTGTGAATCTACAATTGCAATATGGTATAGATAAATAATGATTAAAAGAAAAGTTTACCATCATTATTACTAATAAACAGATTATACTATATAATTTTCTATCAGCACGTTTTCTTCACAATTTTATGCTCTCTTTTTTAATCAGTTGCAAATAGTACTAAGAAAATATATATTCATATCAATACTTGAGATGACATTACAAATTTTGAATATTGATAATATTGATAACACTGAAATTATACATACATGTTCATTCATATACAATTTACTGCTAGATTATCTCCTTTTTTCCTTTATTGGATTGTCGTTTCTTCAGAACGTTCGCGTTATTAGTTATTAAAACGTAATGCAATCTTATATAATGCATTTAAAATATGTATATATATTTAAAATATATATTGAACTTTGAACTGTATGTAAATTCATACAAATGTTCATTTTGCATATAATACTAATACAAAGCTAAGCACAAACGAACAGGTCACGTTCTGATTCCACTCATATGTGTGCACTTATCGCGTAATTGTGTTAGGTTATGAATAATTAAAGTAAAAAATGTAAATTGAGACATATCAACAGTCGATAAGAGTCAATTACAAAATATTATCGACTCCTCTTTTTTGCGCAATCTTGGAAAACTTTTAAAACGTTCTTTCGCGCATGAAATTATCGCAGCAATCATTATTTAAATTTATAATTATTGTATAATTATAAATATTACAATTATTACATTATTGTTATCTTGAAATAGTTCTATCTAATTGAATAATAATAAATAATAATATATAATTATATATATAATATTAATATTTTTTATATAATATTGAAATTATTCTGTGGCATATATATATATATATATATATATATATATATATATATATATATATAAAGCTATACTATTTTAATAAATTTACAAAAATATAATATATATTTCAATCTTGCAATTTTTCGGCGTATAATACAGGATGACAAAACGATATTATAACACCATGATGTTATAAGAATACATTATGATTAACACTTGAATTTTCCTAATTATTGTCTCATATTCATTATCATGAAGGGAGGCAATTTTAAGCGAGAGACTACGAATGGCGCCCGTGGTCAGCATGGGCCGTATTTTTTTTCCTAATCCTCCTGGTGCCCGAGTTGGATCCCTTTGCATTAATAACGAGATCAGAAAGAAGATATTAGAGGTAAATCGATGTCAATTTTAAGACAAGAGCTCAAATTTACAATCAATAATACTAATGATTTGGCGTTTTCTTCTCTTTCATATAATCGTTATTGACAAAATCATTAATTAAATATTTACGCGATAATTACATTTCCAAAATTAGCCCATTATAAGTTGTACATTACATGTCATTACAATAGCTTATATAAGCTTGAAATAAATGATATATGTTGTGATGTAGATTTACAATATATATATTCGTAATAAAATATATTTGTAATATTTAAGAAATAGAAATTGCATGTGTGTATAAAGATCGATTCCCTATATGCATAAAAATTCCAGTTACCATCCCGATTACGTGGCGGACAGAATGGAGGAAATTGCAAATTCTTCTGTACAAAGCAGGATCGAAGAGAATAATCAAGCAGATAAGGCAATCTTAAACCTGACATCGCATAATAATGAGGTTTCCGCTATGCAGGAGGAGGCATTGTTCACCTGTTCTCTATACATTTCGCGCGCTGGCGACCTTCAAGACCAAGGTCATACGATGCAAGGTGCAATATGCAATATCTAATGCGCTCTAAAGATAGAAACTTACAATCTCGTTTACGTAATTTCTACCTGATTTCTAATTAATTCGTTATTGATCAGGTTGCGAGTTGCTACGATCTCATCTCGAAGAAGCTATTGTTGCTTCTGAACCGCTATCGACGTGGCGAGTTTCCGAAACTCCATGCGGTCTAATTGCCGCCTTTGCCAGAGAAAACGACGCCGAGAAACTACTGCAACGCGGCGATCTGGCTCGAGTGTTTGGACGACCTGTACAAGTACAAGATTTTTTTTATAATACTTTCAATTCCATCAGATTTCACAAGACACACATGATCGTTTAAAAAGTTGTGTGCATAGTCCGTTTCAGACAAAACTTATTATATAATTTTCAACAAGACTGTACAATTTTAAATTGCGTGAGAATTTAGATATTTTATTTCGCATAAAATTTTGTCTAGAATACTCTACTGAGAAAGGAATTATTTCATAATGAATGTTTTGGTAATTCTGAGAATACATTGCTATAATTATTCAGCGAATTCAAACATTTAAGTTTGAAAGCAATTTTTAATTTATATTGGATTTATGTCTCAGGTAGCGCGATTCTCAGCAAGAGATTCTCGATATCGTCAAGCCGTACTTCTGAGAGATGTTCCGTGGGCTATACCTCTTCAGGATATAAATTCGGCTCTGGCAAAGCAAGGAATTGTCGCTGGAAATGTCGAACGTTCGCGACATTTGGTTCGAGTAGAAGTAAAAACTAGTTATCTACCTTTCCATTCTTAACACTCTACTAATTCGTATAATTAAGTCGTTGTAATAATTTTAAATAATAATCAGTTATTTATAATCGAAAATTAACGCATCAAATTAAATACGTATACGCCCAAAGCTCAAATATATAGACTTTGCTTCTATTATTAAAATGCATAGAAATGTCAGATATTATGTCATTGTAAAAATACTGGTTCTTGCATCCGGCTTATGTGAAATAGCTAAGATACGCTCAACAGGTTTCGAAAGTTGACTTTCCAATTGTACACTATTTGCAATAAAAAAACTAAGATGAAAGTATAGTCGTTAAGGTAGCGGATGGAAACTAACATAAGTCTATCGCAGAATTATCGATAAAAACATAATACCTAAATCTAACAAATAAAATAATGAATTTAAAAAATAAAAAATATTTATATTGCTCATTTGTCGCATAGGTTTTCGACGCGGGTCACTACGAAGCCTTATTACGTCAAGGTCTGAACTTCTTCGAAGTGGCACGTTTCAATGCCATCCCGGAACGCTGGTGGCGCAGCAACACCCCATGTTCCTCCGCTGTATCGTCGCGATACGCCTTAACAGACTACGGGAACAATTCTCAGGAGACGTCGAATGCACCGCAAATGGCGGATGGCGTGTTGCAGTGTTATCGGTGCCAGGGTTTTTGGCACGTGGCCGCCAATTGTCGGCACTTGCCGCGATGCGTCCGCTGCGGCGAGCCGCACAGCGTTGAGTTTTGTCCCAGACCACGGAATAATCCTATATGTTGCCACTGTTCCGGGCCTCATCATGCCGGTAGACAGCTTTTCCTTTCCTTTCCTTGTCAAAATGCTGCAGCGGCTCTTACCTACATCACACACATTTTGCAAACACCAATTAAGAAAGAACTCAGATAGCAAACATTATGTCATTTTGATGTCGAATAACATCAATTTGCTACTTAGAAAAGCAATTACTCGTTAGATAGTTTGCTATTTTATTTATCTATATATTCTATAAATATATAGATTATATAAAATATATTAATTATCTATATTTTATTTATTCGTGTATTTAATTGTATACCGCTAGAAATATATATTTCTTAGTCTACGAAATATACCTATTTCTTGCGTATACTTGAAATAATCGATAGCGAGTGAATAAATGATATACATTTAGTAATTCACGAGTAATTGCTTCATTCAATTTTAGTTATACGTTTGCGTAAAGTACTTGGTCGTCGAAATTGAAACTTGCTTAATCTGCTACAAGATAATTTGCAAGAAGAAACCATTTGTTTTTGCAAATTACTGTATACGTCGTAATAATATCCATTTTTTTGTTCATTAATCATATATTAAAATCGATATTGATTTTTTGGTCGGGAAAACAAAAAAGGACTTATTGTTTAAAACACATAAAGTATGAATATTAAGATTCATCCTGGGAATAAAGAAAAAAAATTTTCTTGCGAAACAAATCGATTCTTCTTGCTTTACGTACAAGTCACAAATGTCTAGTCATTTCTATTATCTATTAAGAGAAACTCTGGGTACACGCATATTGAAAATACTACTTGCGTTCGCTATCGTGTGTTGCTCTGCTGCTATAATGTTGCTTTATATTCAGACGCAGCGTGACTATAATGCTCTTTCATTTTTTATTACAGGATATAGACAGTGTCCAGTTAGATTGCAACTGGCCAACGCAACTCCCGTGAGCATCACGTTGAATGCAACTCCCACAGGGGGTCAATATTCAACGGGCGCCGCGAACAAATCGAACCCTTCGTGCCACTCCCTGAGACAGAGCCATTACTAGATATCCTAGTTCGACGCTCGCAAAATTATTTATTACAAAATTATCGGTCTCACTGTTTTCGAGCCAGCGTGTATTTCAACAACTTGGAAATGTCAATGAAAACGCATGTAGTATCTATTGACGTTGCGGACATAATGTTATCGCGTGTCATGAGCAAAATTTCGCACTTTCGAAAGAACGTGACACACTTGCGTTGTCATAAAAAAAATGTCATGCTAGCTATTGCAAACAATTACGCAAAAATTCACAAACATAACATGTATAGTAATTTACATTTTATATTATAAAGAAGACAAAAGTCTCTTTTCAGAGGGTGACTTTTAAGACTATCATCATCTTCTTCTCAAGACATGTCTTAAATGTACAAAAAATGTTTTTTCTATAGAATGTTTTTTTATAATATATATAAAATATATGTACAATTTTTATAATATCAATTGCATAAGAATCTCTCCCTTGGCGCGAGTTTTGCTCGCGAATAAAAATGATTCCTCTCCAGCGAGTGCGAGAGGAGAAGACACCTGATGAGACATCAAGCTTTCTCGCCCCCTTCTTTTTTTACAGAGAATTCTATAAATTCGCGACTACAAACGACAGAATCTCGTATTCCGTCCCACTTTCTTCGTCCTAGTCCCCCACGAATGTAGGTCTCCCCACCGGCATCTGTCTGTCTCCGCTACCATCGTGTAATACTTGGCGATCGAAGGAGAGGGAAACTATGTGCGGGTGTCCATCCTATACATTTAACCATTCGATCGACTGCTAGTCCGGTTTGTCCGTAGACGATCGACGTCGGATATGAGTGCATTATATAATTATATGCCAGGATACATTATATGTGTGTCCGATTAATTTACTGTGATTGCTTTCCGAATGATCGGTCAATTGAAAGGAGTTTTTTTTATATTGAGATACTCTGTGTAATATATATTAAAAGACTTTTTGTTTAAAAACAATTAGTATGTGCCAAATAAAATTTCAGAACCCGACGAGTAAGTTTCATTCCATTCAAAGTATTGTTCAACGAGTGAAAAAATATCCTGAGTGTTTTACTTTTAATTTTAGAATCTTCTTCGAAAAAATGATTTGTAAATAACTGCAAAATGCGTTGTTCCTGCCTTGTATTTGCGCGAAAAGTTCAAACGAAGAATATCGAATTTTGTACGGGGATTATTCCCTCGTTTCGCGAAGAGAACTCTGAACTGCATAATATGAAGAAGTATAAAACCACGTAACGCAATAATTCACGAAAAATCAGGACCGATACTTTGAAGAAAATGCATTCGATGTACTTGATGCTCTTTCTTATCGCGTCGATATGCAGCATGTCCGCGCAACCAACGTTCTTCAGGAACACATTCAAGGGATTGAATAGCGTCTCTTCGAGCGCTTCCACTCTCGCGAGTGACGAGATACGAGTCGTTTATTATCACGAGCAGACGGTGGCGGTGATCAATCTCGGGCCAAACAATGAATTACGCGACTGCAACATTATCGAAGTATAGTAAGTGGTCGTCCTAAAGTAAAGGCCGCTTGATAACCAGATCGTATCAAAACCGGTTCTTAATTACTTATACGTCCAGTCATTTCTTCTTTCTCTGTACAATTCTTGACTCGCATCGTTGTCTCTCTTTCAGCGAACCGTCCGAGGCTACTGAAGTCTTACGAAACTTATCCATGTCCTTACAACCACAAGTGGTGTCCTTTCAGGAGATGACGAGACTCATGCAACAGTGTGAGTTGTTGGAGAAACTCCAAGTAAAAGCCACGACCGCTTTGCCCACAAACGCACTGAGCAGAGCCGCCAGTTCGATCACTCTGCTCTCTGGTATTCTACCAGGTTAATCCTTTATATCATTTTTTACGAATGCACACTACTCTACACAGAAGTTGTTGCCAAAGATTAAATATTTGTATATTTTATAGGCACAAAATGGTGTGGTACAGGTGACATAGCTGAAAATTATCACGATCTGGGCGATCTACCTCACATCGACAGGTAAATCGTCGTCTTTCGGAAATATTAATTTTAAAGTCAATTTAATAAAAATTTTATACTTTTCAGATGCTGTCGTACCCACGATCTTTGCCCTATAAAAGTCCGAGCTCAACAGACCCGATACAATCTTACAAATTATTCTCTGTATACTAAGTAAGACTTTATCGATAATTCGTAAAAAAATACAATTGATTTATTTTTACGAGTATTTTAATACAATCCTTTGAACGCGAATGTCTTATATTATTTCCTTAATGATGCTTAATGATATTCAAATTTATTTATTACCTGATAACAGTCTCAAAGTTGTCCCTTTCTCGAAGCAATCATTTACAAGTTTTTCACTGCTTCACAGGTCACATTGTACTTGCGACAAGGCGCTTTATCAGTGCTTAAAAGCTGCCAATCACCCAACGGCTAATCTGATGGGACAGATATACTTCAATATCGTCAAAGTCCCATGTATAGAAGACACAAGGAAAAACCGATATTCTTCCTCGGAATCGTCAAGAAAGTTTGTACCTGTGAAAAGTGAATATTAAAACTCGACAATGTGTATAATTACTAATACATGTAAACCAAATGCATGATTTATTCAAAAGTCTAATATAAATATGCTCCGTTAAAGCTAAGTAAAATTAATCCAGAATTATATATGTAAACTGTAAATATATTTTTTTATTTTTGAATTGCATACTTTAGAAATTATTTTTTTTTAATATTGTATAATATACCTTTCTAGAAAAAGATTGATGTATTTTATAACACTCACTTATGCACAATTACTAATTGCGAGAAAAGCCTGGTTTAGTGCTGGTAGAAAGGGTACAAGGTCTCTTACATTTTTACCAACGCTAGATGATCTGTGATTGTATAAATTTCCTGCAATTTATTACAATAGAAATTATATTTTATCCCTGCTCTCTCTCTCTCTCTCTCTCTATATATATATATATTTTTTTTTAAGCATAGTTACCTATTAACCATAAGGTTTCCCTTCTAATATGCATATATTGATGTGATAACAATTTGTTTAACAAAAGACATAAATCCTCATGTGAGTATTTTGAGTTTCTCAAAAGAATATCTGCTTTATTTTCACAAGAATTATGTAACGTGTTAGCTAGTATACGTATAGATGCTGTAATCTGAAAAAGAAGAGTTAAAATTTGAATCTTAATTAATCATTTTATGATTTTACTATATATAAAAAAAGAGAGAGACAGTCAACCTCATTGACATGAGCTAATTTATCTGGACCAGAACTCAATAGGTAAAGATGGTCAACAATTTGCGGCAAAATGGAATGTAAATATGTCTTGCATATTGTTGAAGAGGATAATAATGCTAACAACCAAATGAAATTTGATTTCTCATACAAAATATTTCGCTTTACAATAACTTGAACAAGTTCTTCCATATCACTTTTCCTGTACATATAAGAACCATATTAAATTTCCTTGTGTCAAACTATTTGTGTATTTTAATGCATAAAAGTGAATGATACTTACGAGATCTCATAAAATCCCACATGTACATAATGTAAAAGTGCATATATCACAGAAGGAAGTATCGAGTCGTCACAATTGGATAACAATAAAGTTAAATATTTCAAACAGTGCTGTGCATGTAGAATAGAAAAGGCCACATTACTTCCTGCAACTAAATTACCAATTGTCCAAATGCAAACCTCCTGAAAAATATAAATTTATGTTTAAGGCTTCTCGCAGGTATAAGTGATAGAATTAAGTATTAGTAAATCAACTTATCGTTTAATCTCTCTTCTTCGCAATGTTACTTACTAGCAATATATGATTTAAACTTTCTAACTCGATAAGTAAATACGGAATAACTGCTTTCCCCAATGTTGTACATGCTTTTGCATTTCCAAGAGCAATATTACAGCAGCAATTGGCTGCATACAATTGAAAAGTTGGATTGTTGCCAGAGAGATCACGTATCAGGCCCGACAGACTTTGATCTATGCTTAAAAAAGCATAAATATTCTCCTCCGACTATGAATACAAAAAATTAAATATTATTAGATTTTATTATTTGTCTTTACATAATCTATTATAGTTGTATAAAATATACCCAAAATGTTAAATCAGTTTTGAGAAATAAATCCTGTTTACCTGAATGAGAGCATTAGGCAGATATCTATAATCCTCAAGAGATATCTTTTTTCTCTTGAGAAGCTTCGCTTTTTCATTAACATATTCGGTCGAAAACACTTGATTCCCTGATTCTCCCAAGTTTTTGCGATTCTTACTCCACTGGGACGTACGATTCTGCTTTCTCTTTGTGAACGTAGCTTCTCTTAATTCCTCCCGTACAATTTCAACCGTGCTATCATTCGATTGCAATTTTCCAGCCTCCTCTACTTCTTCATCGACAGTCTGCATCTCAAATCGATTAATTATTCGCCTTACCGAACAAAAAGTTAAATAAAATTAATGATTCACAAATAACCATTCTCTGTTTATACCCTCGCATTATGTAAATTGAAACTACGCTCTAGAACTTCTCTCTCCAAAGTTGCGTTCGAAAATCGAACGTCGAGAAAAATTTCTTCGCCCCGTAATTGGTCGATTAAATACGATTCTACAGCAGATTTTTGAACGAACTCAAGAAAATGTATAAAGAAATGTGCTGTCGACTAGGGAAACTTGGAGATCTAAGAATTTCCTAGTCGACAGCCAATCGTGGGATTGGGTAATTAAACTGCACTTTATTATCCATCTACACTTAAAAATAAAACGTGCAGAAAACGTTGCTGTAGAATGTAGAAAACAACGCTGTCGAAGTGTTTGTGAGTGTTTGATGTTATAAACGCAAAAATATGATTTTATCAACGTTAATATCGATAACGCACGATTGAGTTTTTCATCTTTTCATCGATTTTCAGAATCACAAACTGACGAAGATTGTGAAATCACAAGTACTATCACATTTCCCCAAAGTCTCGCGCTAGAAAGCGGAATCATGGAAGAGGTTACAAAATTGGAACATCTGTCTCTGGTATCGAAAATATGCACGGAGTTGGAAAATCATTTAGGTTTGAACGATAAGGATTTGGCCGAATTTATCATACATTTAGCTGAAAAGAACAGCACGTTTGCGGGCTTCAAGAAGGTTCTGATCGAGAATGGGGCAGAGTTCTCAGACTCCTTTATAGCTAATCTTCTTAGGATAATACAGCATATGAAACCTGCCAAAACGCCCACCGACAAGTCGTCGAAGATTGCGAATAAGCAGGATAATCTGGCTATAAAATTCCCTGCGCTGGCAATGCCAAATGAAGATCCGCAGGGTTCAGACACCAACAATGCCAAGGATGAGGATATCGTGAACGACGTTATGGCCTCTTTGGAGGCATTTGCACCATCTAACAAGAAGCACTCTACGGATCCTCAGAAACACAATGGTAAGATCGAGGAGAAGAAGGGAAGCAAGCGAAGCAAGAGAAGCAGAAGCAGATCGAGAGACAGGAGGAGACATAGATCCAGATCGTCAAACCGGAAAGAAAGAAGACACAGATCACGTTCCAGATCTCGGACTCGCAACAGATCCCGAGACAGAACTCGCAGAAGACATTCCCCATCTCGAGAACACAAAAGATCATTATCTCGTGATCGCAGAGATGCTAGATATTCAAGGAAACGAGACGTAGACAGATCTAGGTCAAGATCCGTCGAAGAGATGCTCTCTGTGGAACCGGAGGTGGGCAAGATTTACGCAGGCAAGGTCGCTAACATTGTGCCGTTTGGCTGTTTCGTTCAGCTGGAGGGTCTGAGACGCAGATGGGAGGGCCTGGTTCATATTTCTCAACTGCGGAGAGAGGGTCGAGTGGCGAACGCGAGCGACGTCGTCTCCAGAGGTCAGAAAGTCCTCGTAAAGGTCCTCAGCGTCGGTGGACAGAAGGTGTCTCTGAGTATGAAGGATGTCGATCAAGAAACTGGTAGAGATCTGAATCCTGTGGTGGCCATCGCAAAGGCAGAGGAGGATGAAAAGCATCTGCGTAACCCAGACAGACCTACTTCCTTATTAGAATTACAGGGCAATTACGACGAGGACGAGACGTACTCGAGGAAGCGCGTGCAACGCTTGTCGTCGCCGGAAAAGTGGGAGATCAAGCAGATGATGGCGGCGTCTTGCATTGACAGGAGTGAATTACCAGAGTTTGACACGGAGACTGGGATCCTGCCGCGAGAGGACGACGAGGAGGAAGACGTGGAGATCGAGCTCGTCGAGGAGGAGCCGCCGTTTCTTCACGGTCACGGTAGAGCACTGGGCGATCTTAGTCCTGTGCGAATAGTGAAGAATCCAGACGGTTCCTTGGCGCAAGCGGCGATGATGCAGAGCGCTCTGGCGAAGGAGCGGAGGGAGCAGAAGATGCTGCAACGCGAACAAGAGATGGATTCTGTCCCCACCGGTCTGAACAAGAACTGGATAGACCCGTTGCCGGAAGCGGAAAGTCGTACTTTAGCGGCGAACATGCGCGGCATCGGGCTGCAAACGCAAGACCTACCCGAGTGGAAGAAGCACGTGATAGGCGGGAAGAAGTCCTCGTTTGGTAAGAAGACCAACTTGACGCTGCTGGAGCAACGTCAGAGCTTGCCGATCTACAAGCTGCGCGATGATTTGGTGAAAGCCGTGACCGACAATCAGATCCTCATCGTCATCGGAGAGACCGGCTCGGGAAAGACGACGCAGATCACGCAATATCTGGCTGAAGCTGGTTTCACGTCTCGCGGCAAGATCGGCTGCACCCAGCCACGTCGCGTGGCAACCATGAGCGTGGCCAAGAGAGTGGCCGAGGAGTTTGGCTGCTGTCTGGGCCAGGAGGTGGGCTACACTATCCGTTTCGAGGATTGCACCGGACCGGAGACCAGCATCAAGTACATGACTGACGGTATGCTGCTGCGGGAGTGCCTGATGGATCTCGACCTGAAAACATACTCGGTCATCATGTTGGACGAGGCACACGAGCGCACCATTCACACAGACGTGTTGTTCGGCTTGCTGAAGCAGGCGGTAGGTCGTAGACCGGATCTCAAACTGATCGTCACCAGCGCCACCCTGGACGCGGTCAAGTTCTCGCAGTATTTCTTTGAGGCACCGATTTTCACCATTCCTGGCCGCACGTTCGAAGTCGAGGTGATGTACACGAAGGAGCCGGAGACGGATTATCTGGACGCAGCGCTGATCACAGTTATGCAGATCCACTTGCGGGAACCACCAGGTGATATCCTGCTCTTCCTCACCGGTCAGGAGGAGATCGACACGGCCTGCGAGATTCTTTACGAGCGCATGAAGTCCCTGGGTCCGGATGTGCCCGAGCTAATCATTCTTCCAGTATACTCGGCTCTACCTTCGGAGATGCAAACCAGGATATTCGAGCCGGCACCCCGGGCTCGCGTAAGGTCGTCATCGCCACGAACATCGCCGAAACCAGTCTGACGATCGACGGCATCTATTACGTCGTCGATCCCGGCTTCGTCAAGCAAAAGGTTTACAATTCCAAGACCGGCATGGACAGTCTCATAGTGACTCCGATTAGCCAAGCGGCAGCGAAGCAACGTAGCGGACGAGCCGGCAGAACCGGACCCGGGAAGTGTTACAGACTCTATACCGAGCGAGCTTACAGAGACGAGATGCTGCCTACCCCAGTCCCGGAGATTCAGCGGACGAATTTAGCCACAACCGTGCTGCAACTGAAAACTATGGGTATCAACGATCTGCTGCATTTCGATTTTATGGACGCGCCACCCGTCGAGTCGCTGATCATGGCGTTAGAGTCGTTACACAGTTTAAGTGCCCTCGACAACGAGGGTCTACTGACGCGGCTGGGTCGGCGGATGGCGGAATTTCCCCTCGAGCCGAATCTATCCAAGATGTTGATCATGAGTGTGCACCTTCAGTGCTCCGACGAGATCCTGACCATCGTTAGCATGCTATCTGTTCAGAACGTCTTTTACCGACCAAAGGACAAGCAGGCCCTGGCCGATCAGAAGAAGGCCAAGTTTAATCAACCCGAGGGCGACCACTTGACTCTCTTGGCGGTCTACAATTCCTGGAAAAATAATAAACTGAGTAATGCTTGGTGCTACGAGAACTTTGTGCAGATCAGGACGTTGAAGCGTGCCCAGGATGTGCGCAAGCAACTACTGGGGATAATGGACAGGCACAAACTGGATGTGGTATCGGCTGGCAAAAATACCGTGCGCATACAGAAGGCGGTGTGCTCGGGATTCTTCAGGAACGCCGCGAAGAAGGATCCGCAGGAGGGATACAGAACCTTGGTCGACAGCCAAGTGGTTTACATCCATCCGAGTAGCGCGTTGTTCAATCGTCAACCCGAATGGGTCATCTATCACGAATTGGTGCAGACTACGAAGGAATATATGAGAGAGGTGACAACCATCGATCCCAAGTGGCTGGTGGAGTTTGCGCCCGCGTTCTTTAAGTTCAGCGACCCGACCAAGCTCAGCAAGTTTAAGAAGAATCAAAGACTGGAGCCGCTCTACAACAAATACGAAGAACCGAATGCCTGGAGAATATCCCGGGTTCGCAGAAGACGCAATTAAAAGAGTCTCTCGTCTTCGTTCTATGTAAATATCGTTCCACATTATAGCTATTTCATCTGCTTGCTTTTTTTTTTTTTATTATTATTATTATTATAGGGATAGAGAAAGATGTGATTCTAGCTCAAAGTAATGTTTTTTTTTACCGCAGTAACTTGTATTTACAATGACAAGACTTCATGAAGCAGAAAACATTTTTATTTTGCATGTATAACATAATACTCGCTTGTTCTCATGTAAAAAAATACTTTGCTCTATTATTAGGAAAAGCAAAGACTAAAGATAATATCGCAAAGATATTATACGACTTGATTTTATTATAAATTTTGTAAAGTCACGAAAAAAAAAAACAGAAGAACCTCTATAATGTAATCATTGAATTATATGTACAAGAATGCAATTATAAAGATTACGATTTACGAATCTTTACAATGTACATATTTGTAAACGTTGTAAATATTACCATGTTCCCATTAAAATTTCATTATTTATCAAAAAGATCTGTTTCTTAAAGTATGATACAAATTCTTTATTAATCAGTCTTTTTAAAGAAGAGGGCAATATTTTAAGATTGCACACACATTTTCAGTCTTTCTTCCCTCTTGTTTAATATTATTAAATTTATTATAAATAAATACATTCTCGATAACATTTAATAAGATGTGACAATAGGAGAAACATGTCCCTATTTAATTTATTCTCTTCCCTTACCTTTAGTTTCTTTATGTTTGTATTACGATGAAACCGAGTTTTGTGTTATGGACGCATATATATATGTTATATGTTACACTTATAACACGGTTGAAACATCATAAGAGAATCTGTAGAAAATTTACAGTTTTTTAAATGAGATATATTAATATATTCGGGCGATATCACTTTTTCTTGTTTTTCCGCACTTGTGCTATAGTTCAGTAAAATACTATTTCTTGGCTCAATAATATACAAAGTCTTCGGAAAAACAGAATCTTGTTTAAATTGAACTATTGAGGTTGTTGCTTCTTTTTCACTAATTCTACCAATTGTCTATAGCGCGCTTGGCATTCTTCCTATAAACAAATGATAATCTCTATATATAATTCACTACACAAGGAAGAATGTATCAAATAAAAATCTCTTACTTTTGTTTTTCCTTCGACACAATTTGCAATTTTTTCCCATCTATCTATGGATGCACTCTTCGGATATTTCGTAAGAGCTGCCTCTAATGCTCTCTGCTGTTCCTGGCTCCACTCGGCGGTGCTAACTGTATTTTCACTGCGGGTCTTAATTTTCTTTGGTCTCTCCTCCGCAACAACTTCCTCTTCAACTGGTTCAACAGGCTTCAATCCTTCATCTTTTACCTAACGTGACCAAGTGTACAACTTTTTCAACTTCTAAGTCATATTAAGAATCTTATTAAAAAATAAAATTGATATAAACAAGATAATAACTTTTTTAGCCATGTGTGTTACTTCTGCGACAGTGCGATTCATAACGCTCGCGATTTTCTCCCATCGTTCCGGAGTTCCACCAGGATACTTTTTTACATACTTTATCAGTTCCAATATGTCATTGTCCGTCCACAAACCACCGGATACCGTTGGCTTTTCGCAGACGTGATTCGTGTGATTAAATTCCTCTTTCTTCGTGGCCTCTTTGAAATTGCTGCTACTTCTCTCTTGCGGAGTAAAGCCAGGCCTACGTTTTCGAACACCGCGCGACGTTACTTCTGGTTCTGGTTGCTCGTTCTCTTGTGCTCTAGAAAGATGTTTCGATGTTTTACAAATGATATATAAATTGGATGAGAGAAAGCAATACAAAAATACAAAAAGTTATGTACTCTCTTAATGCTTCCTCTTCCTCTTGCTTCTTCCTCTCCTTTCTTTCTTTCAAGAGTTGAATAATGAGAAAAATGGTAGAGGGTATAGCTATTACTGAACCTATTATCCACCTTGGTAATTGAAATGGAAGAGTATTCCATATGGTTGGAGTGGGAATTTTCTCCAAGATGTCTGACAAATCTGGTACATCCATTTTGCTCTTTCTGTTTTTCTTTTGCATCTTTTGAAGTTTGCTACCAAAAATTTGCTCCTGCAATCAATATGACAGTCGTCAATTCTTTCACTCTTTTTCTTCTGAAAAGAAATGTATCTTCAGAAAGACGATGTACTTACATAAGTGTATCGTTTTTCAAAATATGCTGCCCATGCTACAAGATATTGTCCTATTGTGATAACCGTGAACAAAATAACACTCATTTCCAGTAGTCCCATCTTTCGAACGTGGCGATAATAATACACTGCCGATCGCCAATTTGGCAAACCATTAACGAGTACATTATCATACTTCTGGCGCTTTCCAGAATCTTTCAGAACATCGTAAACTGCGACTAACTAAAAGTGAAATGCAAAAGCTGTCAACATATATATTTTTCATAATTTCCATGTCTCTTATTTTTGCTTCTATCAAATATATACCTTTCTAAATTGTTGATCTGCATCCTCTGCAGAATTTTTATCCGGGTGCAATTGTAATGACAAACGCCTAAAAGCTTTCTTGATCTCCGACGCGTTCGCGGACTGCGAGAAAAGACATTATTCATTAATATTAAAGAAATCAATAAATTAATACATCAATAAAAACTAAATTATTAATTATTAATCTAAATTATAAATTTATTAATAAATTAATAAATTCATCTTGTATATTTGAAAAAATATTGAGAACGTGGCGTTTGAATATATTTGTAGAAAAAATCACCTGCGTAACGCCCAGGACATCGTAAAAATTTTGATTGACCTCCTCGACGACGTCGAACACTTCCAACTCATCGTTGTCCCACGCATGAGAGGATCTAAACAAGGTGTTTAGAAAATATAAAATTCCAAAAATGATCAATGGTACATTCATCTTTATCCACCGCATATAGACATAATTATTATTAATAGTACACGCGCGCGGTTCCTTTGATCGCGAAAAATCTCAATTTTACTAGGACATAATATTTCGCTCTCCGGCGTCTCAGGTTAGAAATTTTTTTTCACGCAAATGTGCCACATTGCAATTATCTCTTCTTCGAGATCACGATACGTCAGAATTGTACGATAGGTCGACACGCATACGAAAGCGACAGATGTGCGGTCAAAAATCGACCAATCGACGTCAAGTCAGCGCGCTCTGTCGCGCGTCCTGATTGGCTGGGACGTTGCAAGCGGACCAATCAGTCAGTTTGATGAAATTCGACGAATGTAGCGATAGCACCCGAAGGAACACTGTGTTGGAAACTGTCCTGGCGTAATGGTGTCGTGAATCTGTTTCGTCAATTTGTATTTTTACTGGATTCTGATTTTCGACAGTTTATTCATTATACGGCATCAAGATGATGATGGACTATTTTGTGACCAACAATTCCTTAGCACCCGCCCCGATGGGAATTCAAAGCACGGCGGGTGCTGTGCCTGTGAAAAATGATAAAGGTTAGGGTTTGCAACTCGCTAAAGTGAAGCGCAAATGCTTCGCGAAACGAAACTTATTTATTCAAATTAATAATTTGATATAAATTGCGCGATTGTATTATGGATACCTTCTATCGTGACAATAATGACAGATGTCTACAATCGATTTATGGAAATATAAAAACTTGCTTGAGAATAATTATTCATAAGAATGATAGGCATTTTCATCTCGTTTAAGAATATTTATCTCATTTTTATTCACATATGCAGGATTGGATAATAATTATAGTTAAAAGTAAAAAAAGAAATTAATAACTTTTAACTTAGCTAATTTAAAATGTATTAATTTTTAACTCCAACTAGTTATTTTTGACCTTAAACTTAACTTTTTTCACAAGTTAGTTTTTTTTATCTCTGAATACCATTATTGTTGTTTTATAAGTTATAAACGTATTATTTTTAAATTAAAGGATTATATTAATTTTTATGTTTATTTGTCATCAATTGTAATTACCAAAAAATATATTTCTATATAAAAATCCAAATTTATTTGTTTTTTGTTATATATATTATAAATTTTAAAAGAATTGAAAAGAACTCTACAACCAATATATATAGTATGTTTATAAAAGAATTAACAAACAAAATTCTAATTTAATGTTTTTAAAAATTAACTTTTGATTTAACTTTAGTTAATTTAATCTTAACTTTAACTTAGTTAATTTTTTGTTTATGCAACTTGTAACTTAACTGAATTAATTTTATAAACAACTATATATAACTTTAACTTAGTTTAAAAAATCATTAACTTACCCAACCCTGACAAATATATGTATATGTAATCTACGTTTTTAAGCGTTGTTTCTACTCAAAGAATTGTATTCTGTTTACAGGTGAATTGTCTATGAAAAAGGTCAAGGTACATCGTTATGTTTCTGGTAAACGACCTGATTACGCAGCGGCAAGTTCGGATGAGGAGTCTGAAGATGAGGATTTCCTTGAGAAACGTGTACAGAAGGGTTACGACGATAATGAAGGCATCACGGATATTACCATGCATTCACATTCAAGAATCAGGGATGAAGATGATCCACGTTTGCGGAGATTAACGCGACAACAAAAGGAAACACCAGCAGAAGTGCGCACAGAGAGACACAGGCACATTCATGAGCCCGAGTTTATTGAAATTGAATTAGATAGAGCGCGAGAGAGAATCAAATTGGAGAGCTCCGACTCGTCCGAGGATGAAGAATTGTCAGACTCTGAGATAGAGAAGCGACGAGAGGCCCTGAAGCAACGAGTACTATCTAAAAAGGAAACAGAGGAAGAACTGATACATGGCGAAGAGGAAGACAGATCAGGAGAAAGTTCGGAGGAGAGCTCGGAATACGAGGAATACACAGATTCCGAAGAAGAGACTGGACCGCGCTTAAAACCTGTGTTTGTTCGCAAAAAGGACAGAATTACAGTAATGGAGAAGGAGAAGGAGGCGATGCGACAGAAGCAAGCGGAGATCGAGATAAAGAAACTCGCTGAAGAACGGAAGAGACACACTTTAAGGATGGTGGAAGAGGCTGTGCGAAAGGAAACACAGATAGGTAATAAGGGTAATCCTGAACAAGAGAGTAAGCTGAACGACGTTTGCACGGACGACGAGAACGACGAGGTGGAGTACGAAGCTTGGAAGCTGCGCGAGCTGAAGAGGATCAAGCGAGATCGCGAGGAGAGGGAACAGCTGGAAAAGGAACGTCTCGAGATCGAGCGTATTCGTAACATGACCGAGGAAGAACGGAGGCAGGAGGCACGATTGAATCCAAAATTGATTACCAACAAAGCAGCGAAAGGAAAGTACAAGTTCTTGCAAAAATACTATCATCGTGGCGCGTTTTACTTGGATAAAGACGATACCATATTCAAACGCGACTTCTCTGGCGCGACCTTGGAGGATCATTTCGACAAGACTATTCTACCGAAAGTCATGCAGGTAAAGAATTTCGGACGCAGCGGTAGAACCAAATATACTCATTTGGTAGATCAAGACACTACGCAGTTCGATTCACCTTGGATATCGGAGACTGCGCAAAATCTAAAGTTCCATAATAATCAAGCAGCCGGGATGAAACAAGTTTTTGACAGACCTTCCTTAAAAAAGAGAAAAACTGAAAATTGAATTGCATGGGTTTTTTTGTATTTTATTTTATTTTCAGCAATTACATGTAGAAACATTTGTAGATAAAAATATGGCAATATTATAACAAAATATAAAATTTAAGGAAAAAACGGCGTTATTGTAATAATATATATGTTTCTATAACTATATCAGAGATTTTAAGGATGTATTCTTGGAGTCAAAATGAGAAGTTTCTATAAACATCGAGTCCAAAAATGCTTTTCCTTCGAATTATAACCCCCTTAAAGATGGATGAAAAAATTGAAAAATGTAGTTTTCAGATATTTTTCATAGATTGAGAAAAAGACTTTCAACGACTTGTGAAAGTCTCTAAGAATTACAATACAATTTTCGATTTTTCCCCTCAACTTTAGGCGGAACTTTTTCTCTTTGATACCTAGAATACGCTCTTACAATCTGACAGTTTTAAAAATACTGTGTATATAACTAATTTATATATCATTTTATAGAGTATTTTATATAATCATTTTATATATATTTTTACAAATATATATAATACTCTAACTTCTCATTTAACATACAAATTTTCTATTTAAACGTAATCCTCTTATTTATGTATATGATTTTTCCATCACATTAATCAGAAAGCACAATCATCTTATTTCAGAAATTACTACTCTAAAGCACATGCTAAATTGAAAAATGCATACAAAATAAATTCCGATTCGTAATATTACAAGAAATCGTATTGATTTCTTGAAAACACACACATATCAGTAAATATATGGAATATATTCTTTCAATATATATTTCTTATGTCTGTAATATGACAAGTTGCTAAATTGACGCAAAGTTTATTGTTTCTTTGTTACCAAATTGATAATAAAATATATAATTTTTGAAATCAAATTTCATTAATCTAGGCAATGTAAAGGTATATAATGGAGTCAGAATGTACAGCTAATTGATAAATTAATAGAGAAACAATACATTTGCATCACTTTAATATATAAATTATAAGCTATAATGGAAGCTTACAAGATTGGTCAAAATAATTTATATATAATTATTGTAAGACTTGTCGAGCATAAATAAAGCATAATGTGTTGTGCTCGATGAATATCTGTAAATTGTCATACACATGCGGACAAAGTACATAAAATATATGCATACTTTTTGTACAAACATTATATAAAACAATTGGATTAAAAAAATTTATATCTCAAGTTGTAGTCTTTTTAATGCTTGTTTGGCGGCTGCACATTTAGCCTGCTTTTTATTAACTCCAAAACCATGATAGAGTTTTTCTTTACCTTTAATAGTTATTTTCAAGGGCACCATGATCGTCTCTGTACCTTCGATCAATTCCGCATCCCTGCAATGTATTATATTTTATGTGCATGTGTGTATGTGTATTTATATGTATAAACATATGAATATGTACCGCAAGAAGGATTTTTAAGCATATAAAGAAGCAAAAACATGCAAATGAAGAGAAACTTACAAAAACTTAGGACGTGCATCTGTATTTTCATGTATTAGTCGCACTGGTTGTTTCGGAATGTTTTTGCTAAATTTAGCTGTAAAACATAATTATATATCTTGTTTTCAACATAGATATAAAATCAACATAGATATATATTTGAATGAATATATCGAAATCAAAATAAATCTCTTTAATCTCGATTAAATCTCTCTTACTCTTATTTAAATATTTTTATCATATATTGTTATTGATAATAAATTGTCATAATATTATTTATACATAAAACTTACCAATTTCCTTATGTATGAAACAATACACAATTTCCCAGACTTTTGTAAGGTTCTTGCCACTATCAAGATAGATGGCTCCGATCAAAGACTCGAATAAATCTCCAAGAACTTTAGGAACATCAACATATACTGCCAGATTACATTCCTCTTCTTCAAGTAATACCCATAACATCTGTATTGAAAAAGTATATAAATTACGTTATTCATTATAAAATTCATATTACTTGCATACCTCATCGTTGACTACGTAATTCCGTTCTTGTTGAAACTTCACAAAGCGGTCGATCGCTTCATGTAATTTTGGAGCATAGGATAATAAAGCAGTGTCTAGACCATATCGTACTGCTAAGCAAGCGAATGTTATATTATTGACAAGAGCAGATCTCAAATCAGTTAGATCACCAGGACTCAAGTCCCCACAAGATTCATAAATGTAACACGTAATCAAAAAATCTAGAATCATTAAGGAATTTATGTATTTTTGTAATTGCAGCTTCAAAAAAATTAAGAAAAATGTGCGCGAATGTTTTGTATTCATATTGTATTGAGTTTAATTTCGCCAAACAAATTGGTTAAACAAATTTTGTATTTACCTAGAATAGCGTCTCCTAGAAATTCTAATCTCTGATAACACTCAGTTATTCCATTCGCTGTGTAAGATGGATGAGTAAACGCCTGAAACAGATATCATTTCATATTACATATTGTAAATATAAATAAAGTAATAAATTAAATTTAATATACCAAAAAAGGGGAATTTGGATTGATTTAATAAATATATATATAATTTAACTTTTAGCAGATTAAGATTACCTGCAACAAAAATGCTCGGTTGTTGAATTTGTAACCAATTCTAGTTTCCATTGCATCGGCCCATGGCATGTACTTGTCGGGATTTTCGGAGTTTATTATAGGATTCAGTGGCTTATTGTATAGTAATTCGTCAATCTGTACCTCTGGCAATATGCCAAACCATTTGAGTAGCTTTGCAGCACCTCTTATACCGTTGCTCTAACATCAAAGAAAGTACTTATTTAATGCTTCATATATTTTTGATTATTAGGCCTATTACGTTAATTTATAGTTTATTCTTACTCGAATGTTAAACTTAAGTGTTAAAAGATGTATTATTTTCAGCTAAAGTAGGTGCATTAGTTCAGAGTTAATCTCTTCTTTCATGGGCATTCGCAGAACTTTTTCGGGAGGGAGAAGGGGCAATTAAAATTTTTATTTCTAATTTTTTTAAATTCAATTTTTGTTATTTTAATTTTTTATATTAAATATGCAAATAAATTCCCATGTTTATTCAAAAGAAGAGTAAATGGTTAATTTTTTTACTGATTCCAAAAGGGGGCGAATACTCCCTCCCACCCACGTTTCCTTCCAATGTAGAATAAAAAAATAAACTCTGAACTAGTGCAGCCAGTTCAACTGATAAGAATAGACTTAAAGACTACAATAATGTTGCATAATCGTAAATTTACCTTGAGATAAACACCAATAAGCGCTTCTACCGAATCCGCTACGGTCTTGTCAGATAAAATTTGGCGACCTAGAAAATGTTCGTAGCCAGTTTGTGTGTCTTCCTTGTCCCAGTTAATCACCATTTTTTCCATTGTATCTCTCGTACTTTTGCTTATATATCCGGTGAATTTTTCCTCTTTCGGTATTCGTAGCTCGTACAATATATTTGGCGCCACCGACTCGTCCAGCAATATATTTTGCAATTGACGGAGTACCGTGAACGAGGGTGCGATGAAATTGCTCATAGGTATAAACGCGTCGTTCTTTAAACGTCCAGGAATACCCTTCTTTTTGCCGCAATAATACAGATTTCGATTGCCGATTATCTTCCCCTTAACAGCCGTTAAATGACCTTCGTTAAACAGCGGGAATTTGTGATATAAAAATATCGATGTAATAAACTTCAAGTAAGAATCTCCTAGAGTCTCCAATCGCTCCAAGTCAAACATATCTGCACCTAATTTAGTAGTCAGTGCCTAAAATCAAATAAAATCTTACAATATTTGATGAGTAAATTACTTATATTTAATTATTATTTATCTCGACATTACGTAACGAGAAATAAATAATTTTGCTCACATGCATGATTTCTATCATGTTAGGCCCATCCGAGAGAAAGAGTTTCTCAGATGATACAAGAACATCCAATGATGGTACTGATACTGTCGGCCTCACAATGTGGCGACTGATTGGGGTCTTGTTCGTAATGTTCTGTTTCATATAAATGTTATTATTTTAAAGATATATGTATATATATATATATATATATATATATATATATATATATATATATTTTATCACACAATTTATGCGTGTGTACTGCTATATTTTACTTACCTGAATGTTATCATTCCAATCTGTAGTTACAAACTGATTATAGTATTGAATATCAATCATTTGGACTTGTTCCATATTACGATATAAATCTTGGGGTTCTTTGTCATTCATGGGATTATAATCTGTAATTTCAGTACTATAAATGTTTATGAAAATAAGCTCTATAAAAATGTAAATGTTGTAACAAATAAGAATCATACTCTCATAAGTTCTTTTTAATACTCTCATAAGTTCTATGTAATAAATATCCTGTTAATATATATCCTATAATAGATAATAAATTATCGTCTTCATACCGTTTAAACTATTCAGATCTGTGTGCACTTTTACGACTTCGTCTATTAGGTCTAATGCATTATATTCCTCCTCTATCAATTTCACGTTATCTTTTTTCGTTGTTAAAGGAGACAATTTTTCAATGTTAAAGATCCCAATTCAGTCTCTTTTACAATCATTACTCTCAAGTCTTCCGCGATTAAAAGTTGAGAAACTCTATGAAGAATAGAAGGCAACGTGGTCGCTTTTAACCAGTATAGAGCCGGAAAGTTGATCCTCCAACATAGTTCTGGAATCAAGTGTTCCTGAAGATCCTCCACTGTATCATCCACTTTTTATATTTCGCTGGCCCGTCGTGCAATTTTCTGCGAGTTACATTTAATCGGTTAAGTTATGCAAACGGCGCAAACGCATTATTTTAATAATTGTACCTCGGTTTTATATAGTTAATTTTTATCGGTATCGGTTTCACTTCCAACATCGATTGTTGCAGATTTTCTATAACCAAACCATGTTTCTCTTTGTAATAATGCGTGAACGTCTCGAAATCTTCATTAGGGAAGCACGATTCCGGCGTAAGATCGTCACACACTCGTGTAACTATGTAGACATTTGCTGATCCTCTATAAGTTGGAGTGACTAATGCCAATTCGTAGTCGCTTGTTCTGAAGTCAAAAGGCTTACATGGCATAATTCGTTCTATATTTTGATATGTTCTCACAACGTCCCAATTTATCTCTTGATCGTCGTTCACTAAAACATTGAAATAGAAATGTAATAGTTCTCTTATCAGCATTGATGTATACATATGGATTGAGTTTACATCAAATTTATAAATTTTAAGTAAATTTACAAAGTCTCATGTTACAAAATAAATCGACGTGCAATATATTTATATTATAATTTAGTTTACTTACATGGAACAATTAGGAAAGAGTTTTCAAGATTTTCGGTATCAAAAACCATAAAGCTTTTAATAACAGGTATAATTTCATTGAATAATAGAAAATGAAATCCTCTGAGAGATTCAATATCTGCTTTGTTTAGTATTATTATTTCGTAATTTGATTCGATGTCAACGTTTAATTCGCCGTCTTTCATAAAAATCGGAAAGGAGGGCATCTGAAAAAAAAAGTGAAAAGATCTAGATTGATGTGTATACATTTCTAAATTATTAATTTCAGATACTCGTAAATGCTTCTACCTTTGGCAGACTCTTTGTAGAAAGAATACCAAAGCCACTCTTGTCACTTAGTAATTTGTAAAAAGTTATACGTCTATTGTCGTAGCTCGTCATAGGATATGTAGGAGTACAATTAAGAATATGAAGATACAAGATTTCTTTAGATTTTGGGAATGCGCCATACAATGCTGTTGGATACTGTTCAAAAATATTTTTGTAAATTAATTGGTATATATATATATGTACGTGCAAAATACTTTTTGTGTATTATAATTAATAATGTATATATTAATTATTAATATATTAATTGTTACCGAAATTAAACTCATGTAATCTCATTTTTTCGCATATAATATATACTTGCCTCCAGTCTATGTCCTCGCTTTCTTTTATATGCGCCAGGCAAATAATCGTCTTCGTCTATCCAGTTTGGGAATAAGTAATTTAGGTTTTGCGTGAGCATATTTCCGGTTACGGGTAATAATTTGTCCGTCAGTGCTTCTAGCTGGTGCAAATTTATGCAAGCTTTCATTGCGGCGGATCGTTTAGCGCTTTCTATACTCCTCATATACTCGCCATAAACTTCGGTTTTCAGTACTGATATACTTGGTAGTTTAAGGGAAATCTACAAATTATACAATAAATATAAATATATTTATAACATATTGCGAGAATATAAGTAAGGAATATATAAAAAGCAGATAATGGAAAATACCTTAAACAGTGTCCCATCACGACATATAAATTTATTTAATTTCCAAATGGGTACTAGACAAACGAATTTAGATTTCAGTAAAGAACTGCAATACATATTAATCAAGTTAATCGCAGCTGTCTCTGTTAAAATACTTATCACAGTATCATCTCGTTTCACTACATATGGTTCGATCTCGCTTGTATATAGATGTTTTGATATATCAACATCAGTAGGTATCGTGCGTAGTTCACTTTGTCCCACCAAACTCTAATAACAATAAAAATGTACATTAATGTTATTAATTCATTCTTGTTTCACACTGATTTGTTGTATTTATTGTTTTAAGATGCTTAACTTTTTATTTAATCAAATTAAATTACATTATCACGAATACAACAATACTTCTATTTAATTATTGATATTAAATATTATATAAATTGTATGCTTTGCTCACTCTCCATCTCTGATAACTAAATATCAGTTGTATATTAATTTTATAAATGAAAAATCTTATAATAATAAATGCATAGATAAATAGAAATGCATTTTTTCCAAGTTATAAATATTTTTGAATAATTTTCTTAAAAATGCCTAGAATTCTCTCTTAAATAATTTCTTTTATATTTAAAAAAATTAAAATAAGTAACATACTTGTTTTAATTTAATACATGCATGCTTCTGACATATATCCTAGATTCCAAACGTTTTTGTTATGTGTAATATACAAAGCTAATGCTACATAAAATTAAACAAATTTATATGATTTATATGATTTATAAGCAGGCATTTTTGTAATTTCTGAACTGATAATTTTACAACCTTCTTTATTTTTTATATAAAAACCAATGATTGTTGGAATGCTTACCATTTTCAATATATTTTCTGTATTTCTGTAATTCTCATATTTTTGAAGAAAGCCGACATCGTCGTTTGGCATTAAAACTATATATCGACTTGAACTATGACGTGCTCGACCCTTACTTTGAACGTATCCTCTGAAATCCATTGGCAAGTCAAATCGTATTATCAATGTGCAAGCTGGTACATCGATACCTTCATCAACAACATCAGTTGCTACAATGCAATTTGTCGAACCAGTTTTAAATCTGCAAAAATGTATAGACATTGATTACTATTTGTACTAAATTTGATCAAAGCATATTTAATTTTTTTTCATTACTGTATGGAAATCTATAATTATTAATTATATAATACTATATGGTACACGCATATAGAAAATAATTTTTTTCACAGATTTAATATATTCATTATGCAATCTACAAAATATAGTATAATTTATATTATTTGATTGAAATGTTTCCAATGTATATGGATTGTATATGACTAATTATATATGTTAATTATTTATAAGAAACAAGAAAGAAGAAATTACTATAATCAAATTGGTATAAAAATACACAATAAATAAATGTGCAAAAAATTAGATTTTACCTTTGCAATACTTGTTTATTCCATTTTGCGATACACGAAACCTCTCTACTAAATTTGTAAGGATTATTTTGAAATCCAATTACATAATCGGGCGAAAGAAAATCGAATTCTTTATTGAGTTTGGCTAACGTCTGAAATAATATAAATTTCGTAAATACTGAAAATTAAATTTATATCTTTTCGAATATAGCTACAATTATTTAAACAATTTTGAAAAACTTGGCATTTTTTGAAAGAATAATTGGGAATTTGCACTATTAATGCAATTATTAATAATGAGTATTTAATTAAAAATTTTAAAAACGCTTACTTTTAATATATGATATATCACTTGTGTCATAAATCTTTCCCTCACAAAAATAATGCAACAGAACTGTTGATTGCTTGATAGTTTAGCATTACAATCTGCTAATATAGCAAATAATTGGTTAAGTTGATCAGATGTGTACCTAAAATAATGTTCAATATTAATGTAATATCAGATAGTAAATTGTGGTTTGCAAAATTTCTTTAAATTTGTCATACTAACTTAAACAGCTGTTCTAATTCTGTATGATCTTTCATTTCGTTGTCAAACAATTTTCTTATCATAATTACTTGCGTAATCATATAATCCAAAATATGGTCTGTTGTCTAAAATATGTTTAATGTTTAATAAATTTTGACATTAGAATTTCTACAACATTCCGTCTATGTGTCATTCAGAAAAGTAAATGTTAATATTTTTATTCAAATCTCTCTCACACTTACCAAATCATTGGAATATTTTCTTAAACTTTCTAGCTGGATTAAATGTAACAAAGCTGACTTGCTACCTCCATATATACCTACAATAGAAGTTTGAAATTCATTTCATATCTTGAAATGTTTATTAAACATTAGGCGATGTATATAAGGATTAATAATGCATTAAAGTTTACTATATATTTTATAATATACGAGTTTAATTACCTAGCTGAGAAGTAGTCGTTTCTATGTCTTTCATAACAGCTGTTAGTTTAGAAGATTTCGATTTAGGCCGCATTTCTGGACTGGATTCTTTATACAATTCATCTAAATTCAAATTTATAATTTTCAATATATCTGTACTCTCTTTTATTAATTGAAATACCTTGTCAAGCACATCAAAACTTGGATATTTATTGTATTTAACAATTTTTTCCTGCGGATTTGTACAATACCCTTGGATAATGTCTGTTGAGTCTACAGTTGCTATCTTTGATTGAAATGTTATTTCTAAAGACTGTAAGATACAAACAATTTTAAATCTTCTCTTTAAATCATATAAGTCAAGATTAATATTTACTATGCAATGACTATAATATTGTGATTTTGTTTACCTTGATTGTAGATTCAATTTTATCCAACTTTATATTGGCATTCAATAATGTTGCAGACATAGCTAAGACACGTGGTTGTTTATCCTTAGGGCAGTTTTCGAATTGTTGCATAATCTGTCTCATAGGGTGATTAAATACAGCCCTATGGCATTCATCAAACACAATTAAGTTTACTTTCTTTAAATTCATATATCCGTGTATGAGTAGATCCAGGAAGATTTGTGATGTTATTACCAAGACCTAAATCAATTGGAAAATTATATTTTAATATTGTCTTATAACACAAAATCAAAACCATCGATAAAGCAAATGTAGTACTTGATTTGTTTCAATCTCAGTCAACCATTGCTCTTCCTTCCAAAAATCCACCCCCATATCTCCGCTGTAACCTTTACAAGTTAAATCCGTATGTCTACTTATGTACTCTGCTTGTTGCACCACTAATGCTACTGTATTTACAACAAATATACTGCGTTTCCCATCTTCATTGTAAGGCCTAAAAACCAAGAAGAAACTTTTATATATGGCAATCAAATACATCTATTTGTGCAATTAAAAAGGATAAGTACGGACATACATTATGAAGAAGATAAAAAAAAAAAAATAATTTTCTTGAGATACATACTTGCGTATATCAGCACTTAAATGTTTCAAGAGCAAAATAGCTATGTACGTCTTGCCTGCACCAGTTGGCAGGTAAAGAATGGTATTATTTTGTACAGCTTTTTCATAAAGATCTATCTGATACGCCCTTGGAGTAAATCTTTCGGTCTTTTTTGGCTCAGATTCAGGCTCCATTGTATACAAATTAAAATTGCAATTATTGTGCAATGAAATGTATTTGCGGTATAAATAGACTGTATAAATGTCTCAAGCTCTGATCATTTTCATCCGACAATTTACAGCCTAAACTTTTAGGTTACATTAATGAAACTCACAATCACACATTCTTATTTTATCACGCAGTGCAAAATCGGCAATATTTCTCTAAATAGGAAGCTCGGATTTTCCGGATTCGAAAAATACTTGAAAGCCAAAATATCCTCACTCGCTGATCGACCGGCTACGTGTGCACATTTGTACGTATATATATATGTTTCTTCACTCAATTCTTTATTCGTCAGTATACATGCCGGGACAACCCCGAATGTTTCGAACAATCTCGAACAAATGATTTAAAAAATTGTTTCACTGATGCCAATTCATTTCAAAATATGCTTGTAATCCTGTGAAATTTCTTGCGTGCATTCTTGGGGTTGATTTTACAAATATGTGAAATGCTTCAATTGGCTGAAGAATAGGGAAACATCATTTAAATTAATTTCTTTTGTGATTTGAAATTTGAATAAGTTTCCATATTTGACAGCCAATCGAATCGATCAACGTGTGAATCGTAATCATAGAATTTATCTAGATTTGCTTCTCGGAGTGAAAATGACATTTGATCTACCAATCAGGGCCGACTTTAAGAGTGCTAAAAAATTGTGTCCATTGGCTGGAAGAAACTTTGATCGACCAATCAGAACAGAGATCTTCGGCAGCTCATCTTTGTATTTTATATGCTATATGCATCCATTATCCGATCAGCTGATCTTTGTGATTGTTTGACCGTGTATTTTAATTGAGAGAATTTCAAGAAAGATTACTTAAATTGCGATTTTTACAAGGAGAATGAATTATTTAATGACTTTTGAAACGAATATTAAATGTGAAGTATGACAGTTGAATTGCTTCGATTACTTTAGCAATGACATTATGTCGACATAGAATAAATATAAATGTCAATAATAGTACATAAATATGTAGCTGTCCATTATTGAACTAAAAATAGCTCGTACAGATAACAGATTTAAAATGGCTACTTTATTAACAACATCGTCGAACGCAAAAAGGTTTGTTACGTTCGAATAAATATTTCCGAACATTCGAATAAAGAATTTTAATCAAATAAATTATTACTTCTACAGAATTGCACAAATTAGAAATGTGCGGCAAGGCAGCGTGATAGATATAGACGCCGATATGTTTCTCAAGATATCAAACTATGAGGATACCGTCAGACAACTGGATATTTATTACGGAATCGTTAAACGGCAACTTTTGCGTCATCAGAGCTGCATAACTGGTCTATTTCCGCAGATCTCAACCGACCGGAAGGTCGGCAGCGTCCGCGAGAGCATATATTGTGCAGCCGCGATATGGAGTTTGTATCAAGCTTACAGACGCATCGACGATGATCGCGGAAAGTCGTACGAGTTGGGCCAATCCGCGATAAAATGTATGCGAGGTATCCTGGAGTGTTGGATCAAGCAGTCCTCCAGAGTGGAGCTCTTCAAGAAAAATCAATGCGATCGTTATGCGTTGCACTGCAAATTCCACTTGGACACTGGCGATGAGATTTACAAGGATGCCAATTACCATCATTTACAAGTAAGCATTTAACAAATATTTCTGTCGTTTCTAACTTTCGTAGTAATGCAGATATTATATTTTATTGTGACAACTGTAAATCATTATGCTATATTTAAGAATATATCTACTATATCAGAGAAATTACTATTACCTTTTTGAGATAAATAATGTATCCTATTGAATATATATATATATATATATATATATATATATATATGTATGTGTGTGTGTGTGTGTAGATCGACATCGTATCCCTTTATTTGATATTCTTGGTGCAAATGATTTCTTCCGGACTGCAAATTATATATACGCAAGACGAAGTGGCCTTTGTACAAAATCTAGTGTACTATGTTGAGAGAGCATATCGTACGCCGGATTACGGCATGTGGGAACGTGGAAGTCGATATAACGATGGAACTCCAGAAATTCACGCCAGCTCGATTGGAATCGCCAAGAGTGCACTGGAGGCGATCAACGGTTGTAACTTATTCGGAGAGAAGGGCGCGTCCTGGTCGGTGATATACGTCGATATTGATGCCCACAATCGTAATCGCAGTATCTTCGAGACGATGCTTCCGAGAGAATCTAGTTCGAAGGTAAATAATCTAGTCGTACGATTCTATCGACTGAATTCTTATAAGATCTTATCGATTTCCAGAGTGTAGACGCAGCTTTATTACCAACGATATCTTTTCCCGCCTTTGCGACTCACGAAGAAGTTCTGTATAATGAGACCAAAGCAAACATAGTCGGCAGACTTAAAGGCAATTATGGTTTTAAACGATTCGGAAGAGATGGTTTTAAAACAGTGCTGGAGGATAAACAACGGCGGTATTATAAACCTGGAGAAATCAAGGTTTCTCAAAACTTGTATTATATATAGAATTATCTATTGACTTATTAGAGAAATTTCTTGGTTTTAATCAAATAACAATATCTTCCTTAGGATTTTGATAGTGTCGAGAATGAATGGCCGCTGTTTTACATTTTCATGATAATAGACGGCGTATTCAAGAGTCTACCAGACCAAGTGGAGGAGTATCAAAATTTACTGAAAGCGAGAGTGCACAAGGATCTCAATGGAGGTGAATAAATAATATTTAATTCTCAATGTTGTTCTGTAAATACATATAATATCCTGTAACGCATCTGTAAATTATCTTTGATAATCGTATATGAATTTTATAGCTCCATAAGATTTATTTTGTGTGATAGACCCGGTGATCCCCATGTACTATTACGTACCTGTTGAAAATTTGGAAGCTGAAAGGAACGAACCGTGCAGCGCTTATCGCTTACCGAGCGACGAAGGAAGGGGTCCTAGGTCTGTAGATCAAGAAGTTGTGCCGATGTTTCTGTGGAATCAAGCTATGTTTGTAATCGCACAGTTACTCACCGCTGGCCTTTTACACATTAATGAATTAGATCCGATTCGTCGATATCTGCCATCGTACAATCGTCCGAGGCGAGCGGGAAGATACTCTGCTTTTCAGGTAAAAAAGAAAAAATGTATAGAATTTTTATATTCTAAAATTAAATAACCAATTATTTTTTTCAATATGAATAACCATAACAATTAATAAAAGCGAAATAGAAGTTTATCTATATTTCGTTTTCCTCGTTCCGAAATTAAATAACGCACTATATAACTATTTGAAATAAACTGTACATACGAGGGTCACTATTTATATTTCGGGAATTGGCAACACTGATGTCATGTGAGTCTATCTGACGGTTCCATTGTAAAGTTTGACATTTTTGACGATGTACGTACTCACAATCAGAACATTTTGTCATACGGACGCTATTTGTTTATTTTATATTTAGTTGAAAGTTTCGTCTCGGCAAAAAAATGGAACTGAATCGTGAACATTTTCGTGCGATGATTTTTTACGACTTTCGACGTGGATTATCACAACAAGAGTGCGTCAATCAACTTAATTTGACTTTTGGCGATGAAGCTCCATCAAAAACCACTGTGTATCGCTGGTATAGTGAATTCAATCGTGGTCGTAGTTCGCTGTCCGACGAGTTTCGTGAAGGTCGTCCAAAATCGACTGTAGTGCCAGAAAACATCGATGCTGTGCACGAAATGATTAAGCAAGATCGTCATGTAACCTATTGTGAGATTGAGGCATCCCTAAGCATTAGTTCCACCAGCATATATGCGATTTTACATGAACACTTAGCTGTGCGAAAGTTATGTTCGCGTTGGGTCCCACATAATTTGACAATCGATCAAAAAAAGGCTCGTGTCGATTGGTGCAAAGAAATGCTTAAGAAATACAATCGCGGTGCTTCAAAAGACGTTTATAAAATCGTGACAGGTGACGAATCATGGATATATTCGTATGAGCCCGAAAGTAAGCAGCAGTCGACTGTATGGGTGTTCCAAGATGAACCAAATCCAACAAAAGTTGTTCGCGCACGAAGCACTTCAAAGAAAATGGTGGTCTGTTTCTTCGGAAAAACTGGTCATATTGCAACAGTGCCTCTAGAGGATCGTAGAACAGTAAATTCTGAGTGGTACACAACCATTTGTTTGCCAGAAATCTTCGATGAAATAAGGAAAACAAACAAGAGATGTCGGATTGTTCTTCATCATGACAATGCGAGCTCTCACACATCGGCTCAAACAAGAGACTATTTGAGCACTCAAAACATCGAATTGATGGGTCATCCGCCGTACAGCCCTGATTTGGCACCCAATGATTTCTTTTTGTTCCCATCCGTGAAGAATAAACTGCGTGGTCAACGATTTTCATCGCCCGAAGAAGCTATTGAAGCGTTCAAAAATCATGTTTTGGAGATACCTCATTCGGAATGGAATAAATGCTTTGAAAATTGGTTTAAGCGCATGCAAAAGTGTATCGATCATCGTGGCGAGTACTTTGAAAAACAATAAAAATATATTCGCAGCTTAACTATTTGTTTTTGTTCCTATTCCCGAAATATAAATAGTGACCCTCGTATTACTAGTGATTTTGAGAGATATTTAACTGATTTAATAAATAATTTATTTGCACAATTCGTGATCAAAAATTAATAATTTTGTATGTTATGTTTTACACAGGCAAAGCCCAGCATTGTAAGTAATTTAAAATATATGCCTGTTTGGCATGTTATATGTAGAATGTTTTATTTTCTTTTTCCTTGAAAGCATGATGCTGTTATCTAAAACATTTGTTATTTCTTAATATTATATTTTTGCAAGAAAGCATGCAATATAATCACCAATAAAAACACATTTAGCTTTTTGCAATATTTTTGGCTTATTTCATATTTTTAAAGCTTATTTGATATCTTTTTAAAACTTATTTCATATCTTTTACCTATTATAAATTTATGCAAAATTGCATACACACGATTGAAAATTGAAACAACTGCTATTTTCAGTATCATATGACTCTAAAAATATTGATTATTTACACCTGTATTTATGAGCACTGCTGTATCTTTTGTATATCAGGGCACTCACACCGACCTAGTAGTACAAATAGTTCTCATCGCAGAATCTATGCGATTGCAAGCTATGATGGCTACATACGGTATTCAGACGCAAACGCCACATGAAGTTGAGCCTGTACAGATTCTTTCGTCTACTCAGTTAGTGAAGGTTTATCAGAAGCTAGGAGTGAACAAAAAGTTAAATCTTCAAGGACGACCAGCGCGACCTATAGGTTCTTTAGGTACAAGTAAGGTACATATGATGAAAAGTTCTATACTTTTTAAAAAGAGATGTGACTTTATAAGCAATAGCAATGATACTAGTAATAGAATAGTAATGATGTAATATGTAAAATAAAAGACAATGTTAAATAATATTAATTACAATATTAAATAATATGAATTAAATAATATTCATAATATAAAGTAATACGATAATAAAATATATTGACAGAGGTTTTCTTTTACATGAACAGGTGTACAGAGTTTGCGGTATGACGGTGCTTTGCTATCCTTTGATCTTCGAGGTCTCCGAGTTTTATTTATACAGAGACATGGCTTTACTGATCGATGATATTAAAACGGAATTGCAATTCGTGGGCAAGTATTGGCGTCTCTCTGGTCGACCCACTGTATGTCTCTTGATACGAGAGGAACACATGCGGTAAGTTTGCACGATAAGTTTACGGTAAAAAGTGTATCGTGAATATGTGTTTTATTTTTGCAAAAATTTGTTTAGAGATCCGCAATTTAAAAAGATGTTGGATCTCTTTGCAATGTTAAAGAAAGGCTACTGCGATAAAACGAAAGTACGCATCGGTCGTCTGCAAAATCTGATTTCATCCTCTTGCATCGGTAATGTATAGGTTTGACTGCTCTTATTTTTAAATCTTACATTTATATTTAGTAATTTTTAACTGGTAATTTTAATATTCTTTATATATGTATTGTAATATTTTCTCTTTCTTTAATAATATAATATTCACAAAAATTATATAATAACATAATTTATATTATTTATATATAGAACATCTGGATTTTGTAAATTCGATGGAAACAGATCTGGATTTAACACAGTTTAGACAACTGCAGCACGATTATATTGGCTATCAAAGTCTGACGGATGTCCCAAGAGCCATCGCTTATGCAGAAGACGTCAAGGATTATTCTGTACGAAAATTATTTTAAAATTGTACAAATAATTTTTGAATCAAATAAGTATGTAAGCAATAATAGTCTTTTTTTCAGTATATGATAAATGAACCTCTGTGCAACATATTAAACGAACTTCGCAATACCACTGGCTTGTATGCAAAATGTCAACTGTATGGTATCCTGATAAAACGACAAGGAATTAATTATGAAATTAACGGAATGACAGGTATTTTGTACTCTTCTTTCATTTTTTTGAATTTAATTTCTTGTTTAGCATGATGATTGCAATTTTTCATCATTTTCCAGTCCGCGATAATTTGAGATCGTTATATCAACAAGCTGGATCTTTAAGATTTTGGATGGCTGTACGTTACTGCAGCAGTTTATTGAATCATACAGTAGACAGCATTAGTCCTTTCATTACTGGTGTACTAGTTAAGGGAAAACAGGTATCGATAATATGCAGACTTTAAATTTGAGTTTTATTTCTTGGAATTTATCCTCAATGTGGTATTAGATTGCAGTGGGAGTGATTGGGCAGGAAGAAACGGTGTTCGATAAACCGATGACGCCGGCGGAAATACAATCGGTGATGTATTCCACGATACAACCGCACAATGCTGTGCAGGCTGTGCTTCAGCAAGAGATTCTACTGTACTGCGGCAGACTTATTGGTACCAATCCAGAAATGTTCAAAGGCATACTAAAATACGCATTGGGTAAAGTAACATTAAGAAAAAACAATCCTCATCATTTATATTAAAAAAAAAAAAAAAGTTAATCGCGTTATTCGAACAATACTTAGATGGGTCTTGGAAGCGATAAAGCTCTACTTGCAAATGTTTGTGAAGAACGCCAAGCCGATCGAAAATTATAGTCCTTACGAAATTCGACAGTTTCTTATCAAAGTACTAACCGTCAAGGAATGGGCCCATGCAGAAAAGTATGTTGCTTTTGAATTGTAAAGTTGGAACAAGATTTAATATTTAACGTATAAGACGGGCAACAAGAGCCAAATCGCGGATGACAATGCGTTATCCTAAGCGAAACTAAATAATTTTTCGTTAGAATTAAATACCGGTGCACAAGGCACCAAATTTTTACTTGGACACGGCCAAGATTTTAAATATGAAATAATCTCATATTTTGAGATTTAATTTCAATACCCCTTTTAACCCCCTACGGAAAATAAATAAATGAATGCAAGAGAAAAATATAGATCCGAAAATCGCTGAATCGGGAATCGAACCCGAGACCTTTCGCTTGCCGGGCGACTGCTCTTCCAGCTGAGCTATTCAGATCCTTTCGATTCTATACTTTTCTCTGTTATATATATTAATGTTGGTAAACAAACGCATTTTTTAAGCCAGCGTGTATCAAATATAAGAGTTTTAACAAGGCTCTGTAATATAAATATAAATTTAACGTATAAGACGGGCAACAAGAGCCAAATCGCGGATGACAATGCGTTATCCTAAGCGAAACTAAATATTTTTCGTTAGAATTAAATACGAAATAAGATTTAATATCTTTCTTGATGATAACATTTATCGTTATTTCTCATATGAAGTCTGACGGTGCTTGGTCGCCGGAAAATCGAGGGTTGCTTGTGTAGAGTGCCGGCACACTTTTATAATCAAGTGTGGGAAGTTTTGATGCGCTGCCCTGGCGGCATCGTAGTAAATGGACGCGAATTACCTCAACAGCCTACAGTGTCCTGCATGACTCGTTCCGAAATCACGTTTGCCCTGCTTGTGGAGTCCTTGCTGCATCACATACAGATGCCGGAATACCGTCAGATCATAGTTGAGGTAAGCGCTTTTAATAAATACTATTGAACTAGCTCTCTTTTTTTTCTTTTCTATTTATTTACCCGGAAATGCAAACATTAAGTGTAACAGTAATAAAAAGAAAGAAATACTTTTATTGTATGATTACAGCTCTTGAGTATTGTTTCGACTATCCTGCTTCGAAATCCGGAATTAAGTTTCCAAAAGCAGTTACATCTCAACCAACTTGTGGAAGATAGCTTCGTCATGTACTGCAAGGTAATATAATATAAAAAATGTAAATATTATATATAAATGTTTTACATTTTTTTAAATTTTTGCCATGTTTACAGGATCACAATTTATCAAACGTCGATGATAAAACGTTCTTTTTTTCCGCACATTACTCGGTGACCACGGGATATCTCGCTAGAGCCGTAGTCAACAATGTTCTTACTGGTGGTTGCGTCACTACTATCGTAGATCCCAGCGATGTCGTCGAATCGCCCCGAGAAATGTGTAAGATTACGTAACAATACGACTCGATTATCAAGAAGGGTAAAGATCTAAAATCTTATTATTTAATATTAGTAAAAAACTGTTACATGTAGAGGCGTGTAATATATCTCGCTATGTATATATGTATATTATCAGGTTTATAGATAAAACACGGCGATGATATAAAGAGCCGGTCAGATTTTAATGCAGAACTTCCGTTCCTTCGGATAATATTCGTGTATTTCAAAATATCTTTACATTCATACAGATATACATGACCTATCAAAAATTTTAGCAATGTATAGCTGTACAAAGTATACATAATTGCAGAAAATCATCTCTTGGCGAAATTCATATCCATTGCGCGACCGGAACGTTGTATATTGTTAATATTGGCTTTGATTCTAGACGCAACTGTTCCCATTTCTGTTGCGACAACCAGTTGTTTCCTAAAACAAACGCCATATTTTATCGAATTAATCTTCAATAATATCCAAATTTATTTTTTATATATTCGTATACTACATATATTTCGCGAGGATGTATGTACAGATATTTGAGTACGAAATATGTCTAATTATATACCTGATAAAATCCTTGTTGTATGAACTACTTTGAATTTCTATCTTCTCTTCCTCGCGGTACATTTTCACATTTTTCTCTCTCTCTTTATCGCGCCATGCTGCATTTGCCATCATCTCTTGTCGCCGTTGTTCCTTTTCCTCTTCAGTAAGGCTCGGCCTTGCTTTCGGTCTATATTTCAATTCTTTTCTATCTTCTTTGAAATTCATGCGACTAATATCGAAGGTAGATCTTTTGTCATTCAGTTCCTACAAAATCAAATATTTTAAGTTTTGTAATTACACATGAACGATGCCAAAGAGTTCTCTTATTTATTATTAAAAGGTCTTACTCACTGTTTTGTCATTTCGTCTCTCCGCAGAGTATTTTCTTCTGTATCTATCCTTTGAACTGTCTCTTCGCATATCGCTTTGTTCGTACCGCCGTTTGTTATAATTTGTATCATATTCTTTCTCATGTTTTCTATTTCTCTCGTACTTGAAATCTCTATGTTTACTCAATTTCCTTTTCCTAATTCGTTTATCATCATTATCTACCTTTATATCATCGCTCGAACGTCTCTTATCATATTCCTTTTTATTATCTTTCTTTTTATGTTCAATGATGTTTTCATTATCAGTGCTCTCAGTATCACTGTCGCTATCACTATCGCTTGAACTGTTCTTTCGCTTCTTTTTTAGATTTCTATGTTTACTCGATTTCCTTTTCCTAGTTTGTTTATCGTCATTGTCTACCTTTACATCATCACTCGAACGTTTCTTGTCATATTTCTTTTTATTACGTTCTTTCTTCTCATGTTGAGTAACATTTTCATTACTAGTACTGTCAGTACTATCACTGTCGCTGTCACTATCACTCGTACTTTTCTTTCGTTTTTTCTTCCGCTTATGTCGTCTTTTCTTAGCAGAAGCGTCGTCGCTACTACTGTTCGATTCGCTTTCCGAACTATGCTTTCGCGATTTTTTTTTACGTTTATTTTTAATTTTTTTCATCGATTTTAACAAATCCTTTTCACTAATATTGTCTTTTAATTGTTTAAATTTAATCGCTAATAATTTATCCAATTCAGCCTCGTCCTCACTGCTATCCTTCTCTTTTGACTTTTTCTTTTTCCTCTCTCCTTTAGTTTTGCGCGTTTGTTGTTCCAACTGTAAATTATACACATATCTATAAGTAAATATTTCACACAAAAAGACAAAGATAAAATATCAATATTCACTTACCAACTCTTTAAGTTGTTTCAGCTTGACAGGATTTTTTAAGAGCTGACTTCTACTTTCCATTTCTTTTTTCTTTATGGCGTATAGGGGATCTTCTTGCATTTTTCTAATCAGATCTACTTGCTCGTTACCAGAAAAAAATCGCAATGAAGGTGGAATGCATTCTAGTGAAACAAAATAAAAAAATTATCATAGTAAGTGTAAGTTTTCTTAATTATCATATGGCGTAGACATAATCTTACCATATTCAACATGATTTTTTGGCGGTTTATTGATCTCTGTCTCTTTCTCCGCCTGTTGCATTTGTTCAAAAGCCTTGTCAACTGGCCTTCCCAGTAGATATTCTTCTCTATTGACCATTTGATTCGGTCCTTTGTACATCCAATCCAATTTCTTGTCGTCCTTCTTTTCTATCACACCTTGCTCCATAGCGTACTTTGTCATATCCTCGTGATCCTTCTCCATTTCAATCTGTCTCTTCAACTCCGCTATCCTTCTATTTTCTTGATCATTCTGCTGCTCTGCTTTTCTAACCTTCTCCATATTTTTCATAGTAGACGGATGCCACGACTTTTTCAAATTCTACAACAAAAGGATTTTATTAATGGAAAAGTATATAAATGCGATATATTCTGAACGTCGCACATTATTTTGTAATAAATTTATTACCAAATCTCCGCCTCCCATTTTGTCGAATCAAACACTATAATATTTATATAAAATTCACACCGAAGCTATTTTATCAATATTAATATACAATATTAATATACAATTGCAATTACGAAAGAAATAATTCAGCTTTTACGATGATTTCTACAAAACATGTAAATATTTTCATTTTTTACAACTCGTTTTAGGTTGGTTGAAATTAAATAGAACCGCAATCTTTTGGCTGATCTAAAGCATAAATCATACATTCTCTAGATGTTCGCGACACGAAAAAGTACGATGTAATATGGCGCCGGTAAAATTGTCCAACCAATCAGAAATGATATCCGATGTATCGAATTTCGATAGCACTTCGCAGTCATATAGCTTTCATATTTCAGCTCGTTCCTGATTGGTCGAGGTTTATTTGAATCGTTACGCACTTCACGGCAATATATCCACTTCGTTACATCGTGAACGGCTCGGACCGCAGATTTTCGGTAATTAATTTTTATATTCATAACATACAGATTTTTTTGCTATTGTGTATAAATGTAAAGAGAAACATATATATAAAGTCTTGCAAGTACATATAACAGAGAGGATATATATTAAAAATATATAAGATTAAGGAAGACACAAAGAGTATCCGCGGCGGTTACCGCATACATATATAGATGGTTATTTTTTGCTATTATCTTTTATTAATAGTTTTAATTTATTCAAATATACCTGTATAAATTTATTTTAGTAACCGCATATATTACGTTAAAGAATTAATTTTTAATTCTATTCCTTGTCTATTTATAAAATCATATGTGATATATTTCTCTCTCTCTCTCTCTCTCTCTCTCTCTCTCTCTTCTCTCTTTCTCTTTGATGCGTTGAAATATTTCCGTGCAAATGAAAATGTTACTATACTTTGCAAAAATATTTCGTTCATGGCATTATTGTAGATCAGTTTCTACTTTCTTAATATTTTCTGATATATTTTGTCCTTTTATAGGTCTTATATAATTCGTACTGTCGGAACATTGCCACTGTTGAGGAAGTTTCGAAACCAGTATGCAAGGAAAGAGACTTATATGCAACCTGCTCTTCTAATATATAGTGAGTTTCTACCCGGTTGCTATGTACAAAAATGGGATATTTCACAGTGATATTGTACAGGAAAGGAAATTTCTGAAGGTATGTTTATACTAATCACTATACAAATATATATATCGTTATATATACATTGCTGCAAATAATATTTATATCTTTTATTTCTAAAAAAAGTAAACTGATTTTAAAGAACAAGAATAAGAGAGAGAGAGAGAAATTAATAAAAATTTTTAAGTAATAAAATCTGTATAAAAATATGAACTTACAAGATATATATATATATATATATATATATATATATATATATATATATATTAACGCTATCTTTTTCATCATCGAATTTAATGTATCTCTTCTCCTCATGAATTATATGCGAGTAGATTCATAAAATTGTGCTCGACGATATTATGCATGTATCTGTATCTTAATTCAGAGATGGCTTAAATCAGTAAGAATAAGTGAAATATATATATCATAAAATTGTATCTATAATAATCCTCAATTAATATATAAGTATTTAATTAGACTTTTCGAATCATACAAAGTTCCTTATAAAAAAACATCCATTTTATATAATATATATGATCGTTAAATAAGTATTTCTCGTGAATAGTCGATAAATTAACGTGATTTTTTGATATTGAAAAAATTATTATTATTAATGTTATCCCGCACGTGATACGTGAAATCTCCCAAGACGAAAACAGGTGAGCTCGATGCCCGCAATGCATGCATCGCGTTGCATCGAACTGCATTGGTGTAATATATTTCGCTGCGCGCGCGCGCGTACGCGGTTTCTCATTTAAATTTTATTTTATTTTCAAGGATATAGTTGTCGCGACAATTTATTTATTTTCTATGTATTGAACTTATGATAATTACATTTAATAATTATCATGCACCTGTGTTTAAAAAAAATGTTAAAAAAAACGAACGATATTAATATTCCATCAATCAGTGACACGCTTTGGATATAAATGTTAAATGCATTTATAAGCATTTTAAACAAATGCTGCAATCGAAAAGGTTTGTCAATTTTTAAATTACGCTTTATACATTTTGCACGAATCAAACACATGCCAAGAGAATTATTTGGAAACTCAGTGTTTTTTTTTATTCATTTATATTAAATTTTATAAATACAAAAACAATAATAAATTTTTATACAACTTTCACAACGTTCTAAAATTAAGAAAGGGCCCCTGCTTGTACTTCGAAATAGGTTGCTCTCGTGTTCTTCGATTTTGCGCGAGAGGATTCTCGAATGATAATCCTAAATATAACAAACGCAATGAGATGAATGTGCAGCTTGCAATGAAATGATACTTTGTTTTTTTTCTTTGCGAGAATGATACTTGTACATATATAATCAGTTCTACACGCCAGCTAAAATAAGAAAACTTTCGTCTCGCCGGCATGTACGGCTTTACAGTGTCGTAAAAAAATAATAATTAATATTAATAAAATAATAATAATAATAATAATAATAATTAATAAGCTGACAATAATAATAATTAATAATAATAATATTGATAGTAAAATCGTAATAATAAAATAATATTTAATAATAGGTGTTGTATATACTAACAGTAGTGACGTCGTTACTATTATTCCTTCCGTCATTAATATAATACTTAATACGTAATTAACGCTTGATTCGCGTTACACCGCGCGGTTCACATTCGCCATAACAATTATAAGGATCAATTAAAGTCCCTTTAAAGAATTTCGAAAATTTCAGAGTTAACTCAACACGTATGAATTAACAAAAGCCCTCTTTTCCCCTTCCTTCGTTAGCTTTCGAATTTCAGCTTCAGAATTGCGTCGCGAATATTATTTTACGTTATTTAAAAAAAATAGAAGCTGCAAAAAATAGAATGCTATACGCATTCGCGGAAGGATGCGATCCGAAATCGGGCGAAATCTTAAAATTACGATTGCACTGTTATCAACGCTAAAATAGCATCGAGAAAATTAACGAGAGTTGAACCGCGCGGTGTATCCCCGCAGCAATCGCGAATATAATAATGTATGCACGATACAAGTTTTACGTTCTACTCGTTATTATTGTAAACTTAGGTGAACGCATATATGTACACGCATGTTATGGTAGCCAGGCGTCGCGAGCGGACATGTGTGTTTTTATTACTATCGGTGTCGTTTTTGCGGCGGAACTCTGTTTGCCCAGATTAATTCATACATATATACATTTTCAGTTGAAGTACCGAAGAGAAAAAAATTCAACGGCAGCAATTATTCGTTCCGTGGAAATTAAAGTTTACCGGAAGCTAGGATTATTAATTTTGATGTATGCGACTATAAGAGAGAGAAATAAAAAATCGTTTTATGGGATACAAGTCTGAAAATGTGATCAAAGAAACTCTTGAAGCAGTCGCAGTAAAATCATCTAAATAATACGATTTAAAATTTTTATCCACGAGAGTTAAATTAGTTTAAGGCTCCTTGGTCCTTGCTGCGGCTCTCTAAAATAGTGTTTCATCGAAATATTTTTTCATTTAAAAATGGCATCAATTAATTTTCAGCGTGTGCTTTTTCACCTCTGACGTCACAATGTAACATAGCCATGGCGAAGATCCAGGAGCCAAAGAAAAAATCATTCCGATAAGTGTCTTTTTGTCAAACAGAGTTCCACGTTGTGTATAGTATAATGTGTTACTGTACAAAGTAATACGGAGTGTGTATGGTTTATTATTCGTAGTTTTTCGCATCACACTAGCATGCATGTGCACATATACGCTTGTACTGGCAGTGGGCTCGGCTCCGCTCAATACTCTGATACTATGGAGTTTTTATCACAGAGATATTAAATTGTTTGGTGCACTTTTTTTCTCTATCGCTCTATCTTTATCCCCTTCTATCATTTCTTGTTTTTTTTTTTCGCAGACTGTAATCCCTTTTTTCTTTTCTTATTAATTCCGCAACGGTATCGTCTGGCTACGCTGATTAATATGTTACACACTAATTTCCACGCACTAAATAATCGCACTAAGATCGATTTCGAAATCTCACAAAAGCGATAAACAATATATCGACGATACCATCGAAGACCGATTTTCTCCTTTCCTCTTTTGCCAACTAGATTTGTCGTCCTTGTCATACGTTTTATATGCACAAAAGCTGTCTATATATCTATATATAAATATACAATAGTGTAACCGAAAACGCACGATTGTAGCGATTTCGGGAAAGTGACTCAAAAGTTTTCCAAAGATCCATGACGACCAATTTCGCCAAAATATTGGAACAACTTCCGTCTTTTAATATTGCCTCTATATTTCTTTTTCTAGAGTTATAATTGGAAGGCGAAGGAAATAATTGGATTGCGATTGACCGACGTTGGCGAAGTTGGCCCCTGATCCTCGAGACTTTATCTAAATTTCCTGATGAGTTGTCGACGGATAAAATTCGTCGGTCCGGTCCAAACGTTTGATACATTCGAAATTCCAGTGGCGTCATCGTCCAGCAACGTCGAGGTAAGTTATTACTTAAAATAAAAACGAATGAATCGATCAACACGCACAATGACGATTAGCAGATACTTCGTAAATCGATAAAATAATCATAATTTAAAAAACAAAATTCTCTTTACATTATATATATACATAAAAAATAGTCTCTCAGATCTTTGATGATCTTAAATCTTGGGGGTGGAATTTAAATTCTCATTAGATGAATCGTAGGTCGCAAATATTCACATGATGTGTGTATATCTGTCAGTTTCTATAAAATTTAAATATTAATCTGTCAAAAATAATGTATATAAGCTAAAAAAGGACTTTTAACTATTTCAAATTTATCGTCTGTTTGGGCCGATAAACATTCAACAACGACGATTAACAGCCACTAGAAAAGTCACCTATTTGCGATCGGATTTATGACTGTTTATGACGCTAATGACGTAGACTGGTGTCAGTCTTGTTAAGGCTGGCAAGAGATTAGATGTTCGACCTTCGCGAATGCATCGCGAAAGACGCGTTGATCGGCACGAGTTAGACAATTACACAGGACAAATACACGACGTCGAAAATTAGACCCAAAATACGGGCGAATAAATTATTCGAAAAACACGGCGCACGAGTCATCGTTTGCGTGCGTGCGACGATGATGTAATATACACGAACGTCAGAGTTACAATTCCTCGCCTCGCTTTGCTCAACGAGCGAACGTTTAAACGGCCAACTTCCTTCTATATTATATTGGTCAGTAATTGCATAATAGTAGTCACTTATCGACCGTAACATTCGGCAGTTGTGTGGCTAACGCGATATATATTTCAAAAAATTGTCATTATATATATATATATATATATATATATATATATATATATACTTTTAATTACTTTGTACATTAATCACTGAATACGCTATATTGCTGACAATAATTGCCGTGTAAATCCAGTTTACAACAGCTAAATGTCGTAGATATCTATTATAAATAATATACTTATATTTGTATGGTCTATATTATAGCAATGACCAATTTTTTTGTTTAAATAAAAATTTCTCTCTTTTTCTCTGATACCTATAATATTTAGCTGTTACATATAAGAGTCGATGTTAAAACAATGTAATTTCAAAAACAATTGCCCCATACATTTAAAATATAACGTGTCAATAAAGTAAAAAATATATATATATGTATAAATATACATATAACTTAAACAAAACATAAAATGTAACAAGTAAAGATAAACTTTATTTGATTTTCAAGAAAAGAAAACGTTTTCCATTCTTTCTCTAAATAAAGAAAACAAGATTTCTTTTCTCGAATAATCTAAATTTTTCAAAAATTTAATTTCATAGAATTACATTGTTTTAATATCGAGCTATCCTCATATATATAATTACGTTCGCGCAGTTACTTCACCGAGCACGCTTTCTCCCGATCAAAGAATATCTAGTCTCTTTCTTCGTCTCTTACACCCTCCGACACATACATTACAAGCCTTGAAGGCTCGAAAGGCTATCGAACGAGGTTGAGAAGGTGGTCGCGAACGTATTGTCGCCCGTAAGCTATTAGGAAAATACACATGTAGTCCTTGACGGACTACACACATTAATTAGTTATCGATTATCATTAAGTAACAAGCGCGGCTATTCTCGAGCTGACTCGACCAGTCAGCGAATCAGTTCTTTTTTATGACCGTGCGGGTTGTCAATGGAAAGATAAGATATATATATATATATATATATATATATATATATATATATGCTGACGAGCTGCAATACACTTGCGTCACGCGTTAGGATTCGCCCAAGAGGAACAGCGTGAGTTCTTACTTCCGGTTCACTTTTCGAAAACAACGGGATTGCTGGCCGGATACAGTTTTGCTCATCGCGATCGCCGAGTCGCAAAGTTCGTTTGTTTACGCATCTCACGATTATCACTGCGTGACGTCAGAAGATCCGGCGAAGTGGAATCTGCCGAGATTTCCAATATTTGTTCTCCAGAAGAAGTCGGTTTGCTCCGAGAAATTTTTGACGAACATCTTCTCCGGGAGATTCCTTCTTCTCCCGAAGTCACGTGACTCTCGCGAGGCTACGTCATCGGCTTCGGCACTATGAGGCTCGCGCGTATTGAATGACAGAGCTTTCCCTCTGTCCCCAGGGGTGGGAGGGCTGTGAGGTCGCGATTAGGCCGCCGCTGCTCCTGTACTCGCTCTCCATAGACTGGAGGATCATCTTGCTGCGCTTCCTCGGCGGCAGGATCAGCGTTTCCCGCGGCGGAATCGCCAGATCCAACGCCAGGTCGGGGGACGACGCCGGACTCTCGGGGTTGCTGCTAGGCGGCGTGAGTAACGGGTCCCGGTTGATCTTGACGATCCCGTCGTACTCTTGCCTCTGACGTTCCTCCTCGACCGCCTCCAGGGCGGCCTCGACTCTGCGTCGCGCATCGTTACCCGGCAAATTAAGCAGGGACGAACAGTCGGCGGTGTCGAGATCCACTCCACCATTAGGGGTTAAACCGAAACTGGAGTACGCCGGATCGGGATAGAATAATACGTGGTGCTGGGTCGTCGGCTCCAGGGGAGCGCTCACCACCACGCTCGCCTGAAAGCGCTTCTCCTCGATGTCGCCGAGGACGATCTCCGACGGTGACGTCGTCCCCGGCTGCGAATACTGCTGCTCTCTGTTGCCAGAATATAGATAATACGCCAAGTCGCGCTGAACGGCGTAAGTGCTCGCCGTCGAATAGGTCTCTTCAGTCTTCATATGATTCTCCTTGTCGTCGATGGTGAGACTGAGGAGAGTGGGAACGATGGCCGAACCGTTGCCGCTAGGAACGCCGATGTCATCCTGCGAGATCTTAATGTCCGGCTTGATCGGCGAAACTGGCGAACCGACCGACGGCGCCGATGGCGAGGAGGTGCCGCTGTCGGGGATGGTGGAGGCGAGCGACGTGGGCGATTCCGGATGCTTCTTGATGTGCAGCTCCATCGTCTTCTTCGAGTTGAAGGTCTCATTGCAGATTGTACACTTGTATACCTTCTCGCCGTAGTGCGAGACCTGGTGCAGCTTGAGCACGTGATTGTAGCCAAACGCCTTGCAGCAGATCTCGCAGGTATAGGGCTTCTCCCCGGTGTGGGTGCGCATGTGCACCTTCAGTTGCTTCGAACAGGTGAAACCCTTCTGACACTCGTCGCACACGTACGGCTTCTCGCCGGTGTGCGTACGCATGTGTATCACCAGCTGGCCGCTCTGGATGAACGTCTTGCTGCATATGCTGCACTTGTGCGGTCGCTCGCCGGTATGGATGCGCATGTGACGGTGCAACTTGCCGCTGTGCTCGAACGCCCGCTCGCACACGTTGCACTTGTACGGCCGTTCGTTCGTGTGGATGCGCCGGTGGACGCTGAGGTTCTCCTTCACCGAGAACGACTTTTTGCAGTACTCGCACTGGTACGGCTTCTCGCCGGTGTGGGTGCGATAGTGGCGGGTCAACCTCGCCGGCACGGCGAACGTCTTGCTGCAGATGTTGCAGTGATATGGATCGTTGCCCTCCTTGCTGTGGGACCTCAGGTGACTCTGGTACACGTTCTTCTGCGCGAAGGTCTTCTGACAGAGCAGACACTGGTACTTTCCGCCACCGTCCACCACTGTGCTCGGTTTGGACGGCTGCGCGGCCTCGACCCTGTTACATCTCGGACTGGTGAACATCGTCAGATCCGGACTGCACACCAGGCTCTTCACCGAGTTCATCGTTTCCAGGCTGGCGGCCATGCCGCTGCCTGGTGCCGGCATCGACATCCCTGAGTTTGGTATGGATTCCGTCTTATAGTAGGCCAACATCGAACACTGGAACACGAGGAGCGATCAAGTTCATTCGAGTGTACGTTTCGTAATGTAATCTTTTCGTAATGTGTAGATGTAATATTTGTGTACGATGATTTAGTGATGTGAGATTAGAGATAGTGGGCTACATAGCTATCTTGATTATCGCGCTCGTGAAAATTTTGCGCGTACTCTTGGCTGCGAAATGCAATTTCCGTTTTAGGTTCATTTAGGCAAATATCTCGTTTTCCCGAAAATTGACAATTCGCACGCTACATATTCGAATATGTAGACATTTTTAAAAGGATTTTTTAATCTTAATGCTCTTGTATTAAAATAGTTCCGAGGAGCTCACGTACGTGACTTAATTCATTAATCGCGTTATTGTTGCATCCAAGGAGACAAAAAAAAATGACTAACTTCGCTATTGTTCAGCTATAAAAGATATTCCAATAATAATCACGCAACGTGCTATCGGAATATTTTTAGAATACATTACTCCAGCGATAAGATAACCAACGCAAGTGTCAATAAAAACAGAATGTTACCGTAATAATGCTTCCTAAATCTAGTTCAATATTTAGTCACATATTTAAATATACATTACTATACTATCGCTGCACAATATTGACATTTTCTAATTTGAAAAACTATGTTGCGTAAGGAAGAAAATTCTGCTGCTCTCGCGGAAAAATATTGCTTAAACTAGCACAATAAAAATCTACGTAGGAAATCTCTGTGCTTACGCATACGAGAATATAAGAACGCAACTATTTGTAAACACACTGTAAAAATCTATGTAAAATTACATAATTCTATGCGATATATTAAATATGTTTTTACCTAAATGATAAGTGTAAAATTACAAGATAAATATTATTTTATAGTTTTACAAATTATTATGTAATATATATTACATATTTTTTCCATAAAAAAATAATAAGTGTAAAATTACACGAAAAATAATACAATTTTCATTATTTATCGTGTAATTTCCCACTTATTTTTATAGTTTTACAAATCATTATGTAATATATATATTACATATTTTTCCATAAATAATAAATGAAAAATTACACGACAAATAATACAATTTTCATTATTTATCGTCTAATTTCCCACTTATTTTTATAGTTTTACAAATCATTATGTAATATATATATTACATATTTTTTCATAAATAATAAATGAAAAATTACACGACAAATAATACAATTTTCATTATTTATCGTCTAATTTCCCACTTGTTTTTATAGTTTTACAAATCATTATGTAATATATATATTACATATTTTTTCCATAAATAATAAATGAAAAATTACACGACAAATAATACAATTTTCATTATTTATCGTGAAATTTTCCGTTTATTTTTGTAATTTTACAAATTATTTAATTATGTAACATATTACATATTTTTTTTCCAATAAGGTAGATAAAAATTATTCTCTCCCGAATTAGAAATTCGATTCCGACCGACGTGGCAAAAAGCGCACGGTGCCTGCACGCTTGCACGCGCGCAACGCTATCGTCCGGCAACGGTCGCCGCGAGGCTGCGGGCGTGGTCGGCGGCCTCTACGCGTATCTTCGCGCTCTCCCCCTCCCCCCAACCCACCTCCCCACGAAGCCGAGCGCGCTCGCAGTCGCCTTTCGCACGCCGAGCCGAGGGACGAAACCGCGCGACCGCCTCCACGTGTGCGAGTCGCATTTTTTTATAGCGATCACCGACCTCGTCCAACTCGGCGCGCAGTAAGGACGTCGAGTTACATCACAAGAGAGGAGGACGGCACACACGTCCGACGATAATCGCGTACGTTGCGCTCTTTCTTCCTTCCTTTCCCCCTCGATCGGTGCTCCTACGACGAAATATTCGCGACGCACCATGGGATACGCAAAAATCGTATTGATCCACGGAAACATCCCTCCGAGGGGAAAATCTCGCCCTACGGCCGTCGCACCCGGAACACACTTTCCGCCGAATTTTATGATGGAACCGCGCCTTTCTCTCGCAAGCTTCCTTTGTCTCTTTCTCTTCCTTCCTTTACGACCCGAGCGACTCCGCGATGACTTCTATGATCGCGCTTTACACAAATTATTCCATCTTCATTGGGGAGGAAATAATGGACCGAGGAACTTGGAATTTTCCCATTTTCATCTCGCGATCTTTTCTTCGGGGAAAACTTGACAAACATCCCGCATCTTGTTGCCATCTTTTGTTTGGGAAAGTTTAACAAGTCAACGCGTTGTTTTCACTTTTTTTTTTTTTTATAAATATTAGTCATTTTTTGTTTTTATATAGTCATTTATAACATGTTTCAATTATTTCAAGTTTTGCGAATTTTTATGAATTTTCTATGTTATCGTAATAAATTAAAATATTCGAAATTAAATGAGTATCTGTAAGGTTAAATTATAATAGCGATTAAATGTTAAACATTACATATGCATGCGAGTGTAGCAAAAAAATTATTTTATTATTTTTTTTTTTTGCGAATAATATATTTAAAACAACTTTTATATTTTTCTAAAAATATTTACATTGAAACAATGTTTTATTTGTTCTAAGAATGTTAAAAAAAAGAATTGTTAAAGATGTTTAAATTTTCACATTTTAAACAAATTATTGTACCGTTTCAAACAATTATAATTATACGTACACTGAAAAAGGAAATTATTTGACTTAACAAAATTTGCAGTCAAAATATTTAGTTCTTATTAAATAAATAATCTAATAAGTAAAAAAACTAAATATTTTGTTAAAAACATTTGTTTTTAACAAAATATTTAGTTCTTATTACATTAGCATTGCCATGTCAAATAAATATTTTGTTTTTAACATATTTATTGCACGTATTCGGCCGCAGATTTTGTTAAGGCAAATAATTTTTTTTTCAGTGTACATTTCATGAAAGAATATTCTTATAATTAATAAAAACAATTAAAAATAAAACGGAAGGCCATCAGTATATATGCGATTGAATATTTGTGATTGATGATTCGCGATTTTGATTCGAAAAGTTGATGACAGTCGCTTTATGAAAAAGTGTCACGTTATTAAAATGTCACTTTACGCCTTTTTCGACATATTTGATCGCGAGAAAATAATAACCTCGTTCGTTTAAAATTCAATATCAAAATGACAAAAAATAATTCTAAAATCACAAAACGTCTCGTTTCGCTCAATTGAATATCTCGTTGATAAATTAAAATAAAAGAGGACCTAAAGATTTACAGAAATTAAAGATGGTCCGAAGATTCATATAAAAATTCGTGAAGAAGGAATAATATGTAGATGCGAGAAATTCGTAAACGATCCTAAAACTTTATATCTGAGAATCTCTCACCTCAAACAATTCTGGAAAAAAGTTCAAAAAATTGCTACAAGATACAGGGAATATCTAGAGTACTCACCTACACGCTTCGTTTACGTTCAACGTAATCCCGAATCAGACGCTGGTTATCATGGTGACATCCTCACCTCGGCGACATCCGAAGAGGGAATTAACACCAAAAGGAGCGCAAGATAGCGAAATCCAACAATCGCGGGCAAATTCGCGAGGCAAAACCCTCACATCGGAAGAAACAACAAGATCGATGTCGCACTTTTCTCGGTATAAAAAAATCGGAGACAGCAGGAAAGAAAAGCGAAAGACCCGCCGCCTCGGGGCCGGCCAATCGTACTGTACAATGTTTACCTCCTCGGCCGCGCTGAACGATCACGACGAGCGCGCAATCCCGCACCTTCCCCCTCTTTTGCACACTCTCTCTCTCTCTCTCTCTCACGTCACCGTTTCCCGTCCCGTCCGGTTCTTCGCGAACCGACGGCGGCGACCTACAATTTGGGGCGGCTGTGAGCGCCGCTCGTGACAGCACGTGGAGGCTGTCGGCGTGGTCGGCGGCTGCTGGTCCGCGCGTGCAATTCGCCTCTCGACGGCGAAGCGGAGGGGTGACGAGAAGGGGAGTGGAGAGGGGGACGGACGACGGTCGCGGGAGAGTGCACGGGCGTAACCAGTCGGAGCCGGAGCCGGAGCTAATGTACAATATTGCTCGATCAATTATTATCGATATCAATCGTCGTTTCGCTAATAATATTATAAATGTGATTTCTTTTCTTTTGGACGTGGCTCTCTGAAGTTACGTCCTCACTAGAACAAACGAGTAACTTTTTTAAGCAACATGGAACATTAACAAAAAAGTTGCTCGTTGTTGCTCCAGTGAGGACATGGAATTGTATCCTCACTGGAGCAACAATGAGCAATTTTTTTTAGAAACATGGAACATTAACAAAAAATTGCTTGTTGCTCCAGTGAGGACGCAGCTTGAAACTTTCAGCAACAGCTAGCAACTTTTTTAAGAGACATAGAACATCGACAAAAACTTGCTTGTTGAGGTTGCTTTAGTGAGGACGTGGAGTTGTATCCTCACTGGAGCAACAATGAGCAATTTTTTTTAGAAACATGGAACATTAACAAAAAATTGCTTGTTGCTCCAGTGAGGACGCAGCTTGAAACTTTCAGCAACAGCTAGCAACTTTTTTAAGAGACATAGAACATCGACAAAAACTTGCTTGTTGAGGTTGCTTCAGTGAGGACGTGGAGTTGTATCCTCACTGGAACAACAATGAGCAACTTTTTTAGAAACATGGAACATTAACAAAAATTGCTTGTTGCTCCAGTGAGGACGCAGCTTGAAACTTTCAGCAACAGCTAGCAACTTTTTTAAGAGACATAGAACATCGACAAAAACTTGCTTGTTGAGGTTGCTTCAGTGAGGACGTGGAGTTGTATCCTCACTCAACACAGAAACATGGAACATTAACAAAAAATTGCTTGTTGCTCCAGTGAGGACGCAGCTTGAAACTTTCAGCAACAGCTAGCAACTTTTTAAGAGACATAGAACATCGACAAAAACTTGCTTGTTGCTTCAGTGAGGACAGTTGTATCCTCACTGGAACAACAAGCAGCTTGAAAGGACGCAGCTTTCAGCAACAGCTAGCAACTTTTTTAAGAGACATAGAACATCGACAAAAACTTGCTTGTTGAGGTTGCTTCAGTGAGGACGTGGAGTTGTATCCTCACTGGAACAACAATGAGCAACTTTTTTAAGAAACATGGAACATTAACAAAAAATTGCTTGTTGCTCCAGTGAGGACGCAGCTTGAAACTTCCAGCAATAGCTAGCAACTTTTTTAAGAGACATAGAACATCGACAAAAAGTTGCTCCAGTAAGGATGCAACTTCATATCCTCAGATGAAAAAACAACTAACAATTTTTTTAAGAATCATGGAACAAAAAGTTGCTCGTGTTGCTGGTGAGGACATAGCTCGAACATTTAATTGCGATTTTGCAATTTGATTGGATAATCGGAATATGCGTCAATTTTTTGCAATATTTAACGATATGATACGTTGAGCGTTTTAAAATTCTATTCATCGATTAGATGCATTTTTTGTTGATTTTGAACACTGAAGAAATATCAGCTGATTTTTTTTGACACGCAATGCGTTTTGTCAAAATTTGTATTCGCTGTCGTCGCGTTATTCCTACGCTACTATTGTTGATTTGAATGATTCTAATCGGTAGCGCCTTATCACGCTTATAGTAAAGCATCCTCACTTGTGTACAAACGAAACAACAGTGACAAGTTATCAAAGGTTCGTTGTTGACCTGTTCATGTTTGGCGCAGTTACGAACTGCGTTCGTTTTAAAATTTAGGAGATAAACCCCCCATTGCTCCCTAATCAATCGACGCGTTTTATCATCGTCACAAACAACTATCGCGTCACTTTTCCTCGAAAATAATCTCCTTTTCAGTCTGTCAGAGCCTGATAACGTCGATTATCAAGTATAAAGTATGTAAAGCTGAATGTATTAAATGTAAATTAAGCGAAAGACCGGAAATTAAGTATAATCGTAGTTTAGGAAAAATTTCCACACGCGTGACAAATACAGCGATTCGAAAATGTATTTAAAGTATTTCACATATATATAATATATTATATATTTAATATAATCCTATATATATATATATATATTTAGTATTTAGTATATACATATATATATATATATATATAATATTTATATTAGTATTCAATATATATTTATTATTATATTAAATATTTAATGCAACATTTATTTATTTACTTTATACATAAATTATACGTAACATTTAAATTTGCTGGGTAAAAATTCCTAAAAAAGTGCGAGATTATACCTGTGGAAATATTTGCGTGATACGCCAATGTGAAGGGAGAAAGGGCGAGAGAAAGGGGAGAAAGAGAAAGAAAGAGAGAGTGTGCGTGCGTGAGATTGAAGAAACGAAGACGACAAAAGGGATAAAGGGGAGGAAGGGAGTAAGGGTGGAAGGAAGGGTGTAAAGGACGCGGTGACCTGCGGACGCGTGCGAATCATGGATTCACCGCTACACGTGCGTCGTGTTCGCGAGCGCGAATCTAACTCCTGCGTATCGCGTTAAGCGCTCCCACGGCCCTATATATGTATATATATATATATATATATATATATACATTATACTTCCACGAAGCCCATAAACACACGAGGGATTCTCTCCTATATAACGTCGCTTTCTTCCCTAAAACTCAATCTTTTGCCAGCCACTCGCCAAGCCGAGATCAAATTTTCTCTTTATCAACATCCCGTCTATTCGGCTATTAAAACGAGGATTCAGGATAATCGTGCGGTTTTCATTTCTGCAAAACGTTATATATTTTATGGAATATTGTAAGCGCGTGGCTGATTTTCTTTTCGATGGAATCCTTGAATCAGAAGATTCCAGAAAATACTCGTCCTTCGTCGTGCCACGTGGTCGACGATAAAAATGGCTAAGTCGCAAGAGGCCTGGATACCGCAGGTGCCCGAACTACGTATGATAGTCTCTTAGAGATTGGAGTAATTATTCACTTTGACTCGATTTTGTAGTATAATTACGTATTTAATAAAGAAACAGGTGATTCTACTGTACACGATCACTTCAATCGACTCTCATGCTCACGCCCTACAAATCGTACTTCCGGAAGGAGAGTGACAAGACGTGAATTGTAGAGCGTGAGCATGAGAGTCAATTGAAGTGATCGTGTACAGTAGAATCATCTGTTTCTTTATTAAATACGTAATTATACTACAAAATCGAGTCAAAATGAAACGCACCTGCGGTATCCAGGCCTCTTGCGACTTAGCCATTTTTATCGTCGACCACGTGGCACGACGAAGGACGAGTATTTTCAACCGAAAAGAAAATCATCCGCACGCTTACAATACATATACATATATATTTGACACATTAATAAGTGGAAATTTAATTTAATTCGTCTTCGTTATAACTATGAATCAACTATTTATTTGATTATTTGCTCTCCCTTTATCGCAATTCATAAATAATCAAGAAACCCAAGTAGCAAACTGACGTCATTTGACGTTTAAATGTCATATGCTTGCTACCTTGGAAAACGTAGCGAACAGTAATCAATTTGAAGGATAGTCTTTTAATAGCGAGAGAAAGATAAAGAATGATTAAGATGGACCAACAATTTTCGGAAATATACTAAAATTTGGATGTAAACTTGATACGTCACTGCGCACACACAGGAGGCGTTCTGCTCGTCATTGACGGCTGCGTTTGTGTGTGCGCGCGCGTGCGTAAGTGCGTACGTATACATGCGTAACGATTGATAGGGTCGCGTCTTTCGCTTTCACCGCTCTCTGTGCCTCGCTTCTCCTTCGTGAGGTCGCGCCGACCGGATCGGCGCATGAGCCACGTGGTCGATCCTTACGATACATCGGAGCGACCAGGACGAGGCGAACCGGGCGAGAGACAAGGATCGGAGAGAAAGGACTACACCCACGTTGTATCAAATGTGAACGAAAAAGTCCGTCTGAATTAAACTCTCTTTGTTCTTTGTCTTTGTCGGACAATTTCATGAGTCTTTGTTTTTTCGATATGAAAAGATGTCTCAGGCATCGCTACTCCGAAGAGATATATTTCAAATTCCTTTCTTTTTTTTTTTCATGAAAAAATCGAGGCAAGAAAAATGTTGAATTAAGAGTTCTTGTATAAAAAATGTAAGAAAGAAATTTAAAATTGATGATGATACTAATATAGACAGAGACAAGAAACAGATATAGGTATAGACATAACATTGACATTACTGCGTTTATCAAGTTTTGATTTCTATTTTAAGAAGCCTTAAATTCGAGCATCATAATTAAAAAATCTTGAAAACCAGAGGTATTGTATTTTAATGAAATTTGCCTTGACAATTAAAAAAATGTTATTAGTTTGAAATTCCAAGAGTCGATAAAATTATATAATTAACGAGAACAACTCGAAGAAACAAAGCTTTTTAAAATTCTTAAAACAATACGGAAGCCAGAAGTATTGGCTGGATTATATTTAGCACAATGTGATGTCCCGGATTTTGTCTGGTTTCTTTTTTTCTTTTTCGCTTTCACCGCCTAAACGAGCGGACGTAGAAAGTTTAAGAATGCTGAGCGTCTCGGAGATATACATCTTTATTAAGCATCTATTAAATCGTCGTCTTTTTCGAGTGCAACTTTTTTTAAAATATAAAACATTACCTTATATACTTTTTTTCTAATTGCCAACCGTCTAATTGCTATCATATACGCAAAATCAAATTTTAATTCATTATTAATTAAGCGAAACTTGTTGAATAATA